TAAGTCTGCGTCCTCAACTTTCCAGTTTTCTCTTTTGATAAATCTGCTTCAAATACCATTTCACATTTTTCCAAAATTTTATTGTTTTTGTATATCCTGCGAAGAAAGAAAACAAAAACAAAATGCCAGCCAATGAGAATTAGAGGCGATCCCACAGGCTGTAAAATGAAGTTGCTGAGTCGCTAAAAGCCAAACGAGTTTTGCCAAGTTGGCCCAGCCAGGACTTGCTGACTGGCTTTTTGGTTGTTAGTGTTAGTGACAAAGGTGTCTCTGCGAACCCTACTCTACTCATTTGTAGGTCAAACTCGAACTCAAACCCAACCCAACACCTTTATTTTTTTACTTTACAGGCACAGTGTGCAGGCCTCTTTTCATATCATTTTACGAATCACCAAAAGCTCTAAAGCATAAAGCCACATCTATAGTACATTTCTTTTTATGCAAATTGCTTCTTTTAACTGTAGTTTTCTTTTTCCTTTTGGTGCGTCTTCCATGTCCATGCATTTGCAGCGCAAAGCTGAGATTTTCTTCTTCTTTTTATTTTATGTCTTTCTTTCACTGTAAGTGAAAAAACAATAAAAGCCATGAAATTCAGAAATGAAATTCGTCTTGTAATTATGAAAATAGTTATAATGCATGTGAATGTTAGTAATAATATAAAATTGATGACAGAACAGAGATTCCTTCCAATGACAGACATCCAGAACCTATATATGTTTCAAATCAATCGATGTAAATATTAATATATACGTGCATATTTGTTTCTTCCCATGAACAATTATCTAATTTTAAAGTACTTACAACCACCTACTTGTCGTTTTGTTCGGAGAAGCATGTATAAAGCAAACACTATCATTGATAAATCAAGAAGTTTCAATAGTATATTAATCTCATTCTACATAACAATCCCATGTGATTATTCAGTGCATCGTTAATTTTTGCTGTCAAATTACAATCTGAAATTAATAATATATATGTATTCTACTTCCTTAGATGCGGTATAAGTGAGTCAATCATCTTATTTTTTTAATAAGAACAAAATTGAGATATTCTCTATTTTCTTGTATTTTTTTTGAACTTTTTCTTAAAAATAAAAGGGTAAACTGAGGACATTTTTATAGAGAAAGATAAGTATATGATGATAATAATAATTATTCGCATGAAGAAATAACTCAAGTAAGTGTAGGTTTTATTAATTTAGAGCAAAATGAGTATGGGCTTTGTGATAGGCACAAGAAGAGTCCAGCCCATGATTGCAAAAAAGAGAAACTTAGTTCGTAAATGCTTTGAACGCAGAACGTAACCATCATAACGGTCATAACGGACTTACGGATTATGTGAAGCCCAACGAAATCATGGAGCAACCAGAGCAGATAACCATGAAAAAAAAGTTGTTGGAAGTTTGGGTTCAGACTTCTGAAATTTGAAATTCTGGTAGATTGGTCCAATATTAGAGTGTTACTAATTAGAAAAATGCTAAATTGTTGAGGGTATCTCTTGTTTGCTATTAGTATGATGATCTAATGGTTTAATCTCATGGTATATATTTCTTATTTAAAAATAAAAGATTCCAGAAAATTTCTTATATTTTTCTTTTTATTCCAAAACAAAGTTAAAAAAAAAAAAAAAAGAGAGAGAAAAAGATAAACAAATAAAACGAAGAATGAGATAAAATAATTTATTTTAACTTTTCGGTGAGAAATTTTGACTAAATGGACTTAATTGAAAAGTATTACGAGACACTTAATTAATAAAAAATGAAATCAACATTAAATATATAATTATTCCCGAGAAAAATAAAAGAATAAGAAGACCTCCGGAGACCAAAAAACAAAAAAAAACACGGAAGAAGAAGAAGTTTCCGTACGAAGCCGCATATGCATCAGGTCCCATCCCAAGCCAGGGCAACGTACGCAGAGGAAGTTGACCCCCGTCCGATAAATCATACCAATTTCGAATTCATCAAATCAAATGCTAAATCATTAGATTTAGCGTTTTAATTAGTTCGTCCATAAATGATTTAGCGTTTTAATTAGTTCGTCCATAAATGATTTAGCGTTTTAATTAGTTCGTCCATAAATGATTTAGCGTTTTAATTAGTTCGTCCATAAATGATTTAGCGTTTTAATTAGTTCGTCCATAATTAGCGTTTTAATTAGTTCGTCCATAAATGATTTAGCGTTTTAATTAGTTCGTCCATAAATAACATAATTTATGGTAGTTGTTGATCAGTGCTACCTACCCAAGAGGCATTGTAAGGGACAACCACTGAAACTGTACAGCCATGAATGTGATCCTATAATTTATTTTCTGAGCAACCAAAACCAAAGGGAACACCCACAAGCTGGATTGGTATTAACTTAATTGGGTGCACCATTATTTTATAAACTACCACACTGTGCATATTGGTTAGGTACATAAATACCTAAATAAGAACATTGATTGATGTCTCATATAGTGAAAGATGAGTATAAGCAACTCAAAGAAAAGCTCCAGCTTTGTAGGGTTTTAACTAATAAGAGCCAAAATTTTTAAAAAGGTCGAATGACGAATGCATCCATAGAAATTGGGTAGTGGTAATAATCATTACACTTTGAAGCCACTCAATAACAAAATGTTACATCGGACATGCTCATAATAAATAATAATAATAATAATAGGTTGCATTTATTTTCAAATATAAATATTGAAATGAGTGGTTTGAATTTCTTCCACTTTATGTGAGAGTGAGAGTTTGATTCTCATAGATGAATCAAATACTCATTGAAAGTATTTTAACCTTTAACATGCCGACTTGAAGCGAATAAAATTTAATTTTAATCCAGTAAACGGAAAGTACCTGTGTTTAATAATAATAATAATAATAATAATAATAATAATATTGGTGGCTTCATCTTCATGGTTAGGTCTTCTCTTAGGTTTTTAGGTTTTGCTCACTTTTAATTTGTCTTTATATACATTTTTCGTTGGCCGTGGGTAATTTGTTGTACTCCACTTCAAATCTACGTCATTCTTTATTTCCATTCCAATTACCTTTTCTGCTTTTTCTTTGGTGTCTCACATTAGGTCTCACGTCAATTTTCCATTAACTATTTAATTACTTATTAATTCGTTTTTCTCAAATTAACTTATCATCAATTAATTTTTAATTAACTCCATTTCTTTACAGTTAAATTATAGTAATTACTTTTAAGTTAAGGTTAACTTACTGATGGATATTTGAGAATCTAGATTTGTGTAGACATTTCTTAATAATTCTATACCTGTTCATGTGTGTAGTAGCTTTCATCTATAGCTGGAGTTAGCTAGACAACATTATTTATCTATCATTTGAGATATTAATTTCAAATTGAATATTCACTTTTCTTTCTTTATTCAAAACTTTTTTTTTTTGTCAATAATAATATCTTTAAAAAGCTTACTATTAAACACTGAATTTATTTTCGGCCGCAAAAAAAAAAAAAAAAAATTTAAAAAACAAAAAAAAAAAAAAAAAAATCTTATAAAAAATAAAAATGATAAATGATCTTTTTAAATTTTGAAGCTGAAATCCAAAACCACTCAAAACAATTTGTAAATGTACGGTAAATACTTTCTTTTAAAAACATGTAAAAGAATGCTTTTTTGATTTTAATTTGATTCTTAGTTTTCCTATTTTGCAAGGATATTTCTCAGGAATACATTTGGTTGGTCCAAAACAAAGAAGGCCGTGTGAGTTTCCTTTTGCCTATGGCTAAAAAAAAAAAAAAAAAAATTATAAAAAATAAAAATGATAAATGATCTTTTAAATTTTGAAGCTGAAATCCAACCACTCAACAATTTGTAATGTACGGTAAAATACTTTCCTTTAAAACATGTAAAAGAATGCTTTTGATTTAATTTGATTTCTTGTTTTTTCCTATTTTGCAAGGAATATTCTCAGGAATACATTTGTTGGTCCAAAACAAAAGAAGCCGTGTGAGTTCCTTTTGCTATGGCTGTAAATATTCTTATTTTTATATTTATATAATATATAAATGCTACATCTAAAAATGTTCTGTAGTGTGTGAGGACTGCTGGACTGTAATCAGTAATAGTAATTAATTAATTAATTAATTAAACATTAATTTGGGTTTTGATGCTTTCTTCTTTTTTAATCCAGCGGTACCATCTTCTAAATTTTGTAAATACATAAACATTATATATGATGATTATATAACATCATTTTCATAATGTCAAATTTGAAATTGAAGTCCTTAATTTTTAATTTGGGTTCCAAAATCAATTTTTGATTTAAACGTCAAGTCAACTCATTGCATTTGTCCTACTAATTAAATTTTAAATAATCAAATCTACTATTTTTTTGTCAATTTCTCTGTATTTTTCAATCCTTCAATTTTCTGCAACTATACAATTTATTATTATTTTTTATTTTCTTTTATGCTCCGTGCTTCGCGTGATGGAAAATTTTAGAGCAACATATATAAAAAAGAAAAGTAGGAACCGGAATTGACTTATACTGTGTTTGGCTTGGAGGATTGACTATGAAGAGCGAGGGAGGAAAAGGAGGAAGTCAAGGATTGGGATGAAAGGCACAATTTTCATGTTTGGTTAGGAAGAAAAACGAAAAAGGAAAGAAAAGAAAAAAGCCCTATATTCTTCTTCCTTTCTCTCTTCTACGTCTTGATTTCCATGCTCCTTAATTTCTATCTTCAAACCAATTAAAGAAAGCCATAAAGATTATAGTTATCTCATCTCAAGAAAAAAAAAAATGTTAGCTTTCTTGCTTTTTCAAGTTCATATTTCTTCATACGTTCCTTTCATACGTGGGCCGCCATTTATATCATTGAAATCCGACAATCTCGCACTATTCGCTGGATTTTTTTGTTTTTTAATGTTTTTTTCTGGTGTACAACTAGTTTTGAAACGGAGGCTGTCTTGTTGTTTCAAACCTTTGACCTACCTGTTCTTTATTTATTGTTTTTTTTTTTTTTGAGTATTCTTTATTTATTGTTATTTATTTATTTCTGTCTTCCGCCCAGGCTGGTAGTATTGAAGCAAAGCCTATCCAGAAAATTCTCATTTCTGAACTTACTTTAACAGATAAAGTTTGTCTGAAAATACAGTGATCAACTGCCTGTTCTTTTTTTATTTGGAAGAAACGTCTTTAGCTTAAATTCTTACTAAGGAGTTATCTGGAGAGCAGTAAAAGAAACTAAAAAACCCATTTGGATGCAATTTCTTGAACAGCAGATATAATAATAATGCAGCTTTTCTAATGCTAGCTGTTAGTCAAACCTAATTTACTTATTGATTTTAAAAAACACAAGCATGAGATGATTCATAATCATGTCAAATAATTCATCAAGCTTGTATTGATTCGATTGGGACATTTGGTTACCTAACTAAGATAACTATATGATTAATTTTAATAATTAAAATAACAGCTGGGAATTATAATTTTTCTTGTGCATGAATTCTCAGGTAAACGAAGCACTGGTTATCAAAGAGTGCAGTTGACGTTGTGGTTTTCTGGTAATTAAGTAAATAAATGGTGGCCATTAACGTTATAAATAAACTCGACTGTTATTGCTTGAATACGTGTGTTAGTTGTGTTCTTTTTTAGTTTTTATTTTATTTTATTTTTTTAAATCTTTTATTGGTCCCCGTTCTTTTCCATTCTATATAAATGTACTTCTGTTTCTGATTTTTCTGGAGTAGAAGGAGAAGCAGCTTCGTCTCAAAATCATTCTCCTTCTTTGGCGACAGATCTTGCCTTCTTTAGCTGCAAAGATTTAGCAAATCAAAAGGTGCGCACACATTTTTTCTGGATTGGCATTTGGCATCTTGTGATTTTCTTTTCTTGATTCCTAATATTTTATTTTTTTGAAGTTTTATTTACTGTGAAAATACGAAAGAATTTACTTTGATCAATTAAAGTTACATCTGTTTATCAGTACAATCTGATCTTTTCTTCTTCCTCTGTCATTAAGATTAAGCTATTCACTTTACATCTCAATCCACTGATTAATTAAAGAAAGAATCCGATAATGACCCTGTTGAGTAATTTTGAGCTGATTACAGAAGAATATATATATAAATGTGAAGTTGACTTTGTTACATTTATGAAATGAATCTAGTGATTTAAATCCTTGATTAGAAGTTAAAAAAACCAGTAATAAAATTCAAATATTTGGTAGATGATGACACTGACAATGATAATTGAAACTAATAACTGGCTTTCAGGTACAGTAACTGTTTTACAATGGAAATTGTAGATTTATCAAAACAAGAAGAATCCCTTCCAACACTTATCAAGCACATCTCATCGAATGAAGTTGCGGGCTTTGATAGCTTGAATGCACAGTGCCAACCAAGTGATCCTCATTCTTTCAGTTCATCAGCTATGGTATGTTATGTATTAATTTGAATTTTTGGCAAGAGAGAGCTATAATTGGTAAATTAAGGCATAACATTTATCTTAATTATGTTATACCAGGAGACTGAAACTATTGATATTGACAATAATCATAAGAGGGTGCACTCTATTTCCATAAGTATGCCGACAACTCCAGTGGAAAAGAGCGCAGACAAGAAGAAAAGGGTTCTTTTTGAAGAGGACGGTGGAAAGATTTTCAACGATGAAGTTCCAGTTTCTTCTGCTGCATCTGAGACTGTAAAGTCCAAACAGACAAACGGAGTAAAGTTTCATTCCCAGCCAATGCCAAAGGGGTCTGGAATTGAAGGAAAAGCCAATCTTGCAAACCCTGCCAACAATCTCAGAAAGCTGGGAGATAGAAGATATGATTCTTTCAAAACTTGGTCTGGGAGACTTGAGAGGCAGATATCAAATTTACGTGGCAAGCCACGTGCAGAATCACCAGCCAGACCTGCTGAACGTAGACTAGAAAATAAGGATGCTTTACCTGTAGATCGATACTATGATGCATTGGAAGGGCCTGAATTGGAAAACCTTAGAGTATGCAACAATTTTTCTTCTTTTGATTTTTTTTTCAATCCAAAGATGGGTATATAATTAATTTTTTGCGATATTTTGGTAGGCATCAGAGGAAATAGTGTTACCAGATGACAAGAGATGGCCATTTCTTCTTCGATTTTCAATATCTTCGTTTGGTATATGTCTTGGGGTTAGCAGCCAAGCAATCATGTGGAAAACCTTGGCCAGCTCTGCCTCCACAAAATTTCTCCATATTAGCCCTCATATAAATCTTGTTCTATGGTGCATCTCTGTTGCCCTTGTAGTCATCGTCGCTGCTATCTATCTTCTCAAAGTGATTCTCTACTTTGAAGCAGTTCGTCGAGAATACTATCACCCGATTCGTGTCAATTTCTTCTTTGCCCCATGGATAGCCCTGCTGTTCTTAGCACTTGGAGTGCCTTCTTCAATTACTAACACTTTGCCTACTGCCCTTTGGTACGTTCTCATGGCTCCAATCCTTGTTCTTGAGCTTAAGATATATGGACAGTGGATGTCCGGAGGGCAACGGAGGCTTTCAAGAGTGGCAAATCCTTCAAACCATCTTTCAATTGTAGGGAACTTTGTTGGGGCATTATTGGGTGCATCAATGGGGTTAAAAGAAGGCCCTCTTTTCTTTTTTGCTGTTGGATTAGCTCATTACACTGTCCTCTTTGTAACCCTTTACCAGAGACTTCCAACAAATGAAACACTCCCGAAGGAGCTCCATCCTGTATTCTTTCTGTTCGTTGCAGCTCCAAGTGTTGCTTCTATGGCTTGGGCAAGAATTCAGGGCTCCTTCGATTATGGATCGCGAATTGCTTACTTCATTGCCTTGTTTCTTTATTTCTCACTGGTTAGTTAGTCTCTGCAACTTCAATTAAACTAATTCCATCAATCATTTGAATGACAACTAATTTGCAATTCCTTGTAATTCTGCAGGCAGTCCGAATTAATTTTTTCCGCGGATTTAAGTAAGTGTTTAACTTCTGAAGCTATTTTGCTACCAATTAGCTGAGGGCAATATATAAATTTACTTATTTATGCCTTTTCTTTTCATGAACTTACAGGTTCTCATTGGCTTGGTGGGCTTACACTTTCCCAATGACTGGTGCTGCCATTGCAACAATTAGGTATTCTAATGAAGTGACCAGTGTAGTTTCTCGAACTCTGGCTGTCACACTATCTGCTCTTTCAACATTAACAGTAACAGCTCTGCTTGTATCTACTATAGTACATGCCTTTGTTCTGAGAGACCTTTTCCCTAATGACATTGCCATCGCCATTAGCGACAGGAAACCAAAACATCACCACCACCACCACATGAAGTGGTTCCATCAAAGACATGGAAGCTCGGAACACAGGGAGATTGAAAATTACTTGAAATATGCAACCTCAGATTTGAAAGACATCGAAGCTTCTATTAATCCTCCTAGCTCAGATGGTAGTAAATAAGTCGAGTGATACATATTATTATAGTTAAAGACCTTGCCATTTTCTGAATCTTCAGCCTAACCATGTGAGGAAAACAAAAATCTGAAGGAATTTTGAAAATTCCAGTGACCATGAAATGAAGATTTACGCGGTGAGGTTGCCTTATTGTACAGAAACTTTTTGTTAGTCTTGTTGTAACGGATCAGTTTGGATAATATAATAAGCATTACAGCCTAAAAAAAAAGCTCCAATCTTTTCCAGGATCATGATATCCATCCACATGTAGCAGCAAAAGATTACATTTTTTTCGGCTTTTTCTTACAAGGGTCACTGTCCTCCCTGAATTTCAAAGCATACAAAGAACTGTTTAAACGATAACCATTTAACAAATCACCGAGCGTTTCTTTCTTCCTAATTACATTATCTGCAAAACCCAGAAAAAGAATGCTAAACTTCAACTCTAATTTCTGGGTTACATGATTTAGTCAATAAAAATAGTAAGACAAAATTAATCAAACTGCCACCATAAGTACCTAAAAAGAGGCTAACCTGACAACAGAACGGCAGATAATAATATTGAACTTGATAAGTTTCACTGAAAACCTAAAAAAAGAAAACCTTAATTGCCTATAAAGACGCAATTTTGATTGGAATTTGTGAAATGGGTACATGGGATTGTGCAGTAGACCAATTTTGTTGATGAAGAGAGGCATTTCACTGTTACAAAAGAGAAACACTAGTATGAATTAAGCATTATGCCTTAACAACAGCCAATTTTTCCGTTCCAACAGGAAAAATTGGTGATGGCATAGTCCTTCAAAAATGACATCGTTTCAATCCCAAAACACAACTTCTACATGGATTTCAATATAAATCGATCCAATGGGCTTTCTTGTTGGGCTTACATGATAGATAATATATGGGTTTACTGCACTTGGGCTTTTCTACGGCTTTGTTAATTAAATTAGCCCCATTTACATGTGACTGCCATTTGACACTGTGTGCCGTTCCATGATAAATAACAAAATTGCAGAAAGAACCACTCATGCCATTTCCTAGTTTCTTCTGGATGCTTCTCATCGTTTCTCTTCAAACGCCCACCAAAAGACAACAAACAAAAGATGATGAAAATAATCATTCAAGCCAAAACTGAAAAATGATGCAAATTAAGTAAAGTGAAATGCTGTTTCTGTACGTGCTAGATTTTAAGTGACGACTTCTCGTTTTCTTTTGAGAACTGGCCACTTGAAGACAAGTGCTCCATCGAGTGGTCGAACAGCAGCGTGTGAAAATAAAGAACACACAGTATTATGGGCTTTATGTCGTATCACTTTCGAAGCCCAATAATTGTCTAACGATCAGAAATAACTCCACTGGGCGGCTGGGCCCATCATAAGAAAAAGTTTACGAAAATGCGGGCAAGTTTTCTCTTTTTATTTTTTCAGGTTAGTTACCAAGAAAATCACGTCTTCATGTTCGTCTCTCCTTCAATCTACGGTGACAGAAAGAAGAAGCTAAAACCAAACAACTCAAGTGATATGGACCCTGCCCAGGGTACCAGCTAAAAGGAGTAATGACCAATAAGTAATGAGTGTAGAAAAGGAGAAGTTATGTGAAGTATTGATTATCCAGAAACTTGTAACAGTGACCTTAGTTTGAAAACATCCGACACAAGGCAAAGAACAAGGCCTTTGGTCCCCGTCTCCCTCTCTTTGTTTCAATCAATTCATCACTTATTTGTCCCTCCAAAGAATCCTCAAAACCATGTTCTTTGATCTTTCTGGCTATATCTCATTGAATTCAAGTTCGCTTTTGATTCTTGATATACTGTTCAATCTAAATCATAATTTATTTCCTGATATTATAATTCATTTCTCATCCTTACATAGAATGAACTGAAAAGAGCAAAAATGAGTCCTTCACTTGAGAACGAAGTGAGTAAATTGTACATATATATCCATCTTAATTAAAATCTTGGGTCCTAAATATTATGAGGACATAATTGCACTGAATCTGTATATCCTGATCTTGAAAAGCTTTCGAGATGGGAGTGTCTTGTTAGCACTTGGTAGCTACAACGATTGAAGAATCCATGGCAGCGACAGGTAGCATGTAAGAGGTCTCGGTCCCCACAAGTAGCAACAAGAGAAAAACAAAGCCCATTAAAGCTAACCCTAACACTCACTTCCCTTTTGTTAATTCATGCTTTTCTTTTTCATATTTTTCCATTGAGGAAGACAAAAAAGATCAGAGAATAGAGACAGAAAATCATTGTTATCAAAGCTTGTCACTTCTCCTATCACATTTTATCACTGTCTCCCTATCCTGCTTGTTTACATGTGATCTACTTCTCTTTCTGAGCCATTTCTTTGCAACCTTCAATGGCTTACATTAGGCCAGCTAGTGCTGTGTTTATGTTTCTTGGAAACTCCTCCTCTATAGGACACCATGCCTGAGGGGACCAGAAAATTCTCTCTTTTTCTGTTTGTAATTGATACAAATCCTTATGTCTTTAATTCAAAAAATAAAATATATATTAAAAAAAAGTGATCCTCAAGTTACTTATAGGTGTAATCAGCAGCTACTTATTGAACTCACATGATTCTGACATGGCAAAATGATTTTGTTCTTCCCAACCTTTTCGTGTTTTGGTCAATTAAAATAATAATAATAAAATCAAAATAATTATACAAGAGGACAAATATTTAATTTGGCCATTAAACCTCTTTTGGATATTTACTTTGATTTAAAATTAAGTTTTGTATCAATTGAGGACACAAACTTTGAGTTTATAATCAATTTACCCTATTTTTGTTAAAAATATAAAATCTTACAATTTTAAAATATTTAAAATAATTAAAAATTAAAAATTAAAACAGAAAAAATTGTTCAATTACATTGTAGGTGATGGAGAAGAAGAACAGGTATTTAAAAGAACCATTTCAATTTTCACATTTTGTATTTTTTTTTTCCGAACATTTCTTATTATTTTAATATAGAAAACTTCATATTATATTTTATTTTTTTTAGAAAAATGAGGTGAATTAACCTTATACTCGAATTTTATGTTCTAAATTGATCCAAAAGTTAATTTTAGATCAAATTAAACATCAAATATATAAAAAGTTGAGGGATCAAATGAGCGTTTATCCTTGTACTGTATATAGAAGTTACAACAAAGACATGGGCACAAAGAGAGTTAACAGTCATGATTGTGTTTCAAACAATAAGGCAGAAGTTTAGTGTGAGAAATGCTTGGAGAGGGTCTACCATGGATATAAATAATAAACTGTTACTGACAATAAAGCCTAAATACATGCAAACTGTCTCTTTAAGGAACTTTGGAATCAGAGCTTTCTCAGGATTGAAGCATATGTTACCTTTCTTCAGAATTTTTTAGGTTTTTGCCTTCACCACAAGTTTCTTTACTTGATCATTTTGTACACAAGAAAAGAAAAGAATACTGACAAATGGGTAACTGAAAGTCAGACATAAAGGAGAGGAATGTCTTTCTTTGTTTATCTTTATATAGTTAGGAAAAGACTTCAACATATATATTATTTTGATCGTCATTTATATAAATATATATATATGTATTGTTTCGTTCAATGTCATTGTTAGATTACCTGCTTGCTTTTGCAGAAATGACAGTTACCAAATAGATGTTCTTAAGGTGGTTTCTTGCACAAAACTGCTGTCCATTTCATTAGGAATAAAATCTTGCCTAAAGGGTTTCCTTCATCGATAATGGACATGCAATGCAAATTAATAGTTGTCATTAGTCATAACTAATCAAACACTGTCTTATATTGATACAACTAACTAACTTATCTTGATATTAAAAATTGTGAGAAAAACGCATGGGAAATTAAATTTTATTCTCTCTGTAGTATTAAAGAATATTTTTGTCCATGTATCTTATTAATTGCATGAAAACTGAGCAAAATATGCTTATAAAAATGGTTGTGAATTAATTTGAAGCTCAAAATTAAACATTTAAGGGGGGGAAAAAAACAAAATTTCCCTTATCCACAGTTGCTATTTTGAACAAATTGGGTACAAGGACTTCAACTTGCTGCCTGACCTTAATTCAGTGAGACCAAAAAGATAAGCACTTGCAGAGTTGCCGCTTCAACTTCAACCACACCAAGATGTAGACTTCCTTTAATAACGTGGTGGCAACAGAATCTGTTAAGGATTGGATTCTTAGTAATTGATTCAGCACAACAACAACTGTTTAACTGTATATAGTTGAAATATCATTTCTATATATAATTCAAAAAAAGAGACTATCTGATAAAGTTCATTACTGTAATAATCTGAAGCAGAAGAGAACAGATTCAAAACACAGAAAAAAAAAAAAATCCTGTTATTTTCTCAAATTTCAGTAATGAAATACAGAAAAGAACAATGCACTGGAGAGCAAAAAGAAGGAAAAAAAGTAATGGAAGCATGCCGCGAATAAAATAATCTTGGATTCATTGAAACTTTACATATATAAGGGAGAGAATCTTGCTAGTAAATAGCTTTTTCTCCCATAAAAGAAAAAGACAAAAACAAAACTTTAATTTGCCTTCAATTCTTTTTCTCCATAAGGCCAGAATTTCCATGGCCGACCATCCAACATAGTTTCTCCTTCCTCATAAAACCAAATTTACATTATCCTCACAGCAGAAGAGAAGGAAAAAACAAAAGACAAGTGGCTGCTGATCTTTCTTTATTCCTCTCGTTTTCAGTCTTCCCATGTGAATGTGGAGATTGGCACATTGCTCACTTTTCTTTCCCTTTTTTCTTTTGGACAACGGTCTTGATTTATTTCCCTGAAATAAAAATTAACACAGCAACAAAAAGTATCAGAAGCTGATAATTTGCTCAACATCATCATAATGCAACTATGATATAATTATAACAAAAAAATAATAATAATAATAATAAATAATAGCAAGTGAAGATAAGATGTCATACTTACCAATGGATCTTTTGCAATGAAGAACTGCCTCATAAATTGAACTCTCAGAATCACAAGACCTCCGCCAATCATCAACAGAATAAGCTACGCTTATTCTTGGAGATGATTCAGTTGAATATAACCAACTCTTCACCACCTGAACTTTTGTATCTGTATTTTCAGCTCTAGAACTTGATCGGTGACCTCGAATTCTTCTGTACAGCGGCCTCAAAAAATCAAAGTACTTGTGAAATATTTTCTTTGATAATGTCCGGCACCTTCTCAACGAAGAAGAACGAGTTTGCATAGCTGAAACAACTTTTGGTGTATTTGAGGAGGGAGGAAGGGCTGGGCTTGAATCTGAAACCTCATAACTCTCAATTTTCAATGGATCAACGAAGAGGGGCATCACATAACCATTAGAAAAGAGCTCATCAGCATGAACAACAGTAAGCGGAGATTGTGAAATAGGGAAGTCAAATTTAAAATCCTGAGAGTTTCTGAAGAATCTTTTTGAAGGTGTCATTTTTGGGTCCATCTCAATGAAGGAAGCTTCATCGGATGCATCAAGTGAAGCTCTAAGGGAATTGTCCAAGCTTTCCAATGATGGTTTCAGGTTTACTAGCCAGCTATAAGAAAAGCTCTCAATAGAAAGAGGCTGTGAAGTTTCCATGGATGATATTCTAACAAGATATGTAAAGGAAGAGAATGGACAAAGTTTACAACAAAAATATAAGAAATAGATACAGAATAGGAATTAGCAAAAGCCCTCCACCTAACAAATATATCTCCAAAGCATATATGCATGTATGTATATATACCCTGTTTCTAACAATTGGGTGTGTGGCTGTCTGGCAAGAGACAATGAATTTTAATATTTAAAATAGAAGAAAGGGGAAACGGAACAGAAATATGTGACCCCACAAGCATCCATTATGTACTGTTGCGTCAATCCTTTACCCCACTTGTCCTTTATTCATATATATTTTCCAAACTTCACAGAGAAGATGGTTTCTCTTTACAATACAAGCAAAGAAAAGTAAAATTAGAAAAGCTTCATGCATATTCCATTGTTTACAATAAACAGCAGACATGAGGGGGGAAAAAAAAAAACAAACAAAAGAAGGAGGCCAAGTCCTATGCTTTTAAATATGTGTAAGTCTAACAAACCCTATAAATATTTCAAAGAGAGAAGCAATTGGTAGACAGAATCTATAGTGGAAGCAGGTTCATGAACACTCTAATCGTTTATCCAATGAGCTGCTAAAGCAAGAATAAAGGGCATACAACCAGTCTAATGCTTTTGAATGCTTCTCATGAACCTATAATCTATACATTCTAGACAAAATTGTTGATCTCACTTGGCTCCCTTTAATTTTGTCTCCATCTTTTTATAATTCATGCTTCTGATGCTTACATCCTAACTGCAACAGCACAAGTTTGAAATAAAATGTAAAAAATACTTCCAAGATAATATTTTTATTCTAAATATAACTACAAAAAATTAACAAGTGTGAGGTGGTCCCTAAGATGCTTCAAAATTTCTGAATTGGATAATATCTTAACTACACACCAATTTTATCAGGTTATTAAAATAACTTCTATTTCTATCTGCTTTAAATATTAATGCCAACAAACATTATAAAACAAGAAAATCAGAGAAACCCTTGAGCAGAATTAACTAGTGCATCAAGACTTTTGTCCCAGAAGCAGTCCATTTATAACAAAATACACATACATATATATTAATTACTGAGGAGCTGTTACCAGATTTCTAATCTATTTTCAAAACATGCATATCAGCACTATCTATTTTCATAACACATGAAGCAATAGCTCTCAGAATCATGAGATATTTATGTGAAAATAAAAAGGCTTGCAATACCCCAGATTTTACATTATTTCTAGGGGAAGAAGAAAGCTTGGAAGTACCGAGTGAATGTGCAATATCATAAAGATTTATAAACCATATTCAAGAAAACGGTAGTTACAGCCTTCTATTATTCACCTATAATACAACACCAAAACAAATATAATAGGACATCAGATATAAATTCCAGTATACAAATAGAAAAAAATGAAGAAGGAAATATCACTAAGTTCTCTTGGTGTACAAATTTCAAGCTTTTACATCCACTAACAGCCCGAGTGGTGGTGAGTTTGAATCTTCGCAAAACTTAAATGCTTGGGAAAGTAATGTCCTTTTCATTCAAACCAGAACTAATAATTGTTTAATACAATTTTGAAAAAAAAAAAAAGCAGACAAGGGTCCCCAAGGGATGTCGGAGAATGAAATGAACAATGACCAAAGTTTGTGGGACAAAAGCCAAGAATAGAAAGTGACTTGAAACCAATCGGTCCCCCTAAGGCATCTCCTTCAGGACATTAGGCAATTTCTAAAGCATCCAGCGCTCAAAGGAGCAGTTAAATTCCAAATAAATGCTTCTGGTGAAAGATTCTGTTATAACCTAGGAAAAGTTCGTCTCCATTTAATACATCACAAGGAACATGTTATTACTGCAGAATTACAGAAAATTTCCACATGAAAAAACAAATGGGACATCTTGCTGACAAGGCAAAAGTTGAATTTACAGAGAGAAAATCTCTACCGCACATTATCGTACTTTTCCCAACCAAACACAGCAGGTTATCATGAGATCATCGAAAATGTAGTAGTTAGTTACTGGTTAAAAAAGAAAATAACAAAGCAATTAGTTTTGAACAGAACACCTCTTGCTGGTGATAACTTGGACATCAACAAGAAAAAAATAAATCTATATTTAATAACATGGACACTACAACAAAATAAAATTGCAAAATATTTCAATATGAATAAAAAAATAACTCTTTTCGGCCTGGGTAGATTTGTGTGAAAAAACTGTATTTTACCATCTTTATATACAAGATTGATCCCTGTCTTTAACTAATAGCTCTATTATTGCATCTGAACTGATGACCTAGACTATTTATTCATAATGATTTTTCAACAGCAATCAAGGAAATTGGTGACTGAGAACAAAAAAGTAAGAGAAATTGGATTCTGCCCCTAAAAACATCTATTGGAGAAGAATACTCACATATTCCAAACCAAACAAAGCAACCGTTTGATATCAGGCTAAATTGCCTATGATGTCCCTATTAGATGAGTCACCTGGCTACCAACAGATCCTCAAACCATAAAGAATATGGCAGTTTATAGCAGCCCACAGCAGATGTGAAGATTTGTGAATGTAAACCTGGTAAAGCCCTACAAACCAGAACAAGGAGTACATTGGGAAAGGCAATGTGGGTATACCTGATTCAGAAAATTTTACAGAGTGTAAATATCTTTTCATGAGATCTAAAAAGACAAAGGCATTCCAGAGGCTGTGCTATAGCACTAGTGCAAACTTGTTCCTTGATCGTGTAAAGACACCACCGATCAACACTCCAAGAAATATAAATGGCAGCATCCTCTGCATATTGAAGTGAGCCAAAGTAAAAGCGATTGAGCTCATCAAAATTGAGCAACCTTTGTTCATGTATCTGGTCAAAGGAGAGAGAAGGAGCCCACGGAATACAATTTCCTTCCATATAGGGGCATGAATGGAAAGTACAACAGCTAAGAGGATCATTGCCATTCAGTCTTGTTGAACAATTGATTGCTCAATGCTTGAGACTGGGACAGGCATTGTTGGAAGAATGGGCAACAACTAGAGGTTTATCTGAGGCAGCTGAACAGGGGAAACATGAAACACCCTAAATGTAAAGCAACATTAAACTACCACTTCCGTTCAAGGCTAGACTTGAAACAGTCAGGAGGAAGGGGATGACATTTTGCAAGGCAGGTGGAGGATGCACTCCCAGCTAGACCATCAGCCATTTGAGAGGCTATCATAGCTTGGCCTCTGTATGTCAAGGGTTACTTTCTGAACCCTACTGTGTGATCTAAGAATGGAATTCCCAAGATCCTAGGGACCAAAATGAGGCAATCCGAAGTAGCATAACCTGGAAGAGTAAAAGAACATTCTTAACATTTTTTTCAGTTCGTAAAGTGTTGAGAAAACCCATGTAATAGCATTACTCAATGTAAAAAAATAGTGCAAGGATGCATCTGTGCATCTTCATGGAGACTGAAGAAGTCAATTGTTTTATGCCTTGCATCCATCTTTTCACACACTTGCTATACCAAATATGCACTAAGCATTTATCCCATTGGTAAATTTTGAATTGAAAGCTATGGACCAAGAGGAAAAGTTAGATTTCAATTTGATCTCTTAAGATTTGTAGAGTGGCAAGAAAGCTGTAAAGCAGAGAACAGCTGAAATAGCAAGATATCCTGCTTATCAAATGCATCCAGGTCCTGCATGGGCTGTTAAATTTAACCAGCCCCAGCTTTGGTTATTGGATGTTGCATTTATTGGCTATTACATGCGCATAAGGTTCAAAAAGTGCAGCTTCTATTTCACTCTGAAAACTCTTTAAGGATTGAATTTAAATTCAATGTACTTCTTTTCAATCTTAATACTCATAGAGTTTGATTAACTAGTTCATCAGAAAACTAACATCACATTACTTGTAAACAATATATCAGAGATTGAAAAGAATACTTCAGCCTCATTCATCATAAAACCAAAAGAATACTTCAGGCAACATAAACTACAGGTATGAAGAAAAACATTTCATACAAACTTAGTTGAAATCAAATGACATTTATGTGTAACCTCCAAGTGCTTAGAAAATGCAAAACATCAGAGATTGTTTCTTTTTTGTCAAATTACATCACTTCTACCACAGAAACAAAAATCAATTTATAAAGTTCATATTTTAACTCTTTGAATACACCTTCAGCATGTTAAACTATCATTAAGATTTCTAATGACAATTTTAAAGATGCTCCTTTGATTAGACTTCTAAACCAAGAAGTGCAACTAATAGTCATGATAGGAACTTGAAAACCATTGACCATCACAAGGAAAAATAACATCGGAATATCAATATGCAAATAAGCATGGAAAATAGGTCACCTGCAAAATAGGCTTTGCTGTCCATGGGACTGTCTAGAGTTCCACATTAAACACCGAGCCAGCAAACTGAAACAACAAACCAACAAAATTTTAATTTATCTTGCTTCCATAAGTACATCTTCAAAATTCCATATAAAGATGATTCTCGCGAAATTGCAATGTCTTCATAAACAATGGCTACACTGCATATCAATGTACCAGTGATATAAAGAATGAAAATTTCACCTTTTGGAGATTCGAAATCCAAACCTCTTCCCTCTGAATTAGGTTGATCACATTCCAACATCACCGATTCCCTGCAGTGACCTATCATCAAGTAACCCAATTAATCAATTTAGCAGCATTCCTCCTCAGCATGCCGCCATTCAGAAACAAAAGTCTTCTCTGGATTGTATAATTTCATTGGCTCGCCAAGAAAATCATGAAAACCTGCTGAATTTAGTGTAATTGAATATTTCAATTAACAAGTACATTCATTACAAATACTGAGGAAATGATTTATATATAAATGGTAGAAGACGAGCAGCTTATTTGAAGAGCTAGAGAGAGAGAGGGAGAGAGAACCAATGACATAAGAGCTTGTGTTGAGACGTCAAAACCCTAAGACCGGAATTAGTACCCAAAACAGTGGTGTGGGAGGCTCCAGAAAGTGGGAACAGGAACTTGAAGAAGGCATAGTGGCAGAACCAGATTGACAGAACTTCGAAGAGCCAAAAGAGGTAGTATATGATCACATAGAACTGAAATTGTTTGGATACTAGTGACATGAAACGTCAGATGGATGCAGAAAGACGATGAAGAGAAAATATACAGGTCAAAGAAATCTTTCTATTTTTTTTTTTTTTTTTTTTTTTTTTTTTTTTTTTTTTTTTTTTTTTTTTTTTTTTTTTCTTGTAGGTTCGACGAAAAACATGGGCGTCGATACGTGTTCGGTCCTAGTAGTCACCAAACCTCGAAAACTACGTGGCGTTTGAATAAATAACGTCGTTTTTTTTTTTTTTTTTTTTTTTTTTTTTTTTTTTTTTTTGTAGGTTCGACGAAAAACATGGAGTCGATACGTTGTCGTCCTATAGTCACCAAAACCTCGAAAACTACGTGGCGTTTGATAAAAACGTCGTTAAATTATAGATAACAGCAACAAAGAAACAAAAACGCTATGCCTTTTTCAGTTTTTATCGAGGAAAGTTTATAAAGTACAAGAATTGGGGAAGAAAGGAAAAAGAGCGATAGCTCGAAGGAAAGGAGAGATCTTTCTCTTGATTTAGCCCTGCAACTCGTCCCTTACTTCTTTTCTTCTATGAAAGAAATCTTTTTTCTTTCCAATTTTTTTTACCAAATGTGGGCGTTTTCAAGGGTAGATATTGTCAACACGTTGAAATTTTAGTACAAACCCTAAGTAGAGATAATTGCATTTCTTACCTATAATTAATGTAATATAATTCTCGGGTGTCAAACCTTTTGTTGACATTTTGTATCGGTTAAAATTAGTCAGATTTATAGATCGTTAAAACGAACACGGTTTGCATACTTAGTGTAAGTATTAAAAAAAATAAAGTGATATAATTATATGATCCCATCTAATCATTGATTATTTATTTATAATTTAAGCATCTATATTTCAACATGAGATTTTCCTGGCTGGTCGGTATTTATTTATGTTCATTGATCATGACCGCGGACCTTACAATCTTGGGGGAAAAAATAAAAATGGAAACTTCCATCACAAAAAATACATTGCGGCTACAGAATTTAAATTGAAAACCATTACAAGCTCTGTGAACATAACCAGGCAGTACTGATATGTACTGTACAGGCTTATAATTAGTTTATCTATCTATATAGCCGCAGGATAGAATTCTTCCAGTGTGAAAATTTGAATATTTTTCTGGAGGAAATTGCTTCAATTACGTGTCAATAGGAATAAGCTTCTTGTAGGTTGGTAATTGAAAACCACAGTACTACCCTTGATGAAACACGTTCGCTTATTCTATTTTTATCCAAAGCCGACCATTTGATTTGGGTACTTTTTCAAAGTTTAGCTCACCCACCACTGTACACGTGTTATCATTTTGGGTGTTTTCCTTCCCTAATTAAGACATTTAACTATCTTCAATCTGTTCTTTCCCTCCCATAGATAATAATGTATATTTATGCACATGAACTATATTATTTTTTAATTTTAGAAATTTTGCTCTGAGCTACACACTCATCATGGCTGCTTCGTCTGTGCCTGGTTTGGTCATAAGCTTGGCTTTAATTGGGCTAGGTGGTTATTGCATGGCTAGCCAGATTGGTTTGGGTTCGAGACTGTTGGCTCGTGAAGACCGAGCATGGGTTTCTGATAATGGCACATTTGCTTTTGGGTTCACTCAAGTGGACCATCGTCAACTCTTTCAATTGGCAATTTGGTTCGCAGATCTTCCCGGCGATAGAACCGTTGTTTGGTCAGCTAATAGGTACGCTATATATTCATTTTATATATGCATGATATGTATTATCTTCAAAGAATTTGGTTTTCGTAGTTTAATCTTTGAGCAAGTTCATTTTAACTTGGAGCAAACAAAAATGATGATGATGATGATGATGATGATGGGAAAAAACGAAAACCATTCTCCATCTGTAGTCTTTAGCTTTTTGCAGGGAATATATAGCATATATGATGATGACGAATGACATTTCAATAATCCATCTATTATATAGAAACTCTCCTGTCACCAAAGACGCATCTCTGGAGCTGGACGCCACTGGCAACCTCGTCCTCATCGATGGAAACACCACCATATGGATGTCAAACACTTCCGGCACCGGGGTTGAAACGGCAGTCATGACAGAATCCGGCAACTTCATCCTCTACACAAACAACAATCATACTGCTTGGCAAAGTTTTGAACACCCATCGGACACTCTCCTTCCAAACCAACCATTAACAGTCTCTGTTGAACTAACATCGCCAAAATCGCCTTTCCATGGTGGATATTACTCTCTTAAAATGCTGCAACAACCCACCTCATTAAGCCTTGCATTAACATACAACTTGCCTGAATCATACGACGCGGCGCCTGAATCTTACGCCAATTATTCATATTGGCCTGGACCTGACATTTCCAATGTTACTGGCGATGTTGTTGCAGTATTAGACGAAGCAGGAAGTTTTGGAATTGTTTATGGCGAATCATCTAGTGGAGCAGTTTATGTGTATAAAAATGATGGAGATTATAATGGCTTAGCTTCTGCTACAAATCAGTCAACTCGATTGAGTATCCTTCGGAGATTAATACTTGAGACGAATGGGAATTTACGTTTATACAGATGGGATAACGATGTGAATGGGTCTCGCCAGTGGGTACCTGAATGGGCAGCAGTGTCAAATCCTTGTAATATTGCTGGTGTTTGTGGTAATGGGATCTGCAATTTAGACAGAAGCAAAACTAATGCTTCTTGTACATGCTTGCCTGGTACTTCTAAACTTGGCAATGGAGTACAATGCTCAGAAAATTCATCATCAATTGGAAAATGCGATTCGCCAAATGTAAATCACGCATCAGATTTTCGGATTTCTCCTGTGCAGCAAACTAATTATTATTTTCCTGATTTTTCAGTTATTGCTAATTATAGCGACATTCCTACTGTGTCTAAATGTGGTGATGCATGTTTATCAGATTGTGAATGTGTAGCCTCTGTTTATGGTCTTGATGAAGAGAAGCCTTACTGTTGGTTATTAAGGAGCCTAGAATTTGGTGGGTATGAGGACCCTGGTTCTACTTTGTTCGTTAAGATTAGATCAAATGGGTCGATGGTTCCAGATGGGGATAAAAGCGGGTCAGGGGAAAACAAAGGGAAGGTCTTGGTGCTGCCGATAGTTCTTAGTATGACATTTCTTATTGGCCTCCTCTGCTTATTATTATACTATAACGTTCATAGAAAAAGATCTTTGAAAAGAGCAATGGAGAATTCGTTAATTCTTTCCGGCGCTCCTATGAATTTCAGCTTCCGTGACTTGCAAATTCGGACTTCCAATTTCTCACAGCTGCTTGGAACAGGTAAATTATACTTTTAATATTGGCCCCTTTGCTGTAGAATCAGAGGAACTAAAACAGGGGAAATTATTTTGCAGGAGGATTTGGAAGTGTATACAAAGGAAGCCTTATTGATGGGACTCTAATTGCTGTGAAGAAACTAGACAAGGTTTTACCTCATGGGGAGAAAGAATTTATTACTGAAGTGAACACCATTGGCTCCATGCACCACATGAATCTGGTCCGTCTATGGGGTTACTGCACAGAAGGATCACATCGGTATGCAGTATAAATATGTATAATTTTGCTTTTATTATCCTTATTCTTTTTATTTACTCTTGAAAAATTGTTCATTTGGCAGTCTTCTTGTTTACGAGTTCATGAAAAATGGATCATTGGACAAGTGGATCTTTCCTTCGAATAATTCCCGAGACAGATTGTTGGACTGGTCTACTCGTTTCAGTATAGCCATTGCTATTGCAAAAGGGATCGCATACTTCCATGAACAATGCAGAGATCGTATAATACACTGTGATATCAAACCAGAGAACATTTTATTGGACGAGAATTTCTGCCCTAAAGTATCAGATTTTGGACTAGCCAAATTGATGGGTAGAGAACACTCACATGTTGTTACTATGGTAAGAGGCACCAGAGGATATTTAGCACCAGAATGGGTCAGTAACAGGCCTATAACAGTGAAAGCTGATGTTTATAGCTACGGAATGCTACTGCTGGAGATAATTGGTGGTCGAAGAAACCTCGACATGTCTTTTAGTGCAGAGGATTTCTTCTACCCCGGATGGGCTTACAAGGTAAAAAAAGAAAAAGTCAGCTAAAATAACCAACGGCCAACGGCTGTCAAAACAGCTAATTTTATCGAATATATCCTTAATCATTTGTTTAAAATGTGCAGGAGATGACAAATTTGACGCCTTTGAAAGCAGTGGATCAAAGGCTAAACGGGGTGGTTAAAGAAGAAGAGCTGATGAGAGCACTGAAAGTAGGGTTTTGGTGCATTCAAGATGAAGTATTTATGAGACCTTCAATGGGAGAAGTGGTGAAGATGCTAGAAGGGTCAATGGAGATTAACATACCTCCAATGCCACAAACTGTACTGGAACTAATAGAAGAAGGGTTAGATCATGTGTATAAGGCCATGAAAAGAGAACTAAATCAGTTCAGCTCTTTCACAATCACTAGTCATGATCCATCATCTCAGGCTACTTGTAGTTATTCAACAATGTCGCCTAGATAGCCTTCAGGATAAAGGTTTAACACGCAAATTTTGTTTTCCAATGGAAAATGCTCGTGCTAGGAAAAAAAAAAAAACCACATTCTTATAATTATTCAATTAACAAAAGGAATTAAAACCGAAGCAGGTAGGATTATAAGTCTTTTCTCGCTATTATTGTATCAACTTTAATTGCTTTTGCAATTGTAATATCATTGGCCTGTCTTTTTTTTTTTTTTTTTTTTTTTTTAACCCAGTAGGAAGTGTTTGGCGTGAGCAATGCAAGATGAAGTACTTTATGAGACCATTCAATGGTGAGAAGTGGGGTGAAGTACGATGCTAGGAAGGGTGCAATGGAGATTAACAATACCCTCCAATGCCACAAAATATGGTAAAGCTGGAAAACTAATAGAAGAAGGGTTAGATATGTGTATAAGGCCAGTGAAAAGAGAACTAAATCAAGTTCAGCACTCTTTCACAATCACGTAGTCATTGATAGCATCCATCCTCAGGCTACTTGGTATTATCAACAGATAGTGCTAGATAGCCTTCACAGGATAAAGGTTTACAACGCAAATTTCTTGTTTTCCATGGAAAATGCTCGTGCGTAGGAAAAAAAAAAAACCACATTCTTATAAAATGATTTTCAATTAACAAAGGAAATTAAAACGAAGCAGGTAGGCATTTAATAGCTCCTTTTCTCGCTATTATATAGGTAATCAACTTTAAATTGCTTTTGCAAATTTGTAATATCATTGGGCCTGTCTTTTATTTTTTTTTTTTTTTTTGTTTTTTTTTTTTTTTTTTTTTTTTTTTAACTCCTAAACTCTAGCTGTCACCCAAGAAATTTTCTGTATACAAAAGGAAATTATTATAAGCTGTAATTTGTTTAACATCTAAATCTGTGATGAGATTTTGAACCATTATCATGTGAGAGTGAGACCTAATATAATAATTTCCTGCTTGTGTAGCGCATCGCCCATCACTTGCAAACAAGCTCTTCCATAAACTCTAATTTTCTGATTTTGACCAGCCCGTTAAGGATTTAGCTGGGTCCCCGAGTCTTTAGCTTAGTGGGCTTACTGGCCCATTCATCTAATCACCACGTCCTGAGTGCGTCATTCAGTATATTTTTAATTTTAAGTTTTAATTATTTATTTTGTTCAAATGAGCTACAATATACAATATTTGCTTCCAATATAGCACCTAAATCTTTTAAATAATATTTTTCTGACTAAAAGTATTGCAAAGTCATATTTTTAGTCAACGAAAGCATGAGATCTAAATTTAAAATGCAAAATAATATAAATTTAATTAAATGAAAATTTTACTAAAGAAAAAATGACATGATAAAACCGATTAATTCGTATCCATTCAATTAATTTATATTTATTTATTTATATTTTAATTATTTATAATTAAATTATAATTTAATTATTTATAATTATTATAAATTATTTAATTGATATATATTATTAATATAATATTGATTAATATTTTTTACAATTCACGATTAAAGCATTGAACTCAACTGTTAAATCAACGATCCCATCCACTTCTTCAAAAAAAAAAAAGAAAAGAAAAAAAAGAGTCCATCTTCCTTGGTTCTTTGCCCTGTCCCGAGGGTAAATAACAATGCCCAAAAGAATAAAAAAATAACTTGCCGGAGCGTACGTTAGCGGGACAACTTACAACGGAAAAAAAAAAAAAAAAAAAAGAAAAGAGAAAAAAAAGCGCCAAAAAAAAAAAAAAAAAAAAAAGAAAAGAGAAAAAAAGCGCCAAAGCTCATTCACCTGTCGCTGGACAAATCCCCTAATCAAGCGATCACATCAGTGCAAAGACACGATAAATTGAAGGTACAACTGACTGACCAATTGCCTTACTAATTTTTTTCAGTTCTTTATGCATCAGTAATTCAATAGCCTAAACCCTAGATTCCTGCGTTTCCTCTTCATCTCTTTAGGTCTTTGCTCTTTAATATGGAGAATTTGCAGTACGCGGAGGAGTTGGTGAGAGAGTTCCTAGTTTTTAGAGGCTTTACTAGCACTCTACAAGCTTTCGAGATGGAATTATCTACCGATATTGGTAAAGGGTTTCAAGTGGATAAGATATTAGACTTAATCTTCTCCATTTACATTCCCAAATTTCAAGCAGATAAATTGGTCGGTCTACTTGGTTTCTTCGAGCAGTGTTTTTCTTCGTTGTCTGAGACTGTACTTGTTTCTACTTTATCGAAATTGAAGATTTCTATTCTCCGTTATTATATTGTTTATGCGATGACATCAGGAAGGAAAGATAAAGTTTTGGAATTTTTTGGAATGAATGGGAATGATTTGTTGCAAAGAGGTGGTGATTGGACTCCATGGTTTGGTGGGTTTGTGATGTCTCGCGTTTTAGTTTTTATTTTAGTTTTGATGGACTTGTTTCTCTTGGATTTATTTTATCGAGCTTGTCTTGTAGCTATTCCTTATTTGAAGAATCCTAGCTTGGATCCCCAGTTTCGAATTTATTTCTCCAAGGAATGGTATGAAGCATTGCGCCTTTCTGTGAGGAATTTTTTCAGTGAGATCTTCAATGGTACTCATATCCTTTTGAATGGATTCTTTCTGGGAATGCTTTGCAAGTTTGTTACTTGGTTACACTTGCTATGTCTTATAACAAGTTCCTTAACGCTTCTTGTCTTTTAGTTTCATTTTCTTCTATCTTAAATAATTTTGTTTCGTAAAATTTGCAAAACAAAATTTTGGGGAGGAGGAGGAGGATTGTGTTTGATTATATAAATGCAGCATCCTTTTGTGTTCAGTTGTTTATTCACCGGTGAAAAATGCAAATCCTTTTGTGTTCCAGTATTTATTAACAATCTTATTTGCTTCAATATAAACATGTGGTTTGGAAAATGTTTTTATCTGAGGCCTTTTCACTGTAAGGTTTTATTGTGATCTGGTTGGCGATCAAGGGTGCTATCATTTTATTGCGGGCTTCACGGCCTAAGGTGCACTTTCAGCCCGCTGCAAATGTATATATTACCAGTCTCTTGTCAACTTCCACAAATTACCAACCCATTCATCTCTTAAAGAACTGCCTGCTTCTCCTTGTTGTCATACGGGAAAGTTGTTGCATGTTAAGTATTAAGTTGTGTTTTTTCTTCATAGTAAACTGATGTTGCCAATTCATTCGGAGGATATGTCCTTAACTAAATCACGCATCCCTGCTCTGTTAAAGATCAGTTCAGAAAAGAACACAATCAACCATCTCAAGAAGGACATCAAGCAGTTAAATCTCAAGCTATCACAACTCCAGGCTTTATTAGAGGAAAAAGAGGCTCAGTTGTGCCAGTTAAAGAGGTAGGACTGATATGATTCTCTTGAGACTATGATATTTAGTTACAGGAATATATAATCCGAACTGATGCTTTTTTTGTGACTTAGTAATGCCAACAATTCTGCATCACCGTTGGATGCTAATGTTGGTGAACCCGAGAATTCAACTCCATCAAGTGTTGAGCATGGAGAAAATCCTATGAGAACTGTGGACATTTGTGCTTCTGCTACTCCAAGTAAAGGTGGAACAGAGATGGCTCAAGAAAGGGCTGTAGGTGGACCTGCCAAAGACATACCAGCATTTGGCATGTCCAAGCCTGCAAATGATTCGATCTCTAGGATTGACATTGAATATGGGAAAACTAGTGATGCGACTCAAAAGATCGATATAGACATGTACAATGGTGGGTAACTATTCTATATAACATCTCTTTCATGAATTGAATGTACTGTAATAATTCTCTGACCATCAGAATTTAAATGCGGTTGAGTGACTATCTTCCAAAATTGTAAGATCAGCTTGTATAATAGGCTCAGGACAAGAATGGCAATTTTGAGTTATATTAGTGGAAAGATGAGCAAACTTAATGTCATTATGTCAGTGAGGGAAATACCTTGATTTGTGAAAGTGCGTGTAACTAAAAACAAGAGGATGTTATATATAGTCATTATTCAGTGAGGGAAATAACCTTGAATTTGGTGAAAGTGCGTGTAACTAAAAAACAAGAGGATGTTAATATATATATTATATATATATATATATACATTTGTGCTTGTTACAGTTACTGAAATTTGATGAAAGCCACTATGTTCTTACCAAATATATGTTTGTTGCCTCTGATTCAATCTGACTTTAGTTACTTGAGTAGTGTGGCTGGTTGTCCCCCGATTTTTGAGCTTCTTGCTCGTTGAGTACCTATTGAATCTCATTTTGCAGACAATGGAAGTGAAATACTGGGTGAAGTCGAATTCCCTGAAGTGCAAGTAGAATTCCAGGTGAAATTACTCATGGAAAGTTGAAAATGATATCAGATTCTTCTTTGGTCTTGCAACCTGATCAAAACCTCATTTTTTAGGAGACGTTTTTAGGCCATACGAGTCCAATAAGTCGATGCCGCTTCTCTGCATCTGGGAACAATATAGCCAGTGCTTCTGTTGATGGAACAGTCAGGTATTTATTGTGAAAGTAAGCAACACAATGAAATAGGTTAGTCAGTTTATTTGCATTTTTGTTTAACTGCATCATTGTTTGCTAACTTCCAAATTGCATTTTTGCCTTTATCCATTCGTTTTTTGACAAAGAATATGGACATATGACTCGTCAACTTCGACATCTAGAAATGCAACCATATATTGTGGGGCAGAGATTTTGTCTCTTGATTGGGAATGTAAATCTGATCGCCTGGTATGTATTTTGTCATTTTCTATGAAATACATATTATTTGATGGATAATTTCTTCACCATACGGGATAATTTTGTTGTCTCTTGATTGGGAATGTAAATCTGATCGCCTGGTATGTATTTTGTCATTTTCTATGAAATACATATTATTTGATGGATAATTTCTTCACCATACGGGATAATTTTGTCTCTTGATTGGGAATGTAAATCTGATCGCCTGGTATGTATTTTGTCATTTTCTATGAAATACATATTATTTGATGGATAATTTCTTCACCATACGGGATAATTTTGTCTCTTGATTGGGAATGTAAATCTGATCACCTGATAGATTATTCTATTGGTAATTCTTGCTGTTAAGTTCTGTTTTTCTTTGTCTACAAAAGCTTCTCATAGGCACTGCTGATGGAGGCATTAAGGCATGGAATGTTGATGCAAAGCGAGTTGTTTGTGATCTCAATACAAGTGAAGCATTTCCCAGGTGCTTAGTTAGAAAATCGGTCTCTAGAATCCTGGTCTTCCTTCGTACTTTACTTATTATTCTTGCTCTTTTCAGTGTCTTGGATCTAAAATGCAGCCCTGTAGAACCAGTTTTTGTTTCTGCAGCAGCATCTAAAAGGTAATCCCTTTTAGTTTTTTTGTCAAATGAGAGTCTTGAAATATTGAATTATGTGCTTGAATAGAGATATTTCTGTGTTTAATGCTCTTATTTTATTGAGTATGATATGTTAGCTAGCAATTAAGCTCCAGTTGGTAATAAAATTTAAACCAATTTGATTGGAACTATCTCTTCTTGATTACTAAGGAAAAAAAAAATTCGAATCCTTTTGGGGAATTGATTTGACCCTCCTCCTCCCTCTATTCTCAAAAAGAAAGAGACAAAGAAGATCAATCTTTCTTAATTAAGTCGTAATCCTGAGTTATTTGGGTGGGCTATATCCATCTTTTCCCTCTGTTTGGCGGCCCTATCTAGGGTCGTGAGAAAATGCAATAGATGCCATACCCACGACAATTGCTTTTTCTTTTTTTCTCTTATTAGTTATTATTGGTGTTTCTCTCTCTTTAGAGCTAGTACTTTTATGAATCAGTGCCATTTAACATGTTTAGTTGCTTCAATGGAGGATTTCTGTTATTTCATGGTGGTTTAATATTTGAGTAATTCAACCCCAATCTCATGTTTACTTTAGAATGCAGTATTTTCATTTTTTTCTTAAAAATTCTCTCCTCCCTCCCCCTCTGTACATTTTAGCGCTAGAGATTAAGAGTAGCTTATTATATTTGCAGGCATGGCTCAAGCTATCTTGACAGTTTAGGATTTGCTTCCTTAACAGTATGGAACATGAAGACATGGAGAGCTATGGTATGTGCTTTTTTATTTCAGATCATTGTTTTTGAGTGCTGTGACACATCATGTATATGTTCCTTAATGAATTTCACATTTAATGAAGACAGTTCTTCCTCTTGGTGAAGATCCACCTGCAATTACTTCCCTATGCTTCAATCACAATGGAAAGATTTTAGCAGCAGCTGCAACTGATGGAATGATCCACATGTTTGGTATCCTTTTATAATTTTATGGCCTAGTAATTTTACTTTTATTTGTAGTCAATTAGTTAGTTATCAATCCCAATATCCCTAGTTTTAACCTCAATCCCCCAAAACCCAAAAAATAATTTGCTACATTGCCCTTCTGCTCAAAGGAGTGTACCCCAGTGAAAATAAATAGGTGCCTTTGTATGTATAGTTGAGATGTTCTGTGCTTGCACATGCATTCTGCACCTTAACTAGCCAAAGACATGTCTGCCGGTCTACAAATTACTGGGTGGCCTGCACATGATTCTGCTATAAATTCTATTCATTTTGGGCCAGATGAAACTAGCATTTTCAGCTTGGGCTCAGATGGGAAGGTAATTGGCATCTCATATATCATTTTTAGCTTGAAGCTTTGCTATTCGTTGTTTACCATTCTGTTTATTCTTTGGACTAACATATCTTCTTAACAAAGTGGTTCTCGATATGGTTACATGTCATTGTGCTTTTTTTTTCACCAAATATGCATAATGTAATTACAATTATTTTGGTGGTGTCAGATTTTTGAATGGAGCTTGCAAAACCAAGGTCATGTCCTTTGGTCAAGGAGTTGTAGCAGGTATGTTGATATATAATCTAGGCTTTTAATAGAAATAATTCCCATAACTATTGTGTAATAAGTGGATGTTGATTGTGTTAACAAATGTTGCTGTATTAGGCGTCTGTTTATTTGGCTTAGCATGGCTTTTAGCTGCATGTTTGGTATTTTAGCTTGAGTTATAGAAGGAAGTTCAAAGTGGATTTGATTCTGTAGGTTCTTTGACCCTGAGACCTCAAAATATTGTAGACATGAAATGGCTTTGGATGCCAATGGGAGGAGACTAGTAGTAACATCTGGTGCTGTAAGAGCGCCCATATATCAGGTGAATCTCTCGCTTTCCCCTTTTCAGGACCTAGTAAAACTATGCCTAATACTTTTGATCCATGGACCACAAACTGGGAAATATTGTAGACATCCTTTTAGTTGCTAAATATGTATGTTTGATAACAGTCGAGGTCTCTGCGATTAAATATTTTACTTTGTTAACTTGGCTCAGGTTCGGGGTCATATGAATGGTTTGAGAACTCTTCCACACAGTGCAGCTATAACTACTGTGGATTGGCACCCAACTTTACCCATTTTCTTGACTGGTTCAGCTGATCACTCGGTTCGAGTGACATCATTATCATAATAATCCTCTCTTTTCTTTTCTTCCAAAGACACTTTTTTTCTTTACTATCAATTAGGATGCTAGAAATCAATATAGTGCGAAATGTTTTGAATTTCAGCATTGATCTTGGAACAGTAATTTTTCCCCCCCATTTTGAAAGGGGAGGGGAGGGGAGGGGCATGTTGTAATTTAATCAACTCTGTATTTGTATTATAAATATTATAATGTAATATTCATTCTCATTCTTTGACGTAAATTTGTTACGTAATATTATTATGCAATTCTGAGAAACTATTCCAAGAACCAAAATATCAGCAAAATGTATGGTTAAGACTTATTAACAGATGTCAAAGGAAAAATATAATGAAATACTTCGAGGAGGATAATATAATATCACATTATTACCTACCCAGGTCCTCAAGAAATAGAGGTGGTGCTAGCACTGAAATCTTCACCTTTTGATCTTTGCCATAGCTGTTCCTGTTGTCACAAAGACAAAGCACCAGTCCCTTACTTTGTTCAGGAACTGGAAACAGGCTTCTCTCCAAGAAGGCCGTAGCAGAAAAATTCCTAGAACTCCCCAAAAGCCTACACTGAATCCGGATGCCAAACCACCGTACAACCATTTCCTGAATTCATCATCATTTTCTTCATCTCCCTCGGTATCATCAATTGTTTGTACAACTTGAGGCTCATCATCTCCCGGACATTTTTCTGTCACTGGAAGACCGCATAGTTCCTTATTACCAGCAAATGCTGAACCATCAAAGCTCTGAAGCTGAGTGCTTGTTGGAATTCTGCCTGACAAGTTATTGTAGGAAATGTCGAGGTAACTTAAAAAATTTAGCTTGGTCATGCTGTCGGGAATTGCTCCTGATAAGTTATTTCTGGATAAATCAAGCCACTGCAATTGCTTCAATTGGTCAATTTCTTGAGGAATCATTCCAGTTAAATCATTTCTTGATAAGTTCAGTGCAACCAGGGCTCTAAGACTTGTTATTTCTACTGGAATTTCCCCAGATAATTTGTTTCCTGCAAGATTAATGATCCTAAGCAGTCCCAGACTTTTGTCAAACTTGTATGCTCTTCCTTTCCATCCAATCAATGCCCTATCCACGTAACTGCCTATAAAACCATTATCTTCTCCAGAAGATGAAGGAAATTTGTAACCATAAATATTATTCTCGACTAATTCTTTCCTTGTCATTTGAGTGAAATTCCTGAAGCAATAGGGTATGGTTCCTGAAATGTTGTTGAGAGAAAGGTCTAACAGCCGAATATTTTGTAACCAACACAGTTTGATTGGTATGCTTCCATGAAACTCATTAGACTGTAAACTAAGAAAGGCCAAAGACTGCTGGCTTTCGCCAATCCAGGCAGGTACTCTTCCAGATAAGCGGTTATAACTAAGGTCTAAAAATCTCAACAAACTGCAATTCTTTAATGATAAAGGTATTTCTCCAGAGAAGCTATTATTACGCAAACCAAATGTTTTAAGCAAAGATAGAGACCCCACAGAGGTTGGAATTTTTCCTGATAAATAGTTATCTGCCAAGTTTAGAATAAGTAATTGTTGCCCGTTCATGAAACAATTATCAGGAATGGCTCCGGATAATAAATTATCTGAGAAATCAAGGAAAACCAAAGTCGGACCAATAATTTTACATATAGAAGCGATTGAACCCAAGAACTTATTTTTAGAAAGATTTAAGGTTGAGGTGTTATATGGAAGGCGTGGCAAAGCACCTTTAAACAGGTTTGAACTCAAATCAATTCCAGGGTTACCATAGAATTTCGAGGATAGATCTGGCACCATGCCACTTAGCAGGTTGTGAGATATATTTAGGTAAAAAAGTCTTGGAGGTAAGTTCCAAAACCAGTTAGGAACAGCATCTGAAATTTCAGCTTCTGAGATATCAAGAACTGAATAGTTCTTTTGGGTTTGAAGCCATTTCGGAAAATGAGGCCCTAAATTGCAGGACCAAAGTCCTATTATATCCAACTGAAAAGGAGGAATCCAGTCGGGTTTGAATTTCAAAGCAAGAGGGTTATCATTAAAGTACAACTCTTTTAATCGGGAAAGCTTCGAAAAATGAGCTTCAGTAATCACACCTTGGAAAGAATTATGGGAAGCATAAAAATACTCGAGCTTAGACAGCTGTCCGAAACTTTCTTTGATAGTTCCATTTAATAGATTTTCAAAAATGCATAACATCTTCAATGAAGGAAACATAGTAAGATCAGGTAATGATCCTGCTAATTGATTGCCAGCCACATCCAAAACAAGAAGATAGGAGATATTGCTGAAAAATTCTGGAAAAGAGCCATTTAGCTGATTACCATAGACAAACAGTTCTTTTAAAGAAGGAAATTTTGTAATATCAGGTAATGAACCATAAAGATGATTCATTTCTAACTTCAGAATCTTCAACGAGTTCTTTGCGCAGCCAGACAAGTGTTCAAGAAACACAGGTAGCTGTCCTGTAAGATTGTTGTTAGACAGGCTCAGCGTATGTAAACTACAGAAATTTCCAAAAAAGTTAGGAATTTTGCCTTCAAGTTTGTTGTGGCTGACATCAAAAGACTGTAAGCTTGAGAGATTCCTAAGCTGATATGAGAGACTTCCAATAAAACCAACATTGGAGATATTCAAATATCTTAATTTACTAAAAGAACCATTCAAATTTGGGAAAAAGGTCCCTCCAAAATCATTGCCGCTAAGGTCCAAATAGTTAAGATGTTGTAATTCAAGCAATGAATTACTAATCTTACCTCTCAGGGGCTTGTTGTTAGTACCAGCAAGCTCTGCTACTGGAAGATCAAGAATGATGATGTGTCCAGTTTGGTTGCTGCATCGAATCCCTTTCCATTTGCAGCAATCTTTCTTCTCTTCTTCACTACCCCAAGAAGAGAGATGACCATAATCATCTATAAGCTCTTCTTTAATCTGGAGGAGTGCTTGTCTCTCACTCTCTATGCACTGAATATGACCGTCTCCAATTCCAAGAACTGGTTTCAAGTGCACAACAAGCATAAAAGCGGCACAAAGAAGGCAAAAGGACTTTGTATGCATCATGATCATGGAAAAAGCAAACAAGGTGGAATTGTAAGCAACCATAAACTTTCGTATAGAGAAAAAGAGGGAAGTTGAGTTTGTGATATCCATAGCTTAACTATATATATTGCAAAAATTTCCTAAGTTTTCATGTGGGAAAGCAAATAGAGAGGGTCAAGGTAAAATTTCTTATTTTCAAAAGTTGGTATTTGACCAAATTAAAAAACGACAAGAGAAAGAAAACCAAGTGTTTTTGATGTTATGAAGAAGTATATTATTTTCCCATTGGCCAGACGACCGTGAAGAACTGAATTGTACTGTTCTTTTCAAGTCTATATAAACGAAAATGCAAGAAAGAAAAAAGGGGTTGCTCGCGTCGAGTCTAAGCCTACAATTCCTTGAAATATCCTTTTTCTGTTAATTTTCCAGGATGAAAAAGAAATCGTTTCAAACTAAAACCCGCGGCGTGTTCATCATGCCGTTCGGCTAATTTGATTTTAAAGCCCACAGTAATAGAAGAAAGCCTAAACTCATGGAGGCCCATTAAATATATCCTATTGCATGTGATTCTAAAATGCTGTTTATCTCGTGGGAGTAATCTGATCAAGAGCCCAAATTAGAGATAAGCATAGGAAGGAAACGCGAATCAAACCGCAGACAGCACATGACGTTTTTGTCCTGTTGTAGAAAAAGGACCGAGTTAGTAAACTTGCCCAAATTCAATCCATTGGATTACCGTTGATCAAATTAATTAAAGTATAATATATTTTTTAAAAAACTATTCTTACTTTATATAAATTTTAACTTGAATATGTAATTACCGAAATTATCATTTTTCAAGCTAGATTTACATGGTTTTGGTGTAAGATTTTATATTTTATTTCGTCTTAGCCACATTATTTAATAAATGAAAATGACCTTTTATACGAGAGAAAAAAAAAAAAAAAAAAACTGAAAAACTGATCCTACCAACCGGACCACCCCCGCCGGGGACGGCCGCTACGTCCACGCTAGTTATTGTCACTAGTTGTTGAAACATAGGTACGGATCGTTAGGGTAGGCTACATTATCCACGCAGATTCCTCAACCTACCTAGGATAGCGGATCTACCCGTGATCAAAATTTATATAACCCACAGATACTAGAGTACTCTTATTTATATTAAGGAAAAACTAATCCTCTTACGTTGTATTATAACACTTTCTATACCCTTTGAAAACGTCTGTATATTACCCCCGAACTTAATCATTTTTCAGCCTAATGTGTACATGGTTTTGGCGAACCTGTAAGATTTTATATGTTTATTTCGTCTTTGAGCCACATTCATTTAATAATTTGAAAATGACCTTTATACCGAGAGGAAAAAAAAAAAAACAAATACTTCTAGATAAAAAAGCAGACCTATAACAATATAAGCAAGAAAACGAGTGATTTCAACTATTAAAGTACTCGAATTTGAGCGAAGCAGAGAAGAGAGACTATTTGATCGTCTTCCGTTTCAGTCCATCATCAAGTCGTTCAATTATTACCATCCTCAGCTTTTTCCTAAGTGGATAAGGGGTAGGTTTCATAGTTATTGTCCGACTCAGTTGCCAGTTCAGCATCAGTCATCCCCGAAATCTGCTCCAAAAAAAAAAAAAAAAAAACTATAGAAAAAGCAACTACACAATATAAGAACGAGTGATTTCAACTATTAAAGTACTCAATGGGAGAGAGAGAGAGAGAGCTATTGATGCTTCGTTTCAGTCATCATCAACGTCGTCAATTACCATCCTCAGCTTTCTCCTAAGTGGAGTAGTTCTAGTTGCCGACTCAGCTGCCAGTTCAGCATCATCATCCCCGAAATCTGCCAGTGCATCTTCTTCCATTTCTTGATGTGCTAAATAATGCTTGTCTGAGGTATTTTTACTGATGCTACCAATTCCTTCAGGTTCTGAAGCATCTTCCTGTCTGATGTCGAGAGCTACGTCCTCGTAAATCCTTTCAACGTCCCTAGATAACAGAGGCAAGTTCAACATCATATTTATGTAACCAAACAACAAATGATTCTGAGAATAATTTATTAGCCGTAGCTCCTCATACCGCTTTATTTTTTCAGGTAAAGGATATACCTTTCTGCAATATCTTCAGGAACTCCATCACTCGAGTTTTCCGTATTAGATGTTGCGATCATTTTACTTTCTGCTTTTGGATGCCGCTTCCTCATTTTACTGCGTCCAAAAAGATAAATCAAGTAGAACAGGATGCACATGAGTAAAACAGTGCTAAGCATAGATATCAGCGTGATTAGCATACAAAGCAATACCTATAGGAAAATCAAAAAGTAATAACACTGCATAACCATGCTTAAGAATTATTCCCAAGCACCAACTCAAATTGAACACAAAAGAAAGAAGAAAAACACACCGATTACAATACATTTCCCCCAGGGGCATTATAGAAGTGATAATTCATCAAAGAAGAGACTTCTCTTTAACATCTCAACAAAAGCAACCATTGAATAAACACTGGTATGCAACTAAATTACAGGATGAACCAGTATTTTTTTGGCTGATGAAAAGGAAATCATTATACAAGCATGTAATTACCGAATGGTGACACAAAATAAAGAAAATTTTACAAAACATGGCAAGCTAATCTTTAAAAATTTTATAAAAAATAGCGGGGACTAATAGCCAAAAATAGAACATATTATCACAAATCCTGCAGTATAGAAAATTGTGCTTTTGGGAAGAGAAAGAGGTTTACCTGAGAACAGAATCTAAAATTTCATTATCAGATAAATCTCCCTCATTATTCTGTGCCTCCTTAAACAATCTGTCATCACCTTTGCTTTTATGCCTGAAAATTGAAAAAACAAATCATTTGATCCCTAATTGAGCTTATCTCAACTTGTAGTGCTATAGGTAATCAAACTTTGGAAGAAAATGAAAAGAACATCAGGTTTGTGAAATTCAATCAGCACAGCCTGAGCCAGACTGCTTTTGTTAGTATCAACAATTGGAACTTTTGTTAGTTTAAAATGAAAGGGTGAGTTTAAAATGTTGGAACTTTTGTTAGTATCAACAATTGGAAACAAATGAGCATTATAAAGAATAAGGCATGACAGCTTATTCCATATTTTGCCTGTTGTCTGTGACACACGTTAGTAGAAAGATAGAACGAGATACATACCTTAGAACAGAGCTTAGGAGTTCATCATCAGAGTTGCCGGATCTCTCTCCTGTGTTGGACAGCTCACTTAAAGATCTACAATTATCCTTGTTTCTTTTCCTAAAATTCAAAGTAATGCCCAGTCAAGTCAATTTCAAGCAGCACACAGCTTAAATTTACCAGTATGTCTTAGCAATTCATGAAATAGCCAGCAAAGTCAACAAAAATTCTCAAGAAATTGAAAAAACACTATGCTCATTTTCACCACATATACACAGTGAAGCAAAGATCTGCTTTAGCCAATGGATAAGAGAAAAATCAAATGTCACTTGGAATAAAAAATAAATGATTATAAGGCTATGCACATGTTGGAAAAGGATCAACCACCTTAGGTTAAGAAAATATCACAAGTAATCATAGCGGGTTATGAGTTTTCCATTTAACTCAAGATTCCATTCCATAATACTAGCAACAGTTCATGAAGGAGGGACTTCACCAACTTTCAATATACAAGACCAAGCGCCACAACCACCTAGAACTAACACAGAGAAACCTCCTCAGGATAAATTATAAGATCATACTCAAAAGTATAGTGAAAGTCCAAATTTTGTAATTGTACACACCTCTTCCTCAACGATAACAATGTTTCATCATCGGAATCCTGTCTTTCTCCAATTGAAAATTCATTTATTTCCTCATCCCTTAGATGTAATTTTGCTTCAGACTTCTTCTGACGAGGAACGCGCAGGCCAAGTTGCTTGAGCTTTCGGGAAACTTGTGCAGCTGTGAAAGAATTATCAGCAGCCAGTGCATTTGCAATCATATAGCTGCACCTTTTATGCTCTTTAAACCTGAGCGCAGTATGGAAAGTTCAAGTCAGAAGATTAAGAAGAAAAAGAAAAATCAAAGATAGAGCAACAATAATTTTGTCTTGCAAATTTAGCATCTTATGAGATGGAGAGAAAATTTAAGAATATGCTATAAAACAATAACCAGGATTAAATCTAGATTATATCAAATACAACCCTTCAATCAATACTCACTGCTCAAATAAAGCTCTAATCATTTCCTCCTGATCTTTGCTGAAGGCAGACACTCTTTTCCTAGTAGTCCTGTTAAAAAGAAAGCATGAGTATATCAACCTAAAATGGGAAAAGAGAACCATTTTACCAAAATTTCAATTCTACAACATGAAATTAGCATAAGCTTTGCATCATGCCTTTCAAGTTTAGAGCTGCTTCAAGAGTAAAAGGAATCAATCTTCAACAGAAAGAGTTGAAATATTCTTTTTATTCTTTTAAGAAAGAGTTGAAACATTCAGCATAAAACAAAGTATACAACAAGTAACGCTTGAAAAACAAAAGCTCATAAATACTCACAAGGATTGCTTCAGCAAGGTTCTATCAACATCAACGGAGCTATTAAGATCATTTTCTTTTTCTGCCATCCTTCCTTTCTCCTCAGGTTGAGAGGAAGTAGAAGAAAATGTTCTATCAGCATGTCTCATCCTTTTTTTCGGTACAACTTTCAATCCCAGCTGCTTGAGCTTGTTGAAAACTTGCACAGGTGAAATATGACCAGTGGAATCCAGGGATTCCGCAATCAGACGACTACAATTACTATCATCCTTATATCTGCAGTAATCTCATTAGTTAAAACAAAATCAATGAATGGTTTCAGAAGCTAAATGAGAGAGGAGAGAAAGAAGCAGTGTAAGAGTAGGGTAATTCAAATTTTATGGAAATGCATAGCAATTATTCAATGCATCCTAGAAACTAGGAGCAACAGTAATGCATTTCTGCATCCATCATGAATGAAAAGATGTCTCATGTAATCTTGCCAGGAAAAATTTGTAATTCTTTCAACTTTGTTAAGACACACTTACTTGTCATAGAGATCCTTTATTCTCATCTCCAATTCATCAGTTAGAACGAGTCTCCTCTTTCTTTTGGAAACCCTTTCAGTTTCATTTTCCACAGTATTTCCTCCACTGTAAGAGCCAAATACACACAGTAAATTTAGGCAAAATTAAGTTTCCAGAACATCCAAGTAAAAGTTTCCAAACATCCCATTAATCAATAGAGAAAATGCACATTATCTTTTTTTTTTATTATTATTTAATGCAAATTGGAAAATGCTATATTAATCATAAAAGGGCAATAAGCAATTTGGAATAAATGTCTTACTTCTGATGTGGTTCATGAGAGATTACGACATCTGCTTCATCCTCACCCAGTGCATCTGCTAAGCTACTGCGAGTCCATCCATTTGCCTGCGTTGATCCATTTCCTCCCTCATCAGAAACATTTCCCCATTTTCTAGTTTCCTTCTTTATATGGCCAAGCTCATGCAATAAATATTCAGCATTAATGTACTGGCATTCCCTACGGGACTTCCAAAAGAGAATTTCCACAAATAGAAGGGGTTGATGCTTCATCTTTCTTAGCATTCTTCTAACCAAACTAGTCAGGAAATCAACTATATTTGCATATTCCTTGCAGGGACAAGACTTCTGCTCGTCCAGGATGTCATAGAATGTTGTTAGCAGTGATAACTGCACAAATTTGTCAAACATTATATTGTTTGAGTGGTGATCATATACAACAGTACAATAATCTCAAGAATGAATAGCTTTCTATTAGGTAACCTGATATAGCATTGGAGAAAGATCCAGGTCATCAGTGATCCTCTGCAACATGCAAATGATGTGGTGATTCATACTGATAGAATTACTCTTGTAGAACCTAAGCAACCAGCACAAATTCCGAATAATGTTGTGGTTTGCAAAAGCTGATATTAAGGTGGAGACCTTAAAGTCAACTTCAAAAGTCGAAGTGGGCTGCTCATCACCAGAAGAATCATCCGAGCTGCAATTAAGATCATCCTCATCAAGAATTTGCTTATCTATTTGAGGAAGATTCCCAGCAAGATTTTCCATCTCTGGGACAGATGTCTCAGGTTTGTCAACCAGAATAGCATTATTGACATTTTCTTGATTATCAAGGGTTGTTTTCTTTTGAATTTTCTCTTGCAATATGCTCTGGTCATTTAATTCTTCTGCATTAGAAGAAACGACATGGTCCTGAACGGTAGCTTCATCTCCAGAAAGTCCATTTTCAGTTTCCTTCTTGTCAATTGGTGCTTTCTTCTTTCTAACCTTCCTTGATCTCTTAGAAACCTTAATTATGAAACAACAAGCAACAGTTTTTACTTTTTGATCACTACAACAGGAAAACTCTTCTAAAAGAGAAGGCAGAATGCAACCATACCAATTACAGCATTTTAAATAACATCAATTGAAAATGAAAACGAGACTGCACAATAAAAATGGTAACATTTGCAATAAAGGACAAAACAAAAAAAAAAAAGTTTAAAAATTGTCTTCCAAGGAGAAAGCTTCAAGCTTATGGATACATTCACAAGTTCACAAGTGAAAAAATAAATTCCAGCAATATGGTCACGCATATCCTTTCACAAATATACATAGATTTGCACCAAAATTACAAGAATACAAGCAGGCTCACAAAAAACAGCAATAATATATAATCAGTTAATATGACTTGCCTAAGTTTTCTGAGTCAATGAGTTTAGAAGGAACTTAAACACCCCCCCCCCCCCCCTAAATTCGCAGCAATATGGTCACGCATATCCTTTTCAACAATATACATAGATTATGGCAACCAAATTACAAAGAAATACAGCAGGCTCAAAAATTCAGCAGATATATTATAATCCAGGGTTTAAATATGACTTGCCTAAGTATATTCTAGAGTCAAATGGTTTGAAGGAGAGACTTAACACCGCCCCCCCCCCACACGAACCAGAGCCTCAAAAAACAAAAAATTTAGCAGTAACCATTAGATTACAATCAAAGTATAAATTATTATTACCCTGTGAGAACATGACAAAATTATAACAACATGCATGGCAAGATTGTGCTAAAACTTCAAGCTAAAATGATACGCTTGTATATATTCTTCCTGCACATTTTTTTTCAAGTGTGAGCATACCGAAAACGTGAAAAGCTTTCTGCTAGAGTGGAATGGCTGTTTAGTTCATTTCCTTAAAAGGATTTCTCTTAAGAAGTACATTGTGGCAATCTGCTTAACCCCCCCGACACCCAAAAAACAAAAAAATTTAGCAGTACCATTAGATTACATCAAGTATAAATTATTATTACCGTGAGAAACATGACAAAATTATAACATGCATGGCAGATTGTGCTAAAACTTCAAGCTAAATGATACCTTGTATATATTTTCTTGCACATTTTTTTTCAAAGTGTAGCATACGAAAACGTGAAAAGCTTTCTGCTAGAGTGGAATGGCTGATTTAGTTCATTTCTTAAAGGATTTCTCTTAAGAAAGTACCATGTTGGCATCTGCTTAATGCAGATTGAATTCAGGTTTGATGCAATCCTGTAGAGATTAGTTGACTTACCCTTAATGTGCCACGCCTTTGAAGATTCTCCATCAGTCTTACCATTACATGAATCATTTCCACCAAGTCTGCAAGATCACTGAGAAGAAAAATAATGAATACAACAGAAGTAGTAAGATGTGGAAGACTTGGAAGAACCACATTTCAGCATGCACATAGCCTTAATCATGGTCATTCACTATAAAATAAATATTCACATTAAAAAATATCCAAGGGATATGAAGAAATGTAGTTAGTTGACTAGACAAAGATCATTACTAGATATACAAGTAAAAAGACGAAACATATGGATTTCAATCAAATTAATTAGCTTGGTTAAGATCGAGAGTTGCGAAAAGATGCATTTATATTGATTGTTCAAAGAGATGCTTCCTTAGTACACCACATCTAGTGGAAAAAGGATTTAAGAATAAGGTAAAGAGCAACCACATGGTAGCAAGGAACTGATTGTCACAAGTCCGGCAAAAGTGGTTGTAATTCAAACAACCACCTAAAGCTACCCAAGGACTGCCACATGTGATCCATCTAGGTATACAAGCCTCCTATAGCAAAATTACCTTGACTACATATCATTTTGAACTATGTTCTTATAGCCCACCCAATTCCTGCAGTTTCTATGATGTGTGATTCTACAACCAAGAGAAAATGCCCATGCCATTAATAGAGTATTCTCAAGTCCTGCGATAGAGAAAAACCTTTTTGACTGTTTATGAGTGTCAAATGATTTGATCAGGCTCAAGAGGAACTGAGTCATCCCTTGATCAGTTTGATCATAGAATAACTTGTAAAGCAAGATGCGAGCTGTCTGAGGCTCTCTAGAATCTTCTGGCAATAACTTAAGAACCAAATCCAACATGCGGATCTGCAAGAAAGAAAAGGAATAACTTGAGCACCCATCTAACACGTAAAACTGCACAAAAGAAAGACCTATAGAGAAGACATTAGGATGATGTAACCAAAGTTTGTATCCCCTTTTCCATCTTACATGTTGAATTTGGAAATCACGTTTCTCGATGATGTGTTAACAGGATTTCTCCAAAGCTAGAGAAACACATTTTCAAATCCAAGTAGGACATGAACCATAGAAAGGGGCAATTTACATAAATGGTGTCAAAAAAAAAAAAAATTATGAAAATAGTGTGGTTTTGAAATATTCACAAAGATGGTGTGAATTTGACCTTTCAAAGGCAATTGTTTACATTATGAATGTATCCTACCAATAGTTTTGCTACGATTTTAACAAGAGCAATTTATTTAAAAAAAAATTTGTACAATGAGAGGCAGAGAAATTGTTTTTGCATAGTGCACACTTACCATAATTTTCATAAGAGAACCTGCTGCAGATAGAAATTTGAAATCATTTGTTTCCTTCAAGCCATCAAATGCATTGCGCCATCTTGAGGTGACAAGTAAAAACATTGATTCATTCATTGTTGCTGCAATTGGTCCACACATATCACCGTTGAACAATGTGCTATCAGCATATTCATTTGCAAAGCTGTGAGCATTGTCTTTTTCTCCACTTGGCTGTTAATGACAGCATCCACAAACAGTTGGATTGCATCTAATTTCTAATACAAAATGAAGCAAAATAGTATTTGACAAGAAATAAGACAAGCTAGTAATCAAGACCCAAAAATGTGCACACAAACATTATGAAGTACTGAATCTATCGGTTTCAAATAAAAATATTTTACTACTATTGATGCTTATGCAGAATGCTCTAGTAATACATTTTAAATAATGTAGGTAAAGTCTTTAAAATCTCTTATGATATTTAAACACAAATGATGATGATCCATTTGGACAAGCATAATTGTTACAGATGTTGATACTGTGTATGCCGAGAACAAAACAATAAAAGATACAATGAATAGAAAAGGTTTTACAGCCATAACCTCCCTACATCTCACCTTGTAAGTCAAAAACTTGTTATATTGGAAGGAAGTAACAAATTGAGCAACGTGGAAGAAAATGACAATATCACTCTTCTGAATTGCGTGATGCTCCTTTTCAATGTCTTCACAAATTGTCTGCATCAAAACTGATATTGCATTTGGTTCAGGATGGGTTTGAAATAAACCCAAGCAAAGATAAAGGTAAAGCAAACCAAAGGTAAAGTAAAATTTAATTCAGAAGACATACCATTGTAACCCCCTGATAAAAACTGGTTCAGAAAATCATGCAACAAAACCAAAATGTCAGCCTTCATTGAAGGTATTATCCCATGATCCCACACAATCTTTTTAGTGGAACTTCTTTGAATTTTATGAGGTTTGAGCAGGATATTCTCAGTAGCAGAACTTGGATTTCCTTTATATACTGCTTTAGAGCCATCCTGTAGAATATAACCACTGAATGAATTTTATAGAAAATAACAAGAAACCCTTCAAAAGCATCAAAAGTTCAGAAATTACATACTATAGTAAGTCGTGTAAATGTTCCACTAAACTGTGAATGGCGCGCCACGTTCCGTAGTCCGGAAAGCTTTCTTTTCTCTTCTGCTTCCATGATGGATTTCAGACTGTCAAGAGAAGCTTTGGTGTCTCCACCCACCTACCAAATCAAACTTATAAGGCACAGAGTAGCATGTTATTGAATAAGCACCTAAACACAGGATATACTCAACAAATTGGAGAAAATCCAAAAAATTAATAGTACTCTAGGAACTTTGGCCGTGTAACCTGACTCCAGATCTAATACTACAGGAATTTTGGGTTTGTATACTTGGTTTTTAGTAAAATCAAAGATCAAATTTACAAATGTAAAGCTAGTATTTGCCAGCATTTCTCCTTTTCCTGTTTGCTTAATTTTCTTTCAAATTAAGCAAGGACTTTTCTACTAATTGCAAAATGATGATTATTGCAGAGAAAATAGAGACGCACCAACCTTGGAATCCTTTAGATGTGCTTTGGCAATCATCTCTGGCTCTTGACCCATAAAAATGTAATGGAAAATTTCTAACAGAAGTAAGTTATCCTGACGGAGATATCCACGAGAACCACAAACTTCCTGATTTATAATTACAATAAGATCCATTACATTTTCATGGAACAAAAGTTCCAGAAATTTATCTCTTAAAGACAAAAGATGGCAAGCAGAACCCCCAACTTTTTGCGGCAATGAAATGTCTTGGATGGCAAGCATATTTCGAAACAGCGTGAGTACCAGTTGGACCAATTTCCAGTCATCCTCGGTGAATAATTCGCTGCAGCAAAGGGTGCATGTCGATAACGCAAAGATTATAAATCATACAAACAACCCACATGCAACTAAAAGCTAAAAACTGTATCAAGTGTGAATCTCCCTTACCGTTCCAAATTTTCAAGTGGGCCTTCCAACAGTGTAACAATAATCCCAACAGTCTGACTATATGTAATAGCAGACTTCAAGTCCCAAAGGTACTCGATCTGCTGAGGAATATCGCTTGATGAAGGTTCAATTGGCATGGTAAGGAACACCAATACCTTGACTAAAATAGTAGAAATAAACAAAATTATCAGAAACTGAGCCATCAGCACAAAAAAGAAAATGAAAAAAAAAAAAAGACGAAACGATAAAAGTTGCACAAACCGGCATTTAAGACCAGGTTGCTATCATCTCGACAATACTGAATAATAGGGATCAAATCCTTGGACACTATCTTCCATTTACAAATTTGCTTAAATACTTCTCGCGTCTGTGCATCATCCCGCCTTAAAAATCTCAGCAAATCCTTTAAATTTTCTGCATACGTGTTACGAGATTTAAATTAGCAACAACTCCCAATTAATTTACAAGCCAGATGTACTACAATTTGTGGATTTTTTTTTTTTTCTCGTCAACCAAACAGATTATTACTTGATTATGGAGATTTATAACTGATACCTACCTAGGCAGTTCTCGCCCTTCGAGTAGCCAATGCGCTTGCCAGTTTCCTCTTCTTCGGCGATGCCAAGACCAGCACATATAATAGACAAAGCTTCCATATCCATTTTGGCAAACGCTGGGGAATTGAGTAGGATACGATTGGAGTTTGAAATAATTGTAATTTTTAGAGATAGAAGAGTAATGGATATGAGATCTGAAGTTAAGTTGCGATAACAATAAAATTTGAGAAATCGAGAGGGAAGGACTGACGAGACGAATGAGATAGATCGGAAATGTGATTAGGGCTTTTGTGGCGCGAATGGAGACGAAAATTTTCCCGCGCTCTCGACTTCGAGTACAAAGTTTGGGACTGGACTCGATGTGGCTGAATAGTAGAGAAGCATGTTACGGGCCTGGCCGCCTCTAATTATAGATGACTCGTAAGGTCTAACCCATTCAAAGAAAGTTTACGGATTGGCTATAATCATGAACCCATCAAAAGGAGTTGCTGCCGAGTAAAAATAGTTTATTCTTCTTATAAGTCGGTTTGATTTGGATTAAAATAATAATCAAACTAAATTTAAAGTAATGATTTGAAAAAATTAAATCAAATCATCAAAAATTTCAAATTTAATTAAATTTTTAATAGTTATTTTAGTATGATTTAATTTGATTTGGCGGTTTGAAATGAAGAGATTAAACATCTAATTCACATAGTTAATAAATATGAAAAAAAATTAATATTAGATCTGTGTCCAGCAATATCATCGTTGTGGCATTTCTTACCAACTTGGCCAACTTGGTTGCTCCAGAAGCATTGCTCCAGCCATAGTAGAGTAGGCAAGGAAGGTGATAGGTAGAAATGGTTTTCATTTTTTCCCGATATAAATGCGATTAAATAAAAAATGATAATAATAATAATAATAATAACAATAATTAACCCAAAGCGTCAATTTATCACTAGGGCAAGAAAAGTCGTTAGGTAGGAATGTGTTTCCCATGCAAATCAAGCTGAAATTATTTTATTCTGCCAAAAAAATTGGGGAAATAAAAAGGATAAACTATTAATACCAAAAAAACAAAAAAGGATACAGTATGTTTACGTCGTCGTTTCATAAGGTCGCACTCGCCCATCACAGGGACTCCAAAGTGAAAGTCCAAATCGAACTCCCTGTTTTGAATAAAGTTAGCGGAAAATAAAGAAAACCAAAATCCTTCATTTCTTCGATACAAACTAAGCTCCCTTCATCACTTCCCACCTCCCTCTTTAATTCCGCCTCCTTAGTCTTTCCCTTTCCGCCAAAGTTAGTGGCGATTTCTCCAACATCATTAGCCAGAAGGCGACACACTCAACCTCTTTGTCCCTCTCTTAGTCACCTTTAAACCCGAAAGAAATTTCTTTTCCTCAGCAGAGCTCTCTCTGAAAATCTCTATCTAGAATTTCTTTCTACAATGGCTCAAGTGGTGGCTACCAGATCGATTCAAGGTTCATTGTTGTGCCCTAGCACTGGATCCATACAAGAGAGAGTTGATAAGCTGAAGCCTTCAAGTTTTGCTTCGAAAGTACTGGCACGCGAGGACAACAAGAAGGAGAAGAACGGCCTCAAAATTGCTCGTAGAACCACGCAAATCGTGGCGGTTAGTAGATCTGCTCGTGTTGAGACTGAAGTTATTCCCGTGTCGCCTGAGGATGTACCACAGGTCACTACTATCCTTACTCATTATCCTTGGTATTGCTCTTGTTTAGGAAATGTGTGGTTGCCGTAGCAATATAAGATCGTGAATTTATTTGATTCTCTTCATTTGATACCCGAGGAAGCATATGACTGAGCATAAATTGATTGAGTTGGTTTTTTCGTTGCGTAAAAATGGAGCCAAAAAAAAAAGTAAATGTGAATTTGAATGTACAGGGTACTGACCTTTTCTATATTAATCAATGCTTATGGATATTTGTTGGGGAAGGCTTGGCTGAATACTCTCACTCATGAATTGGCTTGTCTATCCTTCTTTAACCAGAGAGAGGAGCAAGTTCTGCATTTACAGCAATTAGGCGACACATCAGCGGGTATGTGGTCCAAGCCCACAGTTAGACGAAAGACAAAGATTGTTTGCACCATTGGTCCTTCAACCAACACAAAGGAGATGATATGGAAGCTGGCTGAGGCTGGGATGAACGTTGCTCGAATGAATATGTCTCATGGAGACCATGCATCTCATAAGAAAGTTATTGACTTGGTTAAGGAATATAATGCACAGTCTAAAGACAATGTTATTGCAATCATGCTTGACACTAAGGTAAGTTCACTTCATATTTCTTTGGCTGGCAAGTTTTCATTTCTTGGGGCTCGACAATATACTAAGTTTCCTTATTTTTCGATGGCTACCATTGACATTACTCAGAATTATAAATATCATTGTTATTGAGTCAAAAACATGTGACTATTTCACCTGTTTTTGGTCATGAAGCTTCTGCCATTACTATGCTGATAACGGAACCTGGTAGTGAAAGGAGCAATATGCTTCTATATGTGCTCTGGTTTCATAATGGTAATAAACTGTTATACTAAATGCATGAAGTAACACGAATGGATTTACAATGAGCAAAAACTTACTAATAAATGAAATTATGTGGACATGCCTGCAATGCAACATGGTGTATGTCTATTAACTTACACAGCCATATCCTTTGATTGTTCATTTGAATTTCTTTGTTATCAGGGTCCTGAAGTTAGGAGTGGTGACTTGCCTCAACCAATCACCTTAACACCTGGACAGGAATTTACCTTTACAATTCGTAGAGGGGTCGGCACTGTTGATTGCGTCAGTGTTAACTATGATGATTTTGTTAATGATGTAGAAGTTGGTGACATGCTTCTTGTTGATGGTACACACTTGGTCTTTTTATATTCTATCATAATTTTTGGTAGAATGCACAATGGTATCATCACACGTGAGAAGGAATACGAATTGCATGATTCATTAAATTGTCAAACATAGAATAATGTGAGGTAGAAATGAGATTATTCTTAAAGTTGTGAGCTGATCACAGATTATGATGGAAAGTGAGTGGAGATTTTTCATGCAATGAATATGATTTTGCTGCCATATGAATAAGCTTCTTTCTCTCTGGCTTAAATGTCAGTAAGTTTTAGGTCTGGAAGCAAGTTTATAAGTTGTAGTCAAGCAGCATATATAGAAACTTTAACCTTCTCAAAATTGTGCCTTGGACTTTTGAAAAAACTGAATGTCTTAAAATTATAGAGGGAGATGGTGAATTGGTAATTCAGTACAAAGGTCTGAGTAGAAGCTTAGTTCAAAGCAAGCTTGCGTTTGAATTTCAAGTTTCTTCCTTTTCCTGCCTTTTGCATTGAATAAAATTTCAGAACAAGAAAAGATTTCTCTTTATGCATTCTTTGCCTTTTCTGATTTTTGATATATGGTATAGGTGGTATGATGTCATTCTTAGTGAAGTCCAAGACAGAAGACTCGGTGAAATGTGAAGTTGTTGATGGAGGAGAACTTAAGTCCAGGCGTCATTTAAATGTTAGAGGAAAAAGTGCAACACTACCTTCCATCACTGGTTCGACCTATTTTGTTTATTCCCTAAACTTTTTCCTTTATACTTCCATTTTTCACCCCTGGGTTGGGCCCTTTTTTTTCAAATGGACTTGTTTGTTTCATTGTTTCCTGCAGACAAGGATTGGGATGACATAAAATTTGGAGTGGAGAATAAAGTTGACTTCTATGCTGTCTCCTTTGTTAAAGATGCACAAGTAGTTCACGAATTAAAGGATTATCTGCGAAGTAATATATGTTTTGATATAGCTTTTATAAGATAATTGGAGTGTCATGCATGATAACATAGCTTAATGATGTTTTTCCTTTCTATTTTGGCAGGCTGTGGTGCGGATATACACGTGATTGTAAAAATTGAAAGTGCTGATTCTATCCCAAATTTGCATTCTATAATTACAGCATCTGATGGGGTAATATCCCGAATCTTTGTATAAAATCTTTTTAACTGCTAATATACTTGTTCGAACTATTGAATGTAGTTCTGATTTCTGGATTATCTTGGTTATTGTGAATTTTTTTTTTTTTTTTTTTTTTTTTTTTTCTATAAATTACAAGCATCCTGTGGGTAATAATCCGAAATCTTTGTATAAAATCTTTTTAACTGCTAATATACTTGTTCGCTATTTGAATGTAGTTCTGATTTTCTGGAATTATCCTTGGTTATTGTGAATTTTTTTTTTTTTTTTTTTTTTTTTGGTATTTGGTCATTGTAAATTTTTAATCAAGCTGAACAGAGATTTTGAATATGGAGCTTGTTTACTTGTATACACCATATGAAATTGGCAGTTCCGAGGCCTTGTTTTTGTGAAAAATGGAACAAGAATGATTGCTTTCTGCTGTTGTTTGGCCTAGGACAACTCTGTATAACATATTGGCTGGCAATGTCGTGGATATCACACTTCCTTTATATTGTTGTTGTATTTATGTGGGGTAACCAACTTATGAATGTATGAATTTGAATTGGTAGTTTAGAACAATTTGAGATTTCTACCATATGTTTTTTTTTTTTTTTTTTTTTTTTTTTTGGTATTTGGTCATTGTAATTTTAATCAAGCTGAACAGAGATTTTGAATATGGAGCTTGTTTACTTGTATACACCATAGAATTGGCAGTTCCGAGCCTTGTTTTTGTGAAAAATGGAACAAGAATGATTGCTTTCTGCTGTTGTTGCCTAGGACAACTCTGTATAACTATTGGCTGGCAATGTCGTGATATCACACTCCTTTATATTGTTGTTGTATTTATGTGGGTAACCAACTTATGAATGTATGAATTTGATTTGTAAGTTTAGAACAATTTGAGATTTCTACCTATATGCTTTCCAAAATCTACTTAGTTCAAGCACTCTAAATCTTCCATAATTTTTGTGCTGAATGTAATACATTCTCCTCTTATTTAGGCAATGGTAGCAAGAGGAGACCTTGGTGCTGAGCTCCCTATTGAGGAGGTTCCGCTTCTGCAGGTAATTTTGATTCTTAGAGATTTATGACAGGATGGCATCATTGTCGGTTGCAATGTATTAATATGAATGATGTTGAGTGATTTCTACAAATTTTAGGAAGAAATAATCAGATTGTGTCGGAGCATGGGGAAAGCTGTTATTGTGGCAACAAATATGTTGGAAAGCATGATTGTTCATCCAACTCCAACTAGAGCAGAGGTATCTGACATTGCCATTGCTGTCCGTGAGGGTGCTGATTCTGTCATGCTTTCTGGAGAAACTGCTCATGGAAAGTAAGTGTTTTTTTTGTGGTGTCAATATCATCAGTGCAATCATGCTTTGAAAAATTTCAGTGAAGAAATTTCATGTCCTTGGCAGATTCCCATTGAAAGCCGTGAAAGTCATGCACACAGTTGCATTACGAACTGAAGCAACCATTCCTGGTGGTTCAATGCCACCAAATCTTGGTCAAGCCTTCAAGGTACCAGACATTAAGTCTATTCGCTTTTCTTTTCTCCTTTGTTTTATTCCATTTGATTGTGCTAACTATGAACTTGTTTTCTGTAGAACCACATGAGTGAAATGTTTGCATATCATGCAACAATGATGTCAAACACTCTTGGAACGTCGATTGTTGTCTTCACCAGGACTGGCTTCATGGCTATTTTGCTGAGTCATTATCGACCTACTGGCACTATTTTTGCCTTCACAAATGAGTGAGTTTCTCATGTCCCTAAATTTCAAACTTGTTACTGTTACTGGATCTTATTAGGTTGTAAGCATGAAAGATCACACTGTTTGATAGGCACCTATGCTTATTTATCCTGGACAGTCATCTTATTCTTTTTGAGTTTTGGCATATCAGTTCCTAGAAATATGTTTAACTTCTGATTCAATCACTTGCTAAGTTTTGAATTAGGATAGCATAGATCAACCAGTAACAAGGAATTGCATGGCTATTTACATGATTTCAACTGCTGTACAGGAAGGAAATACAACAGAGACTTGCTTTATACCAAGGAGTTTGCCCCATATACATGGAGTTTTCAGACGATGCTGAACAAACCTTTGCAAATGCTTTGTCAGTGCTCAAGGTAAGTTTTCCTATTACAATTCCTTCAAATCTCTGTCATTAGCTAGCAATAGAGTTTTACTTTTCCGCTTGTCAGTTTGATTCATAACTAGCATAAATGGAATTTGGGATATCTAGTCAGACATAAAAGAAGACGGGTGAAGTATTAGGACTTAGGGATTCAACGTTCGATTTGAATATATTTTCGTTAGATAAGAATTATAATGACCTGACATTTGAGGGGGGGCATTTCTCTACATAGCAAGTCCTTGCCTTGACTAATTAACATCCTTATCAATATGGGCCATATGCTTATCGTAGATATGAGATGATAATAATCATGCACCCTTGCACAGCATAATAGGTTTTCTCTTATCATTATTACACCCCTTAACAACTTATCTTGGTCATTTTGAGATATAATTCTGGGTTTTCATTTACAGAATCAAGGAATGGTGAAGGAAGGAGAGGAAGTTGCACTTCTTCAGAGTGGCAGACAGCCAATCTGGAGGTTTCAATCTACTCACAATATTCAGGTCCGGAAAGTATAGACACAAAGAAGTATAATGAACTTCTTAGGGCCCTCGGATAAGGATAATTTATGGAGTTTTAACGTGTCCCTACGCATTTGCCTTTCGCTGTTGGATTTTGCCTTCCTTTTGATTCCTAGGTTTCAACTGGATAATTTTTAAATGATTTATTTTATTCTGCCTTTTCTTCTACCCTGATTTTTCAGTCAAGTGTTGTATGATCCTTTAGAACAAAAGCAGTTGAATGAAAATTTTTCCCAAGAGAGGTTCAGTGTTCAGTCATTTTGCTGATTGTGAGATGTTATCATACAAAAATGAAATTAAATTCGTTCTTCCAAATTAAAGGATTTTGAAGTCTGAAAAACTTCCGCAAGATTCATGTGGGCTGGAAGTACCCGTTGAAAAAAACTGTTAGGAGAAATTGATGTGACAAAAAAAAAATAAATAAAAAGAGTTGATTTTTTTTTTTCTGGAAAAGAAAAAAACAAGGCCAAACAAAATGATACGTATGCTGATTTTATTGCTTCGTTATTCATACATATTGCTAAATGGAGTTGACCCACGTCAATTTAGACCGAAGCAAAGCAGGAGTAATTTCCATACGCGCGTCACACGCTTCTTAGAACGGAGGAACTATATCCATTCTTATCATCATAATACTTTGACCAGAGCATAATCCCTCCATACTTGGCTGATTTCTTTATCTCCGGAAGAATTCGAGAAGTCAACACATCCGGTGGAATATACCCACTTCCGGCTGCCTCAGGAGCTGCCGGTAACCCAAGAAATATCTTTCCAGCATTTATCGATGCGGTCCATCTATTCCAAGAATTAATAATATTAGCAGTATTACCTGAACTATACTGGCAAGGAGGATTGTTATAAAACTGAACCCAAACATAGTCAAAAAGACCGGTATTAAGGGCAGTCCCTAAATTACTATCGGGAAATGGACATTGAGGAGCTGCAGCTAAATAGACCTTCTTGCCGTTTTTACTATATGCAGATAAAAAACGTGCAAGATCCTCCCAATGAAGTGTCGAACCCTGCTCTATGTCAAAATCGATACCGTCCAATATAGCATCACCTAAAGGACGTGAAGACGATTTTCCACCCAGAAAGTTATTCCATAAATAATCTGCTACATTTCTTGCATCAGCTTGAGAAGCTAAAGTGTAACTTCCGACGCCACCGCCAAGAGAAAGAAATACTTTTATTCCTCGCTTTTGGCAACTTTTTATGCCATTACTGACAATGGTGCAACCTCCGGTTGCTGGGTTGCAATGACCAGCAAGATTGATTTCTGGGGTTTGACCATTGCCAAATTTGTAGAGAAAGGCTATGTTCACGTAAGAGTATTTTCCTGTTGCACACGTTTGTTCTAAAGTTCCTTCGTTGCCGTTTTGGCCCCAATAAATGGCAATTCCTCCGGCATGGGAGGATATAATCGACGAAAGTATTAGAAGAGGGAGAAGAAGGATGGCTTGGGGTTTCATGGCCATTATTATTGCTAACCAATGTAGATGAACAATAATATCTGTCTCTGCTATTATGCCAAGGGATGGTCCTTTATATAGAGTAACGAAGTATATAACAATAACTATAGTTTTTTTTTTTTTTTTCTATGGTATTTCTTTTTTTATACTGCCAAGGGTATCCCCACCCGTTTAAAGTATTGACTGAGACATTAAGAACCATTTAGGTGTAGCACTAATTACCATCACTCCACTACAAATTATTGACTTGGGGTTTGGCTATCATTTTTTTTAAATATTGATTCATTTTTTGATTCTATTTATAATATTTACAATATATATTTTATTTTTTATATTTGAAGACAACTATTTTGTGGAAATTAAATGATAAGTGCCAACCAAAACCCAATAAAATAAAAGTAAACGGTCGGACCTTGGAATTTATTTTTGCACATTTGACAGCTGGGGGAAGCCGAATTAGCTGACTTTGACTTGATTTGAAAAACGAAAGAGATTTTAAGGATTTGATGGAAATATTATCTTTAGAAGGGATGCGCACCCACTCATAAAATGAAATAGAAAGGGAAACTGTTAACTAGAAATAGCGAGTCATATGGCATTATGTTGTAGATATGTATGGATTTGGTATTAGGAGTTCAATAAAACGACTTCATTTTAATTGTCTCGATAACGCCGCCGGCATGCACGATGGATTAATGGATGAATGGGTGGGTGCATGCCTTTGTCAGTAAATAGAGTTTTATTTTATTATTGAATGCCAATGGCTTTGGCTCAATGTTGTAACATGTCATCAACCATAAAGCTCAAAAAGAAATTCATATTATCAACTATACAAAGTTTAATTAAGTTATATTATTAAAATTACTGACTTAATGTTGATAACTACTAAAGGATGAATGATACATCTAAAGGTTACAGCTCAATTGGTAACGCAGGTTGAACATGTAAGAATAGCTTTTAAGTTCGATTTTCACTAAACACACTTACAGAAAGAAGTCTTAACTGTGACTAAGTCTTAGACGGTCTTTGGTAACAAGATTCGGATACCCGTGATTTTAAAAAAAAATGAAGGATAAGATTACTATTTATTTCTGACGAGTTAAAATGCATTAAAACGGGTTGGTGCATGCCATGTCAATAAGGCCAGATTGGACAATCTTGGGCCAGATTACTTTGTATACCAATGAGAAAACAACTTGATTTGCACCATGCTAAAAAGAAAATTACACAAAAGGCACCAATGATCAATCCAATACATAATTAAACGCATTATAGAAACTTCTTTTACTTTTTAATTTTTATTTAATCAGTCCTCTAACCTTTTTTTTTATTTATCGTCGACCCATTTATTGAACCACATATATAATGATATCCATCTAACTTAAACACTGCCCTTTATAGATGAACTATATCCATTATCATAAAACTTGCTCCACAGCATAACTCCTCCATATTTAGGAGAACTCTTGATTGCAGGAAGAACCTGAGATGTAAGAACATCAGCAGGAATAAAACCACCGCTGGGCGCAGCTTCAGCAGCAGCAGGTAAACCCAAAAACAATTGGCCCGATGGAATTGTACTCCATTGCTGGTTCCATGCATTTAAAAGACTATTCGCATTATCACTGTATTGACAAGGAGGATTATTATAAAATTGCACCCACACATAATCAAATAGCCCGGTGCCAATTGCATCACTTAAAGAAGCGTCAGGAAAAGGACACTGTGGCGCCGCCGATAAGTAAACCTTTCTTTGTTGGCTAAACCCATTGAGGGATCTAGCTAAATCATCCCAAAAATCACCTGAACCAGTTTCAATATCAAAATCTATACCATCCAAAACAGCATCTCCTAATGGACGTGACCCCGACGTGCCGCCGAGGTAATTATTCCACAAATAGTTCGCGACTTGAGTTGCATCATCCGCCGATGATAGAGAATAGCTACCGCTACCACCGCCAATAGATAGAAGGACTTTGATGCCTTGAGCTTGGCAAGCGTTGATATCAGCGCTTAAACCAGTGCAGCCATTGGAACTAGGGTCACAATGACCTGCTAAGTTCAGAACTGGAGTTTGCCCATTGCCAAAACTAGAAAGGAAAGCTATGTTTACAAATTGGTAGTTTCCACTGGAGCAAGTTTCGGCTAAAGTGCCTTCATTGCCGTTTTGACCCCAATAGATGGCAATACCTGCTCCTGAAGATGGTTTGCATAAGGAGAGAACTAAAAGAGAAAGAAATAGAGCAAGTGGCTTTGAATAATGGTATGCCATTGTTTTCTTTTTTAATTCTTCTATGCTTCTTTCAACAATGGTGGAGAGGGTATGAATTTATAGCTGGAGAGTGTAGCCTGTAGGGATCATTGCGTGTTTCCAACGGTTTAAGGTTCTTTCCACGAAATTATGTATTAGACTAACGTTTACGTTTTGCAGGACTTTATAATGTAAACATGCCCAAAAATCAATATACCATTGCCCTACTTGTCTCAATTTGATCTACAGAGACTAAATGCTAATGAAATTTCAATCTTGGTCTATGCGGAGCAGGTCCAAGCAAAATTTATTTCTATAAGCGACCATCAAAGGTCATTTCAATTGCCTCGAAATGATATGATTGTTGGAAGTTCGTACCTGGCTTTTATCATTCATCTAGAAGATAAAATCTCAAAAGTTGACTGCAAAATTTTTATCTGTTAATGGACTTCACGCTTTAGGGCCATCATTTTGTATCTTAATTTCATGATGGAGACGCTGCAATACAAGCACAATGAAGCCCAATGCTCTCAAGTTTTAAGGCCCAAACTCATTATTAATGCCTGTCATCAATTGAATTCTTTTTTATTACACTATTACACTTGTTATTACACTATTACAGTATTTGTTATCCATAAACAACCATAATTACCCATTTGCTAGCATTTAATTGGCTATTTAAAAACCAAAACCAATTTTCTAGTCAGGGACCTGGTGATATATTTATATATCCCAAGTCAACTAAATTCTAGTTCTAGATTATACAGCCATGCACACTGGAGTCCCAGCAGGCCAGGAATGCGCCATGCTTCATGGGACGGACATTACAGCGTTGGCCCAAAACAAACACCACCTTCTGGTGACTATAGCCTGGTCGACTTGGATCCCATAGAAAAAGACTAATGTAAGGAAGCATAGCGCCGCACCATAATTTCAGGTGAGCTTAAAATCAATCACCAGTAGTCACCACAAGAGCAAGCCCCATCATGAAAATGGTGAAAACGATGAGTATCTCGGATGATGATTTCACGTTTTGCAATCTTGGAGATAAGCTTTGCAGCAACATGGCAGTCTCCACAAACACGAAGATTCTTGGTAACTCTAATTAGAGTACCAGGATTGGTGTTTATAATGGCAAAGACAATAGCCAACTTCTCACTGTGAACTGTTAGATGGCATTCCTTATCCTCCTCTTCCACATCATGAAGGGCAGAATCAGTCTCAGGCATATAACCAACCTCCTTCATTTTTCCGAGTAATACATCCAGCCCTTTGTAGATCCCTTTCGACTGAGGATGCGACTGGTCACCGGCAAGAAAGGTGTGAACATGATTATTGATCTCAACATTGCTAATTCCAGGCACTTTCTTTATTCCTCTGTTCTGCATGATTGATCTGATGGCTGCAACATCTTGCCATCTTCCAGCCTTAGCATAAATGTTGGACAACAAGACATAATAACCTGACTGCTCAGGAACCAATTGGAAAAGTTGATCAGCAGCCAAAAGCCCAATATTCATGTTGGAGTAAACTCGACAAGCACTCAACAGAGCCCCCCAAACTCTTTCATTAGGTTCTGCCTGCATCTGTCTTATAAAGCCATAGGCCTCATCTATCTTTCCAGCACGTCCTAACAGATCTACCATGCAAGCAAAGTGCTCTAACTTTGGACTTATCCCATAATCAGACATTAAATTAAAGTAATACTGTCCCTCATCTAATAATCCTGCATGACTGCAGGCTGCTAAAACAGAAACAAAAGAAATAGAATCTGGACTCAAACCTGAGTTCTGCATTTTTTCAAATACAGCGACAGCATCACGACCCTGGCCACTCATACCATAAGCTGTGATCATAGAAGTCCATGAAACAACATCCCGAAACTGCATTTGATCAAACACTGCCCTTGCATCCCATAAACATCCACATTTAGCATACATATCAATTAATGCATTCTCCAAAAGCAAATTTGGACGGAATTTCTTCCTATCAGCATATTCATGAATTCGCCTTCCTAATGTCACAGCTGAAAGATCTCCACAGGCAGGAAGAACACTAACAACAGAGACAATATCTGGTTCAATACCATTCACTTCCATCTCTAAATATAGGTCCACTGCTTCTTTAGGCATTGTATTGTTCACATACACAGCAATCATCACATTACAAGAAATCACACTCTTTGTTGCCAGCTTCATAAATATGTCCTTAACATACAAAACATTATCAAAGGATGTGTTAGTCACGGCTGGCAAGAGGCTAGCCATTGTGCAAGCATTAGCTTTTAACTTTGAAGCCTCCATTTCCCTACAAAGTTCTAATGCATCGTTGAATTGTTCATTTTGTGCACACGCAGAAACCATTGAATTCCAAGAAACCACATCTCTGCGCGGCATCTCATCCAGCACTTGTCGAGCCTCCTTCAAACACTTGCATTTCCCATACATGGCGACTAGTCCATTCCCTATAAATAGATTCGAGTCAAGCCCAAATTTCAAAACAGCAGTGTGAATTTGCATACCTACTGACAAGCGACCAGAGCCAGAAGATGCCTTTAAGACACAAGGGTAAGTGTAAATATCAGGATCAAATCCTTGGCTAGACATGGTTTTGTAAATGAATAAAGCATCATGGTATAGATGGTTGTTAACATAGCTTCTGATCATGACATTAAAGAAAACAACATTCTTGTCAGTAATTTCATCAAATATTTTGCGTGTGAGCCCAGGTTCACTACAAGCAGCATAAGCTATCATCAATTTGATACCAAGAGTTGTATTCCAGCGGAGACGTTGGTCGGTCAAAATCTTACAGTGGAGTCTTTTCAGTGTTCTGATATCTGGGCGTTGATCCAAAATCCTAGCACAAAATTCTGCCGCGAAAGCTGCAATCTGAGGGACAAATAGGGGTTGTTGTACTGATGAAACAAGATTTTGTAGTTGTTTGTTAGTTGAAAAGTGGCGTGAAAGAAAAGTGATAGCTTTCATTAATCGGATATGGTTTTTGAAGTTTGAGGATTAAAGCAGCTCCCTTTTTAAAAATCTTTGGGATAAATGAATTTTTATTCCAAAAGACACAAACCAGAGCAGATTTTAACAATCTGATTACAAAAGCTGGAATACAATGAAATGCAGAGACACATTTCCACAAAAAGATATAGAAAATTAGGCCCTACGACAGAGTATTGAGTTCCGAATTAAGTAAGAATCTCAATCCTAATATCAGCAGAGTTGATGGAACAGCTGAATTCAATAACCCTTGTTACCGCGAATCCTAGCTCTCATGTCAAGTTGGCCTCTTTTGCAATTGAAATATGTTTCCCTAAGTCCCACGCACTCACTTGGTATACAGGGGCTCTTCTCTCCAGCGCATTCCCTATACGATCGCTTCTCAACTTTAACACAATCAGATTCACTGAGACACTTAACTAGCTCCATTGCCAAGCCCTTGCAAGACTTCGACATCTCAAGCAACCCAAAAGAAATCAGATGAAGACGAGAAACCCTAGGCCGTAGGGTTTTGCAGGTTAATCTTTGGGCCAACGATGTTACCCCTCTACGGGATGGATGCTGCGGCTTGTCTTAGCAGTGAGGCACCGCGATGCGAGAGGCTGACCCAATTTTTTTACTTAGCCTTTTTTTTTTTTTTTCTTTCTAGTTTTGGGATTATTAAAAAAAATCTCGCAATTAACAAAAATTATAAAAAAAGAAATTCCTGTTTAGAAAATTCAAGAGATGAATCAAGGCCCTCAAAAGTGGATTTGTATATTAAAAAAAAAAAAAAAAAAAGAAAGTGGATGTTGTAATATTAAAAAAAAAAAAAAAAAAAAGGGGGAAAATTAGCATTAATTTTTTCGAAAAATTTCAGTCGAAGGAAAAGTTCCCAATTGCCTTTATTTTATTTTAAACAAATGCAAGGGCCCTCTTCCCCGTCAACAGGGGGGTAGTATTGGGTTAATCCGGACCAATCAAACCCAAATACTTCAAATCCGGAATATGACTGAATTCATAAATTTATTATTCAATCCAAAATCATATTCAATATAAAACTGAAAAGTAATTCAAATCCAATTAATATACGATTTTATTTAAAAAAATTGCAAACCGTACCCCGACATAATTAAATTAGTATTTTTCAGTAAAAAAAAAAAAAAAAAAAGAGAAAATTAGCATTAATTTTGAAAATTCAGTCGAAGTCCAATGCCTTTATTTATTTAAAACAAATGCAAGGCCCTCTCCCCGTCAACAGGGGTAGTATTGGGTTAATCCGGACCAATTCAAACCAAATAACTCAATCCGAATATGACTGAATTTCATAAATTTATTATTCAATCCAAATCATATTCAATATAAAACTGAAAGTAATCAAATCCAATAATATACGATTTTATTAAAAAAATTGCAACCGTCCGAATAATTAAATTAGTATTTTCAGTTGGTTAATCCAAACCGATTACAAAAAATATCTAAATTCAAAATATTTCAATATATGTATTCTTGTATCAGATTTGCAATTTGCACTCTTAAAATAATTATATACGTGCTTATAAATTTATAGACAATTGCATAGAATAAAAAAATTAATTAATGAATTAATTAATTAATTAATCCGACAAATCAAAAGTGTCCAAATAAAAATTACAAAGACAGTCATATCTAAATCCAATTATCCAAATAACATTTAATATGATTAACATTAAAAGAAACATTCATTAAACTTTCAGTTACAAAATTATATTTGATAACCAATCAAACATGACGTTCTTTGTCAATGATTTCAAAAGTTATACCATATTGTTGTCATCTGTCACAAAAACTATATAAATATAGTTTGCACTTTTGGTTTTATTTTAATATGAGGTAAAAATGCAATGTTTTGACAAAAAAAATCGGAGATAAAAAAATATATATCTATCTTGAGTACTAATCTAGTTAATTTGGAATAACCGAATTTTTTTTAGACGAACCGCATTATAATCGAAAAACCAAATTAATATTTATAATTAACTGATCCAAACCAAAACTAATTTATTGACAGCCGAACCAAATTAAATTAGTCACTGGATTTAAATTTTCGATTATACCCGCAAATTGCTCACTCCTACCCGTGAATATCCATATACAACACATTAACACGTGGATAAAGAATGGAACTCAAACTGCTTATTAACTCAGAAATACAGCAGTTTCTTGCATGGCTATAAAATAATATCAAACAAAATTTTACAAACAGTGAAAAGAAATCAGATTTGTAAGGGTATAAATAAATAAAAAAATTTAAAAAAAACAATGATTGTAAGTTAAAGGGTATAGACAATGCAAGGCAACAATTAGTTGTTCAGAATTCATTATTTTCATTAAGAATTTGTGAAAGCAGGTCATTAGGCATCCTAATTACTGTTGCTCTGACTTGAATCATCTTGAAACAAAGCCTTAGAAACGGAACCGCACAATCCAGTCCCATTATCTTGGCGATCTTTCTCAGAACTGCTGCCACTCCTGCATGAATATTTCGTTCCCATCAATGGGGTCTCACATACTGTGTCATAGCTTACACTTCTCCATTCTTTTCTTTTTGACAGCTTCTGAAGAGGATTTGACTTTACCTTCATTGTCTTCGGCTGCTTTGGTGCCCAAACTCTCTGCAAATCTGGAATCCCTCTGTTGAAAGATGAAAATCTACGAGCCCTTTGTCTCCGTTCCTGAGCTTCAATTAATTTACGAGCATGCTCATCATGGTTCGTCCGTCTGGGGCTCTGATGCTCATTTTCCATTGGTTGGAAGGACTGAAGTTCTGCAGAAAATGGATCATCACTTCTACAGTTTTCATCCATTTCATCCTTGTGTTTTTCTCTCCGGGACTGGTTACTGTCCTCACTATTCAGCAATGGATTAGGGGATTCATCTTCATCCTCAAACAGCAAAAGGTCCATTTTGGTGTAAATCCTCTGAACCACATCCCCAAGACTCTGACAATACCTAAAAATTCAGGCATTCAAATGCATAATTTGGTTATATTATAATGGATTGCTCACATATGAATTTCAGAAAAAATAAATTGTAACAGCTAAAATACATCCACAAAAATTCAAAGAGTCCAGGCTTGAATCTACACTAAATTCACCAAGAGATGCAATCCTAAACATAGAGAAACAAAAAATGCAGTGATCCCTACTAAATTAGGATTAAGAGCATTTGAACTGAATACATGCGTTCTGTATTAGTCTAAAGTACTGTGCATCTATGGTGCACACAAATTTTCAAATTATCTGAAAATGAATGCATCACCAGTATCCTGTGGATCAAAATTCTTTTGCTAATAAAGGAATCTGCTCCTTAACTTAACGCCTGGGTTTCAGATAATAAGACAGAATAAAAGAGAAGTGTTTCTGGTGGAATAGCAGGCATCGGAAAGTTTAATAATCAACAACAGGTGTTATTGTAGTTTTCATAAAGGAAAATAAGAAATCCCTATAAGGTGCTCCATACACAATAAAGATTACCTGCTGTTTATGACGTTTTCCACATATTTATCAAGGCTCCAATCGCCAAAAAAGCCTCCCTGCAGATGCCACTGAATGTTCTCTAAGAAAAAGCAAATTTGCTTCACATACTTTTGCTTTGTAGACTCCCCAAAACTTGGTCCAACCTCTGATTGGAGTATCTCCATGCGAAACAAAATTTGTAATTCGTATCTTAGGCTGATTAAGGAATTGCCTTTGTCAACAATGAGAACCTATACAACAACTAACTGAAGAAAACAAACACAAGAAACTACAAAACCCAATCCCTAAACCAAACAAACAAAAAGGAAAGGAAAAGCAAAAAGAGGATACTCTCGAACTATATTTTCTGAAGTAGCCGTAGCAGCACTCAGATTGGATGCCCGAAAGGAAGGATCAGTGCCTTTGTATATAGCAGCCAAGTCTTTAGGATCCCTAAGTAAAAGTTTTGTTAGCTCAGCAGCAATTATACTAGTAGAAGGATCATCAGATTTTACAGCATGGATTTCACTCTCTGACAAGGTTTCCTTTTCATATTTTTTATATAACCAATATATAGATGAGCTAACAAGTCGATTTGCCAAAGAACCCAAGTCTATTTCTTCAGATTCAAGCCCTTGCTGGATTTTGTGGGGAATGTCATTAAAGAAACTTTCTAAAGTTCCTGAGGAAAAACCAAGAGCAACTTCATCCTGTATTCTAGAAGCCCCAGTTAAAGAATCCTCTCCCACTGAGGAACAAGAAGCAATTGGCTGTTCAGATTCCTGAGACAGCTTGGTGAATCTATTGTCCATTTCTTTTGGAATGTCCTGATGCAGCTTGGATCTATCAGGCATGGTCAAACTATAAGTGCTAGATTTCTTCATCTGTTTCATCCAGCATTTCAGAAATTTCAATTTCTTTGACTTGCTGTATCCTCTAGCAAAGCAAACATCTTCCAAATCTATGTCCAAGTGTTCCAATGCTGCCTTACAGAAGGCACTCCACGTTAGTTCTTGAAGCATATGTAAGTCTTTTTTCTTCTTCTTCTTCTTCCTTTTACCATCTTCAAATTCAGCAGGCTTGTCTGAAGGTGACGACCCGGATTGAGAACCCACAAGTCCAATGGAGTGGCTCAAACCAATGTTGGGATTACAAATCTCAGGCTGTGTTTTGATAACAAATTGACCTGAAACAGCTCTATCAAATTCATTTATGATACCATGAGGGTTAAATTCATCCCTTATAATCAAGAGGAGAACTAAAGAAATTGTGAAAGGCTTCAGGACTCCTGAAAGTGAATTTCCATTGCCATTTGAAAGAGACACCAAAGCCCAGCAATCTTCTCTGTACAGAAAACTGAAAAGAATTTCCCAAAGGGGTGGAGATTTTCTTGACACAGATTTGCCTATTTCCATGCCTAGCATTTCAAGAACTCTATCTTCAAAATGTCCACTACAACTTTCCTTTCGATCCTTCTTAGATACCCCTGGCAGCTCACGCACAAGAATGGGGTCAGATAATAACCCATCAAATTGTACACGCTTATCATGTTTAAAAACTGCATTAACATGGAGTTTTGTAATTCCATGGCTAAAATCTCCCCAAAACCTTTTCATTTTTTCACAACTAGCAGATGGCTGATCCATGAATTTTGGGTTATTAAACATGTTCAGGCTAACCAATTCAATATCACAACACTTACATTCCAAAGGGTTTCCACTCACATCTAGTATCTTGAGACTCAGTTGCGCATTAATACTCTTACAATTATGTTCCAAATTAAAAAATCTAGGCAAAATTCCAATGCTTGGATAAATTAGTCCAAAAGGAATGAGTGCTGAACCCAAAACAATGGCTTCACTTGAACAAAATCCCCAACCTAAATCCCGAATCCCACTCTTGAAAAGCCCAAATTCCAACTCGGGTTCAACAAAATCACCCTTATCCGCACAACACCAGATCTCGTACTTCATATCAATCCAACTAAATTGGATGTCCCTAGTTACAAAAGCCTCATTGACGCTCTCAAAGAATTCACGAAACTTCTTAATCAACCCGTCCACATTGCTCAAACACTCATCATCCAGTTCCACACTTAAGAACTCTGAGAAGCATTTCGAAGACCTAATAACTGGGGAAAACAAAACAACTAAATTCGATTTAACAAAAGAGTCGCGATTCGAAAACGTACCCGCAAGTGAATCACAGATCACCGAATCCCACGGGTAATCATGAACGAGCTGCCGCATCGAGGAAGCGAGGTGAAAAGCCCGAGGCGAGAGGGAAGAGATCGAAGTTCTATCGAAGGTAGAGAGGAGAGAAGTGAGGGTCTGAGTGAGAGACTCGAGGGTGGAATTTGGGTGGTTGAAGGAGAGAGACAGTGAAGGAATGTTGAGCTTAGAGGAGGAAAGGATAGGAGAGAGGGAAGAAAAGAAAGGTTTAAATGAGAAAAGAGAAGATGAAAGAGGAGGGAAAGAGAGAAGAGTTCTGGCGGTGGAAAGAAGAGAGGCCAGGTATGGGTTTTGGTCTTCGAGGTAGAGAAATGGGTTTAGGTCTATGAGAAGAACTACCCGTTGGGTTCGACTGTAATCTGTGATCGAATCTATTACTGCCATTACAGAGACAGAAGGAAAGGAGTTCTTTTACGAGTTCCGGATTGAGGATTTTGGAAGCTAAAGAGAAGGGGAAAGGGAAAAGGAAGAAGCGTCAAACAAAAACGATGTCGTTCATACCAAATAACTCGAGGATGAGGGCGGGAATTGAAAAGTGGTGTTTATATGGCGGGCGCGTTTTTGCTGTTTGCTGAACTTAAGTGGAAAAGGCCCGGAGGAAGTTGGATAAATGCTCTCAAGTACTCAACTCAAAATAAAATTTCAATTGAATCCTCTTTTCCTTTTCCATAATTAAATCCCCAAAATCAAAATATTAAAAAATATTTTCTTGCTTCTCCTATTACTGAACAAATTACCATACACTTTATGTAATGTTAGTTGTAATTTAAACCAAACCAAAAGAAGTATATTTCTTAAACTTTTAATTTCTTAGCCATAAATCCTTGCACATTTGTAATTTAACATTTTAAAGATGCTATAAATTGAATTTAAGAACTAATAGTGCAATGATGAGAATAAATTTAGTTGTGAAAATAACCATTTTGCAATTAGTTTGAAGATGTGCACCCACATACTCAATAAAATTAATTTTTGGGAAAATTTTATCCCTCATGATCGAGAGAAAAGTTTCTCTTCAGATTGTTTCCCTGCTTGTCGTCCCAAGGTTGTGGGAAACTTTTCCCTTGTGTAACGGATAGAGAATCACCTCTGCTTGCTCGCACCAGAAAATAACCCACGCCAAACCTGAAGATAATGAGAGCGTTTGATACCATCTCCGTCTAAATCCATGAATTTCTCTTCGTCAATTCGACAAGAACAAGAATTTAAATGAACCGATAAAACCCTAACAGAAGCGATTAACATGTCTACCTTTTCTGCCTCTGTAGTTACCTGTAATCATTTGCTGTCTCATACACATTCTTTAACGCCTTTCCGTTTTTTTAATCTTCCCGATTCATGCCCTTCCCCTTTTTCTAAGTCCCCTTTATGTCCCCTTCATCTCCGTCATTTTCGAAGAAAGGCCCTAACTTTAGTTTCCTGTAAATCCTCCGAGGCAGAAGAAGAGTTGTCATCCACAGAAGACGAGTGGCTCAAGAGACTTCCTGACAAGAAAAAGCCTTTGTATTCTCACAGCTTGCCTTGCATTGAAGCTTGGCTAAGGGATTTAGGGTTTTACCAGAGCAAGGACGACCGTGCTGTTTGGTTCGTCGAAAAGCCGGAGTGGCGTGCCCAGTTATCTCTTGATATGACTGATCTATATATAAGGTAAAATTTTGGGTTTTGTGGTTTTCCAATAATATGGCAATCAAATGCACATGTTATTGCCATTCCTTTGTAATTTATAAATTTCCTTGTTTTGCAATCCTGATATCTATTTTTTCTACTAATTGAAGTTCCTATACAGTGTTTCTTTCTCTGTCTTACTGTATTATGTTGATAAAATGGCAATTAGATATGGAGCTAACACGATGGTACATTGGATCAATGTAAATCTTGCTGGGTTACTATTTTATCAATACTTCTAGAAGAGCCATTATATAAGCCTTGCCAAATAACCTTATGATCGTCAAAAATTGATTTTTCCAGTTAGAGAGTTAGGACTACTGCAAATGTTAGTTTCAGCTACTTTAACACAACATTCCTAGACCTGCAAAAGGTTTGATATGTCCATTTTATTGTGGTTTAAAGTAGCATTCTCTGTAACGAAAGTTATGTTGCAGGAGTATCCTGAATCCCTTGCTTTTTCTTTTGCCGGGTATTCTTTTTTGAGAATGAAAATGTTTTGGCCTGGGAGTGCTAGTATTGCTGCATGTTAATTGTTCCATATATTTAATTGCTTTAAATAATTTGTAGCCATCAAATTGAGATTGTTTACATTCTTTCACCCCTCCAATTCTTTTTTGCCTGTCTTTTATTCACCTTTCCAAAGAACTTGTCTATTTTCTAATCTTATATTTGTGATGAGCTATGTCATGGGCCTCTTTGTTTGTGAATCATAAATGTAAGGGCATAGCAGGAAGGATTTTGGGTGGGTTTAAGTGAAGAGATTATTCTGATGTTGACCCTTTAAGAGACTTTCAATAAATAGTTTAGTTGACAACAGCAAATACAAATTAGCAAGTGAGGTTAAAAATTTTCAGGATAACAATAAAGTCGCACTACAATTTTTTGAAGTTTAGGACAATGGCTTGGTAGAAACGAGTTATGCTGCTTTGGAAAGCAAAGAGGATCTTAAATATGGAGTTGAATTTGGATGGATGAAATGCTTATCTGCATAGTTGGACATCTTTTAATCCAGAGAAAAACATGATTATATAACAAGTGATTGCATACTTATAGATCGTGTAAATATAAAGTCTTAGTTCTGTCAAACAGTAAGATTGATGAGTGGTAAGTGAGTAGATGGCTAGCGATCTGTTTCAGTTTCAGAGAATTCGGAAGTGGTGTTGAATGAGGCAATTCACAAAGTTTGCTGAGTTTGTGTTACCCCTGTCTTCCAAATACAAATGAATCACACACAGTTACTGGAACCATTATCCTGGGTTCTGTTCTGTGTTGTAGTTCACAGATCAAGTGGTAATATTGCTTAACACTCTGTTTGGTTGGAGGTGAAGGAGGAATATATAAGGGAAAGGAGAGGTAACTAAAATATATATATCCCCCTTTGAAAAGGGTGAGTTAAGGAAGGATGAGAGTAAATAAGGGTAAGCCTTACCCTCTTTTACCCCTCAAATCTCAAATTTTGTTACACCCCAAATTGGGATGTAAGGAGGAGAGGTAGGTAACTTAGTATTTTTGTACTACATTTAATTATTTATTTCTCTTTTTGCCTTTCCATTAATTCAACCATTTACAAACATCAACATAATTTTATTGTAACTCCTCTTGCCTTTCCCCTTCCTTACCCTTCCTTACCCTTCCATTAATTATCCTTCCCTCACCCAATCCAAACAGAGTATTGATTGAATCTATGGAGTATAACTGGGCTTAATTTTTAGCACAAAAAAATGTGTGACTTATGGAGTTTACATCAAAGCTAGCTAACCACAATTTACCAAATAAAGCATATATGCATGTACACCTATTGGGAATTCAAGAGTTGATTTGCTGAACTTTTTTGCATAAATATTAACAAATTATATGCTGAGAAGTTTGTCTTATGATACAGGTACTTGAAGAGTGGACCAGGGAGTCTTGAAAAAGATGTGGAGAGGAGATTCAGTTATGCATTGAGTAGAGAGGATATCGAAAATGCCATTCTTGGAGGACCTTAGAACGGAGTGAAAGCATTCCTGCCATTGTATGTTGTAGTGAATAACTTATCTTGCAGTATTTAACTACATTATCGGGTGTATCATTTATTAACTCCTACCTTGAGCAATTCTCATTTGCATTTTTGTGCAATGTAATATCCATAATGCCCCTATTTGTTATTTTCTTAGGAGGCATATTACATTCTATTGTCTTCTGAGGCATATTACATTCAATCAATACATATATGCAAACTAATAATTAGGAAGTTGAAATGATTTGGTCATCTAGCCTACTGTCTGATGAACAATAATCCGTTGTTGATGATTATACCATCAAATTGATCTTTGAAAAACTGAATCTAAAAAATTGAAAACATCTGTAAGCGTTTCTATTAAAAATCGAGGAAATCCATGTCTGATGCAAGAGGGATGTATTGATTGAATTTGACACGATGGGTAGTACTTCATTCCACCCAGGATGGCAGGTTCTGTTTTTAAACGTCTGAAGTGAAAATAAGATTACTTTTCCAGCAGAAGATTAATGGAACCCAACACTTAACTGAAAATGAGAATATCTTTCCAGAAGCATAATTCAAGCGTCCTCGGGAACGATTATCAGGCTAACTCGACCACAAATATTCTTTCCGGAAAAGCTCAAAAGCCAAAATCTAGAACCTACTTTGATCTACTCTTCTTACTTCCGAAACAACGATACGAATAATTATGCACTTACCAGAAAAACAAGAAACACGTTAGCACAAATGGCGGACAAGGAATATAGTTCCCTCCTATGTCAACTCTGTTCTTCTGTAATATGGAGATGTAGAAACCTACTTTTTAGCCAGCTAAATTGCCAACTGGGCATCGCCTTTTCTTGGCCAAAAGTGCAAAAGTTGCTATTCCCTTGGAAGTTGAGAATTAAACGTGTCATCTAATCAGTAATCATAACGGAACCCGTAATAATCCCCAAATTTACCGTTTGGTCGTCCAACAACCGCCTAAAATGCTTTAGTGGCACACGTTAACACTGGGCCGGTTTAGTTTCGTGAACCGGCGTCGGTTGAAGAGACTGTTAAGTGATTATTTAACAAAATTAATAATCAGAGATTAACTTACAAAAAAAAATTCTAGAAACCGAGTTTGGGATGGCTATTGCCAATTATAATCAATTGCCTTTAGAAATAATCTTGATGTTCAAATACTGCCACACATTGGATGGGAACTTCTTTTCTCCCTTTTATCTTTTCCACCCCAATCCTACAATATCATACGTTCCTATTTCCCCACTTTGCTGCTTAGACAGACTGACATGAGATTAACATTAGATAAGATTAACAGCTTCAATGTGCTTCTGCAGATTGATAATGAGACCAGTATTCCTTTACAAGCTGTCCAAACAGTGAACTTTCCCTCTTCATTAACTTCATTGGCTCATCATACTCTACTATTTTTCCTGAAATTTCAAAAAAAAAAAAAAAAAAAATCCCTTTACTACATTTAAAAAATTTCTTCTATGCATGAGACATGGCAAGAAATGATACCTACCATCGCTTATAGCAGACAGACTGACAATTGAGATTAACATTTAGATAAGAGTAACAGCTTCAATGTGCTTCTGCAGATTGATAATGAGACCAGATTCCTTTACAAGGCTGTCCAAACAGTGAACTTTCCCTCTTCATTTAACTTCATTGGCTCATCATACCCCTTGAACTTTCCCTCTTCATTAACTTCATTGGCTCATCATACTCTACTATTTTTCCTGAAATTTCAAAAAAAAAAAAAAAAAAAATCCCTTTACTACATTTAAAAAATTTCTTCTATGCATGAGACATGGCAAGAAATGATACCTACCATCGCTTATAGCGAGCACCATGGTGCAATCCATCACAGTCGGTATCCTATGAGCTACTGTGATCACAGTTGAGTCTGCAAATTCAGTTCGAATAGTTTTTTGCAGGATCATATCAGTTGCATTATCAATTGATGCAGTTGCTTCATCGAGCACTAATATTCGACTTCTCCTCAAAAGAGCACGCCCCAAGCAAAACAGTTGTCGCTGTCCCATGCTCCAATTTGCTCCATCTTCCACCACTGTATAACAAACAAGCACTCATTTGAATGTGTAAAATAAAAAATGGATATAAATCATGTGATTTAGCACTGAAAGACTTACCCAAGGAGTCTAGCCCTTGCTCTTTCTCCTCGACAGCCTCTCGTAGCTGGCACTTCCCAAGAACCTTGAGTATAGAAAAGAGAATTATTGATAATTGTTTTGAGCAATAACAGTTAACCCATGTGAAAATGAAAATAGAAAGTACCTCCCATATCTCCTGATCTGTGTGTTGAGATAAGGGGTCCAAATTGTATCTGACAGTCCCGTTAAAAAGAGTAGGATCTTGAGGTATTATTCCAAATCGCGACCTCAGATCATGGAGCCCAATTTTAGAGATGTCAATGCCATCTACAATAATCTTTCCACCTGCAGCCTCCACTAAACGAAATAGAGCTCCAATAAGAGTAGTCTTTCCACTCCCAGTACGGCCAACAATACCAATCTTGTGCCCCCCTTCAAATGTGCAACTGATTCCTCGAAGCACTAGTGGTGCATCAGGCCTGTATCTAATCTGTTTCAAGTCAAAATTTCTCAGTATACAGCCTTGATCAGTTATAACATTAAATATCAAGCAGAAGAACAAGATTACCTGCAAATCACAGATATCCACTCTACCTACTGCTGGCCAATTTGCTGGAGGACTGTTATCTTCTATTACCTCAGGGGCTTCACTTGGTATATCCATATACTGATTAAGCCTTTCAACAGAAATTATATAATTTGCTAGGGTGCACTGGTTTTGAATTGAAAAAACCAGGGACATGTTTAATGAAAGACCATAAGAAAGTGCCATTCCAATAAATCCTGCAATATATTAAGTACTCATTAGAATCTGCCAGATAGAAGAAGAGTCTACATTTCAACAATATTTGTTAAAGCATATCCAGATGAGCCAAGCAAATTCTAGTGAAGAAAGTTTATCTGCTCACCAGAGCTAAAAGTTCCAGGAGGAAGCAAAACCATGCAGAGTGCTGCAGAGGCAACAACAGTTGCACTGAACATTTCCAACCGTTGAATTAACCACTCATTTGCTGCAAAACTGTGAAAGAAAGGACTAGCATTTGTGTCAATGAGGTCAAGATTCTTTGCAAAGAATCGATCTTCCTCCCCAAAAGCCCTTATTGTCATAGCACCTGCCACAGACTCTGCCAAATGATTTGCTACCAAAGACTTGGTTGTACCATTGATCCTCATCAACTCTTTTCCAGAAGCAAAGTAATACCTCTGCAGATAAACTTTTTTCACTTAGCAGAATACTGTCAAATATTAATAGTAAAATTCCTATAAGGAAAGGGATTTTTCTAGAAATTTAGGCTGAACATTGCCATTATCACCTAACACTAATATATTGGAACATTCAGAATTTATTAAAGCAAATCAGATTAACATGCTATGTATTAGTTCTGCCATAACAGCTCATGTTGCCCAAAGTAAATTTTGTTTATTTAAAAACATGGGTAACTTGCACGAAATTGAAAAACTATCACTTGCAACTTATTACTCATGAAGAGCCTTGCAAGAATACCTGTAAACGAATTGCCAGATAAACCATTGGTATGGAGACAAACAGGACTTGCCAGGTGACAACAGCCAGTACTCCAAGATTAGCATAAGCATTTGTAGTAGCCCCAACAGCAAAGATTAGACTGAATGGAACATCAAGATCAACAATACTTAGATCAGATGATACCTATGTGAAACAAAGACATTCACAGATCAGAATCGTTAGCTGCACTTCAACTTTCTTTAAACTCTCAACATTTTCAATTTCAGATGCTTTTACCCGACTAAGTATTCTTCCAAGTGGTGTGGAGTCATAAAAAGCCATAGGTGCGCGGAATAGGGAATTTAATAGTTGTGAAAAAATAGACTTTGATGATTCAAGACCCAAAACAACTGTTGCCAGAACAAACAAACAGTTTTGCCAAAGAGATCTAACATAGCAAAACCAAGTGTTAGATAGGGAAATCCAATGATCAGGTAGAATGCAATCAAGCCGAGACTAATGAGACTTGACGTGAAGATTGTCAACATAGTGCCATCCAAGAATTTCTGTGATATCTTCCATAATAACTGTTAAGGTGAAAAGTAGGCAGCCAGTGGAGAAGTAACAGAGTTACTTTGTTCTGATTCACAGATCAGCTGAAAGTTTAAGGCTAATATCTGTATCCTAACTTTCTTTAAAATGGTATGGACTTTCTCTTATTTGTTTATCAAAATTGGTCTCCTTTAAGATATAATTTTAAAGTTAGCTTATCACTAATCATTAGTGTTTCTGGATCATTCACATCAAGATAAATCACTTTTTTTTAGTCAGGGAGAAGTACAAGTATCCTTTGTTCTGTTTCAGATACTGAATGTAAGGCTTAAATCCTGTGTCCCCTACTTCTTTCTCTTCTTGTTTGATCAATTGGTCTCCTTTAGATACTTCAAGTTGCTTCTCTACATATGTCTTCTTGATCTCCACATCAGATGATCCTTTTTTCTGTGGAGTACTAATCTCAGCAAGCCTCTGAGAACCAGCTGTCTCTTTATGAGCATTGACAAGGTCTTGAAATTCTTGGCTTGAGGCCAATAGCTGATGATAAGGAGCTGCTTGCAGGATTTCTCCATCTGACATCAACTGTCAACAAAATAAATGAATGCTACATTTAGCAAATTGAAGAATATTATCATTAACAGTATGTTGATCATAGAAAAACAAACCATAGTCCAGTGCCTGAATAAAAAAAATACTAACCAAAACTGAATCAAATGCTGGCAGAAAATCCACTTGATGCGTCACAAGCAGGACAGTCTTCCTTGAAAGTGCCCACATAACATATTCCTGCCAATATTAATATTTAAGTTAGCTTTCAAAGAAGGCAAGTAAACTAAGAAGTGAAGGAAATGGCGTGCTTTTAGGAAATGGTGATTACATTAAATAAGCTCGTAGCAGTTTGTGCATCAACAGCACTAAATGGATCATCCAAGAGATATATATCAGCATCCTGATAGAGAGCACGAGCAAGTTGAATTCGCTGCTTTTGTCCGCCACTAAGATTTACTCCTCTTTCTCCTATTTCAGTAAGGTCGCCATAAGGAAGCAACTCAAGATCCTTTACTAATGAGCATCTCTCAAGTGTATCTTGGTACCGCTGGCTATCCATGGCTGATCCAAATAAAATGTTGTCTTGTATTGTCCCGGTCTGGATCCAAGCCACTTGAGAGACATAGGCAATCCTTCCTCTAACTTGAATCTATAGATCATGGAAAGGAACAAGAATGTTAATCATTAAAGAACTGTTATTTGACTCATGAAGAGGTCAACTCAGAAGCAACCATATTGTTCATAAAACAGAAAATATTAAGGATTAGAAGAGCATGGCAATATTTATTGAGAGAAAGTCCTCAAAAGACCAGTTTACTTACACTTCCCTGTGTATTAGGAACTTCTCCAAGAATTGCTGCTAAAAGTGTTGATTTGCCAGAGCCAACTTCTCCACACACAGCCACCTTTTCGCCAGGTCTAATCTCCAAATTTACATTTCTTAGTGTTGGCTTTGATGAACTATCTTCCCATGAAAAAATGGCTGACTTAATAGAAATGGCAAGGTTCCCTAAATTTTAGAAATGCAAGGGTTTGCCCATTCTTCCATGATTTGCCTTTGCCGGCACATTTCCATTCTGGCAAATTCCTGGTGCTCAAGAAACTTTACAATACGCGCAAAAGCTTTACTACCTTTGGCTTGCGATACCACTCCAATAACATAGGGATTGATCTGATTAGCGAAATCTTGAACCTAAACGTAAGGTTGCCAAAACACAAAGTGAAAAACATTATCTAGCATGTTTAAAGGAACTTTTTAAGGAAATAGCAATGCACCAAATAAGGTAGCAGCAGAGACCCAAAAAACAGGAGAGACCAAAAGGAGAAAGCCATTATAAGCTTTTTTCCTCAATTGCGTACTGCGGCTGACAACCAATGTGTACTCTTCCTTTCCTTAGAGTTTTCTTCTTAACATTTTTGCAATGTGTTTTCCCCAGGAGCATAATAATTCAAGACCTTCATGTTAACCTAGAGATTCAGTAACATGCTTAATCCTCTATCTTGGTGCAAAAAACCATAAGCTTAGAAAACTGAGAAATTTATGTTGCACTTTGCTAATGGAAGTCGTTTGCATAGGAACGTAAATTATTAAATAAATACACTAAAGGCTGCGATTTGTTGCCAGCCAATGCAATTGAATAGAATGACCAAGAGAGAGAACAAAGCTGAAGACTTGTAGTCCATGTCTGATGAAACCAAAAGGGGAATCTTTCACCAATTCTTAATAAGCATCTACAGTGACATAGTTTCATTATCTCAACCGCCTGAGTGCAATCAATCTACGGCGCACTTTGCAGACATAAATCCTCAATTGCTTCTTATAGATTGCAGCCCGTAAGCAAAAGAACCTCACCTTCAAAACCCAATAAGCGCTAGACCTAAAATACATTGCCTTTGTGATAAGGACCTCCAAGCTCTTTGAAACGCAAAAGTGTTAACAGCTTAATAAGATACCCTTCATATTTTTGAAACTTGCCTTTTTTTTTTTCCTTCAAGGCAACTAAAAAAATGAAGGCATTAAAGCAAGCAAAGGACTGCTGACATAAGTAAGAATCTTTAAAACAAGGCTCCAAATGAACCAGAAATGAGAATCTCTTTCCAGGTGGCAATAATACGATCGTTCCTCAAAAGCATTGAAGGTTGAGAAGAATGGTTTTGCGTTGTTTTAGCTTCAATTTAATTTTCTCTAGGAAAATGAATATAACAGCTTTTTCTGGCTTGAATTTTCTGCTGCTCGTAAATTGGGTCATAATCTTTTCATTCTCAAGTGAGAGTTTTCTCTTCTACCCCTTTTTTTTCATTTCAGTGGAATTCATTCCACCAAAAAAATGAAATTGTACTGAAGAATCCTGCATTTAAGCAAAATGAAAGTAAACTTTGGACCAACAGACATCAGTTTTTACTAATTCCAATTGGCATGGTCACCTTTTAAAAAGAGGAGCGTAAAACGGCCATTTTCATTCTCAATCAATCTCCTCCTGTTTTACAGGCTTCATAAGCACAGAACAGCAATAATAATTGCTCTGGAAAAGACGCAAGCATCCTTCTAAAGTCTTGTCTTAACTGGCATATCCATTGCCTAAAAATGGCAGCAAACAGGGATAATGCACATAAAACAAATCCAGCAAACAGAAACACACAGCGCAGAACACATAGCTTTTGAACAAAGGCTTCCTTGGAAAGATTTTTTACCTTGAAGGCTAAATGGTTAAAAAAACGCCACCAAACAACACGTCAAAAAACCCCTGAAAACGTGCACTAAAACATCTGTTTAAAGGGTAAGCAGTCTGGGTTTTCGAAACCATCTGTTTAAGGGTAAGGCAGTCTGGGTTTTCCTCAACTTCTCTTCTAAAATAAGGATGCCCAAGCACAAGTACGCTAAACCAAGACAGCCATTGAAGATGGCAGAGACTGTTTGTAAAATTGAAAACTTTCGAAATCGTTGCCGTATTATATCGGTTTTTAATGATGATTTTTTTATGAAGGTAAACAAGAGCATGAACAAAAGCAAGAAATCAAAGCAAATGATCAAGGCATGGTTGACACATGAAGTGGGTCGACTTAAAAATACAAAATTAGAACTGTATGGCTTTGCAGTAATTTCTGAATTGCCAGATTCCCCACAAAATGTAGTCCATAAGTCTTCCATGTTATTTTTCTTCTCTCTTTGCGGTTTTCTTCAAACTCTGAATAGCATAAGATAATTGTTCTTTTTTCTAAAAGCTTCAAAAAAAAAAAAAAAAAAAAAAAAAAAAAAAAAAAAAAAATCATCCATCAACTGCCCTGTGAAAGAATATTTTTATAATCCACAATAAAAAAAAAAAGAAAAAGAAAACAACTTCTACGTCCACTATGGACACAAAATAATTGCAAGGTACAAGCAAACCGTGAATATTCAAATGCCGGATAACCACAAACAGATGCACATAAAGAAAAATGATTCGGTTCAACCAGGCATAACAAAAAAAAATTCTTGTAATGAAGAAAGTTTGAAAAAAAAAAAAAAAAAAAAAATCATCCATCACTCCCTGTGAAGAATATTTTATAATCAACAATAAAAAAAAAAAGAAAAAGAAACCACTCTACGTCCCACTATGACAAAATAATTGGCAAGTACAAGCACCGTGATATTCAAATGCCGGATACCACAAAAGATGCAATAAGAAAAATGATCGTTCAGGCATAACAAAAAAAAAATTCTTGTAATGAAGAAAGTTGAATTAAAAAGCAGAAAGGTGCAATCTCTTTTGCTCTTGTAATAGCAGGAAAGTTGAAAAGGCAGACAAAAATGCAGTTTAAACTTTTAAACCAAAAAAGAAAAAATAAGTTTCGTCCGCGAAAGAAATTTGCATTTGTATAAATAGTTAAAAATAAAAAGCTTATATGATCTTCAACTTGCTGGACGTAACTTATATGGACAAAACGTGATCACAATGAAAATAATTTGAAGAACACTTCAAAAAACCAAAAGGTTAGGAAGCATTCACAACCACCTGTAAGACGACAGTACCATTTATCCAAAAAACAAACAAAAGCAATTAAACTTTTTCGAGAGACAGAGAAAGTAAAAGACGACTACTAACCTGAAAATTGCACGTAAACCGAATCCTTCTTCTGCAATGAAATAATATTGCTCCTGGTAAACAATGAATTATATAATATTGACCTTTTTTTAGATAAAAATTACTTTCTTCTTTTCTTTTTAGAAAGATGAATTAAAAAGTGAAGTGAAGTGTCCCTCTTTGTTTTTCGACCGTGAACAACCGTGAAATGATAGAGACGGAACGTGGGAGAGGGAAATAGACGATGGAAGGGAGAGAAAACCAATAAATTAAAGAGAGACGACAGTGCCATACCGGGCCGGGTAGACACTAAACTGAGTCGGATGTCGTCATGGCTCACGTCTTTCCATTGGTCGACGTGTGTTTCGGCTTACGTGGATAGTTTCCTTCTTTGCTGCATTTACAGATACGATCAAGGATTATAGTTTTTTTTTTTTTTTAATTTCGTATGATGTTAAAATACAGGAACAAAAATTCCGCTTTATTTATTTATTTTATTAACTCTGATCTAACTCATTTCTTAGTGTAATTATTTTTAATAATAATAATCAAATAAACATCAATTCTTTTTATTTTATATATGCATAGATCCACATAATTAAATGATGATGGGCTGACAAATTTTTTCAGTTTTTAGACGGTGATTTGATTTAAAATTAAAATAAATATTGTAATCTTAGTGATGTCACTGTAACTAAACTAAATTAGGTTACATAAGAAAAATTTACAGAATTTATACAACCAACTCTGGGAATTTTGTTTAATGAAAATTTTAATATTAAAAACTAATTTTAAAATATGGTTTAATTGATATATTTTATAATAAAAAAATTTGTAATAGCAGTTCAAATCTTGGTACGTGTTCCACTTACTTATGATTTGATAATTACTATGATTTAATAGAATTAAAATGATTAAGACATTAGATAGATAATGATTATCTAAAGTTAGCCTCTCTCCTAAATTTATGAACAGTACTGTTAAGAGTCAACACCGACCGACCAATGAATTCAGTACTTGAGAGAAATTATTGTGTCATAAAGTTTCAATGTTTTGGAAATCAAATTGGATACGCCGATGTATATAATAATTAAAATTTTCTAAAATAAATATCTCCAAAATGCTTGGTGAGAATGGTTGTTGGAAACGGTGTCTCATTTCCTATTTTTATTATTTTTTTTATATGTACAGGGAAGGAAAAATAAAAAATTATAATTTTATTTCCATTCAATTTTTGACGTATCTATCAAATATTTTAAATCAATATTATATTTTTTATTTTTTATATAAATTTTCTTTTCACTTACCGTGTCACTTTTTATTTAATATTGTGAATAAAAATTATAATATAGAATGAAAATATTATTCAATTTTCATTTTTATTATATAATATTCTCAACAATGACAAATATAAATGTTGCAATAAAAGAAAAATTATAAAAAATTCAAAATATTTCTGATTCTATAAACTCGTTTAGTAAAGTACAAGTTTTCAATATAAAAAAAATAAAACAACAAACAATAATGATATGAAATAATCGTAAATGAGTGTATGTATATTCCACTATATCAATTAAAATTGTTATTCTTACTTTCAAAAAATTATAATTCTATATTTGTATATTTTTGCCAATTTAACTGAAGTGAAAAAAATATATTTTTAAGGAACCATAATTTATTGCGAGAACATAAATAATTATTTATTTAATATATTTTTATGATGCAGCAGAGTAGCAGCAGCCATACCACGTGAAATTCCCTGTCAATCCCAGTCTATGCCAAGGCCAAGGCCACGCAAATTTAATCATGTCCAACTTTTTGGTAATTTACCCAATTTCTTTGTTTTCTTCTCTAGCTATATAGATTAGGACTATAATTTACTGAACAAGTCACGTGTTTTATCATTATAAATTAGAAAACGGAGAAAATAAATTTGAGGCAGCGGACGAAAACTCTCTTGAACGTGATTTGATAAATTGATTAGAATTTTTTTTCTTTTTTTTTAAATAATTATTTATTAATCAATATTTGCAGGGTCTGTAGATTAAATCCGAGATAGCAAGGATGAAAATGAAAAGATTAGATATCGCTATCACAAAATTATTATAGTTGAAGAATTAATTCCTTGTTAATGGAGCATGCCATTTGTCACGAGGCGGCTGACGTACGCATCAAAGTGACCATATTTTCCATATATTTGAAAATTCTCCTTCAAATGACAATTGTGGGATGGGGTATCCACTTAGTCAGTGGCAGTCAGAATCTGCTGCACCTATAAAGAGCTAACGAAAAATATTCTCAATTCAAAAAGGAATCTAAAAATAAAAAGCTTAAACATTGTAGTTAATATTCACACCTGTGCTTCATTTTTACCTAAAATAATTTATATAAAAAATATTTTAAAACTTTTTGATGATTGAAATATCCAAGTAAATCGATTGGTCAATAAAAAATATTTTTCTTAATTTTTAAAAAATAATTTTTCATTTTTAAGAAAGAAAAATAAATTTTAAACATTAATAAATTTATATTTTTTAATTCATTAATCAGCGATAATCACCACCATGAATTGTGATCATACCGTCAATTGTGACCATTGGGTTCATCGGTCATCAAAAGTTATCAAATTTATTATTTTTATGCATATTTAATTATTAAATTATAAAATACGAAAATATCTATATAAATCTTCTTTTCCAATACTATATATAGAGAGAGAGAGAGACACGCATGCACATTTGGCGTTTTGATGATAGCAGGGCTATAGTCACGAGACGACATGAGATGAGAGCATATTTAAGTTGATGAGGGAATGAGGAATAATTTCACGCAATGTCAAATCAAACATACAGAAACAAGAAAACAAAATAAAATGTACAAAAAACTAAAAATTGTCGGCCACAAAACCGTATTAAGACAAATTAACAACAGGCAAACTCAACAAATCTTTTGTCTGTTCTAAAGATGACTGATACAATTTCTTCATCTCATTCAGCAAATTTTGCATACACTTTCTCCCACTGAGCCCATTGCATTTCTGTATGAAGATAAATGGATGTAAAGTTTCTACTTGTAGCTATAATAACGAGTAACGACATGTAGTTTTTAAATTTACGAATAACTGAGAAGGACCTGCAGAGCTATAATTGTTCTTGCGATGCTAGACACTGATCAATGTCATCCCTTCCGCTTCGATTGCGCAAGCTGGTGCTATGATAGATCTTAGGGAAAATTATATTATTATATAAATATATAAAATCCCAAAAAGGCCCATCCCATGTATACAAAGAAAACGGTGGTTAATGGATCTACCAATCTGACCCAGATTTTTCTTTCATGTTTAGTGCCTCAGCCCAATGTCTTTAGGCCTACCCAGCCCAATTTTTCTAACGACTGAAACTGAAATTAAAATTTAAAATTCAAAAATTTAATCATGTAAATATTTACATTAAGATTAAGGAAATAAATTAACCATATATCAGTTAATTAGGCTGTCATTCTCTACCAAGAGCATCTATTTGTATACGTCCGTCAGAAGAAAATAAATTAATCATATATTAGTTTATTGTTAATGTCTCGTACATTTTTTATGATGTAATCTAATTTCATCAAATTAAAGTATCTATAATAAAAAAAATTATATTTTAATCTTATAATATAAATTTTCTTTTTAATATAAAAAAATAAAGAAAATTATTTGACGTTTGAGATGAGATGACATAGATTACTTTTATTTTAATGATAGGTTTCAAATATTAGATAAAGTTTCTCTTTAAAACACTGATAAGGAAGCGTGACAACACAAGGATTTTTAATCTTGAATGATTAAAAAATAAATAAAAAAATAAAGAAAATACTGTAAATAAACTCATACATTTTGGAATGTTAGAACTTTAGAAGGAAGCTATTATTGTATTTCCTTTTGGGTTGGATGCATTTCTTTTGTCGCAAAGAAATGAGTTGGATAATTATTATTTGAACAAAAAAATGACGAAGAAAAATTGGATTTCTTTAATGACCGGAAAAAAAGGTCGTTACTTTGGGTGTTGTAATCGAAGAGAGAGAGAGAGAGCCCATAGAGAAACCAACCCAAGAACCACTTCGGCTGCAACCACTCACCCATATCACTTATTCTCGTATAAATCCAAATCAAGAACTGGCATCTGTCTAATGCGCTTAAATTTTGATGGTAAGGAGATGATTGAAGATCCAGAGACATTTTCATTTTACCAAAATCCAAACTAGAGGGTGAAAGATGTATAGCAGTGGCACTAAAGGATCGAATAACCGGGTATCTAGTAAAGTGTCTGGATCAAGAATTCCAACTTTATTGTTCTCTATGTTTGCCACCTTCGCTTCCATTTATGTTGCTGGCAGATGCTTGCTTAATTGCTTTGCTTCTCTTATATATCTCAGACTCTCACTTGCTTTTCCTTTATTCTTTTGGTTCTAAGTGATATAGTTGTATTCCCTCTTCCTTACACCTCTAATTGCTTATATGGTTTGATGCGGGAGGTAGATTATGGCAGGATTCAGAGAACAGAGTTTATTTGATTAAAGAGCTTGATAGGATAACAGGGCAGGTGGGTGTTCAATTTTTATTTTATTTTATTTTTACTGTGTTTTCTTTCATGAAGTTTGAGCTTAATTTTACTTTCCATCTGGGTTTCTTATTATTGATATTTTTGTCAAGTGAAGTTAATTAGAAAGAAATTATACCTGCATGTCTCCTTCCCTTATGATGATAAGCTAATATAGTCTTGGATATGATGTTGAAAAATCTCACAGGCTGGATCGCCTGCATGATTCCCTGTATCGTCATTTCTTTACTTTTGTTTGTTTGAATGGGTTTCAGAAAACTTACTGTTGAATTCTGGTTTTTCTTTTTAGGGAAAATCTGCTATTTCAGTGGATGATACATTGAAAATAATAGCCTGCAGGTAATGTGATTATTCGATTTGGTTCAACTTAACCTAGGCTTTTCAAACATTAATATAACATTGATACCATTTTTTGTAATTTTTGGTTACTATTATTTCTTTGTTAGGGAGCAACAAAAAAAGTTATCAGCACTTGAGATGGAATTGGCTGCAGCTAAACAGGAGGGTTTTACTTCAAGCTTCGTAGCAGATAATGATGGGATGAAACCGAAGAAAAGGCATTTAGTAATAATAGGAATACTGACAAGGTTTGGCAGAAAATGGGCCAAAATGTTGAAATATAGGCAGATTCAAAAGTACTGAATTTGTGTGCGATGTGGCCTATGTAGATTTTTATAGGAAACACCATTAACTACTAGAGCTGCAAAAGATGTAGCCTGAGCAGTCAGCTCTCTAAAATGAGCTCTCAAGCAAACCATAAGAACTAAAATATCTGTCTTTTGGAGAGACTAGTGATATACGTTTTGCTTGTTACTAATTTTGTTCTTACTAATCACTTAATTTTGTGTACCTAAATTCTTTGTATGGAACATGTGATTTTCCAGAAGTAACCAATTTTTGCTTTTGATGTTATTGGTTTTGGAGGTTCATGACCAACTCTTTGTTCTTTCAGGTATAACCTTGAGCAAAATGGAGAATGAGAAGGGTATAGTTGCACGTTTTGTTATTGGAAGAAGGTAGCCAAATGTGCTAGTACATTTGATTTCTTGTTGTTATTATGATCTACACTTCTTTCCTATAATCTTTCTTTTGTTATGATTCATGCTTAAAATATTATGATGTTTGCTATGTTATCTTGCAGTGCAAATCGTGGAGACAATTTGGAGAAGGCTATTGACAATGAAAATAAGCAGACTAATGACTTCATCATTCTTGTATGTCTATGAATGACAAAAAAAACAGCTGGACCTTGTGATGTCGAAGCAGTCTTTTACTGCATGAGCTCAATTATCTGTTCCTTATTGCCCTCTTCTCTTTGCAGAATAATCATGTGCAGGCAACTGATGGGCTTCCCAACAAGGCTAAACTATTTTTTGCTCATGCTGCGGATAAATGGGATGCTGAGTTCTATGCTAAAGTCAATGACAATGTTTATGTTAATATTGGTTAGTATTGTTGTTGGATTATCAGTAGTGGGTCTTTTAGGATTTGACACTTCCAACTGCCAAGTGATATCAAGCTTGCCAAATTGTATGAGCTTAGTTCTCATGATGATATTAGGAAAGCCAAGTAGATTAGCAGCTCCAATATACTCAGGATTAGTACTTTCTCCTCTGCAAGATTCAATTTTTATAAAGCTTTTTTGACTTTGAAGTGGATGTCTGCGTGCTGTCTTTTTTTATTTCCTTTTCCTTTTCTTTTTAAAAAATTTTGCAGATGCCCTTGGAACTACACTAGCAAATCATTTGGATAAGCCTCGTGTTTATATTGGCTGTATGAAATCAGGTGAAGTTTTCTTTGAACCGTGAGTTTCTCCTATAAATTACAAAATAAATGAGAATAGAAAACTAAGCTTTGGATGTCTTTTACTATTTTTCCCATGCTTATCTGCTGGAATGTGGCAGGAGTCATAAATGGTATGAACCAGATTGGTGGAAGTTTGGCGATAAGAAATCGTGAGTTTTTCTTTAACCAATTTAATGTCTATTTCTATAAACAATTTATGTTCGTATGACGTGTATTTGATAAGCAAGAATTATGCATGTTAAAGCTATAGCATTTAGGAGCAAGAAACCTCTTAGGTCTTATTAGGTTTTATTCTTGTCTGTATTCTAGTATTCCTTCATGATTGCCTTTCTAAACTGAAATTTTGTTTTCTTGTTCAACAGGTACTTCCGCCATGCTTCTGGTGAAATGTATGTCATATCGCGAGCTTTGGCTAAATTTATATCAATAAACAGGTATATTCTTCATCAATATTGTTCCAGCTACATAATATATGAGATTGACATGTTTAATTCCTGAGAAATGACTTACTGAGTGTGCAGATCTATTCTTTGCGCTTATGCACATGATGATATCAGTGCTGGATCCTGGTTTATTGGGCTTGATGTCAAACATGTAGATGAAGGGAAGTTTTGCTGCTCATCTTGGTCATCAGGTCTCCTCTCTCTCTGTCTCTCTATTTCTCTCGCATTGTACATGGAGATAAACGGTTACATATAATTAGTGAATTTGAGTTCATTATAAAGAGCTGTTTGGAGAGCTGTTTGGACCCTTATTTTCTTTTCTTTTGCTTTTTTCTCTCTTCCAGGAGCTATTTGTGCAGGTGTTTGATTTGATTTGCTTCCATATTTTGATAAAAAAATAGAAAAGGTCTGATCTGAATAACCCCTTTACTTTTCAAATGGTTGCTGGATTGAACTCCATCAGTGACAAAGATTGATTTGCTTGTATAGAACATTCGTCCAGTTACGTTTTGGATACACTAAACACACTGTGGATGCGAGATTCAAGAATCCACACAAACTGGAGATTCAAGAATCCACATAAACTGGTGGAGTCGGGCATATTCGTCATACATATTAATGAAAATGCTGCAATTCTTTCATTTGTTTGGACAAATATACGATGATTTAGTCTTAGGAGATAATACCATTAGTGGAAACCTTTTTCTTTTTGTTTTTTCTCCGGCGCATTAGAGAATTTTACGTGGAAGGCCAGGACTGTTGGCATGGTTTCAACCCTGACCTCATATAGTATGAATCAGAATAGCAATGAAACATCTTGCAAGTCTTGCTGCACATTCTTTCCTGCTGGACTAATTAGCTCTTAAAGTGTAATTGGCTTGTAATGTCTAATAAAACCTACATTGTCCTTTACTTCCCGTGTAAAATATTTTCGATGATTTTAAGTTTAGCGCCGAATATCTTTGTATCAAAAGCTCAAGAAGATGTAACCTGGTGAAAAGTAAGGCTAATGCCACATATATAAAATAATCCATGAAATGACATTTTTCTCAAATGATTCCCTGGATGAAGACTTGTTCAATCCTCCTGATAGAGTAGATATGCCAGAGGAAGATCTTATAATGCCATGGCATATTGGCCAGACAACAAGTTACAATCGACTCATTTTAGAATACCATATCATCAACAGGACAACCACCTGTGTGATGCAGCTAAATCTCAAATGCAATTATATATAGCAGACAATTACAGATTGCCATTGGCTATTGGAGGCCAGGACAAACAAAGTTTCAATCGGACAAACTCATTTTTTTAGAATTACCATATCATTCAACAGGACAACACCTGTGTGATGCAGCTAATCTCCCAACTGGCAATATATATAGCAGACAATTACCAGAGTCAATTAAAAATGCCAATTATGGTCTCATCGAAACGGAACATATAATTTGAATTTCCGTATTAATACCATACATACATATATATATATATATATAAACAAGCCTTCAGTTTGGATAAATTTTTACAATTGAGAACAAAGCTACGTTAGGACAGCGAAGCAAGGAACCACCATTGCTGGATTTTAGTTTTTTTCACTTATGTTTTACATGGATTAGAGCCTTGTTCAATCCTCCTGATAGAGTAGATATGCCAGAGGAAGATCTTATAATGCCATGGCATATTGGCCAGACAACAAGTTACAATCGACTCATTTTAGAATACCATATCATCAACAGGACAACCACCTGTGTGATGCAGCTAAATCTCAAATGCAATTATATATAGCAGACAATTACAGAGTCAATAAAAATGCAATTATGTCTCATCTGAAACAGAAATATAATTTTGAATTTCCGTATTAATACATACATACATATATATATATATATATAAACAAGCCTCAGTTGGATAAATTTTTTACAATGAGAACAAAGCTACGGAGACAGCGAAAGGACCACCATTTGCTGATTAGTTTTCACTATGTTCATGATGAGCTGTTAAGGAAATGTGCCAAAGCCTTGTCTGTGTCATTATCATACATGAGTAAAGCTTCAGCAACATTGTTTGACGAAAATCCCATTTCCCTTAGAAGGGTGTAGCCACTGGCAAATTCTTGAACCTGATGCAAAGGGAAAAAAGGCATTCTTATCAATCAGAAGTACTTATCTAGGATTAGTAAAAGCAAGCTTGGAAAATCTCTCTCCCTCTCTCCCCCTCCCTCATCCAGATAAATAAAAAAAATATGGGGGCTCTTCCTAGGTTATCATTCAGAAGGTTTCTAACTTCAACTAGCAGGCAGATTCATGGTGCTAAAGCAATTCTAAATAAATACACTTGACTTACACTGTAGAAATCAGCATGAGCATATGGTTCCAGATATTTGTTCAATGCATAGTCAGGGAAAACAGAACAATTGCTGATGATAAAGAGCAAAAGTGGTTCTCCAGCCTAAATATTAAATAAAAGATAACATGCCCACAGAATGGGGGAAAAAGAAAACCTTCGTTGGATTATCTCCATAGTTTGCAACTGCAAGAGGAACGGCTTCTCGATTAAGTCCGGATGCAATGTACTTGCTTACTACAGGATCTGCAGTTGAACCCTGCATTTGTAATGATGTTTCATCTCATAATTAAGTTATCTCAATATTCGGTCTAGAAAACAAGAAATCAATCAATAAATTAACTATGATTTTTAAAAGACGAAACCAAGATGACACCAAGTACTTAATATCATGAAATTAACCAATCATAGGTCTCATCACATAAACCAGAAGTATTATGTTTCAAGACATGCGATTGCCAACTACCATAGCAGGTATTAACTGTTCACATTATGTTGTGTCTCCACATACTATAAAGAGCCATGCGAGCATGAACTTCTCAACCGAAAAGACATACCAATGAAGAAGTTGGTTCTGTTGTTTTAGATGGAAGATTTTCCAACCCAAGCTTGCTCCAGTTCTGGCTTTCCTTCTCTGCTTCAGCTAAAATTTTCTGCTCAAACTCAAAGTTAAACTGGAAGTTGCTCCGAGGAATATCTCCCACTTGCAATGACAATTGAGGCTAGGCAAGAGCAAGTAAAGTTGACACCAATCAAGTTGAGTATATCTTCCAACTAAGACTAATTGATTGGGAAAAAAATAATCTGCTACAAGGCTACCATAACAAAAACAAAGTGGCTAAAGAATGCAATACAACAATGTAGGCATTAGGCAAATATTTTCTCAGTCATCATCTCCATAATCAGAAAAGTACCAAGATCACATCTCAAGTAGCTATCAAAGCCATTAGAAACAGATATCTTCCATATTGAATGAATGCAGCACACACACAGAGAGGAAAAAATCCGTTAGTTTTCTGTTATGGAATGCATTGAGAAGATTATATTTTGAAAACTCGGTAGAAGGTAGAAAGGCTTCCTTATCTATCCCTAGACCACACGTTCATATGCCAAGTGCAAAGTGTAAAGCTAATCATAAATTACCACCACATTATTTGAAATTCAGAATTCAAGAACAAAAATAATTATTATTGCCAATTATAATCTATTGCCTTTAGAAATAATCTTGATGTTCAAATACTGCCACACATTGGATGGGAACTTCTTTTCTCCCTTTTATCTTTTCCACCCCAATCCTACAATATCATACGTTCCTACTTCCCCACTTTGCTGCTTAGACAGACTGACATGAGATTAACATTAGATAAGATTAACAGCTTTGAAGAAGAATGTGGAAAATTATTATTGTATTTTTTTCATCAATAGGGTCACATATATATACATATACAAGATACTATAAACCTATTAGGAATCTAACTCCTAACAGAACTCTATTTACAAAGGGTCACACTATATATTACATATACAAGATTACTATTAAACGCTATTAGGGATCTAACTACCTAACAGACTTCTATTTACAAAAACTAGTCCTTAATTTACTCCTCCCAAGTTGGAGCATAGATGTTAATCATGTCCCAACTTTGTTACGAAGATAGTTAACCCGAGGTCCATTTTAGAAGCTTTGTAAAGATATCTCCTAACTGTTCACCTTGTTTTAACATGAGCCCTGTAGAGATAACACCTCTTGGTCTTTTGTTTGTATTTTCTTTTTTTATTTATTTTCAATTCTTTTTTTTTCTTTTTCACGAAATGAAAATGGACAATCAATCGTCGATTATGTTTTGTTCGTTCATGGAATTTACTGGATTGTGATTGCAATGGTGAAGAGCAGCTTGATTATCACACTCCATAACTTTGCGATGACTCTTGAAAGCCAATTCCTTAACAATTGACGGAATCCAATTGTCTCACAAGTAGACTTCTGCACCATAGCTCGATATTCTGATTCAGCACTCGATTCGTGGATACTTGTTTTCTTGCTCCTCCAATGATATCAAGTTTCCAACCCACCAAAAAGACACATTATCCTGAAGTTTATTATTCTATCAACCTTCTGGAAACCTGGCCAATCCGCATCCGAAAACACTCATGTCCTAATGCCCATTGAATTACTGTTTAAAGGAGGCCACGGACCTGGATTTACCTTTTCAGTAGCACAAATTATTCCTAAAGCTTTCCCGATGAATAATAACGTAGGAGAAGACATACACTGGCTTAAGACGCTCACAGAGTAAGCAATACTGGACGTCTGTACCATAAGAGATAATTTAGTTTTGCCTACCAATTTTCTATTCACATTACCAGGATTCATCAATAAGCTTTCACCATCCAATTGAAGTTGGCAAATTAGGAGTCATTTGAGTACTGCATGGCCTTGGCACCCCAAACTTTCCAGTTTCCTTTAGTAAGATCAAGGACATACTTTCTTTGAGATAAGAAGATGCCTCTTTCTTACACCTAGATAATTCATATACCCAAAAAATACTTCAAACAATCCTAAGTCTTTTGTCTGGAACTGAGTCTGGAGGAATGGGACTTGAGTGATGTAATGCTTGCAGGAATCAAATCCCTGTAATAAACAATTGTTCATCAACATAAACCTCAAGTAGAAATCAAACCAGTTTAGTTTTATCCTGAAAAAATACAGAATTATTCAAAAGTACTCTTCTGGCATGCAAATTGGTGAACCACATTTGCAAAATCTACCAAACCATGCTCTGAGGGACTCTGTTTTAGGCCATAATTAGAGATTTTCGAAGTTTTACACACATTTAACCCAATTCCCCCTGAGCAACAAAGTTCCTTGGTTGGTTGCTCCATGTAAGCTTTTCTCCTGAAGATCCCCATGAAAGAAAGGCAGCTTCTTTAACATTCAAGCTAACTGTAAAAGCTAGTCAAAGTCGGTTGCTAAAGAAATAAACCAACATTCGAACTGAAGACCCTTGGCCACAGGAGAAAAATATATCAAAGTAATCAAGGCCAATTAAAATGAGAATAATCCCTTAGAACTTAATCGAGCCATGGCACGGGCAATAGCGATCTATAATCGGGATTCATTTTAACTTTGTAAAAAACCCATTTACAAACCAATAGGCTTTCTTACCTTGCCAGGTTAGAGGCACCAAGATTCCAAGTACCTATAGGTATCTAACGCAAAGCCATCTCTCTTTCATTGCTGCACACCAACCAGGATGGTGACAAAGCTTGCGACAAACAAATTTTTAGCGATAGGAGACAGAATCTAGACGTACTTACAAACAACGTGCCCATGAAGGAGAAAAGATTGATCAGAGAAATTTAGGATAGGTAACACGTGCATTTTACCTTTTCGAGAGGCAATTGGGATGTTCAAGTCTGACGGAGCAAGTGGGATGGCACATGTCAGAGTTGATGGAGAGTTGGATCTTTTGTTGAAGCGGCGTTAGATAGGGAAACAAGTGAGTTTCAAGGCAGTTGCTGGGCCTTGGAAAAACTGTTCAAAATTTGAGTGCAGAACAGATTGCTGGTGGGCAGGAGGGGAAATAGGGAGAGCAGACGCCTATAGGTGAGCAGGTGCAAAGTTTCAGGGAACAGGGGTAACAAGGAGCTAGGCGCAGCGAACAATCGAAGCAGGAGGGGAGTAGGAAATTTTTGGGAATTAACGTAGACTACAAAACTCATTCATTCCTCCCCCTCACTTCTTATATTATAGGAGAAGGAAAAAAATGGAGTATTCTCAAAAAATGTGACCATGACAGGAAATAAGATACGGGGTCAGATGGGAGAGGAAACAAACGATATCCTTTTTGATGCAAGTAATACTTTGAAATAACAACGAAGGATTTTTGGATCTAATTTGGAAAAAACTGGTAGACGAAACATCACGAACAAAAAACAAAAGTACAACCAAAATACGAGGTTTAACTGGATAAAAGTTTTAGAAGGGAAACAAAGACCACTATTAAGGGATAATTGGGCACCATTAAGCAATAGAAAGAAGGACATTGCTGGATTAATTCACAAAAAAACATGCAGTAGAGACAGCAATCCCGCCCAAAATGTTTTAAGGGACCTTTCATTTGAAATAGGAGTTGCCATAGCAACCTTCAAAGAAGATTGTCGATTTTTCCTTTCTGACAACCCATTTTGAGAAGGGGAGTAAGCTAATCACACACAATTGTTGGATGAAAGGAATACCATTTTGTTGAACATATTAGGGGCATTTGGAGGAATAGATAGATATTTCTTTCAGCATTGTCACTTTGCAAATGTGCGGACAGAGGTATTAAATTGATTTTTAATCTCAGCGACAAAAGGATAGAAATAGCGAATAATCAAATGCTTTTTTCATTAAAAATAACTAAGTAACACGAGAATAATCATTCACCAAAAAGTTTTACCAAAATATTTCGAAAGCCAGTTTTAGAAATAACAGGACATGAAACCCCAAACTCAGAATGAACTACGAATGAACTAACTCAAAAGGGGATGAAGCTCGTTTATTGACTCGAGGAACTAAAGGTAAACGATAATGTTTGGAAAATTGACAAGATTCACATTCTAAAATCGATAAAGACTGAAACAGCGGACACAACTTCTTTAAAGTAGTCAATGCAGGATGACCCAAATGGCAATGAACCTCAAGAGGAGAGAGAGCACCAACACAAGCCAGAGATGACGAAACTTGTTCATCCAGAAGATAAAGGCCACCAGACTCACGTACTCTACCAATAATCCGCTTCGTCAAAAGATCCTGAACCACACAATAGGTAGGATAAAATTTAACACAATAATTCAGTAGACGAGTAATTTTGCTAATAGATAATAGATTGAACGAAAAACGAGGCAAACAAAAAACAGAAGACAACGGAAGAGATGGGATGGGATTGGCGGTGCCAATACACTTAACAGAAGATGTGGACAATACACTTAACAGAAGATAGTGGACCATTCAGCTAGAAGTAACATGACGATTTAAAATTGTTTAGGTTTCTTTTAATTTAAGGATAAAGAGACTTAGGGTTACCTGTCATAGATCTTTGTCGCAAACCAGAAACTCTTCAATGGACCCACTTATTGATTGAGGTAGATATAAGGACATGATAGATGAGGTAGATATAAGACATGTAGTAGGAGTACCTGAATTGGCAACAGCAGCAATTGAGGAATCAGTAGACTTAGAAGAGCGGTATTTAGAGAGCTCAGCATACTCTGCAGTAGAAATTGTTACAGTGTTCTCAGAAAAAGTAACTGCAGAATCTTGAGTGGCCATATTTGCCCTTGGGGGCTTATTTAGCAGTTTCTTACAATATCGTTTAGTGTGACCAGGTTCATGGCAATAACGGCAGATAAGACTGCTTGCCTCCTGATTAATTAGTCCATTACTACGGTTATGTCCTCCTCTTCCTCTGTTTCCTGGCTGTCTAACTATTTGATTACAACTCACAAGGGCACTATTATCATAAGCGGAAGGGGTATGAGAACCTTCAGTACGTAGTAATCTAGCAAAAGTCTCCTGAAGAGAGGTAACATCACTGCCTGAAAGAACCTGTGATTTGGCATTTGGCAGTTTTCTAAAAGTCGGAAGGCAATTTTACAGCCATTTGTTCTCGACTTGAGTCTGAATTGAACCTTAATATCAGGGGCTAAATGGTCATAAAACATATAAGTTCCTCGTAAAATTCTTCTTAAATTCCTGATGAGAATAAGCTGTGAGGGGACTTATCTTGTTGGTCGGGCCTGATTTAAATCCTCTTTCAGGGAACCTCATACAATTTACGGGATAGATTACACTTCATACATACGGGATAGATTACCTTTTCCCGAGTACAAAAATTCAAGATAATCCATCAGTTCCTTAACAAACTCACAATGATTAATTAAACCAATTACCTCACTGCCAATCGAATTCCGAAGCTGTAAAAATAATCGAGCATCCTCTCTAAGCCAGATTTGCCTAGCAGCTCCTTTAGGTGGATCATTCGTCAAGTGGTCATCCTTATCCAAACTACGAAAATATATACGAACTGTTTGACTCCATGCCAGAAAATTGGAGCCAATAAGTTTGTGTTCCGTTATTTTATTCAGTAATGGCACCATATCAGTGATAACAGGTTTCGATTCGGAAGTCTCTGATGGAGTATTCGTCATGATTTGTGATGAAACGCTCAAAAACAAATGTAACACAGCAAAGGAAAACTACGATTCTTGGTAACTTGATAGCAGAACAGCAAATAGGCAGCAGCACAATATAAATTCACAAATTCAGACTGTACCCGGCAAGGCGACAGCAAAGGTACAACACAAAAAACACCACAAAAATCAAAGAGAGCCGACGCAACACACTGGGTTGCACTGTACTGGCATAATCGACCCCGAAAACTGAGAGCCGGTGATAGGAGATGGCTGGACGCGCCCTAACGCGCCGGCCCGTGAAGAATGGGCAGAAACTTTGAGTGGTGCTTGAAGCCCACTCACGAGGATTCCAGTTACCGGATTCGGAGGGAGAGTCGATCGGCGGCTTGTCCTTCTTTCTAGGGTGGCGGTGAGACAAAAACACCAGCGGAGAGTCGATCGGCGGCTTGTCCTTCTTTCTAGGGTGGCGGTGAGACAAAAACACCAGCCTATGAGGGTGACCTAGACTGGCAGTCACCAAAAAATACCCTCTGCCTGTAGTTTCAGCGCAAAAAAGAGCAGAGAAAAAAATAATAACGAGCCCAGGAGCTCTGATACCATGAAGAAGAATGTGAAAAATTATTGTTGTATTTTTTTCATCAATAGGGTCACATATATATACATATACATGATACTATAAACTTATTAGGAATCTAACTCCTAATAGAACATTATTTACAACTAGTCCTTAACATCAATGCGCTTCTGCAGATTGATAATGAGACCAGTATTCCTTTACAAGCTGTCCAAACAGTGAACTTTCCCTCTTCATTAACTTCATTGGTTCATTGTACTCTACTATTTTTCCTGAAATTCCAAAAAAAAAAAAAAAAAATCCCATTACTACATTTAAAAAATTTCTTCTATGCATGAGACATGGCAAGAAATGATACCTACCATCGCTTATAGCGAGCACCATGGTGCAATCCATCACAGTCGGTATCCTATGAGCTACTGTGATCACAGTTGAGTCTGCAAATTCAGTTCGAATAGTTTTTTGCAGGATCATATCAGTTGCATTATCAATTGATGCAGTTGCTTCATCGAGCACTAATATTCGACTTCTCCTCAAAAGAGCACGCCCCAAGCAAAACAGTTGTCGCTGTCCCATGCTCCAATTTGCTCCATCTTCCACCACTGTATAACAAACAAGCACTCATTTGAATGTGTAAAATAAAAAATGGATATAAATCATGTGATTTAGCACTGAAAGACTTACCCAAGGAGTCTAGCCCTTGCTCTTTCTCCTCGACAGCCTCTCGTAGCTGGCACTTCCCAAGAACCTTGAGTATAGAAAAGAGAATTAAGCCGTGGTGGTGGCCACTTCCCTAAACTTGAGTATAGAAACAAGGACGCAATTACTGGATAATTGTTTGAGCAATAACAGTTAACCATGTGAAAAATGAAAATAGTGTTTTCCCATATCTTCCTGATCTGTGTGTGAGATAAAGGGGTCCTAAATTTGTATTTTCTGACAGTTCCCGTTTAAAAAGAGTTAGGGATCTTGAGGTTATTATTCCCAAATTCTCGCGAACCTTCAAGTCATGGAGCCCAATTTTTAGAGATGGTCTCAATTGCCATCTACAATAATCTTCTCCCACCTGGCAGGCCTTCCACTAAACGAAAATAGGCTCCATAAGAGTAGTTCCTTTTCCCACTCCCAGTACGGCCAACCAATACCAATCTTGTGGCCCCCCTTCCAAATTGTGCAAACTGAATTCTCGAAGCACTAGTGGCTGCATCAGGTCATATTATCTAATCTGTTTTCAAGTCAAAATTTTCTCAGTTACACACCCTTGATTCAGTAATATAAAATTAAATATTCAAGTAGGACACAAGTTTACCTGGCAAATCAACAGATATCCACTTCTTACCTTTTACTGCTGGCAATTTGTCTGGGAGGACTTTCGCTCTCTTTTCTTATTACCTCTAGGGCTTCAATTGGTAATTATCCATATACTGATTAAAGCCGTTTTTCAACAGACATTATATAATTTGCTTAGGGTCTGCACTGGCTTTGAATTTGGAAATAATCAGGGATATAATTTAAATGAAAGACCATTAAGTAAGAATGCCCATTCCAATTTAAATCCATGCAATTATATTAAGCTTAACTCATTGCGATAAATCCTGCAATATATTAAGTACTCATTGGAATCTGCCAGATAGAAGAAGAGTCTACATTTCAACAATATTTGTTAAAGCATATCCAGATGAGCCAAGCAAATTCTAGTGAAGAAAGTTTATCTGCTCACCAGAGCTAAAAGTTCCAGGAGGAAGCAAAACCATGCAGAGTGCTGCAGAGGCAACAACAGTTGCACTGAACATTTCCAACCGTTGAATTAACCACTCATTTGCTGCAAAACTGTGGAAGAAAGGACTAGCATTTGTGTCAATGAGGTCAAGATTCTTTGCAAAGAATCGATTTTCCTCCTCAAAAGCCCTTATTGTCATAGCACCTGCCACAGACTCCGCCAAATGATTTGCCACCAAAGACTTGGTTGTACCATTGATCCTCATCAACTCTTTTGCAGAAGCAAAGTAATACCTCTGCAGATAAATTTTTTTCACTTAGCAGAATACTGTCAAATTTTAATAGTAAAATTCCTATAAGGAAAGGGATTTTTCTAGAAATTTAGGCTGAACATTGACATTATCACCTAACACTAATATATTGGAACATTCAGAATTTATTAAAGCAAATCAGATTAGCATGCTATGTATTAGTTCTGCCATAACAGCTCACGTTGCCCAAAGTAAATTTTATTTATTTAAAAAAATGGGTAACTTGCACGAAATTGAAAAACTATCACTTGCAACTTATTACTCATGAAGAGCCTTGCAAGAATACCTGTAAACGAATTGCCAGATGAATCATTGGTATGGAGACAAACAGGACTTGCCAGGAAACAACAGCCAGTACTCCAAGATTAGCATAAACATTTGTAGTAACCGCCACAGCAGAGATTAGAGTGAATGGAACATCAAGATCAACAATACTTAGATCAGATGACACCTATGTGAAACAAAGACATTCACAGATCAGAATCGTTAGCTGCACTTCAACTTTCTTTAAGCTGTCAACATTTTCAATATCAGATGCTTTTACCCGACTAAGTATTCTTCCAAGTGGTGTGGAGTCATAAAAAGCCATAGGTGCGCGGAATAGGGAATTTAATAGTTGTGAAAAAATAGACTTTGATGATTCAAGACCCAAAACAACTGTTGCCAGAATAGGGAATTTAATAGTTGTGAAAAAATAGACTTTGATGATTCAAGACCCAAAACAACTGTTGCCAGAGATCTACATAGCAAAACCAGTGTTGAAGAAAATCCAATAATCAGGTAGACTGCAATCAACCGCAATGGACTGACGTGAGGCTTGTCAACATTAGCTGCCATCCAAGAATTCTGTGATATCTGTCCAATCACAAACGTAAGGTGACCAAGAGCAGCCAGGGAGAAGTACAAGTATCCTTTGTTCTGTTTCAGATACTGAATGTAAGGCTTAAATCCTGTGTCCCCTACTTCTTTCTCTTCTTGTTTGATCAATTGGTCTCCTTTAGATACTTCCTGTGTCCCCTACTTCTTTCTCTTCTTGTTTGATCAATTGGTCTCCTTTAGATACTTCAAGTTGCTTCTCTACATATGTCTTCTTGATCTCCACATCAGATGATCCTTTTTTCTGTGGAGTACTAATCTCAGCAAGCCTCTGAGAACCAGCTGTCTCTTTATGAGCATTGACAAGGTCTTGAAATTCTTGGCTTGAGGCCAATAGCTGATGATAAGGAGCTGCTTGCAGGATTTCTCCATCTGACATCAACTGTCAACAAAATAAATGAATGCTACATTTAGCAAATTGAAGAATATTATCATTAACAGTATGTTGATCATAGAAAAACAAACCATAGTCCAGTGCCTGAATAAAAAAAATACTAACCAAAACTGAATCAAATGCTGGCAGAAAATCCACTTGATGCGTCACAAGCAGGACAGTCTTCCTTGAAAGTGCCCACATAACATATTCCTGCCAATATTTAAGTTAGCTTTCAAAGAAGGCAAGTAAACTAAGAAGTGAAGGAAATGGCGTGCTTTTAGGAAATGGTGATTACATTAAATAAGCTCGTAGCAGTTTGTGCATCAACAGCACTAAATGGATCATCCAAGAGATATATATCAGCATCCTGATAGAGAGCACGAGCAAGTTGAATTCGCTGCTTTTGTCCGCCACTAAGGTTTACTCCTCTTTCTCCTATTTCTGTAAGGTCGCCATAAGGAAGCAACTCAAGATCCTTTACTAATGAGCATCTCTCAAGTGTGTCTTGGTACCGGTGGCTATCCATGGCTGATCCAAATAAAATGTTGTCTTGTATTGTTCCGGTCTGGATCCAAGCCACTTGAGAGACATAGGCAATCCTTCCTCTAACTTGAATCTATAGATCATGGAAAGGGACGAGAATGTTAATCATTAAAGAACTGTTATTCGACTCATGAAAGAGGTCAACTCAGAAGCAACCATATTGTTCATAAAACAGAAAATATTAAGGATTAGAAGAGCATGGCAATATAACCATATTGTTCATAAAACAGAAAATATTAAGGATTAGAAGAGCATGGCAATATTTATTGAGAGAAAGTCCTCAAAAGACCAGTTTACTTACACTTCCCTGTGTATTAGGAACTTCTCCAAGAATTGCTGCTAAAAGTGTTGATTTGCCAGAGCCAACTTCTCCACACACAGCCACCTTTTCGCCAGGTCTAATCTCCAAATTTACATTTCTTAGTGTTGGCTTTGATGAACTATCTTCCCATGAAAAAATGGCTGACTTAATAGAAATGGCAAGGTTCCCGCAAGGTTCCTTTCTTTTCTGATTTGCTTTTGCCGGACTTGTCAATTCATGCAATTCTGGGTGCCTCACAGAAAACTTTAACCAATTACGCGCAAAGCTACCTTTTGCTTGGATGACCACTCTCCAATAACATCAGGGATTTGATCTGATAGGATTTGAACCTTAAACGTTAAGGATATAGGATCAAAAGTTGAAAAACATTTATTTGCATGTAAGGAATTTTAAGGACAAATAGCATGCACCAAAGTAGCAGCATGGAACCAAAACAGGAGCAATGACCAAAAGAGGAAAGCCATTGTAAGCTTTTCCCAATTGTACTTGCTGAACAACCATGTGTTTACTCTTCTCTTCTTAGAGTTTTCTATAACATTTTTGAAATGTGTTTCCCAGGCATATAATTTTCAAGACCTTCATGTTTAAACTTTTAAGGAATTCAGTACATGCCCTTTATCTCTCATCTTGCTTGAACATAAGGCTTAGACTGAATTTATTGTTGCCAACTTTTGCTTTATGGAGTGTTGTTATAGGACAGTTCATAATTATAAATATCATCGCTAAGGCTGCGATTGTATGCCAAGCACCACTGCATTTGTTAATAGATGAACAAGAGGAAGAAACAAGCTGAAGACTTGTTTAGTCCATGTTCTCGATTTTGAAAACCAAAAGGGGAATTCACCAATTCTATAAGCAATCTTTACAGTGACAATAGTCTTCATTATCTCCCGCTGGTGGTGCAATTCATTCTAGTGCCGCATTCTGATTAATCTCAATTGCTTCTTATTTAGATTGCAGCCGTAAACAAAGACCCTCACCTTTCAAACAATAAGCCTAGGAACCTAAAATACCACTGCCCTTTGTGATAAGGACTCCCAAGCTCTTTTGAAACGAAAAGTGTTTAAGCCTCCTTAATACGCATTACCTCATAGTTGAAACTTGCTTTTCCTTCAGCAACTAAAATGAAGGCTATTAAGAAGGCAAAAGGGACTGCTGTATACATAGTAAGTAATCTTTAACAAGTTTTGCAAAGAATTCCCCAGAAAATGAGAATCTCTTTCCAGTTCGGCATAATTACGATTATCGTCTTCACAGATTTGAAGGTTGAGAAGATGGTTTTGCTTGTTTTTAGCTTCATTTAATTTCTCTTAGGAAAATGAATATAACAGGCTTTTGCTTGACTCTTTGTGCACGTAAATTGGGTATTTATTCTTCATCCTTCAGAGTTTTTTCTCTCTACCCTTTTTCATCAGTGGGATTCATCCACCCAAAATGAAATTGTTAACTGAAGAATCCTGCTTATAGCAAAATTTGAAGTAAACTTGGACAACAGAATCAGTTTTTACTTAATTTCTTCATTTGGCCTGGTCACCTATTTAAAGGAGACCGTTAAAGCCATTTTCTATCTCATCAATCTCCTCTGTTTTACAGGCCTTATAAGCACAAGTAAACAGAACAATAATATGCTCCTGGAAAAAGGACGGCAGCAATTCTAACAGCTGTCTTAATGATATCCATGGCCCTAAAATGGCAGCAAACAGGATAATTTTGCACATACAAATCACAGCAAAAACAAGAAACACAAGGACAGGACAATAAGCTGCAAGGCTTCCTTGGAAAGATTCTTTACCTTGAAGCTAATGGTTTAAAACCCACCAACAACACGTCACCTTCCTGAACGTGGACTCAAAAACTCCAATTCCACGTTTAGGGTAAGGCAGTCTGCCGTTTTCCTCAACTTCTCTTCTTAAAATTAGGATTGCCCAAGGCACAGTACGCTTAACCCACAGGGCAGCATTGAAAGATGGCTAAGGACTGTTTGTTTAAAAATTGAAATTCTTTTGGAAATTCGTCTGCCTTATTGATATATCAGGTTTTTTAATGATGATTTTTTTCATGAAGAGTAAACAAGAGCATGACAAACATCAAGAAATTATGAAGGTAAACAAGAGCATGAACAAAATCAAGAAATCAAAGCAAATGATCAAGGCATGGTTGACACATGAAGTGGGTCGACTTAAAAATACAAAATTAGAACTGTATGGCTTTGCAGTAATTTCTGAATTGCCAGATTCCACACAAAATGTAGTCCATAAGTCTTCCATGTTATTTTTCTTCTCTCTTTGCTGTTTTCTTCAAACTCTGAATAGCATAAGATAATTGTTCTTTTTCTAAAAGCTTCAAAAAAAAAAAAAAAATTCATCCATCACTCTCTTTGAAGAATATTTTATAATCAACAATGAAAAAAAAAAAAAGAAACCACTCTACGTCCCACCATGACAAAATAATTGGCAAGTACAAGCACCGTGATATTCAAATGCCGGATACCACAAAAGATGCAATAAGAAAAATGATCGTTCAGGCATAACAAACAAAAATTTCTTGTAATGAAGAAAGTTGAATTAAAAAGCAGAAAGGCGCAAACTCTTTTGCTCTTGTAATAGCAGGAAAGTTGAAAAGGCAGACAAAAATGCAGTTTAAACTTTTAAACCACAAAAGAAAAAATAAGTTTCGTCCGCGAAAGAAATTTGCATTTGTAGAAATAGTTAAAAATAAAAAGCTTATATGATCTTCAACTTGCTGGACGTAACTTATATGGACAAAACGTGATCACAATGAAAATAATTTGAAGAACACTTCAAAAAACCAAAAGGTTAGGAAGCATTCACAACCACCTGTAAGACGACAGTACCATTTATCCAAAAAACAAACAAAAGCAATTAAACTTTTTCATGAGACAGAGAAAGTAAAAGACGACTACTAACCTGAAAATTGCACGTAAACCGAATCCTTCTTCTGCAATGAAATAATATTGCTCCTGGTAAACAATGAATTATATAATATTGACCTTTTTTTAGATAAAATTACTCGGTATTCAGATTAAATAATCACAATTGATTAAATTACTCGGTATTCAGATTATTGAAATTAAAATATGATTTTATGCTACTAAATTGTTAACCATCGAGATCAAGCATATAAGAAGCATTTTTATCATCAGGTTGCTCTTGAATAGTGTTTTTTTTTTTTCTTTTCACTTACCGTGTCACTTTTTATTTAATATTGTGAATAAAAATTATAATATAGAATGAAAATATTATTCAATTTTCATTTTTATTATTTTTTTTTTTCTTTTCACTTACCGTGTCACTTTTTATTTAATATTGTGAATAAAAATTATAATATAGAATGAAAATATTATTCAATTTTCATTTTTATTATATAATATTCTCAACAATGACAAATATAAATGTTGCAATAAAAGAAAAATTATAAAAAATTCAAAATATTTCTGATTCTATAAACTCGTTTAGTAAAGTACAAGTTTTCAATATAAAAAAAATAAAACAACAAACAATAATGATATGAAATAATCGTAAATGAGTGTATGTATATTCCACTATATCAATTAAAATTGTTATTCTTACTTTCAAAAAATTATAATTCTATATTTGTATATTTTTGCCAATTTAACTGAAGTGAAAAAAATATATTTTTAAGGAACCATAATTTATTGCGAGAACATAAATAATTATTTATTTAATATATTTTTATGATGCAGTAGCAGTAGCTGTAGCCATACCACGTGAAATTCATTGTCAATTCCCATTCTATGCTAAGTCCAAGGCCATGCAAATTTAATCATGTCCAACTTTTTGGGTAATTTACCTAATTTCTTTGTTTTCTTCTCTAGCTATATAGATTAGGACTATAGATTACTTAACAAGTCAATGTGTTTTATCATTACAAATTGAACGTGATTTGATAAATTGATTAGAATTTTTTTTCTTCTTTTTTTTTTAAAATAATTATTTATTAATCAATATTTGCAGGGTCTGTAGATTAAATCCGAGATAGCAAGGATGAAAATGAAAAGATTAGATATCGCTATCACAAAATTATTATAGTTGAAGAATTAATTCCTTGTTAATGGAGCATGCCATTTGTCACGAGGCGGCTGACGTACGCATCAAAGTGACCATATTTTCCATATATTTTAAAATTCTCCTTCAAATGACAATTTGTGGGATAGGAATATAAAAAACATTGTAGTTAATATTCACATTTGTGCTTCATTGTTACCTAAAATAATTTATATAAAAAATATTTTTAAACTTTTTGATAATGGAAATATCGAAGTAAATCGATTGGTCAATAAAAAATATTTTTCTTATAAAAAAATTTTTAATTTTTAAAAAATAATTTTTCATTTTTAAGAAAGAAAAATAATTTTTGAACATTAATAAATTTTTATTTTTTTAATTCATTAATCAGCGATAACTATCACCGTCAATTATCACCATTAGCCATCCATCCATCACCGTCAATTGTCACCATTGGCCATCCATCCATCATCAATTACCTTCGTTATCAGTCATCAGCAGTTATCAAATTTATAATTTTTATACATATTTAATTATTAAATTTGAAAATACGAAAGTATCTATATAAATCTTCTTTTCCAATACTATATATCGAGAGAGACACACGCATGCACATTTGGCGTTTTGATGATGCAAGGCTATAGTCACGAGACTACATGAGATGAGAGCATATATAAGTTGATGAGGGAATGAGGAATAATTTCACGCAATGTCAAATCGAACATATAGAGACAAGAAAACAAAATAAAATGTACAAAAAACTAAAAATTGTGGGCAACAAAAACCGTATTAAGACAAATTAACAACAGGCAAACTCAACAAATCTTTCGTTTGTTCTAAAGATGACTGATACAATTTCTTCATCTCATTCAGCAAATTTTGCATACACTTTCTCCCACTGAGCCCATTGCATTTCTGTATGAAGATAAATGGATGTAAAGTTTCTACTTGTAGCTATAATAACGAGTAACGACATGTAGTTTTTAAATTTACGAATAACTGAGAAGGATGTATGAAGATAAATGGATGTAAAGTTTCTACTTGTAGCTATAATAACGAGTAACGACATGTAGTTTTTAAATTTACGAATAACTGAGAAGGATCTTTAATTGTTCTTGCGATGCTAGACACTGATCAATATCATCCCTTCCGCTTCGATAGCGCAAGCGGGTGCTATGATAGATGTTAGGGAAATTTACATTATTATATAAATATAAAAAATCCCAAAAAGGCCCATCCCATGTATACAAAGAAAACGGTGGTTAATGGATCTACCAATCTGACCCAGATTTTTCTTCATGTTTAGTGCCTCAGCCCAATGTCTTTAGGCCTACCCAGCCCAATTTTTCTAACGACTGAAACTGAAAACCTGCTTCAAATGATAGACATTTTATTTAAGTTGTGATTTTTTGAAATTAAAATTTAAAATTCAAAAATTTAATCATGTAAATATTTACATTAAGATTAAGGAAATAAATTAACCATATATTAGTTTAATTAGGTTGTCATTCTCTACCAAGAGCATCTATTTGTATATGTCCTTCGGAAGAAAATAAATTAATCATATATTAGTTTATTATTAATATCTCGTACTTTTTTATGACGTAATCTAATTTCATCAAATTAAAGTATCTATGATAAAAAAATTATATTTTAATCTTATAATATAAATTTTCTTTTTAACATAAAAAATAAAAAAAATTATTTAATGATTGAGATGAGATGACATAAATTACTTTTATTTTAACGAGAGGCTTCAAATATTGGATATAGTTTCACAGATTTTGAATTTTGAATGATTAAAAAATAAATAAATAAAATACTGTAAATAAACTCATACATTTTGGAATGTTAGAACTTTAGAAGGAAGCTATTATTGTATTTCCTTTTGGGTTGGATGCATTTCTTTTGTCGCAAAGAAATGAGTTGGATAATTATTATTTGAACAAAAAAATGACGAAGAAAAATTGGATTTCTTTAATGACGGGAAAAAAAAGGTCGTTACTTTGGGTGTTGCAATCGAAGAGAGAGAGAGAGAGAGAGCCCATAGAGAAACCAACCCAAGAACCACTTCGGCCGCAACAGCTCACCCACCTCTCGTATTCTCGTATAAATCCAAATCAAGAACTGGCATCTGTCTAATGCGCTTAAATTTTGATAGTGAGGAGAGGATTGAAGATCCAGAGACATTTTCATTTTACCAAAATCCAAACTAGAGGGTGAAAGATGTATAGCAGTGGCACTAAAGGATCGAATAACCGGGTATCTAGTAAAGTATCTGGATCAAGAATTCCAACTTTATTGTTCTCTATGTTTGCCACCTTCGCTTCCATTTATGTTGCTGGCAGGTGCTTGCTTAATTGCTTTGCTTCTCTTATATGCATTGCCACGCTTCTCGCCTTCCCATTTTATTGGTTACGCTGGACAGGGATGCTTGCTTAATTTGCCTTTGCAATTCTTCCAATATATCTCAGACTCTCACTTGCCTTTTCCTTTTTCTTTTGGTTCTAATGATATATGTGTATTCCCTCTCCTTACAACCCTCTAATGCTTATATGGTCTTTGATGCGGGAGGGTAGATTATGGCAGGATTACAGAGAACAGAGTTTATTTTGATTAAAGAGTTGATAGGATAACCGGGCAGTGTGGTGTGTTGGGCAGGTGGGTGTTCAATTTTTATTTTATTTTATTTTTACTGTGTTTTCTTTCATGAAGTTTGAGCTTAATTTTACTTTCCATCTGGGTTTCTTGTTATTGATATTTTTGTCAAGTGAAGTTAATTAGAAAGAAATTATACCTACATGTCTCCTTCCCTTATGATGATAAGCTAATATAGTCTTGGATATGATGTTGGAAAATCTCACAGGCTGGATCGCCTGCATGATTCCCTGTATCGTCATTTCTTGACTTCTGTTTGTTTGAATGCGTTTCAGAAAACTTACTGTTGAATTCTGGTTTTTCTTTTTAGGGAAAATCTGCTATTTCAGTGGATGATACATTGAAAATCATAGCCTGCAGGTAATGTGATTATTCGATTTAGTTCAACTTAACCTAGGCTTTTCAAACATTAATATAACATTGATACCATTTTTTGTAATTTTTGGTTGTTACAATTGTTTCTTTGTTAGGGAGCAACAAAAAAAGTTATCAGCACTTGAGATGGAATTGGCTGCAGCTAAACAGGAGGGTTTTACTTCAAGCTTCGTAGCAGATAATGATGGGATGAAACCGAAGAAAAGGCATTTAGTAGAAAAGGCATTTAGTAGTAATAGGAATACTGACAAGGTTTGGCAGAACGAATAATAGGAATGCAATCCGTAAAGCATGGATGGGTACTGGTAGGGTACTGGACATTCATATATCTCTCCTTTTTTTGGTTCCATAAATTTTTTTTTTTTGTTTATTTTTTTTTTTGTTTAGGTTGAAGCATAAATTTCATCGTCCATTTCCTTGATGGAGTGGTCCTTTATTTCGTAAGAATGCATACTGTATCTAAATGTGTGAGTGCATAGTTTTGGAAATATCTAATAAGAGAAGAAAAGTATCGTGACTGGGGACACATTGATAATTCCAGAAATGGGCCAAAATGTTGAAATATAGGCAGATTCAAAAGTACTGAATTTGTGTGCGATGTGGCCTATGTAGATTTCTATAGGAAACACCATTAACTACTAGAGCTGCAAAAGATGTAGCCTGAGCAGTCAGCACTCTAAATGAGCTCTCAAGCAACTACTAGGTGCTCCCATAAGAACTAAAATATCTGTCTTTTGGAGAGATTAGCGATATACGTTTTGCTTGTTACTAATTTTGTTCTTACTAATCACTTAATTTTGTGTACCTAAATTCTTTGTATGGAACATGTGATTTTCCAGAAGTAACCAATTTTTGCTTTTGATGTTATTGGTTTTGGAGGTTCATGACCAACTCTTTGTTCTTTCAGGTATAACCTTGAACAAAATGGAGAATGAGAAGGGTATAGTTGCACGTTTTGTTATTGGAAGAAGGTAGCCAAATGTGCTTGTACATTTGATTTCTTGTTGTTATTATGATATGGAGAATGAGAAGGGTATAGTTGCACGTTTTGTTATTGGAAGAAGGTAGCCAAATGTGCTAGTACATTTGATTTCTTGTTGTTATTATGATCTACACTTCTTTCCTATAATCTTTCTTTTGTTATGATTCATGCTTAAAATATTATGATGTTTGCTATGTTATCTTGCAGTGCAAATCGTGGAGACAATTTGGAGAAGGCTATTGACAATGAAAATAAGCAGACTAATGACTTCATCATTCTTGTATGTCTATGAATGACAAAAAAAACAGCTGGACCTTGTGATGTCGAAGCAGTCTTTTACTGCATGAGCTCAATTATCTGTTCCTTATTGCCCTCTTCTCTTTGCAGAATAATCATGTGCAGGCAACTGATGGGCTTCCCAACAAGGCTAAACTATTTTTTGCTCATGCTGCGGATAAATGGGATGCTGAGTTCTATGCTAAAGTCAATGACAATGTTTATGTTAATATTGGTTAGTATTGTTGTTGGATTATCAGTAGTGGGTCTTTTAGGATTTGACACTTCCAACTGCCAAGTGATATCAAGCTTGCCAAATTGTATGAGCTTAGTTCTCATGATGATATTAGGAAAGCCAAGTAGATTAGCAGCTCCAATATACTCAGGATTAGTACTTTCTCCTCTGCAAGATTCAATTTTTATAAAGCTTTTTTGACTTTGAAGTGGATGTCTGCGTGCTGTCTTTTTTTATTTCCTTTTCCTTTTCTTTTTAAAAAATTTTGCAGATGCCCTTGGAACTACACTAGCAAATCATTTGGATAAGCCTCGTGTTTATATTGGCTGTATGAAATCAGGTGAAGTTTTCTTTGAACCGTGAGTTTCTCCTATAAATTACAAAATAAATGAGAATAGAAAACTAAGCTTTGGATGTCTTTTACTATTTTTCCCATGCTTATCTGCTGGAATGTGGCAGGAGTCATAAATGGTATGAACCAGATTGGTGGAAGTTTGGCGATAAGAAATCGTGAGTTTTTCTTTAACCAATTTAATGTCTATTTCTATAAACAATTTATGTTCGTATGACGTGTATTTGATAAGCAAGAATTATGCATGTTAAAGCTATAGCATTTAGGAGCAAGAAACCTCTTAGGTCTTATTAGGTTTTATTCTTGTCTGTATTCTAGTATTCCTTCATGATTGCCTTTCTAAACTGAAATTTTGTTTTCTTGTTCAACAGGTACTTCCGCCATGCTTCTGGTGAAATGTATGTCATATCGCGAGCTTTGGCTAAATTTATATCAATAAACAGGTATATTCTTCATCAATATTGTTCCAGCTACATAATATATGAGATTGACATGTTTAATTCCTGAGAAATGACTTACTGAGTGTGCAGATCTATTCTTTGCGCTTATGCACATGATGATATCAGTGCTGGATCCTGGTTTATTGGGCTTGATGTCAAACATGTAGATGAAGGGAAGTTTTGCTGCTCATCTTGGTCATCAGGTCTCCTCTCTCTCTGTCTCTCTATTTCTCTCGCATTGTACATGGAGATAAACGGTTACATATAATTAGTGAATTTGAGTTCATTATAAAGAGCTGTTTGGACCCTTATTTTCTTTTCTTTTGCTTTTTTCTCTCTTCCAGGAGCTATTTGTGCAGGTGTTTGATTTGATTTGCTTCCATATTTTGATAAAAAAATAGAAAAGGTCTGATCTGAATAACCCCTTTACTTTTCAAATGGTTGCTGGATTGAACTCCATCAGTGACAAAGATTGATTTGCTTGTCCAGGAGCTATTTGTGCAGGTGTTTGATTTGATTTGCTTCCATATTTTGATAAAAAAATAGAAAAGGTCTGATCTGAATAACCCCTTTACTTTTCAAATGGTTGCTGGATTGAACTCCATCAGTGACAAAGATTGATTTGCTTGTTTAGAACATTCGTCCAGTTACGTTTTGGATACACTAAACACACTGCGGATGCGAGATTCAAGAATCCACACAAACTGGAGATTCAAGAATCCACATAAACTGTTGGAGTCGGGCATATTCGTCATACATATTAATGAATATGCTTCAATTCTTTCATTTGTTTGGACAAGTATACGATGATTTAGTCTTAGGAGATAATACCATTAGTGGAAACCTTTTTCTTTTTTCTCCGGCGCATTAGAGAATTTTACGTGGAAGGCCAGGACTGTTGGCATGGTTTCAACCCTGACCTCATATAGTATGAATCAGAATAGCAAGGAAACATCTTGCAAGTCTTGCTGCACATTCTTTCCTGCTGGACTAATTAGCTCTTAAAGTGTAATTGGCTTGTAATGTCTAATAAAACCTACATTGTCCTTTACTTCCCGTGTAAAATATTTTCGATGATTTTAAGTTTCGGATGATTTTAAGGTTTTTAGCGGCCGAATATCTTTGTATCAAAAGCTCGAAGAAGATTTGTAACGTGGTTGAAAGTTGAAGGCTGAATGCCGACTATAAGAATGAATCATGAAATGGACATTTTTCTCCAAATGATTTCCCTGGATGAAAGGTCTTGTTCAGATCCTCCTGATTAGAAGTAGAGTATGTGCTCAGAGGGAAGATTTATAATGCCATGGCATCATATTGGCCAGGGACAACAAGTACAATTCGCACTCATTTTTAGAAACCTTTCGATTCAACAGGACGAACCACCTGTGGTGATTGGCAGCTAAAATCTCAAATGGCACTTGTTCAATCCTCCTGATAGAGTAGATATGCCAGAGGAAGATCTTATAATGCCATGGCATATTGGCCAGACAACAAGTTACAATCGACTCATTTTAGAATACCATATCATCAACAGGACAACCACCTGTGTGATGCAGCTAAATCTCAAATGCAATTATATATAGCAGACAATTACAGTCAATAAAAATGCAATTATGTCTCATCTGAAACAGAAATATAATTTTGAATTTACGTATTAATACATATATATAAACAAGCCTCGGTTGGATAAATTTTTTACAATGAGAACAAAGCTACGGAGACAGGGAAAGGACCACCATTTGCTGATTGGTTTTCACTATGTTCATGATGAGCTGTTAAGGAAATGTGCCAAAGCCTTGTCTGTGTCATTATCATACATTAGTAGAGCTTCAGCAACATTGTTTGATGAAAATCCCATTTCCCTTAGAAGGGTGTAGCCACTGGCAAATTCTTGAACCTGATGCAAAGGGAAAAAAAGGCATTCTTATCAATCAGAAGTACTTATCTAGGATTAGTAAAAGCAAGCTTGGAAAATCTCTCTTCCCTCTCTCCCCCTCCCTCATTCAGATAAATAAAGAAAATATGGGGGCTCTTCCTAGGCCATCATTCAGAAGGTTTCTAACTTCAACTAGCAGGCAGATTCATGGTGCTAAAGCAATCCTAAATAAATACACTTGACTTACACTGTAGAAATCAGCATGAGTATATGGTTCCAGATATTTGTTCAATCCATGGTGAGGGAAAACAGAACAATTGCTGATGATAAAGAGCAAAAGTGGTTCTCCAACCTAAATATTAAATAAAAGATAACATGCCCACAGAATGGGGGAAAAAGAAAACCTTTGTTGGATTATCTCCATAGTTTGCAACTGCAAGAGGAACCGCTTCTCGATTAAGTCCGGATGCAATGTACTTGCTTACTACAGGATCTGCAGTTGAACCCTGCATTTGTAATGATGTTTCATCTCATAATTAAGTTATCTCAATGTTCGGTCTTGAAAACAAGAAATCAATCAATAAATTAACTATGATTTTTAAAAGACGACACCAAGACGACACCAAGTACTTAATATCATGAAATTAACCAGTCATAGGTCTCATCACATAAACCAGAAGTATTATGTTTCAAGACATGCGATTGCCAACTACCATAGCAAGTATTAACTGTTCACATTATGTTGTGTCTCCACATACATCTTTGAAGGAATATCCAGAGTAACTTCAGACACTCAACCAAACAGAAAAACACAAATGTCAAGTCACAAACTATAAAGAGTCATGCGAGCATGAACTTCTCAACAGAAAAGACATACCAATGACGAAGTTGGTTCTGTTGTTTTAGATGGAAGATTTTCCAACCCAAGCTTGCTCCAGTTCTGGCTTTCCTTCTCTGCTTCAGCTAAAATTTTCCGCTCAAACTCAAAGTCAAACTGGAAGTTGCTCCGAGGAATATCCCCTACTTGCAATGACAATTGAGGCTATGCAAGAGAAAGTAAAGGTGACACCAATCAAGTTGAGTATACCTTCCAACTAAGACTAATTGATTGGGAAAAAAATAATCTTGTACAAGGCTACCATAACAAAAACAAAGTGGCCAAAGAATCCAATACAACAATGTAGGCATTAGGCAAATATTTTCTCAGTCATCATCTCCATAATCAGAAAAGTACCAAGATCACATCTCAAGTAGCTATCAAAGCCATTAGAAAACAGATATCTTCCATATTGAATGAATGCATCACACACACACAGAGGAAAAAATCCGTTAGTTTTCTGTTATGGAATGCATTGAGAAGATTATATTTTGAAAACTCGGTAGACGGTAGAAAGGCTTCCTTATCTATCCCCAGACCACACGTTCATATGCCAAGTGCAAAGTACAAAGCTAATCATAAATTACCACCACATTATTTGAAATTCAGAATTCAACAACAAAGTAACTAAATCATACCGGAGGAGTGATCCGATACTCAGGCTTTACAGCAACCCGAATGCCTATTCCTGCTGCAAGCATTATGCAATTAATCATGCATTACTAAACCAAAATTTCTTAAAACATTAAATATAAATGACAACCATCTTTTGAACAACAATCAAAAGGAAACTAAGATAACCTGTAATTAACACAATTAAGCTCGATGTCATTGAGCTTCATTGAGTTAAGTTTTTAATTTTCAAGCTTTTCTAGCAAAAAAATACTTGCAAATTAAATGAAATATTCAATTAAAATCATTAACATCTAATCAACCACCGATTAGAATCTAAAGTTCTGAAATTTTCTTTTATCCCGTAATTAAGTTGAAAAATCCCAAAAGTGATTGCTCTAGGTTCGATAATTCAATAAGAAAATGAATTCAGATCACTTACAAGAAGAAGTCGACGGAGCAGAAGTTTGGTGATGAGAGGAGTGGCGGCCTACGGGAGGGATTGGCATTTGACCGATTCTCGGATACAGAGACTGTCCGTACATGGGGTGGCTCGACGGAGCAGACGATGAAGAGGGCGTCCTGTACATTGGGATCTGTGCCTCGTATGGTGAGGCTGCTCTGTTTCTAAAATCGTAATCCATAGATTTCACAGTAAGAAGAGAAGAAGGCAATATAAGAAAGGAGAAGAGAAAGAAACTTGTTCGTGGAGAAGACGGTGTAGAAGAAGGTTGATACCCTCTGTTTGTTTCAAGGATTATGCTGTTCCACACTCGTCTTAACGTAAATAAACACGTCTCTGATCATTTGTTAGCCATGTCGACGAGCATTGACCACGTCATTAGGAAGTGCCACGTAAGAAAATGCCAATTAACCACGGGCCTAATATGAAAAATTCGGATAAAAGTTTGGCCCAATTTCCAGGTCTCTCTTTGGACAAATAAACCTACCACAAGCCCATTGTGAACAATTCTGACCCAATTCATTATGCAATCAGGCTCACCTTTGGCCCAATTTATTGGGCTAACTTTGGACGCAAACCATTTTTTTTTTCCAAGGTACCACTTTAATCATGGCATGTCATTTGGTAATAGCTTGATTGTAATATTACCCGTAAACCTACCTATTCTGGATCCCTTTTACTTGAATGGAAACCAGCTTTCTGGAAATAGTTCAAATTGGATCCCTTCTCGTTACCAGATATTAATTTCCATGGCAGCATTCATGCCAGTAGCCAAATTTGCAGCATGAATTTAGACGAGCATGAAGGCAAGACCGTTAGTATTGTGATAAGGCCACTACTATATTTCATTATTCTACTGCAAACAAAGGCAATAAAAATCTACAGACAAAAGGCTAACATTCTAGGAAATTTACAAGGATCTCTAAGAAAATAATCGTACACGTTGAAATTACAAGATCATAAGCCAAATATGTGGTCACTTGCACCAAATATGGCAGCATTGAACTGTCGTGTATTCAGATCACTCCCATCCAAGGCAGAACCAAATCGATCAAGCCACTGAGTTGGGCTAGCATTGTCACTCTCCTCTACCCATTCTGAGGTCATATCAATGTCATCAAATTGGATAGGATCAGTTTCTAAAGGTTTCGTTCTCATTTGTCTTGACAACTTGAGATTATAGTTTATATACACCAGGTCATTCAAGGCTTCTTTATCAATCTTATTGCGCTTTTCAGAGTGAATTTGCTGAAATGTGTTCCAGTGTCTCTCAAATGTGAAAGTGCTGCAAACCTGACTCAGGATTCTGATGGCAACTCTTTGCAACACAGGTGCAGAATCACCAAATTGTTCCCACCAAAGCCCTACAGTAATTCAGCAGCACATTTTCAAATCAATAACAAAAATGGCATGAAAAAAACTCGCCTCAAGCATAAAATTCTCAATAAAAGACAAGTAAAAAAAAGGCATATCTGTCAAAGCAGGCATGCTACAAGTTTTTCCTTCAGCTCGTAGAAGACCATGATATTGATCATTAGACATTAGTCCAAAAGTTATTTTACTTGCCTCAGAGTAAAATATCGTAACCAAAATTGAGGAAAATAACACATCACTGTTAAAAGTTCTAGCATTTGTTACATCTCAAGCAAGGTCGAAGTTACGAAAGAAAGAATTAAAAAAAAAGCTTCTGTATAGGAGTCGTGCAAAATTGGCAACGGGGACTCTTCACACACACACACAAAGGATCATATATGGTTGCCATGATACATAAGATGCAATATGCTTCTCAGCTCAGAATATTCCAATTATATGGGAAATGTGAGGTTTAAAGCAATGTATAGCGCACAAACACAGTAGAAGACAGACCAAGTAATACAAAATCATCAACATACCAGGTGCAACTGTGTCTCGTGCCTCCATTGCCAAATTGCAACCAAACATCCCACTTGCCCTTGTAAAAATAAAAATCTGATTGGTGATGTCTCGTCTCATATCAGGAGTAGGAAGTAGCTTCTCAATAACCTTGAAAAAGTCTTCCTTAATAGATACTAGAAATTTTATTTCAGGGTTATACTGGACACTTGGGTTCAAAAAAGCAGCTGCTGAATGAAGAGGTGAATGGAGCTGGTCTCGCCACTTTCTGTCTACTATATCTAAAAAAGTCTTGCATTTACTCTCATCCATTATGTAGTAGGTCCTTATTGATTCTTTGGCCCGGGTCATCAACTCATATATAGACCCCACAGCAGGTTTACCACCAGACACTTCCCTCAACACTTTGAGAAAGGGCTCAGAGATGGCCACACTTTCTTCCACTGCCTTCCAGAAGTCTCCATCATCAACAATGGTAATAAAAGCTATGCTCTGTGGTTTACTTGCATAAGATGAGTTTGTAGAATACTCATTGCTGCTGAACATTAGCTTCAATCTTGATCTTTGTTTCAACATTGATTGCAGTGAGAGAAAACTGGATACGGACTTTGTGATACCAGTCTTGATTATATCCTGCCCTCCAGTAAATTTCTTCAGCAGATCAAGCATTGAGGCATTATTGTAAATGTACTTCGTCAGTGTTTGAGCTTGTAAGATACATCTGTTCACCCAATCTACTTTAGAGAACTCCTCCAAGATTAAATTCAAACATTGAGAAGCACAAGGAGACACAAAAATGGTTCCATAGTTCTGCAGAATATGGTTAGCAATACCTATATAGTTGAAACTGCTATCCATAATTATCTGCACAACATTTTCGGAACCAAAGTCTTGAATAACAGAATCAAATAGATCAGCAAGGCACTTGGTATTCTTAAAGTATGATGATGCATCTACAGACTTGTGGAAGAAGGTCCTGGAGGGTGAGGAAACAAAAAAGTTAATCAAAGCTCTAGATTTGTTGTCAGTCCATGTGTCAGCAATGATAGTACAACCTGTGGTAGCCCACTCTTTCTCAATATCTTTCAATTGCGAGCTCACTTCAGACTTTATCCTTTCTAACCATGTAGTCTTCAATATTTCTGCTGGAGGGCCTGTAAATCCTGGACCACATTTTCCTATTGCATCGATCATTACCTGATACGATGGAGAACGAGCAACACTGAAGTCCAACTTATTCTCAAAGAAGAACAGTGCAATGCTTCTTTCAGCATTTTCTTGGTTACTTAAGGTGGAAGGGGTCATTGAATTAACTGCAGGGTAAACTTTAGCAACTGGAGATACCGCCTCCACAGAAATAAGAGGTTTAGTAGCAGACATATTTCCAGGAGATTTGGCTTCTGGAGGCCTCTGCTTTTTAACATTAGATGGTTCTTTGATGTCCTCCTTTGATGCTATTATAGCTCTTACCCTGTCAGTGACATCATCTCTCACCTTGCTACAGGGGTTGACACCTTTACTAGGCAGTCGGGATAAATGATGCTTCAATCTACTAATGCCGCCATTCAAAACTCTTAGGCAAAATTTGCATTTCACCTTGTTTCCATCTAATTTCTCAGCATACTCCCAACAAATATCTTTTTCTCGAACCACTGACAGTAAATAAACATATAATAAGCACAAGCATGCTAATAGTTTCCCATATTACTCTCTTGCTAATCTCACATCAAGACACCTCTTGGTATATGGTTGACCAAATATTCATAAATAGAGAGGACTTAACATTTGATCAAGAAAACAAATAAAATAAATAAATCTTGAATTCATTAGTGATTATGATGTCAACTTAACACGCGCAGATAAACAACATAGAGTAATCAACTGTTGCCATTACTGATCAAAACCTTTTTGGTGATCAGCATGCCAATGATTCACAACAGATAATAAAAAAACTTGAATATAAACAATGTTGCATTTGCTCTTGTTTACTGTAAACTATAACCTCGAAAAAAAGGATTCAATTAAACGCAATTAGTGCATAAAATAAGCTTGTACTTACTGATTATGTAATATGTAGATTATGTTTTGTGGTTCTGCACTTTGACCTATACAGTGAGTTAAAAAAAAACGTCCGCAAGAAGCTGAAGTAGCATGTGGATCTGTGCCTGTACAAATGAAACATCTGTTAAACCAAATTCCAAATGATCACTGATTATAGGTTTGTTGCTTGCCATCCGACAAATCCCAATAAACTTCTTATGCTCATAACAATTAAATGCCACAAAGTCACAAACTTGATTAAATCTATATATACAGAGTGAAAATCTTTAAGCAATGAACTGTGCATCGTGTACTTCGATATTTGTAATCATCCATTTATACAACCTTACAATGTCATAAAAACATAAATTGATGTCTTTAATTCATCGTCTTTTCCAGAAGTTAACATTCATTAACACGCATAATCACTTGATAATCATTTATTGAATTCGTGAATTCTCCTGCAATAGATCACAGTTTGAGTAATAGCTATGTGTGTTTCAGAGGAAAATATTTTTCCAAATGTATTTATGTCTATTTAAGCTAGCAGAAACTGAAGTCTCTTCTCTCTACAATAGCAGAAGCTATAATGGACTTGATTGCAGTGTAAAGTTTCGAGTTTGTCTCATTTTCTTAGTAAGCAAACAGTGGATTAAGTTTTACAATACAAGAATCGAACAGCCATTATAAACCATTGAATTAAGCTCAGATTTAAAATAAGAAATTTAAATTAAACCGCATTGTTAGACCAGAAAAGAAAGAGGAAAAGAAATAGAGAATGTTAAGAAACGAAAAAGAAAGAGAAATAGCGAGAAATTTAAGGAAAGCTTACAGAGAGAGAAGCTTTAGGTCTTCTCGACGGAGAGATAATCGGAGCTCGCAGATTTGGGAGTTTCCTTTTCTATTTATCGCGAGAATTTGTAGATTTAGGTTTTTTCTCTCTTTCCAACTTCCGTAGTTCCGCGTGTCCTCTCTTTTCTCGTTTTCTAATTTGTATTTAATTATCCTATTGCTTTTTATGTTTCTTTTCTTTTGGCGATATATCGCGCAAACGTAGCCCACTTGTATGCGGACACGTCGATTCGGATTTCGGACTCAAATTGATGGACTAACCCATGTCGTTTCAAGATGTAAAAGTCAAAGGTGCAATGAGCAAAAGGATGTCGTTTCTGGCATATGCAAAAGTTGGAAAAAATGCAAAAATATTATCAGCCCATCTTGAGATCGATCTAGGGACCTGTGCGACGCTTCCGCTGCGCAACTGTGATTACCGATATGAAAAATATAAAAGTAACTTATTTTCCGACAAAAATATTTTATTGGTCATTGCCATTAAATTCTGTTCCTAAATATATAACCTTCAAGTGAATATAGCTTGTAATGATATGATCATAATAATAAAAATGTCCGGAAAACAAATGATAAAACAAAAATCAACAGGAACCACAAGGGTCAGTGGGAATTGGAAAAACATATACTAATGTTAAAAAATACTATATATTATGCATAAATTTGTAACGTATAATAGTATGAGTGTGAAGGATTCTAATTTCTACATCATTTTATTTTCGAACAACACAAGGCCAAACAATTTAAATTTCATTGGAAAAAAAGTCACTCTCGATGTTTGGCCAATTACCATGGCCATCCCTGGACAATGTTCATTCAAGTAATCACATTGGTTCAGCATTAATTTCATTGAAATGAAATTTCGAAATCCTGACATATTCATGGATTCAGAGAAATGTCACATCTAGGTAAACATTTTCTTGCATTTTTGTCATATAAACAATGATTCTACACTACCAAGGGTAAACAACAAACAACTTAACATCAAGAGAATAAAATCACTTGATTAATTAGCCTTCAATCTTTATGACTACATGGGAATATTGATCATACTTATTTATATCCACCCAGATTTGCACTAATTCAACCACTAATACAAGTTGTTCTTTTCAAATTATACGCGCACACGACTATATATAATATAATTTGCTGCAACAACAGCAGACAATAGTTTTGATCCTCCCGTTGAAGATCCAGTAAGAGAAAAAAATAATTACATCAGTAGAAGTGAATTGCATTTTTACACTAATTTTATTTGAGTGGAAGACTTTGAGTTAAAATCTACCGCATAATGGATACAAATTCCTGACGGTACACGAGAGAATCAACCGTCATCAATAATGTTTTTTCTAATTTCATCCATCCTTGTAGTGGTTATATAATAATTCTCCAGTGCTTGTCAGTGAGCGACGAAACCCCACCGTCCATTTAATTAATTTCCACTTTTCAAGGTCAGCACCAGTTAGAAATAATAAACCATTTATAGCAGGTATGTAACTGTGTATTAAAACAAAAACAAAAAATTCCTTCTACTCCTATTGAGAATCATCCATGGCATAAACTCGGGAAATCATGTTCCTATGGGCCATCTATATTTGGGTAGTAGGTAGCAGTCAACTATAGCAAAATACTATTAGTTACTGTAGTAATATATAGTAGTTGGTTGTGGATGCTGATAATAGGGTTTCTCTTTTGACAAGTTGTCTCACTCTTTGTCTCTGCTACACATGCACTCTCCTGTTTGTGCGCTATAATAATCTTTTCTCAATTAAAAAAACAAAGATACTGAAATGATGCATGGTTATTTGCTTCTCTCTCAATAGTCAATCATTATCTAATATTTCCTTGCATGTGATGCTGCTTTCCCAAGCAAGAACAGCTCATATCAATCATCATTTATCATTGTCAAGAACGATTCCTCGATTCTGCAACGGTTTTTCTTTTTTACTTTTTCCTTTTTCCTTGCTTCTTTTTCTCTCTCAAGAATTTACCTAGTTCTGTCTTCTTCCTCCTTTTTCTTCTTGTTTAATATTCATGTCAGTTTCTTTTTTCTTTGACATAACTGAATTTTCTTAACACTGCTGGTTTATACATGGAAGAGAGAGATTCAAAGATGATTGCTTGTGGATCTTTTTGCAATTCTTGACGCAATCTTCCGTTTCATAAGTAAGTTTCTTTACATATTATATAATATATGCACAGGCGCAGCTTTCTTTTGTTCTTTTTCTGTTTGTTTTCAAAGAAAATGAAAGGGAACCAAAGAAAATAATAACTTTCTATTGACTGAATTACGCCTAGAAATTTTGGATTCTTTTGTAATTTCCTCTGTTTTTTTGCAGCTATAACAAATGTTAGGTAAAAGAGTGCTCTAAAAGTCAACATATAACTAACAGTATAAGTTTTATAATCATGGTTGAATTGCTAATTTTGACCAGCGGCGCCTAATAAAATTCTTGGAATCATTACTTTTTAGAAAAATTACAGGAAATGTCTACTTCAAATGAGGATTAGCATTTACCGTACTGTATTTTTCTTCCTCTGTTTCTATTGTTAATTAATTATGATCATTCATGTATCTGAAAGCAGGTTTTGTATTAGATACTTGGCTAGCTCTTCAACTTCAACTTCAATTTCCTTTCTTCAGTTGAAGGAAATAAGCATGGAAATGAACATCTTGTTCATTGTCTCTGCAATTCTTTCCTTTGGAGCAGTTTCCTTGCCTACCAGAGCAGAACCAGTTGAAGATAAACAAGTTTTACTAGATTTCCTTCACAAGATTCATCATTCACACACTCTCAACTGGAACAAGAACTTTTCTGTTTGTAGTGAGTGGACAGGAGTGACCTGTAACAATGATCGTTCAAGAGTTATAACCCTTAGGTTACCTGGAGTGGGAATTCAAGGGTCAATTCCACCGAACACTCTTAGTCGCCTTTCGGCAATTCAGATCCTTAGCCTTAGATCAAATGGTATATCAGGTTCTTTTCCTTCTGATTTCTCCAAACTTGGAAACTTGACTAGCCTTTATCTTCGATCCAACAATTTCTCAGGCCCATTGCCTTCAGATTTTTCAGTATGGAAAAATCTCACGGTTCTTGATCTATCAAATAATGGCTTTAATGGTAGCATCCCACCTTCAATATCAAATTTGACTCACCTAACAAACTTGAACCTTGCTAAGAACTCACTTTCAGGTTCTATTCCTGATATAAGTGTTCCTAGTTTGCAATCTATAAATTTATCTGACAATGATCTAACTGGAAGCGTGCCCAAGTCTCTTCAAAGGTTTCCAAATTGGGCATTTTCCGGTAACAATCTTTCACCAGAAAATGCAATTCCTCCTGCCCTTCCACTTCAACCGCCTAGTTCTCAACCATCAAAGAAAACCAAAAGAGTAAGTGAACCTGCAATATTGGGTATCGTAATAGGCGGCTGCGTGTTGGGTTTTGTAGTTATTGCTCTTATAATGGTTTGCTGCTATTCAAAGAAAGATAAGAAAGATGGATTACCAACAAAGTCACACAAGAAAGAGGGGTCTTTAAACAAAAATACATCGGAAGGTCAAGACAAGAATAATAGGCTCGTGTTCTTTGATGGTTGTAATCTTGCATTTGACTTAGAGGACTTATTGAGAGCATCTGCTGAAGTACTTGGGAAAGGAACTTTTGGAACAACTTATAAGGCCGCCCTTGAGGATACAAACACACTGGTAGTGAAGCGGTTGAAGGAAGTGACTGTGGCTAAAAAAGAGTTTGAGCAGCAAATGGAAGTCATTGGAAGTATTAGGCACCCAAATGTATCTGCACTAAGAGCGTATTACTATTCCAAGGATGAGAAACTTACAGTATGCGATTACTATGAGCAGGGCAGCGTTTCTGCAATCCTACATGGTATGCTAAACCTTTTTTCGTCTCTGCTGGTTTACCATTTTAATTACTAAATAGTTGCAGGCCTTAAATTCTAGAATTAATGTTACTTTATGTCCATTATGTGTTTGCTACTAGAATTGTTTTGCATGAAAAATGTATATCAATTTTGCAGGTAAAAGAGGGGAAGGTAGGACTCCTTTGGACTGGGAAACAAGACTTAAAATTGCAATTGGCGCAGCAAGGGGCATTGCTTACATCCATACGCAAAATGCTGGCAAACTAATCCATGGAAACATTAAATCCTCGAACATTTTCCTTAACTCGGAGGGATATGGTTGCATATCTGACATGGGTTTGGCTACATTGATGAGTCCAATGCCAGCACCAGTAATGAGGGCTGCAGGATACCGCGCCCCGGAAGTAACAGATTCTAGGAAAGCAACTCATGCATCCGATGTCTACAGTTTTGGGGTGTTGCTGCTTGAGCTTCTGACTGGAAAATCTCCTATACATTCTGCAGGTGGTGATGAGGTTGTTCATTTGGTGAGGTGGGTGCATTCTGTGGTAAGGGAAGAATGGACTGCAGAAGTATTTGATGTTGAACTTTTAAGGTATCCCAATATTGAGGAGGAAATGGTAGAGATGTTACAAATAGGAATGAATTGTGTGGTGAGAATGCCAGAGCAGAGACCTAAAATGCCTGATGTTGTGAAAATGGTGGAGGAAATTCGGCGAGGGAGTACCATAAATCCACCATCTTCTCATACTAATTTGGAAATTACAGTTTCAACCACAACCTCACAGGCAGCAAATGTTGCTTCTGCTTCTGCTCCACCATGAGAGATCTTTCTGTGATGCAAATAGTTGTGATCATTTTTTTTTCCATAATTTCATTTGATTTTTAATTGTGAAATTGGTTTAATTAGATGATTTGTTTGCATATTTTTGTCCTTCTGAGACAAATTTGGCACTAAAATTAGTTTAGCTACCTTACCAGTTACAACCTAACGGCACTCAAGTCAAGAGAAATGGGATTCTTCGCTATTGTATTATTTAAGCAGGAACATATAGCTATGCTTGTGAAATTTTGGTTTTATTGTAATAATGAGACCAATCAATCTTTAAGTCTGTCTGCTTGTACCTAGTGTGCACGTGCATGTGAAGAATTTATGGTCCCAGGTTCATGAGTCGAACCAAAATCCACCCATTTAATGGTTTCAAACCATGAAAACTGTCCTTTCATAAGTTTTGTGTGGTCCTCAGGTTTCATGCACCAAAACCATATAGAGCGAAACAACAAAGAACCTGAATGCTAGTATCCGTGGAGATTGATCATGTGTTCTCCACCCTTCAACCTTATAATATAAAGCATGCAAAAATGGGTAGAGTAATTGGCTCTCAGAAACAAACAAAGATTCCAAAGAATCAGGACAAACAACAAATTTATACTAACTTTGAACATCCAAATAATCTCAGTTCATACATTCAAATGGAGTTTGGCTTTGAATTTAAAAGTATCTTTCTTTTACTATAAGAATTACACCCAAAGAAAAAAAAAAATCAACTAAAACAACATAATACAAGCTAAAAAGTTTTCAGTGGGATTTGCCTTGACGCTGAGTAGAAACAAATGGACCTTAATGATCTTGTGGCTTTACAAGTAAAAATCCTGACCTCCCTGAGTAGTCTACAAACATATGAAGACATGTACAGGTTGCTTCACTTCCTCAAAATTCTTGTTTTAACACCTCCTGAAATTAGAGAGAGTGGGAGGAAGAACATGATAAAAAGAAGGCTTTATAAGCACAATCTATACAACCATGAGAAGAAATAATACATGGAGCAATAATTCTGTGTCAAAAATAAAAAGAACAAAGTTTCAGAGCATAGTATCACTAACCTTCGACTTCCTCAAACTGAACTTCCTTTACCAATTCAGCAGCTGCATTATACTCGAAGCTGCATAGGCAAGTAGCATTATGATTCAATAAGAGCATCTCACAAGACAATTTAGACATATTCTCCCAAAAGCCAAACTTTTTTTTTTCCTACTTAAAGTTATAAAACCTCTTCATCCCTTTGTGATTAAAGCTTAAAGCTAATTCTCGTGTTCTGTTAATGTTCATGAATACAAAAAAGTGTTAGAGGCCTCACATCATAGGTCAAACCCAAAATTCCTATCCCATCGGACAAGTATATCAAGCATTAAAAATAAAATCATGAATTTTTTCTGCCACCAATATTAAATACTAGCCTGCAATTTGTATAAAGCATCTACTGAGAGCCCCCTATGGAAACCATGAGATGTAACTTAGTTTAGTAATAATAGAAGAAGAACAAGTGAGATCAGCATATTTCTTTTACCTATTGGAGAAGAGCACCTCAAGTTCGTAGTTAGATGTCCTCTTCATAGTTTCAACTAACACGGTGACGATTTCAGTCTTACGAGTACTTGCCATAAGTAGATCATACTCTGTTGGAATGATAATTGCAAAGAAATTATCACTTAATTCACTTAAACAAATATTCTCCACAGCAGCTAATGCTATTCGCCGTTTAAGTGCATCAGTCTCCGGGTCAACAATATAAATGGCAAAGTCTGTTATTAGTAATATTCGTCGTTTCATCTTCCCTGAAGCGGTGAATTTCAAAACTTTATCAGCAAAGAGAACTTCGTTGTCACCTGCAAAAAATCAAAATGAAAAAAAGTTCAGAAAAACTCTCCACATGTCCCTAAAACGGAGCCAATTTAGCATTCTTTCTCAATCATCAGAAATGCCACTTCAACAAAATGTAAGATATAGCACTGTTTTAACTCTTTTGGATTCATGCATATGCCATTTTATCCAATGAATGAACTGATTGTGAAAGGCAAAAATCATGTATCTATTCCAGCAGAAAACCAGCATACAAGCAACATGAGAAGGACCAATATAAATGCACCTGGACAGACACTTGTGTTCTGCTTGGTGATGGAATGTAACATAAAGCATTTCTAGAAATGCATTATATTATATTTCATTACCGCTCACACAAGGGAATGAAACAGCAAGAGAGAAGTAACCATTCTTTCTAATGACATCTTAGACCCATATTTTCATAGTTCATTCGCACAAACCGAAATATTTCAACGACGTATTGATTGGAAGTATCAACATGCGAAATTTGAAACTCGAAATTCATGTGATAAAAACACAATTTACACATCCCACCATGAAGTTACCCTATTTCCAAGACCAAAAATTTACTGAAAAATACAATTCTTATGAACTTAAAATGCAATCTTAAATAAACGAACAGGAAGAAGCAACTTAATCTCAATTGTGCAGTAAACCGCCCTAAAAAGAACTAATAAACAAGCAATCAATTGGAACGCATGAATTGCTTATCAATTAGAAATCGAATCGAACCTTGTTTTTGCAGAATCTTCATCAAGTGAGAACGCGAAGGCACGTCGAGGTAATCTCCTTTTGCATCTCTATGAAGAGAGGCTTTTCTTCGAACCTTGATTCCCATGAATGGCTCTTGATCATCGCTAACATTGCTCCCCGATGGTTTCAATCGCAACCTACTCTCCTCTCCCTTATCGTCAATTCCATTCAGACCAGATTCGTCGTCTATGTCACCGTGCTTAGGCAACTGAGAATCGTCGATTCGGACTCGCCGATTAGACTTGAACCTCCTCATTATTTGACGGTAGGGCGAGTCTCTGAATAGTTCGTATTTTCGAGAAAGTTAAATGGTGAGTGAGCGAGGCTAACTTGTACCATGATGTTCGTTGCGCATCATGTGCTTGATCTGGATTCCCACTTAGCCACCTAAAATTACTGGGTCCGCCTTTTCTAGTTGGCATGGGTCCTTCGTTTTCTTTATTTTTTTTTTCTCATTATTATTATTTTCGTAATTCATTGATAAAAAAATGTTGGTAAAGCTCAATTTTATTTTATTTATTAACTCTTACCGCAACAGTTTTTGCTAATTTGATGAGTCAATGAAAAATTATTCTTGTTGTATAATCAGTAATTTTATTTCGGTTCACCGGATTTCATAATTAATAAAAAAAATTAAAGTCACTAAATCATTTTGATTATGTTCAATTTCTTAGAGTAAATATAACATTGTTTCGGTGCTTCTCAAAAATCATAAAAATCATGGTCACTAACTAATGGAGTCTCCTCTTTATCTCAAAATAAGTCCATATTATTAATTTGAGATGTCTCAAATTAATTTATTATTTTCTTATTTTAGTTAAAATTTAAAATTAATTCATTTAAAATATTATTTTCATGCCAGAGTAAAAACTAGACAGTTATTAAAAATTATTTGAATTTGAATTGAATATGAAAGTTTAAGCTTCAAATAATAAAACTTATTAGAACTCATTTTATTTATTTGAAGATTAAGTACCTTATTATATGCCTTTAACTAACTTCAATATTTAATAAAATTAATTAACTGATTAATATTTAATACAAAAATTTGAAGATAATTTCACTATATAGAAAAAATTCATAAAACTCCAAATTTTTCTTACCATTATAAAAAAATTGAGGTTATGACCAAATATTATAACTCTTTTGCTTACAAAAAGAAATGTTTCACTTTTTCTATCACTTGATTAAGGCATTAAAACTTATTTTAATAATAATTTTATAATGGACGAAACATATATATATATATATATAAGAAAAAAGAAATTCATTGATAGCAGAAAATGGTCACGAAGTTGGTCAAATCACGTTTTAAAAAAATGGAAGAAATGGTCAAACGACGACATTTTATTGTCTTGAGTGATGAGTCCCCCAGCCAACCCTTAATTCTACGCGCATAGGTGCCCCGTCCATTGACGGCTTCCGGGCAAAAAAACGGAGCAAGCGACACGGTAATCGCTTCTTAATAAGATGCAAAAACATTTCTCAAAAGAAAAAGATGCAAAACCATTATACGACACCGTAGCTTCCATGGATTGTTCTCATCCACGAATAACAAATGAGATAATATTTTCAATTTTATAAAACATTGTAGACGTTTCCAAAAATAAAAACGAGTATTGATTCGACGGCTGCTTTCGGCGAAAATTTTGGGGTCTTACGTACAGAAAACGCAAGTGGGGGACCGCCAAATAGAGAACAGAATAACTCGTTTAACCCAATCCGACGGTCCAAACCATCGAACAAAAGACGGTCCCATTCATTTATACAAAGTCATCACCTTACCGAATCCGAAATTCCTCCACCATTATTTTTTTTTCTTTTGTTTCGCTGATTGTTCTCTCCGTGTCCTTTCAAATCATCCCACCATCCACCCAGAAACTACCATTCACCCACAAGAGGGAGGAAGGAGGATCGATAATCTCTTCGTCCCTGGTACCCTCTCTTTGATTATTTTATCTATTTATATACATAGGTGTTGTATTTATATTTCTATGCATGTGTTTGTTTTTGTTTTGATCTTGATCTGAACGGAGATCGCAGATTTTGAGATGGCGTCGAAGCGGATCTTGAAGGAACTCAAGGATTTACAGAAGGATCCTCCCACATCATGCAGCGCTGGTATTTCTCTTTTATTTCTGTGATTTTTTTTATCTATCATTCTTTTTGTTTGACTTGAGATTCCATTTTTTTTTTAATTCTATGGTTAGGTCTTACTATGGATTTTCTTTTGTTTGATTTTCTCATTTACTTTGATGTATTCGATTTCATATATCCCTTTTTGTGGATACTTGTTCTATCTGTCAAAGGAAGGCTACCGGAGAATATGTTGTTGCAAAATTGTAAATTACGTATTGCGAATTTTTGTTGCATGTTTTGTTGGGAATTGAGATTTGCTTTTGGTTCTGTAAGCTTGTATTTCATTTAATTGATGATGCTGGAAACGTATGGACGTGTTGCAAAGTAGGGGAAAAAAACCATAACCATAATTTACAAGTTATTTTTTTTATTACATGATCTGTATGCTTATTCCAAATGGACATGGCAATATATATTTTGAAGGTATAGCAAGTGAATTTTGTGCTTAATGCCTGGTTAATTGTATGTCTTTCTTTTGTGCTTTCTTTTATTGATTATTTTGCCTTTTCTGGAATGTTTTAGGTCCCGTTGCTGAAGACATGTTTCATTGGCAAGCTACGATCATGGGTCCCCCTGACAGTCCATATGCAGGGGGTGTTTTCCTTGTTACTATTCATTTCCCTCCGGATTATCCATTTAAGCCTCCCAAGGTATGTTGTTTGCTTTCTATGTGCAAGTGTAACATCTTGTTTTAATTGTTTGGAGTTTTCTTCATTTGTTTATTGTGCTTGTTTGATGAAGTCTCAAATGGTTTCTAAGTTACTATATTTCCTGTTCAGTGGTATAGTTGCTAGCTTATAATGATCTACATTATCTACATAAATTTAATGCACAGGCTTTTTTTTTTTTTTTTTTTTTTTTAATGATCTACATTATCTACGATAAATTTAATGGCCAACAGGCTTTTTTTTTTTTTTTTTTTTTTTTGTCTCTCTCTCTCTCTCTCTCTCTCTCTCTCTCTCTTCCTCTTGTGAACTTGGGTTTTTTTTTTTTTTTTTTTGTCTCTCTCTCTCTCTCTCTCTCTCTCTCTCTCTTCCTCTTGGTGAACTTGGGCTTAATGCTAGTTTGTATCTAAAGTTATCCCTAGGTATTTCTCTTTAATATAGAAGTATGTTCTCATATTTCTTTCTCCTTATTTTGTTAGTTGAAACAATTTGTTAGTCTGAGCTCAGGACCACCTTTTAAAATAAGGAAAAGAAACAATTATTGACCTTAACAATTGGGCCTTATCTGTACAGAGTACAGACAGAGGAAGTTAGCTGTGAGGCCATGTGAATGTCTTTTCTTTATGATTTTATTTTGTTGATCTGTGTCTCATTGTTTATCATTTGGTTTGCTTCATGTTTATGGATATGCATGTGTCATTAATTTTACATGGACCTATCATCCAGGTGGCTTTCAGAACAAAGGTATTCCACCCAAATATTAACAGCAACGGGAGCATTTGTCTTGACATATTGAAGGAGCAATGGAGCCCTGCTCTAACCATATCTAAGGTTCTTATTTCATAATTCTGAAATCACTCTTCTTTAGCTCTGAACATGACATTGTTTTTTGCTAATAATCTCTGAAATTTCTAAGTGAACTACATCATTCATTTGCCACTGCAACTTATGAAACTGTAGTTGTTATTCATTTCATCGCTAATCATTCATGTGGTAGGAGAAATGATGCAAGCAAAAACTCTTGACATTCTGTCAATCCTTGTAGAATCTGCACTGACCAAAGTTACTCATCTTTAAACAGAAATTAACAGCTGTCTTAAAAACAAATATTTCTTGATCATGTTCCTATTTTTAGGCACTTTATTTTCAACATTCTAAATCAAGTCAATTTCAAGGATCAGTAATGTTTAACATCTTTCTCTGGTGTCTGGTCAGCTTCTACACACTGCTAAGGTTTTCAATTGTGTAAGACTGTTTTCATGCTCTGTAGGTGTTGCTTTCAATTTGTTCTTTGTTGACGGATCCCAATCCTGATGATCCGTTAGTGCCAGAGATAGCACACATGTACAAGACAGACAGGAATAAGTATGAGACAACCGCTAGAAGCTGGACTCAAAAGTATGCAATGGGCTAAAATGGTATCTGGTGCTTGCGAGGGGAGGTCATTTTCTATTCATTTTATTTTTGTGTTTCAGTTGTGTATCAATGTTTGTCCTGTCTCCAATCAAAATGGGCTTAAGGAGGTCCATAATAACGATTTAGCTCAAGGAAAACATATATATGTTGCGTTTCAATTGATGTATGGATAAAATATTAAAGTGGGAACTGTGCAAATGTGTCCCCAATTTAATGTCAACTTATGTACGCTCAAACTGTGAATGTGTCCCATATTCTGTCTGACTTTGTATCTGCTTATGAATCAAATATGACCTGTTCGTGAATGTTTTGCGTTTGGGGATGGGGTGTTTCCATGTAATTTCCCTCTTTGATGACCAAACTTAAACCTCAGAACCAGCTCATAGTTGGAGTATATGAAATGAGACATCTAACTGAGGAGGCTGATTTTTCTGAGTGAGGATATGACTGGGGCGTGGTCTGATCTTCATTTGAGGCCTTCTATGTGCTTTTATCTTGTTAAAATAATAATTACTACGAAATGATGGTTTAAAATAATAATATTGGTAGTGATTTTGGTACCTTTAGGCTTTAGCCAATAATAATGGAAATAAAATAAAAGAAGCCGGATTTTGCTATTTAATTTATTATTATTGCACCCCCAATTTGGTAATTTAGATGGTAAGTATTTCATCCGCTGATTTCGCTTGCTGGTGACGCGCCAATTTACCAGCGCTGGGAAATTCTAACAACTAACAATTCTCTTAATTTCGCAATGTTTACGAGTCGAACTGTTTCTTTATAAACAGTTTAATAATGTTTTTGCCTTCTTGTATAGTTGTATTCATAAAGTGCAGTTTCATCCATTGTGCTATTGCGCTCTTTGCGTTTATAAAAGAGACGGTTCATTTTTAACTTTCCTATGGTTCTTCGAGATTGGCAATAAAATGTGCTTGCATGATTAATTTATGTTTGCAATTAGGTTGAAGCATGGTGGTGACGATGGAAGAAGTGGAATCAATTGAGGTCGAAGAAAATGATAGAGAGGAAAGAACACAGTAAAAAAGGAATCAGGGAAAAAGTTGCAAAATTTTGGATAAATAAATATATCAAGCTCAAACAAAAATAAAAGAAACGACACCAAGTTTGTACAGATCGCCCAAAGTAGTTGCTTTTAGATAATGGGCCTGAGCTTAGTGCATGTAGTGAAACTTTGTTTGAGGCAAGGGGCCTTACCTCAAGATGAGTACACGTATCACAGCTTATGCTATTTCTTATAAGTTTATCCTTCTTATTCATGTGATCGTGTTACGAACAAATATTTTCCTAAGAATAAATACTATATGAAAAAAAAGCCATTTCTGTGCATATTTTTAATGTAAAAAAATATATTTCTATTCAATATTGATTAAAATAATATATTATATTTGATTATAACTCATTATATACAGCCTCATAAAAAACAAAAGGATAGATTACTTTATGCAACAATCTGAAAATAATAGTATTTGTATTGTGAAAAAAACTTAAAAGTAGTTTTTTTTTTCTATAAATATAAATCGTTTTAAAAATATAAGAGTTATTCAGTTAAATTAATGAATATTTTATTAGAATTTAAGGGAATTAATAACTTCATTCGTCACATATAATAATTTTAAACAAATTGTGTTTATATACAAACAGAGTACATCTAAAACAATTAATTAATGATAAAATACTATTATTCCTAAATAACATATACCAAGTTGCAAATACGGGTAATAGATTCAACTAGTATTTCACATTAATTTAATTTAAAAAATAATTATTATGTTCGTTAATTAAACTTATGGGACTAATAATTTTATTTCATGAAATTTAGGGCCAGAGATGGCATTGTAAGATTGAATGGAAGGACAAAAGATGCTTCCTTTCATTATTAGATACACATAACACAATAGTCTCAAAAATTCATGAAATTATGGAGGTTATATTATTTATTTGACTCACTAAACCAAATAATTAATTACTTAATCTTGATTCAGTGTCTTGGTTTTAGTCATACCTCTAGGTTTTATTATGTCGTGGAATCATTATAATTTTAATTAAGAAAGAAAAAAAAAATCAAAAGAGTAATTGATTTTTTTTTATTTATTTTAAAGAAATAATTTTATCATTCCGTACCAATAAAAATATATTATAATACAACTCATGTCAGCTTGAAGTTAATAGCAAGTCCAGAAGGCAAGAACTGAAAGAAGCCATGCCTAGAAGTTGAAAACCCTAATTTAATATTTTCTTGTTCCCCAGAAAACCCAAAACCATTCAACTTTGTTTAGGTGTTTTAATTATTATTATTAACTTAATACTACAACAGAACATGGTGGCCCATGTCGTTTATATATTTGGATTAACTAACTAATTAATTAATTAAATACACGTGTCAAATCTTCAGGTATGTAGAAATCTTGAGTTAAGCTAAAGATTAAAAAAATTAGGTACAAATGGGTCGTGTCCACGAGTGGGAGAGAGAGAGCATGGTCCCTGAAAATCCGGTTTATTAAAATAAATTTAAACCTAATCTCAGTTAAGGTACATGTTATGTACATTACAGATGACCAAAGGGAAAGAAAACAAAATAAAATTTCTAGTGAAGACAAAGTACAAAGCTAAAACTCACAATCTAACATCCACTAAACAGCTTTTTGGGAAGAATATTTTCGTCGCAAATTATGAAAAACAACTGCAATGCTGGATATTCGATTCATAATTAATTAGTAATGGGTTGCAGATTATTACTGTATTAATCACTAATTATTGTCTAATGACTTGTAATTGTTCAGTGAAAGATAATATTAATTAGAAATATATCAAGCTAGGCATTAGCCTTTTTGATGCTATATTATAAATTCGACCATTAGGGTTTCAGAATGTATAGTACAAAGATATTTTTCCTATTTAACAATATTTTTCGATGCAAGAAATAATAGATATTTCTAAATTACAAGTAATAAATGAGACACTGAAATCTATTAAAAGACGAGAATTAAACTAGAGTGGTCGAAAATTACTAAAACATGATAAATAAGAGCGGGATGGCTCGGTCCAGTAAGGACAGGGAAATAATTCAAAGCTCACATGCAAGCAACAAAAAAAAAAAAAAAAAAAAAAAAAAAAAAATACTTAAAACATGATAAAAAGAGCGGGATGGCTCGACGGCTCCAGTAGGACAGGGAAATAATTCAAAGCTCACATGCAAGCAAACAAAAAAAAAAAAAAAAAAAAAAAAAAAAAAAAAAAAAAAAAAAAAATGAAAAGAGGATTCTTTGTTGAACACAATCCAGCTATTCTCCATTTTTCATGGCTTTTGAGATTTTAAAAACTAATAATTGTAACCAAACCAAATATCTCTTACTGTTAATTTGAGTTTTGATATATATTTATAATTAATGTATCATATCCCTTATTTTTAGGCTCAAATAATTGAATTTCACAAATTCCTAATAATAAATATACATAGTTTAGGATTAAAAAAGGAAAGAAATTATAATGCAATCTGTGTGTATAACAGTAAAATAATACCCATTTTAGTTTGCCTAGTAGAGGTCCACATCAACCCACATGGGCAGGAGGAACACGTGCCTTTCTTCAGTCTCCGAGGGAAACCGTAAACGGCGCCGGTCACCGGCAGTTCAGTTCAACAGTGAAATTCTGTCGGTGGGACCTACAGTGGACTGCGCCGGTCATCCACTCTTAAGGCAAAAATTTGGAGTTACTCGTGTCTTCTATAGTAACTCAAATCCCAGAGAGAGCAGCACGTGACACTTCAATTTCAGCCACGTATGTATATTTCCAAATGGTGTCAAATTTATATGTATTTTTAAAATTTTAATGGTCAGCACAGTGCAAAGAGACTTTCAATTATAATTTTATACAGAGGAAGCATATGCAAATGCATAATCATAGCCCTTTTTTTTATTATTATTTTTTTATTTTTAAGAAAAGAAAAACTGTGGAAGAGGAGAGGAGATAGGGACCAACATCTCTTGCTTCAAAGACAAGCTTGTGAATTGCTTGTGATGGAAGATTACATAAACTTTTCTTGGAGTTGTGGTTACTGCTTAGCTTAATAGCCATAACCTATGCATCATCTTTTATAATTAAGGTTTCATAAAATTCCGAGCTTTAATTTTGTTTTCTTATACATATACAATTAAGACCGACATCTTAATAAAGCTTCAACGTTGTTGAGAGGTGGCCCTTCTTTTTAGAACAGATCTTGTTCCTCTATCTATCTCTCTGTTCTTTCTTTCTTTTTTTTTTTTTAAATATATGTTTTTGAAATTAATTTTAGAAATACAGGGATTTTCCTTGTTTCTAATTAAAAAAATGTGTGGGCACTATGCATCAATACAGTATTTTTGAAATATCTAGAGTGACAGAAGTTTGAAACGTTTTGTTCTTATAGATGATGAGTTGGTTTTTACCAGTACAAAGAATTCCCGTGACTAATATTACATGTTCAATGTGATTGTCGTTTCTTCGTTTTCTTTGAATTTTTTGTTTTTTCATCCCATTTCTTTTATTTATTAAATTTATTGCAATCTTTCTGCCAAAAGTGAAGGAAAGCATGCTAAACCATGCATGGATGTAGGATATATCGAAAGGTACATAGATACTTTTTTTTTTTTTTTTTTTTAAATTTTAGCTGCGTTTTTTTTTTTTTTTTTGGTTAAATTTTAGCTAGTAATTAAAAAAAATATTGTTTTTAGGAAAATTAAAAGTATGTTCTTTTTTCATGTATACGTTGTACCGCTTTGTCAGTTTGGAGAAGATTTTCACATGTTCATGTTCGGTGCCAGAAATTACCACTTTTTCCCTTTGTTTTCACCTCACTTTTTTCTTACTATTTAATCATGTAATTCAAAAAAAATAGAGTTCTTTCTACTAGCTCGCTCTAAACCTAACAATGCTTAATCCTTCATAATTTAATGCTTGGAAATGTCATCATTGGATTAAAAAAATATTATTTGAGATACATTTTACTAATGAATTTAAATAAAATAACAAATCCGATTAAGTTTCCAACATAACGAAATAAAAGTAAATAAACCTTAATTAATTTGAGATTAAATCTTTATTGCGATAGTATCATCCAATCACACTGAATTTGTCTGTATCTTTAACCATAGGTTAAAGAGGGTCTAAGTGTAAAAGATTTGAAGCATACAAAATATAACCTTTGAGGCTTTGAGAGGACTAAACACAGAAACGGTGTATGGCTTTATGCACGACGGAGAAGCTGTTCCTCCTATCTAAAGAAAACACAAGAGAGCAAGAGTAGCCGGTAACACTGGAATCAAGGGTGTCTAGGGTTTGATGCGGAATAACTTATTCATGATTAAGGTTATGATTATTTGAGAGGAAAAACTAAAGAAACCCAGCAAGAAAGATCTTGGACTTGCTGCTCATTGACTTATCCCTGCTTTGTTTTGGCAAACCACCAAATATATATTAACAAAAAAGATTACATATTCATTTGACGATTTTCTAAAAATACAAATATTTAAACTTATATATATATATATATATATATATTATATTACTATATTAAGTGAGAGGTAGCATCGAGTGTGATTGTCGAATTTGGTTGTAACTTCCTTAGCTGTCTTTTGTTCATGCTTTATATATATATATATAAGTGAGAGGAGCATCGGTGATTTGTCGAATTTGGTGTACTTCCTTAGCTGTCTTTTGTTCATGCTTTCACTTGGCTCAATGGAGGGGCCAATGTCCAAGAACCTCTCTTCAACTTTCATGTTTGTCTTTGCTAATCCATATATCTCTAAATCATGGGATCTTTAACCCTTTCTCCCCCTCACGCAAATCCAACATATACACTACAATTACGCCATAATCTTGATTAATTACCTCTTAATGATATATATATGAAATGGGAACTGCGTCCACCGAATCAATTCTATAAAATATATGATTAATTAGTCATCAACATTTGGTTTTTGTCTTTTGACTAGCTAAGACAATTAGCATTTTCAAATAATAATATTAATTAATATTAAAATTAGCACACAAACAAATTGACCAAAACCAAATTATTGTCTTCTAACTGTTCATTCTGCCATTTCCAAAACCTCCTGGCGAGCTAGCAAGATCGTTTAATTATCACCGCTGATTCAAATAAGCAGCAAGAGTTATTAATTACTATGTAATTAAAAATTAGGTATTCACTAATCCAAATATTTCAACTTATTGTAATTAAAGTGGATATTGAAAAGGAGTATGTTTTAATTTTTGCTGATCATTATACTTAATTATAGTGTTTTTCTATATACCAATGCGCGAAAATTTATGAATAAGGTGACAAATATTGAATTATAATGTTTTTCGTTATTTATACAAATGACTTTTTTTTTTTTTTTACTTTTAACGGAAGAAATACTTGCCACACTACGTAATACGTACGGTAGAAATACAACATAACATCATCATGTGACCAATTTGACCATAATTATAGCCATATGGTCAATGGATAATATATAGATGGAAGCATGCTAGGCGTGATGCCTTTGTACTTCCTAATGTTTGGCTCCAAATGTTTATACCATTAAATCTACAAATATGTCTAAACACAAACAGGTGCTGTATAAACCAAAAATTCCATATCATCCAATTCGGCTAATTAGATTCTATCTACTCAGTTACCTACCTGTGATGGTGAGTTCTAACCGCCAATCATTGGTAGACACGTACGCAACCATACATCGCTAACCTTTATATATTTGTATAAATTCAAGTTTTTTTTGTTCCTTTTTAGGGAATTAAAATTGTTTTGTTTTAAAAAGAAACAAAAGTTTAGTCGGCTTTTTTTGTTTCTTGTATTAATTGTATGTTCTCGAGGCTTAAACAACAAAAATTATTAATTTGCCTTGATAATCTTTATTATTGAAAATTAAATTGCTAACTTGGGTTTTTCTTGGAGTCAAAAGATTGACTAATAAACCAATATCCTGTTATTGTAAGCAAGAAAATATCGTAGCTTCTGTCTTTTATCCTCTGGTAATGTAATGTTTGTTAGTTCCTTAATCCTTGGAGCTTCTTACAACTGAAGGCTATGGAGTCGCTAGCAATTCGATGAGGACAAGATGATGGAATTTAAGCAGACATTTTTACTACTCGTAGGTTTGTAATGATCAGACAAAGGGATCGAAGCAACTAATTCGATAATTTACATTTCTGTTCTTTCTTTTAAAAGAACTTTTCAGGTTGGACAATCAATAATTTTCTCTTAATAATTGAAAATGCCAATTTACATATTTTCTTTAATTTTTTGGCAGAAAATTAGAAAGCAAAAAGATTCTATATTTAAAAAAAAAAAAAAAAATCATAACTTTCCTATTTTGGCATATTATTATTATGCATGAAAATTAGTGGTACGTATTTTGTTTCTTGGGATAGGTTTTCTGTTGCTCCTCCTTTTAAAAAATTGACCATCAAAACAAAATGCATCAACATTTGTCCCTCTAATTCTCTCGACAAGCATTTTCTTTTTTCCCAAAAACATGGAATACCATTTATTACAAATCCAAAATGAAATTAGTTCAAATCAAAAAAAGAATTTCGGGCAAAAGAAGTATATATTCATTGAAAGCTAATTTTTCTAATTAGGCGATGAAATTTAAAATTTGATTAATTTTTTAAAATTGTTTCACTTTTCCAGTCTCAAAAAATATATTATTTTCCCCTTATTATTGTTATAAAAGATAACTCTATGTAGCAATTTCCCATTTTTCAAAAAAAAAAATCCCAAAAATAAAAAGATAATGCTACCAACTTTAAGCATGTTTAACTAATTAACTAGTTCCCTTCCTTGTCTCTCCTTTTTCACGAAGAAGGAAAAGATTACGTCACTCATTGTGCAATTAGAAACCTCTTCTTAATACTTTACATATGTGAAAGAAACTTCTTATATAGACGTAATTCCTATTGGGCAGAAATAATGTAAAGAAAAAAATTTTGATTTTTCCTTCCTTTTTTGATTTTTCCTATTTTCATATATTATTTAAAAAAATTGTACTATTTTCCAACGCGTCAATTCCTAATGTTCTGGGTATTGTACGGTTGGTCCAAAATCACTGAGCTCTGTGATGACTTTAGTATAGTGATGTTGACTTTTGTAGTACAAAAATCGGACGGACAAAAATGTTGGATTCCAACTCATGATGTGCATGATGAGAGATGTGTGTACAGTAAAACAGGACGGTGGTTGGCAACAAATTCACCGGAGGAAGTGGCGATGACCATTAGGTAAGAGGCAGGTGATTGTCTCCCGATTACCAGGTCCAACGCGCCACCGGAGGGTTTGAAGCAGAGTTCTTTTTTATTTTTCTTCTTGATTTTATATTATAATTTTGTAACAAAGATGTGCTTAAACTTGTTGACAGTTTTTAATTCCAATAAAGTCATTTTTTATAATTCAAAAGGAAAAAAAAAAAGATAATAATAATTTTTAAAAAATTCATTTTTATTTGTTTGTCCCTAAATAAGCAAATCTTATCCTAATTTTATTATCGATTAAAATGAAAGTGAAAAATGAAATCTAAAATTTTGAATTTTAGAGTTCAAATTTATTTATGTTTTAAATTTTTTGAAATCATCTAACATAAAAAAAAATGAGAGATCAGTAATATAATAAACGTTTAACATAAACAGCACAAAATTTGTAATTTCTAGAGGGATATTTTTTAAAAAAATTTGAAGGAATAGATGAAATGCGTTCTGTTTGAATACGGCTATCCATGTTTAAACTGTGCTCATATCGATGTAAATTTTTTTAACAGTGAGGATTCAAATTTTTAACACTGTCATTAACAAATGGATTAATTTTTATTTATAGAAGAAAACCGTAAATTTTGAGAAAAATATTCATGCAATTTATGAAGAATTGTTTTTGTTGAGCGTGTTAAACACGCACTATGGAAAGAAAGTAGAATAAATATGTCTCGGTTATGGAAATCGGGAGAGCAGAGAAAGCCCAGAGACGTACAAAACCAAATTATAAATGGCGGCGAATTCTAGGTTGCCGGCCACGTTAGTGCTGGCTGTAAAAAAGTAATTATAAAAAGATTACAAGCGAACAAAAACCAAAAAAATAGTTCTAACTTGAAACTTTCAAAATCTTAAAAATGGTAAAAATAAAAAGTTATATTAAGCCAGCACAATATGAAGTGTCATAAACAAATCATATCCCCAAATTACCCTTCTCCCACTCCATTCTAACACCAAGGCTTTACGACAGTAATTACAAGAGTAATTAAGGGAATTAAACGTAATTACAAGATACTTAAGCAATTTAAGTGGTCAAACAAGTGATGTACTCCTAATCCAGCATATTTGACTACCTAATTCAAACGGACCCGGGTATCTTGGGCCTCACGTGACAAGGATCACACTATTCGAGATGCTGAGTAAGCACCTTATGATGCTCTCCAATTGGGCCAGACTTTCCCATGGGCCCTATGTTGCTACGTGTCAAAATCGTAATTCATCATCAGGATGCGACGTAACGTATAGTGTATTTGGGCCGTGGCCGGAATCTTCGACCCGACACACCGGTTTTGATACAACCTGCCCCTAACTAATTTTGCTTTAGATAGAAAATAAAAATATTTTTTTAAAAAAAAAAAAAAGAAAAGAATTAAAAAGGAAATTAATATGAATGGAAATATTAGTAAATTATTAATAATTGGCGTTTTCCAATTTCGGCTGTTGGGATCCTATAAAACAGCGATTTCAGTGTTTTAGTATCGGATGCAACTAAAACTCTGCTTGTCTTTCTCTCTCTTTATTACTGGAGATTTTTTCCCGGTACGTTTCCTCTTTTCTTCCCATCTCCTTCTTCCTCTCGGTCTGAGTTTCCACTTATCATTAGCTTCCAGTACAGGAAAAAAACAACAACTGAAGTTTATACAATTAGGAAGAATCTAAGATTTTATTCTTTTTCCTATTTTGCTGATTTCTTCCTATTTTGCAAATCAATTGATACTCCTCTTTTAGGCCGTCTCACATTCTCTGATTTTGACAGAGACCGTAGTGTCTCCCTTTTAAGTCTGGAAATTGAGTCCCCTTTGTTTAAAGGGAGTCAGAGTTTAATAGTGAGTGAACTCCCTTTTCAAATAATTTCTGTACTAGTCTTCCTCTTCCCGGCTCTTCACCTTCTTTCTCTCTCTTCTTCCGCATCTTCTATGCCAATAAAGAATCCGAGAAGTTGTTGAACAAAACATATCACAATCATAGAAATGATGGAACAAAGTATCCTATGTCCTATGAAGTACACTGAACACAAACAAGTCACGAAAAAATTTACAAAACCATCCTTAAAGCCCAGAAAGGATGACAGGAATCGGTTAGAGCACAATCCGCCGCGGGTTGTACGGATATCAGTGACGGACCCCGACGCCACCGACTCCTCCAGCGATGAAGAAGGCGAGTTGTTTGGCCGCCAGAGAGTTAAACGCTATGTGAATGAAATTAGCATCGAAGAAGGCTGCAAAGAAATCATTCCTATAGCCAATGGAAGAAAAAGAGCAGGTACTGAATTACCGGCGGCTCACCGGCGGCTCAAACTGAATACAGCTAATTCTAATAATGGCAGGAAGTACCGCGGTGTAAGACAACGGCCATGGGGAAAATGGGCCGCCGAGATTAGAGATCCTGGGAGACGTGTACGTTTATGGTTAGGTACTTATGACACAGCTGAAGAAGCTGCCATGGTATATGACAATGCTGCAATCAAACTTCGAGGGCCGGATGCTTTAACAAACTTCATGACACCTCCGAGAAGAGAAGAAGCAGCAGAAGCGGAAACAGAACAAGTAGAGGAAAAGACTGAAACAAATGCTACTTCAACCTCTGGGTACGAATCTGGTGGTGAATCTCACAATCTGGCATCTCCTACCTCAGTTCTGAACTTCAGAACTCACCTGAGTGAAGAATCATCGGAACCACCGCAAAAGCGGGTCACAGAAACAAAATTAGAAATTAAAACGGAAGAAGTAGTACAAGAGTGCGAAGGCGAAACCATTTTATCCGATGAATCAACAGAATATTTATTGCCGTTGGACTTGCCGTTTTTGGAGGAACCATTTTTAGATGATTTCTTCAATTTTTCGAGTACAGGACCTTCACTCTTCGATGATGATACAATAACGAAGACAACAAGCAATATCGTTTTACAAGAGACTATATCAAGTCATGAAGATTTCAGTGACATATTCGCGGATATGCCTCAAGACTTTGGATCATTCAATCACCAAGAGGATGACTTTTTCCAAGATATCGGAGATTTGTTTTTCTCAGAACCGCTTGTAGCACTATGAGAGAGGGTTTCATGTCTGGTACTGACCGGCTGCCACCGTTTTGCTTGCCTATTTGACGGCAAATTTTGTCACCGGTGACAATACAATCCGGCTTTTTTTTTTTTTTATCAGTTTTGTTACTATTTATATAATATATTTTTATATTTTATTTGTTTGTTAAAGTATCTCCGTTTAAAAGAATGGACGGAGAATCGAGTGGAGTTTTGCTGAGATTTTGTACTTTATTATATTTAAAAAAAAATAATAATAATAATACTTAGACACTCTACTTACTAATGCAGAGTTATTTCCAAAATCTTGTGTTTATTTAATTAATGATTAAATAAAATATGGTATAATCTTAAAAGTGCCACAGTGGCATTCTTTTTGCCCCACACGAGTAGGCGTGATTTGCGGTTCTGGCCGGTCGATTGAGTCAAGACGGTGCGACTCGGTACATGTGAAATCGAGGTCTACAATATTATTTTTTTAATTTATTTATTTTCCAAAATGTATGACAAGCACGCGAAAAAATTGTCGTGTGGCCGCAAAGTTAAAGAAGTCTAGAAAGGCTAAAAAAGTAAAACAATAATAATGGTGGATTAAAACCGGGTTAACATTAATTGTTACTAGCTAATGCATTATAGACATTAACACAATAATTAAGATTGGTTGAGACGGAATTAATGTGGACGGAGTAAGAGTCGTATTGAAATTAACATTCCACCTTTGCTTTTCAATTGAAAAGATATGTTTTTTGAAAAAAGTTGATTCATTTTGTGGTCTGGTGTCATTGTTGCAATAGTGTTCAAATTTGCACTTTATGGACCAGTTACTAATTTTGCGACGTTAATTTTTATCAAACCCATTTCAATGTAAAACGATTGACGAATTTTCCAAATTCAGTTTGTCGTTTTTTACCACATCTAAAAAGTTTAGCAAAACGGTGGTTCAGGTTCACAACAAAGTCAGCATTCGCATGAGCAAATTCCATTTGCAATGTTGAAAATACTATTATTTCAATTTTAATTCTATTAATTTTAGGTTAGGATGGTGTATGAGTTGTACCCATTATGAAGATCATAAGTCATTATTTAAAGAGGATTGTAATACTATCTATGATGCTGATCGAGTTATATAAACCTTTGGGTTTGTTTATGTTCAAAAAATAAAAAAAAATATTATATAGTATATATATGCATGCAGTTTCTTAATTTAAGAAAAAAAAAAAATCATAATTTGCCTTCATTCAATAGCTTAAAATAAACCAAAGAAACAAGTATGTAATGAAGAATATTTGATGGTCCCATCGTCATGCTGTTCCAAGTATTGCTTCTTGCTTCCATATTACTCAAACAGAAATATATATATATATATATATATATAATATTTGATGGTCCCATCGTCATGCTGTTCCAAGTATTGCTTCTTGCTTCCATATTACTCAAACAGAAATATATATATATATATATATATATTTATATGTATGAAGCTTGCAGCAATTATTTCTAAAATCACACGGAGAATGTCACAGTCTCTCCTCGTCGTCTATTTTCTTCTTTCAATTTATTTTCAGAATGTTGGTCAACTATGTATTATTTGTAAACATATAGTCATAGAATTTCCTTCTCTTACACTATATACACATAAATTCTAAAATGAAATTATTTCTCATATTGAAAAGGTTATGAACAAATTTTTATTTCTCCATTCGAGTAGTGGGTTGAGACCTCCCAATTATATAAGGTTTCACTAATTTGATGAGTTAAGAGTAGGGCTATATTTATTATGTAGTATATAGTGTTATTTCGACTCATCGGACTTCTTAGTGAATACAAAAAAAAGTTTTTAATATTTAAGAACATCTTAATTATTTTATATTATTAGGAACTAAGAATAATTATGTTAGAAACGGGGCCCGATAGGCATTCTCATTGGAGGGCATCTAAATTAAGTGGCACTTTGAATACTATTACTGAGTAGTTAGCTTCGCAGTTAATCAAGGAAACATATATAACATGGATATCAAAAAGCCCTCATAATTATGTCTCAGACCATATGATAATTAAAAATATCTTTTAATTTTCTTATAATAATAATAATAATTAATAAAAAGTTGGAACCATCAGCTTAATTATCCCCCACAAGAAAAGAGAAAAATCCCAGTAAAAAGGAAAAACAAAAGAGGACAAGTTGGATTAGCCCTAGTACAAGCCAAGACCCTCCCACACGTTCAACAACACATTTTTCATAATTACGTTTGAAAACTATATATTAAGAGAGAGACATTAAACCAAATTTAACATTTTGACGAGATTGATTGAACTTGTAATACATGAGATGCTCTGAACCCAAAAAGAGAGCAAATTGGATTTTTTTTTTTTTTTTTTTTTTTTTTGGCATTTTTTTTTTTTTTTTTTTTTAGGAATTTATTTTATTTTAAGGAAAAAGTATACATAACCAATATTAATAAAAAACCTTCCAAAAAATTAATAAAAAAGGAAACCGAAACTATATAAAAAGATTAAACATTATATGGGTCATGGTTTCGATGAGTTATTTTATTTCCTTTTTTATTTGAATTTAATTTTACAGCTCTCCTTCTTTTTCCTTTGTCATATAAAGACTAGCTTAGTCATCCATTTCATTTGGAATTTAATTTACAGCTCTCCTCTTTTTCCTTGTCTTTTTCTTTTCTTTTTTCCTTTTTTTTGGACACTTTTCCTTGTAATTTACAGCTCTCCTCTTTTTCCTTGTCTTTTTCTTTTTCTTTTTCCTTTTTTGACACTTTTTCCTCTGAATAAAGATTCATATAGTTCGTTTTCTTTCTTTATTTGGTAAGTTATTTCATACAATTAAAGTAATTTACTTATGGCTAATTATAACTTTATATGCTAAGCCAACCATAATTGGATTGGATCTTGGATGGTTAAAAGCTGACGAAATATCAAAATATTCCGAACTTTATATGTTTTTAGAATTTTATTTTTATTTTGATATATTAGCGCATGATAAATATTCAACAATGGCGGCACAATATATCAAGAAAAGCCTCCGTTAATTCATAAATATTTTTGATGACATACATATTAGAAACTTATTTCCTAACAAATTGCCTTTTTTGCCCTTATCATTTTACATGCCAAATTCTAATTCTCATCATCAATATGCAATTTGATTCTTTTTCCATAATCAATGACGTAGAAAATTGATTTACATAAATTGCTGTCCTTCTAAAATATATAATTCCATCTATTTATTAGAAAATTATATTTATTTATATATAGGAAATATCAAGAAATAGTAATCAAAATATCAAGAAATGACACTAGAATTCATGAACTTGTCTGAGCACCATGTAAGGAAAATCAATACAGACTGCCAAATGTCTATTCACTCTTATAGACAACAAAACGACCATAAAATCATCACAGCATGATTGCTAATTAATAGGTAAAGATAATTTATTATATTACTATTATTATATGTAAATATTTCATAATTTAAAATCATCACAGTAAGATTCATTATGATGCTTCCCTTCACGTGAGATATATAATTTATTTAAAAATTAATTAATTTTAGAAATTATATATAATTTGCTTCTTCTACAGTTTGTATTAAAGATTATGTCAATCTGTCATCTATGCACGTTGGAGCCATAATAATCTTGACCGACTATTTTTACCCAAATAAAGAAATACCGACAATCTTGATACACAAATTTAATATTTTACCATCTTTACTTATTGTTTTACTGTAGAGAGATACCAAATAAAATGGGAAAAAAGCCAAGATTTTTTTGGAATTATATGCATAAACAAAGTCCCAAAGCCACCAAAAATTAAAGAGAGAGAAAATAAAAAAGTTCCTGCATTTATACGGTGTATTTAGTAGAACAACATCTAATCAAATCCTAATCAATACAGTGTATTTATACTAACTTCTGTTCACTGTAGATGTATTAATGTATTATGAGAAAGAGTGTGGTGCAGCTGAGGCCTGAGGGGGCACACGTTTAATTCGTTACCTCATCCAACCCAAATTGTCACCTTATCATTATCATTAGGCTTCCAATAAAATTTCGCTGCTTCATTGCTAAGAATTGGATGACATAATGTTTTATCTTCTCAATAAAACGGACCAACTGATGACAAATATACGTATATAAGCTATTAATTAATTAAACCTCAATATTCCAATTAAAACAAAACAAATGGATGATAGAACTCGTAATTTATGCATAATATTATAGTTCTTAATTAGTTTTTTAAATTTATTATTATTTTTTTTTACCAGAATAAAGTTTAATTATAGCCCAAAAATAGGACCTTCATATATATAGGTAGTCGGCGATAAACTGTATCTACGACTGTAAGTGTTGAGAAGGTAGAAGAAGGCAAAAGAAAGGCTAGTTAGAGGTGCAGGCTTTATTTTAAGAGCGCAAGTCTGCAAATATGTTTCAAACCAAAATTAATGAACAGCGACATTACCTGAACCGCTTTCTTTTGTTTTCTCACTTGTTTTTGTTTCGGTCATCTTCTTTCGTTTTTCTCTGTGTTCTCCAACGCCCTTTCTGGTCCCCACTTGCACAGCAAACATGGCTATCTCCTGCTGTTCTCACATTACATTACATTACATGCACTTCCCGATGATTTTACCTTTTTTTTTTTCGTAAAATTAATTTGCTAAATTATTATCATAATAGAAAATTAAATATTCAGCAAAACGACTGTATCTTGCGGTGAATTTTAATTAAAGTTATAAGTTCAAAATTTTACCGCTATTTAATTTATAGTGAATAAAAATTAACTATTTTTTGAAAAGATTAACTTGGCTACAATTTCATTACATTGGTTTTTCCAGATGCAACAAATGCCAGTCAACATGTTGACTTCTTGCAGTCGGCATATCCGAAAGTCGGTAACAGCTTGACAACGAAAGTAACTAGTTTACAAAAATTTATTAACTGGAGGAGGATTTGCCCGCCAAAATTAAAGCAGTGAAAACAATATAGTTTGGACGCATTGGATGGATCTGGCCCACCAATCTACTGGGCCCAGTAAGAAATTTAACAATCTACTCAACTTAAATTAATCATGATTATCTTATGTTAATCATGCCATTTTGGCTCAACGATCTCATCAAAGGGTTTGACTACTCAATATTGGGAGCGTCTGTTATCCACGTGTCGCCGTAATCTTACGTCTAAGCATTAACTTTGGGCCCCATAATATCAAACCGTCGGTTTTCTATCCTGAGCTGCAATGCACATGCGAATCAGACTTTTTGAACAAGGAGGTGGGCCCAGGGATCTCGGCCCAACAAGGAAAAAAAAAACAATTGTAAACAGAAGACAATCAGATGGTGTGGCACGTGAAGGCTGGATGGGTCTACTGCACCTGTTTACAGTCAAATTTTTCTTTATCCACGTGGCCATTATGATGCAGGGTCAACACCGCTAATCATGAGACACGTGGCGGAGGCACCATCTTACAAACTTTGCATTGTAGGTGAGGGAGCATGCGTATCCAAGGGTGGCAAAGGCAACCAAAGAGCTACGTACTTGATTACAAGTATTTTATTGTTTTGTAAGTTATTTAAAATTATTCAAAAGAAAATTGATTCGAATATATTTCCGGACCATAAAATGAGAATGGAAATATCTCAGAAATAAATATGCGAAACCGCCTTAATATAATAAAGAAAGAAAAAAAAAAAAAAAAAAGAAAAAAAAAAGTGGGCAGATGAAGATTGCAGAGCGAGTTAAATTCAATTTCACCTACCGGGAAGCAGGTGATGAGCAGAGAAAAGGAAAATGTGAAGATTTTTTATTTTTTGGGCTTTTCTTTCATCTTTCAGCTTTTACCAGTCAGGCTTCAAAGTTTCTTGTTGAATGTTAGCACATGACATTTTTTTTTTTTCTTTTTTCGATTAACTAGTGAGTGGGTCCATTAGAACTGTGAAAATAATTTCCCTCAAGCAAGTTGCCTTCTCCATTTCTTTCCAGCAAAGAGTTGAAAACAAATCAAGTTAGAAGGGGGGAAAAGGGAAAATCTACCATGCCCATAGTGGGGCTTAAGTCACAAAAGGAGAGTTTCATGGCCAGCTTTACTTGGAAGGAAGAAAAATATATCATCAGTACTTTGTTTTCAATTGTCTATCTATGCTTTTGTCAAAAAAAGAAAAATTATCGAATATAATTAAGATTTCAACTAGAAAGAAATTTAAGATGTATAATTTGAGTCAAACCTAGTCATAAATATGCGTATTATTAATATTTAAAATATTTCAGCAACAGGATTTAAAAAAAAAAAAAAAAAAAAAAAAAAAAAAAAGAAATCGTAGACAAGTATGAAATACTAGTAGTAGCTTGAAGGGGAAATATGTAGTGAAAGAAAAGAAATAAAAAAGATTGACCTGTGGGAAAACGGGGTAGTGGGTGAGTGTCCCACTTGGGATTACAGAAGATCACAAAGAGGGGGAAATGTAGGGATAAAACAAAGAAGGATGTTTCTAATTGTCCTCTCAATTTCCAAAGTCAAAACAACTCACTCCTCCAATTACAAGTCAAACTATGTGTTCCATATTATAGGAACTTTAACTTTTGGGTTTTGCCTTCCAATTCCCTTCTTCTTCTTTCTTTTTTTTTTTTTTTTTTTTTTTTTCTTTTGTTGTCTGTTTGCTTTCCCTTTACTTAATTTCTTTATATATACAAATTAAAAAAGCACAGCACCAATTTTTTTTTTTTTTGCCTTGAGAAAACATCACATTAATTTTTTTTTTTTTTTTTTTTTTTCTTTTGTTGGTCTGTTTGCTTCCTATTACTAATTCTTTATATATACAAATTAAAAAGCACAGACCAATTTTTTTTTTTTTGCCTTGAGAAAACATCACATAAGTATACCTTTCCGACATTCCCTTTTCATTATGGTTTTGCTATTTGTCATCTTCCAATTACGTGTTTGACGCAATACCTGCTAAGCTAAGTTTTTTAACATAAACCCAAAACAAATATCCATTATCCACGATTGCCACGATAGTTGGAATCGTTGAATTTGGAAAATTAGTTTATTAGAAAGTTTTTTGCGTTCAAATTATGTTGGATGCAGTCAGAATTAGACCCGCCCAGACGGCCAGACAGAAGACATTCCACTGTCTTCGATAAACAGTGGAATGAATAGTCTGTAAATGGCCGTTAAATCAACGCCATGTAATGTAATCAGTTTATAGAATCAATTCAAGTCAACTCTACAGTTACAATAGTTGTACTGATAGTTGATCTCGACAGCTGCAAAGAGACTCCAACACAGGAAGTGGGGACCGAGAGAAAAAATTTTGATTTGGGCCTAAGCTGTTTAGTCATGGCTAAAGAATTCCGGACCAAGGGGTCCCCGACATCGAATCATGATCCATTTCTCCTGAAAGAGCCCATTGGGCCATGACTCCAGATATGGATCTATTTTCGTAAGATTCTCTTGCCTCTTGATAATGCAGGACGACCTTCAGACACTTTTTGTCCCCCGTTTCAAGCTCCACCTAGAGTTGCTGATTTTGGAGAGTTTATCTAAAATGGTTACTTGATATGCAAGAACGATCTTGTAACAGTAGCAACTTTAACAGTTAAAAAACCAAAGCAGACTATAGAAGATGGAGTTTTCGTGTCTCTGGAGACTCCACAAGAAGCATTTCTATCATAGAACTTTCATCTGAACAACATAACATTTCTATCACAAACTAACAAGACAAAATCCATTTCAACTACAAATATGAAACTTCATAATTTCCAAGAGAAAATGCATCTTGAACTCCACCAACGATTGCTATTCCCCTAGTGGATTTGCTGCTTTTTCCTGCTTGTTTAAAAAAGAATTGCTGTCTGTTTGAGATGAAAACAGTAATAAAGTAGCGTTTAACTCGATCAGAATTTGGGGCACAGTGAATTTCAAAGGGCAAAAGAAAGTTTATCAACCACCACTAACTGAAACCTCATATACATTCCTAACTAACAAGGATCTGCATCTTAATAGCATGGCAGTCTAAATTTGGCTCCTCATCGTGCTAACTGTTGCAAGCCTCCAGATTTCATAGGAAGAATTGAAAAATAATTGAACCTCTTGATTTATAACATCAGCAAGAATTTTCCCATTTTCAGCTAACAACTAAAACTTCAAACTTACAAATTGCCTCAGCCCCTGGCCAACATCACATCCAATCGATTCAAATTACCATTAGATGAAGATCCATCAATCTGAGGAGCTTTACTCACGTTTCTATTGCGATAGATAAGTTCTTCTTGCTTATATGGGTGCTCCTTATAAGCTACCTGATGCAAATGGAGCAATGCAAGCATGCTAACTGCAAATACAGCGGCATTGCCCAGCATCCCTCCCATCTGATCCCATTTAAGGGATGTCCTCACAAAGTCAAAACTTGAAATCAGAACTTTCATCACTATGTTAGACCCTTGGTCGCACCTATCAAGTTTCTGATCGGATGGATTCAGAGATGAACCATAAAGGTTTTCAGGAGAAACAAAGTCACTTGCATCATGTACATCCCCAACAAAAGCTAAAGCTTCTTCAAGGACTTTGTACTTCTTACCATGGTGTTCAGCTAACCTCATTGCAAGAACAATCCTGCTTTGTTCTAACCGAGCAATTGCAGCATCCCTCTCAGCCCGCTGTTGTATTTGTACAGTCTATAAAACATGCACAAGAAAAAAAGAGCCATGAATATTCCCTAAAAGATCTCAGAGTTACACATATAAATCTGAACCAATTATGTTTACATACATAAACTGCAGCAATTAATGTAAATAATTTTAATGGTGCATCAATAAAGGCACCTGGAATAATTCAACAAAGCCTACCACAACTGTTTAGACCTAAATTTGAAAAATCAGCCAGTATTGTTCTTCGAATTCTAGGACCAGAACTTCTGTTAACCTCACATAACAAAATAACTTCTGCAAGCAAATGTGATTTCATGTTCAATCTTTCTTCCATGCATTCAGTTGATGCAAATTCTAGTGTTAGTCTGTTAGATAAATACTTTTATCTAAGTGCAACCTGCAAAATCTCCTCACAAATGTTTATCAGACTCTATTTGCACCAGGTTTCATTCCTTCCTATGTGTATAGACATCATCCAATGAGTACTCTTAAGAACTGAAATCAATCTCAAAAAGCCACAGTGGGTCCTTTCCATAGGCCAAGTCTTTCTAGAATCATCACTTAAGCTCAATCCTAAAAGGTTGTATGTTATATCTATACATCTACCACAATTCTGTCTCCTTAGAACTTGAATTCATTTCTGGGGCTCCTGCTGTTTATAGACTAGAGCTATCTTACCTGCACTTATTAATATAAATGTGCGGTGCCCAATTCATTCCCTAATTCTGCAGTGAAGCCAAAACAGGTTCGACAATTTCCAACTAAATTATTACCGGAATCACATAATATTTCCAAGTAAATTTAACAATATGCATGGCTACCACAATATCTAGAACCAAATTGCTTCTGGCTCTCCTTACATTTACTCACCGTCCAAGCAGAATTCAAGCAAAATACAAACAAGCATGAATTGAAAAAACAAATGAATTACATGAAAGAAAAGAAAACCCTAAGAAATCGAAATTGGACTTACATGGAAGAACTCCAATTGATCCTCGAGGTTCTCGAGAGCAGTCCTGATGGCGTTGAGACTCTTGGCCTCTTGAATAGCGAAGTCATTATCATCGACCCTAAAATCCTTGACAAAGACAAACCCAGAGCGAGTGTCCTCAACATCATCGTTGTTGAGTTTCTTCTTATCTGACTTCCTCAGGTTTCTGACGGAGTTGAGGAAGTGGGCTCGGGAAATTGAGTGAATAGCGTCGCTCAACTTGTCGTGGAGGTCCCAGATTTTCTCGAGAACTGCTTCAATTTCTTCAATCTCCATATTCCATTTCATGTGGGAAAATTAGGGAAAGCAATAAAATTCAAGGAGGGAAAGTTTCGCTCGTTCGGCTACAGGGTGCTTTATGTGAAAATGAAGGGCAACTGCTACCCGCGGTAAATAATAGTAAAAAATTATCTCTTTTTTACCAGGAAATAAATACTCGTATAAAATATAACCCGTCCTTTCTTTTTTTTGTTTTTCCGTTCGATATTTATATACAATGAAATTTTTATCCTCTACAGTACAGGGACAGTACAACCTTAAGGGGAAGAATTCCAATTAAAATTACCTTTAAAATATTCTTAAATTAATATTTAAATCTTTTTAGAACTTAATGTGTGAGTATGCTAATAAAAAAAACCGTGGAGCTTTTATAGCTGCCGTTTTTGCATGCAAGGAGTTGGGATTATTTTTGCCGGCTTGGTTTCTATGATTCTTTCTAAAATCTTCCTAAATAACTTTCCTGCTAAAAAATTTAGTGAAGACCCAATTCTCTCTACACAGCCTCAAGCAGATTTTATTTGGCGAATCGTTTTAATGACCGGTGCATTTCCAGCAGCTTTAACATTTTATTGGCGAATGAGAATGCCCGAAACTGGTCGTCACACTGCTCTTGTTCAAGGTAACGCTAAACAAGCCGCTATGGACATGGGACGCGTTCTTGATATGAAAATTGAAGAAGAACAAGACAAGGTGATGCAATTTAAGGCTGCTAATGATTACCCATTACTTTCTAACGAGTTTGACAAGCGACGCGGGCTTCATTTGATAGGTACATGAGTACGTGGTTTCTCCTTGACATAGCCTTCTACAGCCCAAATTTAACCCAAAAAGATATATTCCCTGCAATGGGATTAATCAAAACTGATATCGAGATTAATGCTATAGAAGAAGTTTACGAGACTTCGCGTGCCATGTTTATTGTTGCATTGATTGGCGCATTTCCTGGTTATTGGTTTAGAGTGGGCTTAATTGAAGATATTGGCCGGTTTACAGTTCAGCTTCTAGCGTTCTTCATGATGTCTGGTTGTATGTTAGTCATGGGTATCGAATATGAATATCTGAAAGAACATAACAAGTGGCTATTTAAACTTCTTTACGGCTTGACGTTTTTTTCCGCAAATTTTGGTCCCAACAGCACAACGTTTGTTTTTCCTGCTGAACTATTTCCGACAAGGATGACATCGACGCGTCATGCATTGGGTGCGGCTGCAGGGAAGGCCGGAGCAATGATCGGAGCTTTTGTGGTTCAATCGTATACTCTGGACGGAAAACGTCGAAAATAAAAGTTGCGTTGGTGGCATTGGCATTGACAAATATGCTAGGGTTTTGTTGCACGTTCGTGCTTCCTGAGACCAAAGGCCGGTCTTTGGAGGAGATATCTAGTGAAGACGGCGGCCAAGATGGGAGATAATAACAAGTCTGCTAGACGAGCTTCGGTGGCTCGACAGAGAAATAGCGAGAGAACTTTGTGATGATTGAAGGGTCAATTAGCTTGGCAAAATCATGATTCCATGTATGGAGAAATTTTGAACATACAATAACAATTATATAAAAGTATATACAAAATGCACCAGTAATTTATGGATTTTTGATAAAAAAAATAAAATAAAAAAGAATTTTCGGACGTATCAAATTCACGAGGTAATTTTGAATATATGTGAATTGAGTTAGCACTCCTTTTTTTTTTTTTTTTTTTTTTTTTTTTTTTAAAAAATGAGAGCTAACTCATTTCTTAATATAAATATGAACAATTAATTATTAATTCAACCCGACACCAAATGTTCAAAATCCTATTGACGATTCAAAAATTAGCATTATTTAGCTTTATTAATTTATTAGTGTTATAATCTGTAATTTTTCTCATTTTTAGCGTTTTTTATGTTGAATTTTAATTTGCCTCATCCTATCAATTGAACTAATAGTCCAGATAAATCAAGTTGAAAACCATAAGTTTCAAGCTTAAATTTATTGTCCAACTTTTGTAATTGACCAATTTATGTATTATTTTTTTTTTTTTTTTTTTTTTTTTTAAAATGAGAGCTAACTCATTTCTTAATTATAATATGAAATTAATTATAATTCAACCGACACCAATGTTCAAAATCCATTGACGATTCAAAATTAGCATTATTAGCTTTATTATTATTAGTGTTATAATCTGTAATTTTCTCATTTTTAGCGTTTTTTATGTTGAATTTTTAATTTGCCTCATCCTATCAATGAACTAATAGTCAGATAAAATCAAGTTGAAACCATAGTTTCAAGCTTAAATATTATTGTCCAACTTTGTAATTGACCAAATTATGTACATAATATTTCTCAAAAACTATGAATTATTTACAAAGCGTTATTAAAAAATAATTATTAATCTATTGACTTTAATTAAAATAAAAAATAAAAATAAAAAATTAATTTGGAAAAAATTTAAATTAATAATAAAGAGAACAATAAATTACAATGAACACATGCCAATGTGGCAGCAGCCACAATCAATTGTCAAAGTTCTATAAAAGGAGAAGAAAAATTAGTTAGGCATGGACGTCACCCATGACCTTTAATTATTATCCTAAAAACATGGAAAGTCCAAGAGACTAACTATTTTTACAATATACTTACCGTTTCAAAAAAATGCAATCAAATTTGAAAATCAGCATATCGAATTTAAAATTTCCATAAAAATTATCTGAAAAATAAAATTATATACAATAATCAAATGTTAAGATGTATGCTGCTTATTTTAAAATCGAATAAATAATATATTTATTTATATATTATTTTCATATTGTTGAATCATATTCACTCGTAAATATTTTTATTAATTTAGTGAATGAAAAAATAACTATATTAGGGTTATTTCTGTCGTTTTACCTCCTAAGTTAAAAAAAATATTAGATTTTCTTAGAACGAATGCTGCATAATATTATGAATTTTTTAAATTTATTAATAGTGATTTTTCTTAGTTTTCTTGGCACACAGTCCAGCTGTTAGGTACCGTTTGATTCCACACCGAGAATCGCGCGTCGTCACAGAAAGCCCTAGAAGAAAACTAAAGGCACGCCTTTCTCACGCAAAGGCACTGTTTGGTTGCTTTTTCTTGTTTCAAGGAAAGGCGAAGTCCCTACTCTGCACTGATATTTGCTTGCGCCACTCACTGGTGGATTTAGCAAAAACTCAGTGAAATTAGCGCTTTGCCGCTTTCCCCCCTGTTTTTTTTTTTTGATGAAAATCAGCCAAAAACGTCACCAAACGTCTTCGTAGTTCTAGAAGGTGTATTTTTCTGGTAAGCGTTTAAGCGTTTTTCTGCTTCGTGTCTTCCCTCTTCCCCAAGCAATGTGGAAAAGGAAAAAAATTAAAATAAAAAAACGCTTCGTTTTTGCTTTTTTAACAAATAAATTGTATTGATTTTCTGTGCGCATCGAAAGGCTCTTTATATTGGATTGATAATCTTTTTGGTCGGTTCTGATCGAAAGGGATGACTGAGGTTGCGCCAACTCGGAATCCATGGCTGAGTACAGAGCAGACAGCAAGAGTCGATATTAACGGTCAACATTTATCGACGTCGGACACGATGGTGCTTGATGGAGCAGAGCCTGGATTTTCTGATTCCCAGCCTCACCAATCAAATATTAAATCCGCCGGAAACTTAGGGATTGGTGAAAGAGCTCTCTCTGCTGCCGGTGCTGCTTTCCTATCAGCAATTATAGTTAATCCTCTTGATGTTGCCAAGGTAATTGTACTGCAATTTGTCTACATGATTTCTGCAATTTGTATCTTTTCACCAATTTTTTGTTCAATGGTTTTGCAATTTTTTTCTTTATCTGTAATTTGATTGATTGCTTTTCTTGCTGCATTCTAAATGTAATTAATAAATTGTATGAGAATTGTAGCTATTTCTATCTTAATAGTAGAAAGTTCTTTTGGTCTCTAAGTTGTGAATGTAAACTGAAACCATTTTCTGTATTTCAATTTATAGACTAGGTTGCAAGCGCAGGCTGCAGGAGTTCCTTACTCCCACCCACTGAGTAATATCATCAGTAGAATGGCATATTTTGGGCCAAACATGGTACGTGTACTCTTTTAGGCTTTTTTTTTTTTATTTTTTTATTTTTAAAGATGCGTGATTGTCTCATTTAGTCTTTAATCGAAGTTGTCAGTTAATTTTGCATCCTAAACCCGTCCTAAATATTGGGCTCAGATGTTTGCTGATCTAAGGTGTTCACCGTCATGCTCGCGAGCTGGAGTTCATGGAACTGTATCGATTTGTCCTCCTGATTGTTTCCAATACAAAGGAACTCTAGATGTCTTCTACAAAATTATACGACAAGTTAGTATTTCCTTTTCTTAACTGAATGTGTAATATGGTTTGTTGGCAAAAGGGCGAAAAGAAAGAAAAAAAATGAAAATTTGGTTCGACAAATATTTTATTTTGTGTCTTCAGTAGACATGAACCACTATTAATGGTTTTTTGGGAGATACTTTGCAGGAAGGAGTTGCAAGGCTATGGAGAGGCACAAATGCTGGTCTGGCCTTGGCTGTACCAACGGTAAATTTCTTGATCTCTATGGACATGTCCACTAACAGTTACCATTATTGGTATATTCCAAAACTCTTCACCAAATCAGCTAAATGGTGATACTTCAATTCCTGTAAAAACAGGTGGGAATCTACCTACCATGCTATGATATGTTTCGCAACTGGATGGAGGATTTCACCTCTCAGAATATCCCTGGTGCAACACCATATGCGCCTTTAGTGGCAGGTTCATTAGCGCGTTCCTTAGCTTGTGCAACTTGCTATCCCATTGAACTTGCAAGAACCCGAATGCAGGTCTGCAGAAATATTCAACATGCTTATCTTGTCCTTCAGTTTGTCTTTTTTTTTTTTTTTTGAATTTTCTTTATGTGAGAATTTGCAATGAAGTCTGAAAGATTATTGCCTGTTGAATGCGGGGAACTATATAGACATAGGCATTATGTTCTATTGTCTTTTAAAAAAATGTGATAGCTTATATGTTTACTGGTACCAGACATGCTTGCTTGATTACTAAATTATAAACTGTTGTATGACTACTAAATTGTATATTAAAAGTTCAGATGATAATATTGTTGTTATCTTTTAAGACAAACCATGATATGTTGGCTATGTTTTTTTCCCCACTCTTTTTCTACCTATGGCCTAAGAGTTTGAAAAGACTACATCTTTAGTTGTAACCTATTAACAGGGAACTGTTTTTATTTGCTGTATTTCATAATTCCATATTATTAACCTGTTGTATTCTTGTATTTTCTATGCACATCTTATTGCTGAAATTTTTGTTGAGTTGCGGGTTTGCACTATCCATTTCGGGAGACAATAAATAATGAATTAGAGACATCTTAATTTCAATGCTTTAGACTATGATCTCCTGTGCTATACATAATGCATGAAAAACCGATATAATGGCTTTAGAAAATAAAATCTTTGTTTTCGTGGTGATACCTTTCCTTTTTTCCTTGTCTCTCCACCCCCCTCATTCTCTTTGATAACTTCTTATTTTACTACTGCGTGACAATTTTAGGCATTTAAAGCAGCAGCTCAAATTGGTAAAAGACCTCCTGGAGTTTGGAGAACTTTGCTGGAGGTCCTCTCCCATGTAAGGAGCACAGACAATCTGCAAAACAACTGTAAGTTGATACTTCTATTGGTATATTTTTGGATCTTCTTTGCATTGCACATTCTGGGTATTTTGGACTGAAACAATAAATGATAAAATATCCAGTATTATTAGCACATAGATGGTCTTTCAAATAATAATCCAGAATATTTTCTCATTATTGTGTCTCACAATATAAGAAAAACTACTCGGTGCTTATTTATTCTAGTTGGCTCGCTTCCTTGGAACAGTTAGAGGCTACCGCGTGTTGTGGACGGGCATGGGGGCACAGCTTGCTCGTGATGTTCCATTCTCTGCTATTTGTTGGTCAACCCTAGAGCCAGTAAGAAACTAACTATTTGGCTGTTCTGTAAATAAACTTCAGATGTTTTTCCTTCCGCTTTGGCTAGCATTATTTAGATGATTGAATGTTTCCATGCTGTATATTTTGCTAGAAGTGATTTCTTTTTCTTCTGCTGGTATAGATCAGGAGAAGACTATTAAGTTTGGTTGGTGAGGAATCCAGTGCGGCAAGCATTCTTGGAGCAAACTTTTCTGCTGGTTTTGTTGCGGGAAGTCTTGCTGCTGCTACTACATGCCCTCTAGATGTTGCCAAAACCCGAAGACAGATAGAGGTTATTACTCCCCCTATCTTATATGGCATGTAAATTTAGGCTGATGCTTTCCACCATTTATGTCCATTAAGATGTTCATTGTTTAATATGATCTCCTGTAATTTAGGGCCTATTTGATGTTTGGTTTTTATGATTTTGTGAAAATGGCAAAGTAATACGGGAAGGCATTTCTTTTAGTTTTTGTAGACTTGCAGTTTACAAACCAAAAAAAAGATCGATGTGCATCAAGATAGACCACAATTTATGACTTCAAACATTGATATATTTTTCTCTTGATTGATAGTATCTGACATGTCTGGTGGCTTTCCTTTTATTTTCAGAATGATCCTGTAAGGGCATTGAGGATGACAACACGGCAAGTGTTGATGGAAGTTTGGAGGTACCTTTATTATATCTTAAATATGATTTTCTATTATGTGAGTAGAACAGTCTTCTAACTAGGCTCCCACTTAGGTGAAGCACCTGATCTTAAATATGATTTTCTATTATGGAAGTTTTTTCCATTGTTCTCTACTAGAGAGATGACAACTCATAGGTTGTAAGGGTGGACCTACATAATAAGGGCCTCAGGTTATAAAGTGGGGAAAATGGGGCCCCAAATTTTAGAGGTATGCCATGCTAAGCGATTTGAATGTTATTTTCCATTAGAGCAGGCAAAGTTTTGGGAGTTAATGAGTAGGATCTGGACCACCCTTCACATCAGATGCTTTAGTCATCTGATTCATGGGTTTGATGGAATACTTAAAGGATATCTATAATGAGAACGTCTATGACTCTTATTCTATTTGTATGTTGTCCACTGCCAGTAAAATCTCTGGGACATTTTTGTGCTGCGCTAATGCTTATACCATTTTGCCTCTTCATTTAATTAAACATTGTGGATTTTCATCTTTCTCATGGGTGACACAAATTTCTATCAGGGATGGAGGAATGAAGGCGCTGTTCACAGGTGTTGGTCCTCGTGTTGGTCGTGCTGGTCCATCTGTTGGGATCGTGGTTTCATTTTATGAAGTTGTGAAATATGTTCTCCATCAACATTATGCAACTTCATAACAAAGGGGGTGTCAGTGCTTTATCAGTTCTTTTTGGTCTCTGCCAAATCAATTTAAGTTGACTGGAATAAGAGCAACAACTGGACATTTGCGTTGGAGAAGCAGCCACCGGTTGTGAATAATATGGCAAGCAAAGAAGAAAATACAGTTTTGTAAGTGTTAGGTTTTTTCTATTGGCCTGCAAGTGCAGACAGGAATCTTAATCTAGGTTTTTTCTGAGTTCTAGTCTCAGTTCACTAACTTATTCCGGCCTATGGCACTTTTGCTAACCCACATCTATACGAGGTTTTAACTGACAAGAATCTTTCCGCAAATGCCGTGGTAATTATATTTTTACACTTAGGGATAGTTCTGTAGCAGACTTCGAATATTACGAGGAAAGGAATTGAGTTAATTGTGAGTTTATTTAGAATATTATCACATCTGCCATCGCATTTTTGTTTTTTTGTGATTTTCTTGGCAGTAAAAGCTGCCCTTGTGATTTTCTCAATGTCTTAGTAATTATTTAATGTGCTCACGGACCGTGATCGGCATTGGGTTGGGGGGAAAAATAAATTGACAGATTTCAGAAAGGGGTTTCCAAGGTTAGAGAGAGAGAGTGATTTTTTTTTTTCAGTATTGAGTGAGGGGTTTCGAAAGTTGATCTATTGTTGTTTGGTACTGGTCAGAGCTGGTTTGAATCAAAACGCAACGTTTTTGCCTGCGGTGTTCAAATTCGCAAATTTGCTGTTTGTCTTAAAAGGAAGGAGAGAATATTAGCTCTGCATCTCTCATCTCCTGTAATATTTAGCCTCTGGTAGGATGAAAAGTATTTTTTGAAAAAAATAAAATAACCATAGAACAAATTTAATGGAGAAAAATAATGAAATAACTTTTTAATTTATTTTTCATTTGAGCTTATATATTTGGAATTTCTCCAATTTAGAGAGAACCAACTAAAGAAAGTAAATACCACTAAATTTCTATTAATTATCAATTTTTCAATGGTAACATTTTCTTTCATCTAAAGCTTTGTCCTTTCTAAATAAGAAAAGATAACCAAATTCACGACTCCTTAATAATTTTTTTCCTTCATTGTGATCATTCGAGAACATAAAATAATCAAGAGTACACAATACAAAGCGTTGTCCAAATATGAAAATCTCTGAGATAATTTTGGCTTATGATCATTTGAGACTTATTGGTGGAAAATTAGACCCCAAATCAAATATAACATCGATGTTCTGTTCTTCAAAATGTTGAATCAGTGAATGAGGTGAATGAGGTAGGTGAGCACCAATGCCAATAGCATTAGAACATACGCTATTCCTTGGTCTATTGTGGTGCCTGCAATTCATGGTTAATACTTTTCTTTAATTATTCTTTCCTTTCATAAAGGGAAAAACACAGAGAGAGAGAAGAAGAAGAAGAAGAAGAAGAAGAAGACTTACCGTCGCTTGTGGGTGATGGAGCAGAAGCAGGGAATTGGCATTGAGCCAAAGGGAACATAATAAACGCATATAGAATAGAAAGAGCGGCAAAAAATCCAAATGACACCCCGCTGACTGCCATTTTTCTCTATTAACAAGAATAATAATCTCTCTTAATTTCTCTGTAAATCTCTAGTTTCCACTTCTGTCTCGCAGTCTAGAATACAAAAGAAAAGAAAAAAGGGAGAAGCACTAGCAGGAGCTCTTGAGTTGAGGTTAGCTGGTGAATATTGTGGACGAAGGAGGAGTTGAGAGTTATTATTTGTAGCCTTGTCTATTTATATTCTCTGTTCTCCACATACAAGGCACAGTGTGGGGTCTACCCGCAACTCTAGAGGACCCACAAATCCATGTGGTGTGGCTTTTGCTTGTCTTTCCCTGTAATTCCAAGCTGTGGTCTTCAAAATAAAATGTAAAATAAAATAAAAATAGAAAAGAGAAAGAAACCAGCCTGTCTCTGCTTCTGCTCTATTGTTTTTGCCTATAAAGATTCAATATATTTGCTGGTTCTATCTGGCAAGCTGTTCGCATTCTTGCCAGGTTATTGATTAGAATATTCCATTCTTGATTTCTCGATGTCAAGAACTCAGATTTTAACCCAGATTAGAATATTCTGTATACTTGTACAATACAATGATTCCGGAAGTTATGCCTTGTCGTGCATCAATCTAGACACGTTATCAAGGAAGATTCTAAATGATTTAAATAATCTCCGTTTACAATTCAATTATATCATAACCGACTTTGATAATAAGAAATTCTTATTAAATTACCATTTAAATTTCTCTTTAATTAACTTTTTCTGTATAATTAAGAAAGACAATCCGAATCTCAAATTCTAAATGATTAGAAAACAAAAATCAAAAGCAACGAACTAGCAGCAGTAAAGTTGGATTGGATTCTCTGAGTTGTGATTATCAGAACCGTCGGTTTTGGATTATCTTGACCTAGACTAACCTAACGTCTTAGGTTTTGCTAAATTCACACCCCAAGCAAAACTAAAGGCTTCTTCTTTTTCATCATTCTGGTCCTGGGCGATTCTCAGCCCATGACGAAGTCTAATCTTCTTATCAAAATAAACAGAGACAGAAAATAATAATGCTTCTAAATTTACAAAGCATGAACCATTACGCCTGTATATATCCTCCTAATGGCACTCACAACATGCTCACCATGCATCAACTACAAAACTACATAGAACAAAGAGACGGATTTTCAAAATTGGAGAATCATGACTCTATGCATTCCTCTATTACTAGCAATATTCACATATGTAATATGTTTCCAAACTAATTTTAACAATCACCATGAGAAACCAGAAAGATAACCAGGTGACGGGAGGACTGGGAAACAACAAAATGCCATCCTCTGGAATTCATTACCACTAGAAGATCGTGCATGACTTCTCAGTTTTTGCCCTGCTGTGATCGAGTAGCCTAGTCAACTGGGAAGAAAAAGAGGATCCTCTTTGTTCTTGTAGATCTCAAACAATTGCTTAGAGTAGTGGGTAGCCAAACTTCTGCACAGTTCCACTGCCTTGGGCCCACGCTCTTCCAGTTGCTGGACAGATTTCTTAAGATCACCATGAGGATCCCCATCTGTAAGAAACTCGGCCAAAGTAGTACCCCTGAAAGATCTCCCAACAGAATTAGTAGGAACAAGCTAAAATATTTTACACAAAGGCATCTTAATAAACCCTGGAATGAAAAATCAAATATGATATTAAATGCAGGAAGTATTATTTATCAATATTTTGAAGTGGATACACCAAAAGGACCATGGTAGTCAGGGGAACCTGAGATAGCCACTCAAACCAACAAATGATGGACAAGTGAGACATTTTTGTATCACGTTATTGATTTTTGATTGGGTAGAATAAGGGAGAAAGAAGAGTTCACATGGTAAACAAAAAACATAAACTTTACACAAGGCATTGCACCATGATATCATGCATCATACATGCATACGAGCAGTTGATTCAATTATTCTCCACAATAACAAAATAAGAATACAGTCTTGTACCTTAGAGCATCAAATTTGCTAAATCCTCGGTTATTGTCATATATTGTTTCCTTGCCAGCCTGTTCCTCAGAAGTTTGCTGTCGATAGAGAGCACACACAGCTTTCATACATAATTCAAGATCCTTACCAAATGCTGAAAGCATGTCTGCCTCTAATTCCCACTTGAACTTACAATTCTTGCTTCTTTGAAGTTTGGACAAAATTTCATCAAAGTCCACATTGTCATCTGATTCATTTTTTGACTGACTGGAACCGTTATTAGCATCAGATAGATCAGAGCTGTCAACAATAAATCCACCCAACCTCTCACCCTCACTGTCTGATCCAATTTCCTCAGATTCACCATCTTCAACATCCTTCATTGTAGGAATTCCTTGTCCTTGTTTTGATTCACTGGTCTTACTTTCTCCATTCACTTTTTCTTCACACTGCCTCAGAGTTGCCAAACGTCGCCTTGAACGTGTTACAAGGCCACTGAAATCATCATGAATACATGGAGAGGACCCAAATATTGAGCAGCTGCTCACATCAGTATTTGCTTTGTCATGGATTGATCCCTGAAGAGGCACCCTCTTCAACTTAGATATTGGAACATTGTCATCTTCATCACTCTCAGTATCACTAGTGACAATCTTAACAGCTCTTTTCCTTTTAGGAGTTGGAACACATGGAATATCATCCATATCTTCTTTGTAACTCTGATTGCAAGCTGCCCTCTTTAAAGAGTTCTCAGAAGTTTTTTCTTTTTTATCATTCAGATTTCCAGCTACCATATGATCTTTTGAAATTCTGACTTTTCTATTTCTCTGATCATTGGGAGTAGAAGCTTGGGTAGCATGAATATCAGACTCATCATCACTATCCAAAATATTTATGACATTGAGACAAGCAGTTTTACTGCTGCCCGGGGTGGATGGAGCCATCTTTTTGTTAGGGCTTCTTTCTTCTTCGAATGATAGGCATCTTACAACTATCCCATGGCGATCCCCTTCAGAATTCGAACAAACACCTTTATTCCTCACTAAAGAAGTGTGTCCACATGGACTCTTTTTATATGGGGTGCCTGCCACCAAAAAATAAAATAAAATAAGGGATACGGTGAGGGTTACCACACTCTTTCAATCAGGGAACAGAACATCATTTTTATAGAAAGAAAGAAAGCTTCGCTATGGTATGACAAAGTAAGAATTTTTACTTACAAACGTATCAGATTAGAGATAGAACAGTTCAATAAAAAGTTAACCTAAGTGGACCACCCAAATTCAAGCACAAATAGTTCACATATTGGAAATGGATAAATGCATTGGTGGCCACTCATTTAGCCCAAAAGCTATCGCATGGCTACATTGTGAATCCATCAAAGCATTACTCTAAACGATAGCTTAAGTACAATTGAATTCAAATAGGAAAATTACACGCTAATATATTCAGTGAATCAATTTGATCATCAAGGATGAAAGATAGTGTCAAGGTTAGACAACAGTCAAAATGAAGTATTAGAACCTCATTTTCTATGTACAGTGCTTTAATATCCACTCATGTACCAAAAATTAGGCCCACACCCAGTATCGCCAGTTTAGTCTTACATGAACAATAAATGACAAAAATTAAATAGTGATAGAAAGAAAGGAAATCATGCGATTTCATACCAGCAGTAATATCATCAATGCCTTCACCAGGGATACCACAGGTAGCCCCTAAATCCGCCAAATCTACTGATTTCTCTTTGATTTGCAGTTGCTCCATGGCGGTTCTCCCGTCTGGTCTATTTTCACCTTTAATAACTTCAAGCAACAGTTGTTTTCCGCCTCTCAATTTGGTAATGTCATCCACCTGTGAAACCCACAATTCCAATTCCTTAAACTTTTCTTTCCAAATCTCAACCTCACTTTCAGCCTTTCTCTTCTCACATTCCAAAACATGATTTTCAACTACGAGCTTATCTACAATATCCTCCTCCTCTCCCTCCTCTGTTAGATCGACAACTACATCTCCCTCCTTCCCTTCTTCATGATTACCCTTGTTTTCATCCTTGAATGAATTTCCGTGCTCTCTAAATTTCCTTGTCCTAAAAGCCATTAGTTCATCTTCAATTGCATCCTTTTGAGCATTTAGTTCCTTCAACTTAGCCTCAAGTGCATCGTATTCTTTCTTCCTCTTTTCAATCTCCAATTCCAATTCTACAATCTTTGCTTCAGCCTTCTTACTCCTTTCTTCCAACTCAGTACAGCTACACTTTTTTGAATTTTCCTCGCAAACAAGTTCATTCTTTAAAACTTCAGTTTCCACTTCCTCCATATTAATCTACATGTAAGAACACCATCAACACTCAAAAGTCAAATATAAAAACTTGAATTATCCCACTGATTCCATTTCAAGTACCTGCACTTTAAAATTTCACCAAATCATTACAATTGTAGCAATGAAAATTACTAGAAAGAGATAGAGTGAAAGCCCATACAAACATGGGAGAGAACAAGAAAAGGCACAAATGACAAAAATATGACTCTTTGCCAGGGTTAACAAGAAAGTATTATCTTTATTAAACCCAATATACAAAATCTTAATTCTAATTCACACCTATAAGCAGCTCATAAAAATTTTTTTCTTAATTTTAAGTTTTTGTCCTCAAAAACTCAGTAAAGCGAAATTCAATAGAGAACAAGCACAAGGACAGGAATGCAAGAAATATTGAATGTAAAACTTACTATACGAAGGGCGTATTCGTTAAAAGCTCGCAATTTGGATACTCCCCTTTCTCTTTAGGGTTTCCGTCTACAAGAAGATTGCTCGAAGAACCAAGAGTAGCGTACATGACACTGATGACAATGAACTAACTGCAGAGTCGGTGACGTGGATGAGCCTGGATAGACGATGCCACCTGCATAAAATAAATCAACTTAACTAAACGACGGACGTTTTGGAAGCGATGAATTGGAAGGACGAAAAAGGGTAGCAACTAGGAAACCACTGTTTATTTATTTTGTTTAGGACATGTCGTTGAATGTGTATGCACAGCTGTCCGGTTTTTATCCGTTATTTTAGGCGATTTAAACGAAGCTTCGCTGATTCCATAGCAAACGAGATATGTTACTGAAATTTATCAGACAAGTCCCCGCCTTACTTCGAAGACAACGTCTTGTCAGTGCATATAGTAGAGAAGCTCTGAGTCCAAGGGGGTTAGGGTTTAACAAGCTCTTCTCTACGTATATGGAGGAGCCAGAACTGAAGGAGTTCATTGATTACTTAGGTTCGCTCAAAAACTACGAGAAATCAGGCATTCCCAAGGGCGCGGGTACGGATTCAGACGACGGTTTTGATCTCAGTCGCATGCGGCGGCTTATGAACCATCTGGATAATCCGCAGTCGAAATTCAAGGTTCCATTTTTTCTTCTTCCAATAATAATGCATGTATTTAATTGAGTCGGTTCTCAGTTCTTATAAACGGAACAAGTGTTACTTATATATATATATATATATATAATTCTAATATAAACGGAACAAGTGTTACTTATATAATTCTAATATAGGCCATCCACATTGCCGGAACCAAAGGAAAAGGATCAACTGCTGCCTTTCTTTCTAACATCTTGCGGGCAGAAGGGTATTCCGTTGGTTGCTATACTAGGTAAGAGCTTATTGGACTGTGTTTGTATGTAATGTAAGAAGATGAAGAACTCAACGGATAAGGAAGAAAGACACTTCTATCAGCATTCCACTACAGTGCTTTTTATGCTTGTGACAAACTCTCTTTTGTTTTTGCAGTCCACATATTGTAACTGTAAGGGAGAGGATGTCAATAGGAAAATTAGGTGAGCCAGTGTCAGCAAAGGCATTAAATTGTCATTTCCATCGGATTAGGCAGAAGCTTGATGAGGCAGTTCAACTAGAAAATGGGTGTTTAAGTCATTTTGAGGTATTCACTACTGCATTCTTTGTCATTTACAATGCTTAGAAATTCAGATTTTTGTCCTCGGGTAGAACTCCCCTGCTGCACTGTCTGGAATTTTTTTATCGAGAGAGAGTACTAAGTTAAGAACCCGCACAAAATGCCTAACCTAAACTAAAGATAGCATCTGAGGAGTAAGCTCCGCTCTCTTACTCTGTTTCCAGCCAACTTTCCTTCTTGCCGTTTAGGTGCTTTAACATATATGTATTGTCACATGAAGGCTTGGACCTGATTATTTAGAAAATTTAACTAGTTGTGCAATTTTTGTGCTCATTGTCGATTTTTCAAGTTATATAAGGTCGTTCTCAGTAATAATACCAGCCAATTTTTGTGCAATTTCGCTTTCATATCTTTTATGTTGTGTTTCCAGTATTTTTTATTCATGATGAATCATGTCAATGACATGAAAGTCTCCTTTATGCAGTCTCATGATTTGATTGTCTGAACTTAATTTTTCAGGTTCTTACTGCCATAGCTTTTTCCCTATTTGCTCAAGAGAACATTGATATAGCAATCATTGAGGTATTGATCTTCTTCTTCTAATTTTCTTCTTCTTTGACTTGTTATTTTCATAGAAAATTTTCTTGCATGTGCATTGTTGGAAACATTATGTGGTCCAACATCATTTTGTTGCTTGGAATGTTAGATATATGTATGTCTTCATATTATCTGTTTCAGCATCAGAATTTGGATGCAGATAGTTGCTTCCCTTTTGGGCAATTTTCTTTTAGATCAATACTGATCTTAATTTTTAGTTTATTTTCTTGTAACAGACTGGTCTTGGAGGTGCTCGGGATGCTACAAATATAATTTGTAGCTCTGGACTTGCTGCATCAGTAATAACTAGTATTGGTGAGGAACATTTGATGGCACTGGGAGGTTCTCTAGAAACCATTGCTATGGCAAAGGCTGGAATAATTAAACATAACCGTCCAGTTAGGTGATTCTGACTTCAACTGTAATTACATCACAGTTGCTTCAGTATCTTTTTTTTTTTTTTTTTTTTCTAAAGGATAGCAATCTGAGAGTAAGCAGCTCCGCTCTCTTACTCTGTTTCCAGCCAACCTTTTCCTTCTTGCCGTTTAGGGTGCTTTAACACTTATGTATTGTCAGCAGGAAGGCTTGGGACCTGATTATTTTGGAAAAATTTAACATAGTTGTGCCAATTTTTGTGCCTCATTGTCGTATTTTTTCAAAGTTATTATAAGGTCGATTCTCTAGTAATAATACCAGACAATTTTTGTGCAATTTCGCTATTCATATCTTTTATGTTGTGTTCCCAGTATTTTTTATTCATGATAGAATCATGTCAATGACATGAAAGTCTCACTTTTGATTGCAGTCTCATGATTTGATTTTCTGAAGCTAATTTTCAGGTTCTTACTCCATAGACTTATTCCCATTTGCTCAAGTAGAACATTGATATTAGCAATTCATTTGAGGTATTGATCTTCTCTTCTTATAAATTATTCTTCTCTCTTTTGACTCTGTTATGCAGTTTGTTTCATAGAAAATTCTTGCATGTGCATTGTTGGAAACATTATTGTGGTCACACCATCAATTTAGTTGCTTTGGAATGTAGATATATGTATGTCATTATATTATCTGTTTCAGCAATCAGAATATTGGATGCAGATTAGTTGCTTCCCTTTTGGGCAAATATTCTTTAGTCAATACGATCTAATTTTTAGTTATTCTTGAACAGACTGGTCTTGGAGGTGCTCGGGAATGCTACAAATATAATGTGTAGCTCTGGACTTGCGCACTCAGTAATAACTAGTATTGGTGTAGCGAACTATTTGATGGCCAACTGGGGAGGTTCTCTAGAAACCATTGCTATTGGCAAAAGCTGAATAATTAACATAGAACCGTGCCAGTTAGTGATTCTTGACTTCCAACTGTAATTTACATCACAGTTGGCTTCAGTATGCTTTTTTTTTTTTTTTTTTTTGAGCTCTCACAGCTCGCCATCATGGTTTTGCATGACATACATTTGTAAAAACACTGGGTTTTAGTTGTTGCACAAATCCCTTTTTTTTTTTTTTTTTTTTTGGCTCTCACAGCTCGGCCATTCTGGTTTGCATGACATATCATTTTGTAAAACACTGGGTTTAGTTGTTGCAGCAAATCCCTGTTTGGTTCAGTGCAGGTGTAATTTGATTGAACAATTATGCCCTTACTGTCTTTTATATGAATATTTTGCCATTTCTTTTATTTTTGAATGGCCCTTGGATTTGGCATCAGAACTATTGCTGCAGTATTATATGTAATCCTCTATCATCCTGAACACTTATGCATGAGTTTATGAAACAAAATTAATTGGTAGGAGTTTGTCAATATATGTGCTGTTTTGGTATATGTGATGAAGCAAATTTTGTTTATTAGTTGATTCTTATTGGTATTTCATGGTTGATAATATCGAGATATTGAGAGAATTAATGGGAAGATCAGTGAACATTGTGTCTTTAATTGTTAAGGAATGAGGTACTTTGCATATCTTAGTGCCTGCAATGATGTGCAAATTTGTTGCACTAGATTCTTATAACAACGGATTCTGCTTGGATTTATGCCATTACAGCAATTTAATCTATTGATGCATAGTTCAATGCCTAAAACTTTTTTCATTACTTTTGTTTACTTTATTACTATACTCTTCAAGAGTATGATTGTTTGAATTTTTCAGGTAGTTCTTGGTGGGCCTTTTCTTCCTCACATTGAGCATATTCTTCGTGAGAAAGCATCACAGATGAATGCTCCTGTAGTATCAGCATCTGATTCTGAAACCAGAACTACCATTAAAGGCCTTAGCATGTGTGATGGTAGGCAATGCCAGTTGTGTGACATAATTATACGAGTCGATAGGGATTTTCAGCTGGTATATTAATGGTTACTCTTCAGCATCTATTTAAAATCTTTTATTCTTCAGAGAACTACTAAAACCTTTATCTCTTCTGGTCTGATTTGATTGTTGGAACTTAGTCTTTTAGCTCCAATGGTTGATCATGCTCAGTTTTCATCTATGATTATGAAACTTTTAGCAAATTCGTGCTAATTTGGCACATGCAGTTTGCTGATTTGCCTGAGATAAAAATGTGCATGCTTGGGAGTCACCAACTACAAAATGCAGCTACTGCAGCATGTGCAGCACTATGCCTCCGCAATCAAGGTGCACCCTTATTTTATATTTTCCTTTATGTTACACTTTTCTAAAGGAGAAAATGTTTTTTCGTTTGATAGTTTAAATTCAAAAAAAAAAAAAAAAAAAAAAAAAAAATCTCGATTTCCTGAATATTTGCTTCAGTCAGTGGGAATAGATAGTGTTACACTCTTCTAATTACTACTGGGCCAAAGTGTCTTTACTTGGAACTTTCTGAGTTACTTGTATACCTAGTTAACAATTAACAAGAAACTAATCTTGGAATCATAAATTACCGTTCAACATCTCGTGATTTCAATCTACACCCTAAATGATTTCACCGATTTAACAAAAAAAAAAAAAAAAAAAAAAAATCTAGTTCTGAATTTGCTTCAGGGTGGAAGATAGTTACCTTTATTCTACTGCACAAGTTCTTTCTGACCTTGTTACTTGTATACTGTTACAATACAGAACTATTTGACTAAATTACCTTTCACATCTCTATTCCAATCTCACCAATTACGTTTAATATAAATCAGGGTAAAATTGAAAAACTCCATTAACTACTCCTAGATATTCTCAAAATGATATATATTTATGGACAGAAGAACTACTCTAGAACATCTTATATTTGTGGACAAAGGGAGTAGTAAACTATTCGGATCTTTCAATATGTTATGAATTGCACAGGCTGGGGCATTTCAGATCGATCTATTAGGGTTGGTATTGAAAACACATGCCTACCTGGAAGAAGTCAATTTCTTGCATCCAAAGAAGCTGAGGCATTGGGACTACCTGGAGCCACAGTACTGCTTGATGGAGGTTAATTTTTACTGTTCCCTTATGACTACTTCTTTATGTCGTAAATGGTGACTGTTCCTCATCAGTCTGTAAATACTATTCTCATTTTTACCATTCTGTTAATGTATTCTGAGGACGTATTCTTCTCCCGAGAATTGCGCACTCATCTATTAATTGCGGATGTGAACATCTTTTCAGCTCACACTAGAGAATCTGCGAAAGCTTTGGTGGATACAATACAGATGACATTTCCAAAGGCAACATTGGCCCTTGTGGTTGCAATGGCTAGTGACAAAGACCATTTGGCTTTTGCTAGAGAATTTTTTCTAGGTATAATCCCATTGTGGCTCTAGTATCTTTTGTGTCTACTCTACCTGTTCACCATTGAAGGTGATCTATATAAAAAAACTTGAGAGCATATTTTTAGACTTGTTTTTTGCCTAGGCTTTACTAATTAAAATATTATCATATGCCAAACTTGTTTTTATTCTGGTAGGATGGTAGAATGGCCTTTTCTTTTTGTTCTTTCAATCATCCATCCTGGGAAGGGATGCAAGGATGCAGTTTCTGGAATGGTCTAATTCTTTTATCATCTTTTTTTTTCCAGGTAAAAATTTAGGGGCTGTCTTCCTAACAGAAGCTGACATTGCTGGAGGCAAATCCAGAACAACGACAGCTTCCTCGTTAAGAGATTGCTGGGTACAAGCTTCTGAAGAATTGGGCATCAATATCCTTCATGATGGAATGACAGAATATCAAGAATTATGCACGAAACAACTTGTCTATTCTGCAAGGGAAATGGAAGGCAGAGTCCTTTTGGTGGCTGAGAAATCATTAGAGGTTTCATTGAGAGACGCAAATGAGTTTCTTAAGGGGAAAACAGGGAACGAGTCACGTGCGCTTGTAGTGACAGGATCCCTGCATATTGTATCATCAGTGTTAGCTCGTCTGCGTGGGTAAAAATGCTTCACGGGAAATTGAAGGCTGTAAAAGGAGAAGTAATGAATTGCTCTCTCCATAACCTGTTTATATTTAATGAGAAGTACTTTTTTTTTTTTTTTTTTTTTTTCATAACCTTGTTTTATTTAATGAGAAGTACTTTTCTCTTTTTTTTTTTTTTTTTTGGACAATTGGTTAATGCTTTTTTTTTTTTTTTTTTTTTTTTGGACAATTGGTTAATGCTCATCTGAGTATTTTTCTTGGTTTGGGTTTATAAATCTCGAGGTTGTTTTTTCCTTTTGTGTCTAAATCATTTGCATTTTGGGGAAAGGAAAGAGCGGTAGTACTGCTACTGTTAGATTGTAAAGGAGAAAAATAGAAAATATTGATGGGTACGTCAATGTTATTTTTAATGGCTGTTTTTCCAGGACTAAATTAAAATCTACAAGACCAAAAAGCACTGGTGATACGTGTAGCATTTTTTTTGAATGGAAGAAGACGTTGCGATCGCAGAACTAGGAATCGAGCCCACGGTCCATTTTGTAGAATAAAGACTGGGCTATTCGGATTAAGGCCCATATATATAAATATATAACGAAAATCAAGAAGTGCAATTAATCATTAAGCTAAACTAATTGAATGGAAGTCCATCTTCAATTTGTGCAAGGAAAAGTAGATAGTTTCTGCTGATCTCCCAATTGATCTGATTAAAAATAAAAGTATATATATAATTATTTTTATAATAATAATAATAATAATTTTAAATGAGGATTTATTCAGTATATTATAAAAATAGTAGATTTTGAACTCATATAACAATTTGTGGTCTTTTCATATTTATGAGTGTAAAACAAAATGGTTTGTTATTGTATTTCAAACCAAATATTTAAATTTTGGATGTTTTTGGTAAGCAATAAGTTAGGCATGGCCACCGGTTCGGTTCTAACCGGAACCGAACTAGAACCGAACCGTACTGTAGATGAACCGAAACCGGATCGAAATCGGCGGTTCAAAATTTTGAACCGGAACTGGCAGTTCAAGGACCGGTTAAGGTTCATGTGAATGTTAAAAAATGAACCTGAACCGGTCCGGAACCGGCGGTTAACTGGCGGTTTCGGTCCGATTCGAACTGAATTCACAAACAAAATTATTTATTGAAATAATCAAAAATAGTGAAAAAAAAAACATCATCATTTTGGTTTAAAAAAAAAGAAGCATCATCATTTCACTTTTTTTTTTTAAGCTCATCATTTCATTTTCACTTAGCCGTTGAACTTTATTTACAAACACATATTTTTTTTAACTATACAATTAACAATTTACACAATGTTAAAACTTCAAACGAATATAATTGTTTATTATAATTTAATTATTTATTTATTTAGCCCGCCACCGATCGAAATCCGGCCCCCGACCGTAAAAGCCTCACCACACTAAAAAACACGCCACACCTTCTTCCGCAACCAACCCACCCCCGCCCCTCCCCGATACTACACTCCCACCACCCCCCACCCACACCCCCCTTCAACACCACACACACCACATTAAAAATTACTTCAAAATCCCAAGAACTCACTCCTCCCCCACCCCACGGCAGTTCAACTGGACACCACATCCACCCCCGGCACCACCTATCCAAGGTCTCATCGCCCAGTCGAACTGTCACCATACCAACCCCAACATGAACTCTGAATTGCAACGTCTGGCTCCCGGCAACATTAACGCGCCCGGCCCTCCCTCCACCACCCATGCGGTCTCTCTTCTCCGCCTCCGATTCACCCGACCCCACTGAATTCAACAAAACACAAACTTCCACTCTCCTATCTCCCGCAAATAACTCCCAACAACATAGTGAACAACAACAAAACACATCACACACACATCACTCCATTTTTGGCCCTTTTACAAAAAAAAGAAGCATCATCCCCCATCTCTCCACGTCCTTTTTTTCTCTCTACAGCCTCATTCATTCCTCATTTTCACTTAGCCCGTTGAACTTATTTACAAACACATATTTTTTTTAACTCTTACAATTAACAATTTTACCAAATGGTTAAAACTTTCAAAACGAATATAATTGTTTATATAATTTAATTATTTATTTATTTATTTAATTTTAATAAATTAATCCAAAAATATACATTGTTTTTTCTTTTCTGTTATAGAGCGGAACAATTTGGGAAACCTACAGACAATGAAAAATACTGTATAAGATATGAAATGAGGTCTGATTATTTTTTTTTTTCACACAACCATTATATTCCTATCTCTCTTCTTCTTTTCTAAAATATTGGCTCTTTAATTTTCCATACATCCAACTTCTAAAAAAATTCCATTTAATTTCATCATATTCCATTTATTCACTCTTTCTATATTAAGTCGAGTTAAGTCAAAATTGTGTAAATTCTAATGTTAATTGAACAGTTCTAGATTAATAGAAGCTTTTTGTATTTAAAATTTTATAATAATATTATTTACAGTTAACTAAAATTTAAACCATTTTAAAATTATTTATTTATTCATGAATTCGAAAATCAAAATCTTATTATTTTTTTTCTTTTTTTTAAAATTTGCGTAAATGTCGGAATCGCAGAATCGGAACCGTAATTTGAACCGTCGTTCGCGTGGAACCCGTGCTGAACGCGTGGACGGGAACCGGAACACTCCGGACCGGGAACCGAGGTTTTAAGGGTGCCGGTTCGCGGTTTCAAATTTTAAATGAACCGTGCCGGAACCGGAATCGGACCGGAACCGGAGGTTTAAGGGCCGGTTCCGGTTCAAAATTTTAAACATCTCGAACCGACGGTTCAATGAACCGAAACCGACGGTTCATTGAACCGGCCATGCCTACAATAAGTGATTATGGAAAAATTAATGTGATTTGAAAGAGCATTTGTGTCTAAAGAAAATAGTTAAGAGGCCCCATATGTCCCAGACATTCCTGCTATCGAAGGAGTGGGCCAAACAACCAAAAACGAAAAAGCTTAAAGCATTGGCAATTTGCCAACCTCATTGGTCACCATCACCAGAAGGAGCTAGCCAGCCAGCTGACTTTAAAATTTGTTTTGTGTTGGTGCCAAAGCTTAGATAGATACCTCTATAAATGTGTGTATCTTTTGACCTTTTTTTCCCACATTTACGACATGTCGTTATGGGGTTTTGTGTAGGAAGCATGTTGCGCATTTGATGGAAAAAATAGGCTCAACAACTTTGTCCCATTTAAATTTAATTTACTACTATAACTCAAACCCATGTAATAAAGTTTCCAACTTAGACAATTTCTGCCAAGTCCCATATGGTGGGTACATACAGCCAAAAGAGCCCTGACTTGTCTTTGTATCCCAAAAAAGGTTAGCCAATACCTCATCAAAACCACCCTCTGACTCTAGTAATATATATAGTTTGTGCTGTCTGGTCACAACCATTCTGTTACTGGCATTTAAGCAAACAATTGTCCTGCAACTTGTTAATTTTACCATCAATTTTTATTTTTCTCTCTTTCATTTTCCAACTTGGTATTGGTGGTTGCATTGATCATTAATGAGGGGGCATCTATAGCAATAGCATCAAATAGCTTTTTACTTGAGTAATCTTTTATTTACTGCTATTATTATTTTCAAATTTCAACATTAATTTCGCTTTCTACTAATAAGTTTAATTAATTGATATATTGACAGGCTCAAGTATAACTCGTTAGACTTATTGAACGAATAAATTTGTTTGTTACATTTGAGTTCAACTCATTCATTTACAATAATATCTTCAGCTAAGATATAGAAAGCATGATAAAATGGACTTTTGGGATATAGACCAAAAAAATGCAGTAGGCTCAACATTTACTTCAATAGATACCAATGGAAGATTTGCTTACAAATAATACAAAAATGTAAGAAACCGAAATAAATGGAGAGTGGGAAAGGGGAGGTGTACAAAAACTATAGCCACAACGGTTCTAGAGGGAAGATGGGGACATGTCATCGTGAATGGGGTATAGAAATCTAATTGCAATGAATTTTGTGGGTCCCGAAGCCTTTCCAATCCGATTGATCATCAGTGATAATCTGCCTGCACAATTCCCTGGGAAATAAAATCCTTAAAATTGAAAAATAACATAGTAAAAAAAAATATATATGACAGTAATCCGCTTATGAATGAGATGAGAGTGGAAAGAGGTAAATGTGTGGAGTTATGTTTTGCTCGTATATTTCGTGGAGCTAGTAAATGATGTTTCAGATTTGGAAGTAAATGAAGTTGTGGAGGTCCCACCTTATTTATTCTTCTTTTTTTTTTATTTTTTAAAAAATATATATATAATGTTTATTTTGGCAACTTTGTTTTAAAATTTTGTCCCACATTTCTATTCACATATATGGTGTAGTATGCTTTAAATGATGAGAAGTTGCCTGCTTTTATACATGTATTTATGTACATCACATACTGACTGGCTTATCTAAACCCTATCATAGCGTAGCACTGGACTCTGTACATACCATTATAATTGAGGCTATGCCAAAACCAATTCATGTGCATCTTTAATTTTTTTTATTATATTATTTACAAACTAATCACTGATTTCTTTTCGTCTTGTCCGAAAATGAATTGAGTTTCTTGTATTTCAAAAAATGAAAATTATATATTTGAAAAGGTTGCATATTCTTGTGCTAGTCTCAAGATCTGGTATGATTTTCTATATCATATTATTAAGTTTATTAATAATATTACCTTTCATTCAAAAAAAAAAAAAAAAAAGGTATGATTTTCTATATCATCATTACTTCAGTTTATTAATACATATTCACCCTTTCATTCAAAAAAAAAAAACAAAAGAAGTGCTACATTTAAAGATAATTACGAGAGTTCTTCCACTCCGCTATGCTGACCCGCCTGCTACCCTTCAGAAGCAAACCCGTATCACTGCCAGCCTCCCAGCCAACCCGTCTCTCATCCCCTCGCCACACCGGTTCTCAGCGCTACCCCTCCCCACCCCTAGAAACAGGCTGCATGGAAAAAAAAAAAAAAAAAAGAAGTGTAATTTAAGATAATTAGAGAGTTCTTCATGCTATGTAGACCCCTGTATTAGAAGCAAACGTATATGAGCTCAGAAAGCCGCACAGGTTAGGTACTACCTAGACAGCTGCATGGCTTTATTATTTTACGTGACTCAGGGACAGCCATCAATCGAAAAAAAGCTTTCAATTTCGTAACTAAAACTTAATATATATATATATATATATCCCACAGAGTTCTTATCGTATTTCTACATATATATCATTAGAGGCTTAGCTACTTGTTGGGAATGCAGTTAAACTTTTCAATGCAAAATTCTTCAGCCAAAAACTCAATTAGTTGAATGCAAACTTATATAACTAATTGAGTATTTTTAATCATAAATTTAGTAATTAATTATGTACATATATATATGCTGTCGAACAACAATGGATGAAGTTGGGAAAGAAGACAGAAAGCATATCATTTTCTTAGTTCGTTTTTAAAGTTGAGAAATGAAAATGAAAGGCTTAAACTAATAAAAAGAAAGAAAGAAAGAATGAACTTTCCCTTGGAAAAATGCGAGGCCTAGGGTTCATACATCATAATAGCACCTGAAGTCAGCTTCTCTGTAAAACCCAGAAAAAAAAAATCCGTTATTTTTGTAACATTGGAAAACTTAATCCTTGGGTTTGAGAGTACTGCAGAAAAAGCATCATGATTATGATTTTAACTTTTTAAGCTTTCTGTTCAGCTAAATTCCCGTTTGGAAACTCTCAGTCTAGAAACTAGGGATATATACTACATAAGTAAAAATAAAAAAATTTAAAAAAAGAAAAAAGAAAAGACAAAGAAAAAAAGAAATATTAAAGGTTGGTGAGATGGTAAATGTGAAAATTGATGGATGAGAAGGAAAAGTTGTATTCATTTGAAGGAAATTGATTGCGATAGAAAACAAAGAACAGTGAAGAAGACACGTTTTCCTTTAAATGGAACCGCACTTCCATGCTATGCGAGGCTTTCTCAATCTGCAATTACTCCTCCAGCCAGACAGAATCTAGAATTATTTATTTAGTATTTAACACGTAATCTATTCTATTCTATTCATCTTTCACCGAAATTAAACACCATAGCCACGGAGATGCCGTGTCTGCGCATTCAAAGCTTTAATTTCTTTCTCCTTAATTATTCCTAATTTATAAAATTTTATATCAAACTCGTCCCTATCACAGACAAGTTGCAGACTTCTCTGCCCAGTGCATTGCCATCTCCTGCGTCATTTATTTCTCCATTTCTCTCGCTAAATTAACCTATTTGTTCACTTTGTCGTGTTTTAGCATTGCTGTGATTAATAAATCTTACAACTATGGTTTTTACAAGCTGCTTGCTTCTTCAGTAAAATAAATGTGAGTTATGTATATCTCCATCAACTATTTCTGCTCACTTCTTACTTTTTTTTTTTTTTTTATTGCTCACTTTCTACTTTTTTTTTTTTTTATTTTAAGTCCCATTCTTTAAGTCAAACTATACGTATTTTTTTGTTATTTGGAATATTATTCTATGGGAGTCCCTTACAAAAATTAGGCGTTAAGCGTTTGGATTAGGGTTCAAGATTTAATTTTCTTTTTTTTTTTTTTTTATTAAGTCCCATTCTTAAAGTCAAACTATACGTATTTTTTGTTATTTGGAATATTATCTATGGGAGTCCCTTACAAAAATTAGGGTTTAAGCGTTTTGAATTAGGGTTCAAGATTTAGATTTTAGAATCTTAGGGTTTAAGATTTAAATTCTTAAGATTTTAGGGTCTAGAGTTTAGAGTTTTAGAGATTTATATGATTAGAATTTAGGGTTTAAATTTAGGACTTTAGGTTTATGATTTACTATTTTATGCTTAGGGCATAGGATTTAAAGTTTAGGGTATGAGATTTTGGTATAATTTTATTATTTTTAAATATCCTCGATACAACATACTAAACCAAAGAAAATTTTAAAAAAATAATAATTAAAAATAATTAATTAGTAATGTCATATTTTATTAGATTTCTTTTTTTTAAATTAAAAAAGAAATAATTAAAAAAGAAAAAATAATAATTAATTAGTAATTTCTTTGTAGTAATTAATTTGTGGCAGTGTCATATACTGAAGGTAAATAAATAATTTTTTAAAAACATGTATTACTGAATAGCAAGCAATAAACTCTAAATTTTTGTTTTCTTTTATTAAACTCCGATTCAAGTCATAATCCTAAATATTTCTGTCTTTAACTATTTGTACAATATGCAGAAAAACAAAAACTTAAAGGAGAAAAAATAAACATCAATGGTTGTGTTATTGACTTATTGGTTCTGAACCTTTCCTGCGAACATTCTCCACTTGCCGGGCTTTGCAGCACATATAACGGCTTTTTTATGGCATTCATGGCGGATTCCTTTTACCCTTAGCCTCTGTATATTTAAAAATACTCTAGAATATTCAAGGCATTCCTCTTTAAATTTGCTTCTCTGAGCCATAGTTTTTACCTGCAAGTCGTTTCAATAGATCAGTGAAAAAAAAAAAGGCTTTCTTTCTATGAAAAAATCAAATAAGGATTTGCATTACATATATATATATATACACACAATATATAATCTCTAATATGGTATATTAATTGAAGCTTTAAATAAAAAACAGCCACCCACTGCAATATTATTCTGAAAAGGGAACTTACAGTATAAAAAATAAATACATATTCATCAATGGAGAAACCTGTGTCTAAGAAATTTATCTACGGAGAGTGGGTCCTGTTCATGTCATAAAATGCAGCTTTATAATTTGTCCGTGGCTGGGCTGCTGAATCAATCGTAACCAATGCCAAAAATCCATGCTCAAGCATCACACACTCACCGCATTTAAATTTTAGAATCCCCTCTTCAATTTAAACCTAACAACCTTTCTCCTTTCTAAAATTTATCATTAATGTTTCAAGGCAGTTGATTAATTTATGATGCTCCAGCTCAATTAATTTCAATATATCCATAATCATATCTAAAGAAGTTGTAGTTTGAAATTGAATAGCATGCATAAAGAACCAAAAGACTTAATTATCTACACGGTTTCATGTCAAAAAAAAAAATTATCTATACGGATCCACTTATACATCAAATCAATTACAAATTATATTTTGGTTCAAATAATGGTATTACACTAGTAAAAAAAAATAGTATAATAATATTTTTTTAAAAAAAAACCTTTTTTTAATTGGTTCAATATACGAAACCATCCATATACCAAGTGCAGGCAAGAAATTTTTTAAGGTCTAATATTTGAGAACACATTTTTTGGTGGAGAGGAAACTAATTAAGGGTTAGAAACCCTAATTGACTATAGTACACAAATTTTAGCTATATTTCTTGTTAAAGAGGCTATTAGATAAATAGAAGTGAACTACAACTTCCACTAACAATATAATAATCAAGACATATCCGTATTATTAAATCAAATTCATAGACTAAACTATTTTTATTATCAAGGTCAACTAACTAATTATAAAAAGAGCAGTCGATGTTGGTATCTTGAAATTAGGGTGCAGTGGGCCGTGGACACACCTTAAATGCAAAAGAGAAAGGGCTTCCAAATGATAGGATTCAAAAATGATCAGCAGCCTCCACTATTCTTTCTATACAATTCTCTACTTCTTCGCTAACATTCCCATCTCTCTCTAACGGCTACCTATTCCATTGATTTTGATTTCAGAAGTTTTAGATTCTGAGCGTCGCTTGTTTGTATTCTTCATGGGTTTCAGTGCTCCACTGCACTGAGTACCCCAAAGATTACCAGCAGCTAACGGCAAAGATTATTTGAAACTCCTTCAAATAGAGTTGATGGTGATAGTTTAGTCCTTGTCGCAACCACATCTTTTTCTTGATCTTGACAATATCACCTTTTTCCCCACTTCTCTTTTCTATCACTTTCCCGGGAAAAACAAACCAAACTAAGGGGGGAAGATCACCATGAGTGACAGTTTGTCTGATTTTCTTGATGAACATGAGTTTGGCGACACTACCTTAGACGGAGATGATCTTTTTGCTATTTTTGAGAGTTTAGACAGTGTAGCTGAGTTTCCGCCGGTCACGCCATCTGATGAAGTTGCTGTTAGTTCAAAAGAAAATGATGAAACGACAAGGCTAGTATCGCAGAAGTCTACTTCTTCTAGTGCTCTTGTAGAGTCTGAGACCGAGCAAGAAACTTCACCAAAAAATAAGAGACAAAAGACGACAGCTTCTTCAGAGGAAGCAATAAACACAGATGGCCAGCAACGGAAGTCTCACATTACAGTAGAACGCAACCGGCGAAAGCAAATGAATGAACATTTGTCGGTGTTGAGATCACTCATGCCTTGTTTCTATGTCAAGAGAGTAAGTCTTTCAACTTCTTTTTTTTTTTTCTTTTTTTCTTTCGTTGGCTTTCTTGGTGAAGTTCTTTCTTTTATCATAGAAAGTAGAGACAGTTCAAAAGCGATTTAAGAAAAAAACAAGAAAAGAAGTACTCCATATGTTTATATATTCAATCAAACTCTACAATGTCTCTTCCATGCATTTAAGTTTTCTTTTCTGAAGTAAACATATAAGCTCGATCACGGCCTCTCAACTTTGTCACCAAAAATAATATTCATTGATGTTCTTTTTTTGTCAATAAAAGAATTATTTAATCAAGTTACGCACGAAATAATTTTCTTTGACCAAAAAAGAAAAAAAAAAGAGAGAAATATTCTTTTGGGGATTTCTCTTTTTCCTCATTCTATTTTTCAATTTTCCTTAATTTTGTTATAATGGGTTATATTAGGGAGACCAAGCATCAATAATTGGAGGTGTTGTAGATTACATCAATGAGTTGCAGCAAATTCTACAGTCTCTTGAAGCCAAGAAACAAAGGAAAGTGTATAGTGAAGTACTTAGCCCCAGAATAGTTTCGAGTCCAAGACCTTCTCCACTTAGCCCTAGAAAGCCACCATTAAGTCCTAGACTTAACTTACCTATTAGCCCAAGAACTCCGCAACCAGGTAGCCCATATAGGCCTAGGTTACAGCAAGCAGCAGGTTATCTCTCCCCCACCATGGCCAGTGCTTCACTTGAGCCATCTCCTACTTCTTCTTCTTCTTCTATTAATGATAATATCAATGAACTTGTTGCTAATTCCAAGTCTGCCATTGCTGATGTTGAGGTAAAGTTCTCTGGCCCAAATGTTCTATTGAAAACAGTATCTCCCAAGATTCCCGGTCAAGCTGTGAAGATAATTTCTGCTCTTGAACACCTCTCGCTAGAGATCCTTCATTTCGACATTAGCACTGTTGATGAGACCATGCTTAATTCCTTTACCATCAAGGTAAGACTTAGAAATATATACATATATATATATATATATATCCATCCTTACGTGATTATAATTTCTTTAGATTTTCTTCATTTAGCACAATCTTATTTATGGTTTTTACTATTTCTTTTACTATTTGTGTCTGTTTCATGCAAATATATTGATATAATAGCATTCGAATTGCAGATTGGTGTTGGTGACGAAAAAAAATATGAAATGGATTCATTTAGCAGCATTGTACTTGCACTTTCAATTAGATATTATATTAATTATGCATATTAATTTCTCTCTTAAATTTCTGAGCAAAAAATAAATTAGTGGCCCAAGCACAGTCTGTGAAATTGTAGGAAGACAGACATGCCTAGCTCTCTCTTAAATTTACTCTACTGTTCAAACATTTACTTTTAAGCTAACTGACCAAAAGTACAAAGAAGAATATCATCACACTTTTCACTGAAATGATTTTCCCATTACATACATAGAATTTTTTTTCCTATAATTATTTAACAAGAGTGCAGCTAGGCCACCTATTAACTGCATTCCACAGTGAAACAGCTTTTTTTTTTTTTTTTTTTTTTTTCTGCTAATGAGTATGTAGGTAGAGGTATATTTCAACTCCAAAAGACCAACATAGTTAATTAACAACCCCTTCCATCTCTTTCTTTATGTAATAGTATTATTATTATAGTAATAAAGAATTATAGGGAGGCATTTACTGGCATTCCTATTATCATTAACAAATGTAATTGTAGATCAGTCTCTCTTGACCTGTAGTATGTAGCTAGCTTGCTAGTGTAAAACCCTTCTGTAATTGAGCATTCTCAATTCCTCTCAAGCTTTTAATTTTATTTAATGTACGGATTCGACTCAAATTTATATATTGTCTTTCCAAGATTTGCAATTTATTTTTTACTATGTAATTTTATTTAAGACTATTTCATTATAAACTGAAAGTAAATATTCAAGGACTTGATCGAGATCCCTACAATTCTTAAATTTTCAGTGGGTCTGAGTAGAGAAAAGTATGAAATTACCTTCGTTACGTAGATGGTGATGCATGTGATACCATTACAACCTGAAAAGACAAATATTCATTCCAGGAAGGACTTGACGAGGTATTTTTGTTAGAACATATCCAATGTAGTAATGAGACATTTGTTCACTGCTCGGTCGTGTCAATCAATGGGTTTATAAGCTATAAATTAACTACCCAAATAGATATATACAGCTACCCAGAGAATGATTATATTGGAGCAGACACAGTTCTTATTTGGCCCCCTAACTAGAATCAGGTTTCAACCACCCTATAACTTGCTGATCTTAATAGTTATTAATATAAACCTTCTTTGTCTCCCTCTCTATTCTTATATAGAGTGGGGAGATGTCTTTGAAGTTTGATCAATGGAATAATATTATTATTTCTATTTTTCTAAAAACAGAAAAAGAAAATAGAGCGATATAGACGTCTGTGGATCATGAGAACGGTTAATATACACAGATTTCTTCTTACTTTTTTTTGTAGAGAGACTGTTTCTTTAATTCAAACTCATAATCTCCTCCATATCACAAGTGAAGTAAATTAACCTTATCACTATAAACCAACCTTCTTAGCTAGAAAACAAATGTGGAAAATAAAATTTAATTTGTGCCAAAAATATAATAATATTAATTAATTTAATATAGAGAAAATCTATGAATGGGAAGACAACAGCTACTACAATAACTTGATATAAATGTAGATGCTTGGAAAATAAATGCCATGAGAATAAAAAATTAAAAAAAAAAACCCTAATGTCACCCACCCTTGTCTCTCTCTAGGTAAAATATATCACTGTAGCAAATGAATGATCCAGAAAAATTAGATGGGTCCTTTGAAAATTCAGAAAGTAGCATGTTTGAGGGAAGGAAGCACGCGTGAATAGACCGCTACTAAGCAAAAACTCAATGTTCAACTACACCTTATACAATGCCAATATAGGATTTCTGAAATTTAATCAGTAACAACCACTTTAATTAAGACCTTGATAAATTTGTAAATGGAAGACTTGAAGAAAATTTTTTTTTTTTTTTTTTTTTAGGGTAATGGACCACTAATGGTCCGTATAATCTCAGGTGCTTCATGAATGCCCTTCCCTTAATAGTAGAGGGGGGAGGGGGGACCTCGACCACAAACACACAGGATTCAAAAGGACAATTTATTAACAGGCCTGCTTCATGTTTTTTATTTTATTAATTTGTGGGTCAGTGCTCAAGTCGCTAGGGCCTCGGGGTAGTCCCTTTCAGGAATTTAATAGTGGGCCTTGGAAATTTCTCTCAGGCCCAAAAATATAAAAATCAAAGTCAACCATACAAACACAAGTGGGAATACTCGTTTGACTATTTAGGGTTTATGATTAGGTAATTAGAGACAGGAAAACGTGGGAATCTACAGAAAGTCCAAACCCTAATTGATTCGAATTAGTAAACACCAATTAGGGGGTTTATTGGTGCATTTGCACTCTAGAACAACCAAAACCATTGACTGAATGTCAATTGTAAGCCCTTTTGGGACGTGTAGTAGTAGACTGATTCAGATTTGAGATACTGCCTAACAAACCAACAATTCCTGCCTCCAAAACCTGGCCCGAAAAGATTCAAAATCCAGAGAAAAAAGAGTCCAAAGCAAAAATTAATGGATTAAAATTTGGTTCTAGACAAACATATTATAATTGCCTCGTGTTAAGATTTTTTCTTCACAACCTTTGTTAGCATTATTGTGTGGTTGACCGATGATGTGCCACTGTAGCGTTGCCCCGTAAACATGCCAACATCTCCTGCATAAAAATCAAATGGACATGGTATGCTAACACTGTAAAAGTAATGAAAGATAAAGCAATTTTTTTTTTCAATCTTTTAGGAGGCCAAACAGGTGAAATAATGTTGCGAACAACAGAGTATGAGATAGTCATCTCTAGTACCCATCTACTAAATTGGTAGAAAGTTTTAATTTTAAATTTAACACCTCTTATTCTCCACAAAAATAAGAATAACACTACAACACAGAAATGCAAATGTTATTGTTTACAAATAAGACTTTCTACGTATAAAGGACCTTATGCCTACTTGGGATTAAATTTAAAACAAATACAATTACGAAGACCATTAATTAATAATTAAGATGTTAACATGGAAGCTTTTGAAATCTTGGAAGCTATTACCACGGTTTTTCCTCTTGGCAAAGTTGTCTATCTATCTACTTAGTAGGAATTTCGGTGGAGATGCTTCTGCTACCTTTCGACTTCAATCATGGCAGTTTCCGGCTATGCAAAGAACTCGGTAATTAAAGGAAACCACGATTGTCAAATGTGAAATTTGGATCAAATTCTACATTTCCAAATGGGAAATCCAAACCAGCAGTTGGAGAGTTAGTAGCTGAAGTAGCAACAGATATTATGTCAGTAAGCTCAGACTCACATGTCTGCAAACTCTGATTACTCCCTCCAAAGTTTTGATGCATTCCACTTGACCGTGCAGAGAAATAGTTCGTCCCAGACGTTGAAGGAGATATGAATGGTGGAGAATAACTTTCCATAAAGCTAGTATCGACCACAGAAGGCGAAAACACTTGGTTTTCTGCTGTAACATTTTTATTCAACGTAGAAGGAAAGTGAAAAGGAGGAATCGATTGTTCTTGTGAGTCTAACCCGTCTGTTATAACTTTAAGCTCTGATCGGAAATTCAAGAGAAGATCTTGCGATTGTTGTTGATTTTCTTGGTTCTGAAGCTCCCTGCTGGTGTTTGGTTCTTGATTTTCCGGTAATGGCTGTATAGGTGGAAGCAAATGTGAGGCTTGAGTGCAAGTATGCCTTCCACGATAGGTAATCTCAAAAATGGTAGGGTCTTCATCGGATCGTTGCACTTGCTTTGTTGCTAAACAGCCTTGAACGATTCGATGAGTGCACCTATAATAGCCCCTGCAATTGCAAAGTTAAAATTATCAGAAAAGAGAAATGAGAAATCTTGTATATTTATTATTAATGAGATAGGTGAGTTAGAATGACAATTGATGTATATTTACTATTAATGATTTCATATTTTAATGGATTAAATATTTCTAAGCTGCATTTTTCTGTGGCCATTATCGAGTGTTTGTGAAACCTTGGATTAATCGTAAGGTAGAATCCACATGTTGCTTAATACTTAGCAAAGAACGTAGCCTAGCTAATAGCCACAAGAAGAGAACTACACGAAACCATGCATACCATGATTCCAATGCTAATTAAGAGAACTATCACATGTTGTAGACTTTTCTACCACTAGCATAAATGCCAATCATATTGCAAATACCTGTAAATGGTTCAAGAAAGGGTTTTCTACTTGCATTATGATAAATGTACCTAAGAATTGAATGAAATTAGTAGTTTTATTTGTCTCCTTGGGTTTAAACTCAAGAACTCTCTCTCTTATCTCTGCAGATAATTGGTTTCACTCTGTATATAAAATATAGTAATTAGAGGAAGAAACATAAAAACCATGCGAGGAAGTACCTTTTTTAATGCATTGTAGTTGGATTAAGAGGCATTATATATGTTTATAACACAAATGGGAAAAGCATGGAAAAAAACAAAAATAAATCCACCTTGGATGCTTAGCTCCGAGTATGTCTTTCTGTCCGTACTTTCTCCAGCTAAAGCCATCATCAAGTGGCCCTTCAAGTCCCATCCCCGGATTAACTCGCACTTGTTGTGTCCATCTTAGCGTGCTCTTCCTGAAAAAAATACAACCGCCATAAATTTTAGATATAAAGCTACACTGATAACTAATTAAAGTGATATATTCGATATAGATATACCTCTTCCTAGAGGCATCTTTAGGGTCCTGGTCAGAGTCTTCACTACGAGGACTTCCACTTAATGGCGATTCAGACAATCCTCCAATGGCAACTGCTGGGGTTAGAGTTGTTTCTCTTATTGATGAGTTGCTTAGATTTAAGATTGAAAGTGCCTTCTCATAGGAATTTAAGATCCTCTGGACTAACATTTCACGTGCTTCTCTTGATGAAGATGGAATGTTCAGATGAACTTGTAGTTGCCTCGCTAGCTCTCTTCCTGTTGTTAGCTCGTTTACAAGATTCTTTTGTTCCCAATCTCCCATATTCTCCATTTTATAATACAATACAATACAAAATATGACCGAGCAATCAAAGAATACAAAAAGGAGTGTCTACTTAATTAATTAATTAGGATATGAAATAACAGGTAAGAATATATGATACTGATAGGAAGAAAAAGAGTAAATTAACAAACATGGATATGATGGATTTGTTTAATTCCTTGTATTAAATTAGTATACGAGAATTTTGATGAAGAAGAATAGTAACGGGTTAACTGAGACAGGACAAACGAACAAAACAAAAAAATTTATATAAGTAAGAATTTGTTGAGCCTTGAAATGGCTATATGGACAAAGCTGGTTGATGATGAGAGGCCTGAGCTAGGAAGGATATGGATGGTGGTTTGGGTTTTTAAAGGAAGGGTTTCTCTGTTGAAGGAAACGAAAGAAAGAAACAGCGAAGTTTGACCGAGAAAAAATAATAAATAATTAAAAGCCCACTGCTATTTCTTCAGTAAGACCAGTCTTTGGTCATGGGAATGTGGTTCAAAGACTAAGGATAGTCAGCAATCCAATCCCTGACCATTTCTCCTCCCAATCACACACATATTAATTAGATTTTTCATATGAAAAGTACTCTGTTTATATTTAAATTATATTTTTGATTATTAGCATTACCTTCTTGATTAAATATTAATCTCACCATAAATTCTACTTTTTACATTCCTTCATAAATTAAATATATTATTGTTCAGATTATTTATATAATCAATTATTTTATCAAATATTTTTCTTACTTTATTTTAATAATTTCTCAATATAATAATTACTATTTTCTTAAAAATACATCTTGTCATATTTGGGTCTCTTATTTTTCCATAAATTAAAAATATTTTTTTCATTTATACAACATATTATTTATATAAAAAAAAAAAAAAAAAAAAAAAAAGCAATATGATAATGCAAAAGGAAAAATGAGATTAACAAGGTAAAAGTCAGGGGAGACCGAGAATCTTCGAAGCTCGTTCCTGGTTACGCGTTGCAAATGTTAATCTAAGAAAATTTTTCATATTTTCGATGTGACAAACACCGGCCAGTTTTTATTTATTCACTGCTACTATACTATTTTATGAATAAATTATATTTGAGGAGAAAACGACAACTCCATTACATGTTAATGACGTTTAGATTTCAACTTTTGCTTACGTTTGCGGGCTTCATACACTGTATAATAAGCGAAATACCAAGCGTAAATTGTGGCACACGTGGAATCATGTTACCGGCCGGAGCCTTATAACTATCATACTTTACAATTTGAATTCAATAAAATATGTTTAGTCGTTAACTTATGTTTTACTTAATACTTTCGCCTTTTTTTTTTTTTTTTTTTAATTTTTTTTAAAACTCTCTCGTTTTTTTTTTTCTTTAAGAAAAAAGAAAAATAACGTTCATACAATAAAAATATTCAGAATACAAACAAACTAAGGATTTTCTGATATATTATTTTGAAAAATATTTTTGAGTATTTGAAGAAGGTAAATTCAGAATTTAAAATTTATTAATCACATTTTTCGTATAGTACATTTACTATTGTAGTTACTATTTTGACGTATAATCAGGTCCTTCACGCAGTCATTTGATCAAACACCAATTTGTTTTGACTAAAATAGTTATTTTTTAGACAAAAGTATTGACTTTTTGAGAAAAAGGAATTGACAGTAAACTTAAATAAATATACAGACACGTAGTAACAAATTTCTCAAGACATATTTTTTTTTTTTTTTTTTAAACTCTCTCTTTTTTTTTTCTTTTAAGAAAGAAAATAACTTCATAAAATAAAATATTCAGAATACAAACCAACTAAGGATTTTCTGATATATATTTGAAAAATATTTTTTGAGTATTTGAAGAAGGAAATTCGAATTTAAATTTATTATCACATCGTATATACATTTACTATTGTATTATATTTTGACGTATAATCAGGTCCTTTCAGCAGATCATTTTGATCAAACACATTTTTTTGACAAAATATGTTATTTTTAGACAAAAAGTATTGACTTTTGAGATAAAAGGAATTGACAGTAAACTTAAATAAATATAAGACACGTAGTAACAATTTCTCGAAAACATAAATTATTGTAAGAGTTTTCAAATAATTAAAATATAAATAGGGTGGTCATAATGAATATTGTGATAGTAAGAATGTAATTTATATCTACAAGTCTACTTTCCCCAGCAAATTTAAATATATTGCTAGTGGACTTACTAAACCAAATATTGCTCAATTATTATGAAAAGTAAAAGTCGATATTATTTTTTGTAAACCGAATTTATAAATCCACTCATAAATTAAGTCAATGAAAAATAAATATTTATTAATGAAGACATTTCTAAATATACATTGCGAGAAAAAATAAAATAAAATTTATTAACTTGTTCATAAATAGATTGATATAATCTGTAGATATAGACAGATATTATAATCTGTTATTTGTTAGTGTAGATCCAAGCAGATATTATTACAAACATGAGGAGATTTGAGTTGAAAGGTACATATTGGTTTAATCAACAAGTAGCAATTTGTTTTATAGCCTATAAGCCATGAGATTAGATTCCATGCGATCATGACCGACAAATTTTCGGCCAGTTACAAGCATATGATTTCATTCATTCTTTATCATGCAATTTTTTAAAAAGCTTCACTATCTATCCTTTCATATATATATATACTTCTCTCTGCTTATTTTATGATTTCATTTTAAATTTGAAAATGCAATAATTAATTATATGACTCTTTTTCCCCATTAAATAAAATAACTGTAAACATTTATTTTTGTTCATTCATTAACTAACAACTGCATCAAACATGGTTTTGTACGTATTAGGTATAACGGCACCCATGACCCATAACTAATCCCTTTCGTCTTGTATGAATTTCCAAGTGACTGCGTACAGAATTCACATCAGAAGAAAAGCTTTAAGAAGTTTCCGACACGTCTGGACCAGTTCAAATTCAATGATTTTTGAGAACAAAATTCAATGATTCAATTCCAATGAATCTATGCCGTGTAATATCGCTTTTTCGCGTGGAGAAAGCAACTGAAGTGTGAAATTCCCTTCCGAGTTAAGCGATTAAATTATTTAGACAACAAGATGACCGCTGGGCTTATTCCTATTACAAGAAGCCGCATTTCGGGTTCAAACAGGGTGGACGGTGGCCTTAGCCTGTAGAAACCATGACGACTCTCTTGCGTCACTGTTTCCAAACTATCTTTCAATTCCGCCATACCTGGACCGGGTCAGAGGGTAAATTAGTAATTAACATTTAAAAAGTGCATTTTCAAATTTCCGGGTTTTAAGATACGGTAGATGATTTGATGGCTTCGTAAGACTACTTATGTTCCTACTTCCTAACGTAATACACGATTTGGTCTTCGTATCTAAAAATTGTGCTATAATTCAACGGACTAATTGACTATCGGCCAACTGGGCCTAGATCAAGTTCCAAATGACACGTGCTCTTTTTTTTGTTCGGCCCAACTCGATCCATTTAGGCCCAATGAAGGCCTTTTCAAAGTAATGAATTATAGAGATTGTGGAATAAGCTACAAATAAAATAATTAGATTTAATTGAAATTCTATGGATTAGATAAACAACAACGTAGAATTCCACCAAATTAAACAATCATACGTGGCTTTTTAACTGGCTACAATTAGGGAACGTAAAGACCCCCCAGACCACCACAAGTATTGGCTTTTCACTTCCAATGTGCACTACACACGTGTCATAAATATCATCCATATATTCACTAAAAAAATCTTCTCTTCCACTCTAAAGTCGCCACGCCAGACCTCAAAGATATTATTTTGTGCTTCACCTCTGCCCACGTCAACGCTTCCCATTCCAAAGTCACTCTCCCAGCATCATGCATGCCACTCTCTTCACCGTTCATTCAATGGACCCATATTCCTAGCCGTTGATAATTCAGAGAAATAACTCGTGGACACCGTAATTTACATGTCTATGATTCTACTTTTAAAGGTCAAATTCTGTCTCCATTCAGTTCTCTCTGTATTTCTGTTTCCTCCAGGAATCGCGATTCTCGAAAGTGCAGAAGATTCTGTGTTGAGTGGGAAATTCTGATCAGATTTTACCCATTTAATATAGGTATGTTTTTTTCTTTTTTGAGCAATCCTTGTTTACTATGGCTATGCGGGCTTTTAGCTTACCTGGGCATGTTCGTTTTGAGGTTTTTTTTGATGGGTTTTCTTGATGTAAGAGTCCCTGCGATTGCTGTTGTTATGATTTTTCCTGCTAAATTTGAACGGTCTAACTCATTAAAAGAATATAATCCTTTCATGCCCTTGGGGTTTTGATTTCTCATGGTTTAAGCATGTTGGTATACAGATACGCGTGATCAAAACGCAAGGATGCCATAACTTAACGTTTTCTATTCTTTTGCACTCTTCAAAAATTCTCTGCTTCCACAATGTGTTTGTTGAGGGGAAGAGATGGGAGGGAGAGATATTTTTGAAAGAGGGAGGAAACACAAAGGAAAGTTATAAGATTAAAGGCACAATCACATTGTGGGATTGCATCATAATTACATTTCTTTTCTTGCCAATCATTTACAAATTTAGGAGAACGTGGAATCTTGTATGCCAAATAACCTTAGTTTTATGAAGTGTGTCTCTGTTTGTGTTCATGCGATATGCTTTGTGAGAGTTAATGAACCGTCAGTCTGTCACTAAATGCTTCTTTGCTCTCTATAATGTTTGTGGCAGTGGGAGAAAGTTCTCATAGTCAGTTGGAATTTTTTACTAAGGACTTGGCATGGGAGTTGTAACTGCTTCTAGCTCAGCTGCTAGGACACCACTAGGATTGAACACGAAATTTTCAACATACAGATCTACAGTAAAAAGACCATTGATTGTGGCATTTAAAGACGACAAATCTAATAACACAGCTCTGGTTGCACCTTCCGAGCGAATCCCATTGCCCATAGAGACACCCAAGGGGAAGAAAAGACGAGGAAAAACTAACAATGAAGTTCTTTCCTGCGCCTTGGAAGTGGATTACAATGAAGCTGCTGCAAAGCTTGAAAATATATTCAAACTTAGCCCGACAACTGATACTGCTGATGTAGATGTAAGTGACTTAAGTAAGAAAGGTAAACAAAAGAAAAGGAAAACTAGGGAAGATGATGGTAAAGCTGGGAAAGGAGCTAACAAACCCATTGTTAGGAATCGTGCAAAGAAAACTAAGCGGCTGGACCTTGATACAAGGATTGCATTGAGGAAGAACAACGAAGAGGAAAAGATAACTTCAACTATTAGGAAGAAAAAGGATACTCGGCATGAAAATGAAAAGATTGAGGAGCTTGTAAGGGAATATTCTGCATCAACTGATTTGGTGAGCTTAGACTGGAAGAAAATGAAGATACCTCCGGTGCTTCATTCAACAGAGCATGCCTGGCTGTTCAAGTTGATGCAACCTATGAAGGTGGGTATAGCATTTTTTTCAGATGCTTTTGATATTTTGAATTGCCAGCATTCTTGTTTAGAATTTGGTAGTCTTCTACTGCTTATTTACGTGTGTCATCACACCAGGCTCTCCTTCAAGTGAAAGATCATTTGCAAACTAATTTGGGAAGAGAACCAACTGAGGGTGAGTTAGCTGAGGCGACCAATATGAAAGTCGAGCAAGTAAGGAAACAGCTGGAAGCTGGACGAGCTGCAAGAAACAAGCTAATTAAGGTATCAATTTATTTTCCACTGATGACACAGACGCGATCCAAGTAACTCACCTGCTGAGGGATGATAACCACTTTTGCTGATATTATGTTAAATAAATTATGTAAATTTATAGTGCTTCTTTCAGTTTTTTGTTCAATTTCATCTTTTGGTCAAAATGCATTTTACATTTTATTAACAATTGGACAGCTTATCTTTGAAGAAATAACTCTTATTTATAACTTTTATTTGCTGCAGCACAATCTCCGCCTTGTATTGTTTGTAATCAATAAATATTTTCAAGACTTTGCAAATGGCCCAAGATTTCAAGACCTTTGCCAAGCAGGGGTTAAGGGGCTTATAACTGCAATTGATCGCTTTGAACCCAAAAGGCGATTTAGGCTCTCTACTTACAGTCTTTTTTGGATTAGGCATGCTATAATAAGATCAATGACACTCTCAAGCTTTACACGTGTCTCATTTGGCCTTGAATCGGTATGTTTCTCTTCATACCTAAGCCTGATTTCTTCCTTTCTTTTTTTAGCTCCGTCTCATGAGAAAAGCTTGATGATTTACATGTATCCCGTTTGTTTTCATTGCAAAAAAGTAATTAAGTAGTTTGAGCTTTTCTTTGCTGGGGTGCATCAGAACAAAGGCTTTCATTTAAGTAGTAGTTAGTGCTAGAAGGGAAAAATTCATCATTTAAAAACATATGGCATTTGAAGTTATTAAAAGTTTCGAAACTAGCATTTTCTGTATTTGGAAGGAAGAAGAAGCTTAAGGATTGTAAAAGCAAAACTCAGCTCAGTTAAACCTTGGTCCCAAACTAATTGGAGCAGGTTACATGAATCCTGTTCCTCCATTGAGCTCTTATTAGGATCGAACTTCCCGTTTGCTGTTTGAAATCTTAAGTGACATGTAAACCATGAAGATAGAGTTAAAAAAAAGCAATGTCTATATTAGTTGTCCTTTGGTTGGAGAATTGTGGATATCTCAAGTCTATATATGATGTATTATGGATAGAAACTTGAGGCTTTCATTAAGTTTGGTTTGGGCGTGCGCATGATCCATGCTGCTATTGAATTGGGATATATTATGATATTCAAACTTCAATTTATGCAGGTTAGAGCAGAAATCCAGAAAGCCAGACTTGAGTTGTTGATTGAGCTTCAAAGACAACCAACCGAGGTAGAGATTATTGAGAGAGTGGGAATTTCCCCTGAGAGATATCATGAAGTAATGAGGGCCTCAAAACCCATCTACTCTCTACATTCTAGGCATGTAGTTACCCAAGAAGAATTCATTAATGGAATCACTGACACAGATGGAGGCGATAACCGGAGGCAACCAGCTCTTCTGAGGCTTGCTCTTGATGATGTGGTAACTACTCATCCTTCCCGGACTTTGGAAGTTCTGCACTATACCGCTCCTTGTTTAGCGGTTTATTACAGTTATCATTATTACTGTTGATCTCTCTGATTACAGTTATCATTATTAAAATTCACAGTAAATTAATAACATGTTATTTAATTTCTGAAAAATGTTTTCCAGCTTGATTCTCTAAAGCCCAAGGAGAGCGTCGTGATCAGGCAGAGATATGGGCTTGATGGGAAAGGTGACAGAACACTAGGAGAGATTGCTGGAAACTTAAATATCTCAAGAGAAATGGTTAGGAAGTATGAAGTAAAGGCACTCTTGAAGCTCAAGCATCCAGCTAGAGTGGATTATCTTCGCCGCTATGTTGTCTGAATTGATGAACAGAATACATAATAAGGTTTGCTTGTATTACTTTCTCCTCCCCCCCCGCACTCTTGAAGCTCAAGCAGTCCAGCTAGAGAGTTGGATAATCTTCGCCCGCTATGTTGTGCTGAATTGATGAACAGAATACATAATAAGTGTTTTGCTTGTATTGAGCTTGATTCTCCTCCCCCTACACCCGCCCCCCCCCCCCCGGCTGTAATGAGTCTGTCAAGCTGTTGCTCTATTACTAATGGACATGTATCATAAAGTCAAATGCTGTATGAGTTGTCAAGCTGTTGCTCTATACTAATGACATGTATCATAGTCATTTTTAACTACAATGAAAATAGAAAAATCTTATACCATGTAATATACTTACTACAGAATTCGATATACATGTAATATTGTCTCTCCTTTGTAATCTGATAATCTCATTCACATTTATGAATCAACATGAATTTTATTATCTTGTGTGTGATATTATCAGACAACCTTAATTTGATGTTCAGATACATAATCATGAATTCCTAGTATCTTCTGGGTAAGCACATGGCTGTTTCGGGGGAGGCGTTGATTAGAATATAAAAAAGAAAGAAAATCAAAATGTTGCTTGGTTACGTTATCTGCTTCAAAGTTCTTCTAAATTAAAATATTTATTTTGTTAGTACATGTTAAATAATCTGAGATTCTTCGATTGAAAAGTCTAGTGTATAGACTATTCTGAAGAAACCATCCATTCGAATAAGAAAAATGAGCAGAGCCTGAGATGTTCCGAGTAACAGGGATGGCTTAAGAAAGAGCAAGTAAAAAATATAGAATACGACAAAGAATTCTCTTTTAACATCCAAATTTTATTTTCCGAGCATACCATTCACAATGTCTCATTATCCAAAATCTCTCTATTTCTTCTGCTTTTCGGCCCGGAATCCTCCCAGCTATCAAATCCCACCTGAAAAAAACAGAATCAAAAAACAATAACAAGGGTTCGGGAATCTGCTCAGCTATGAAAGGCCATCGTATGAATATAAGAGATGGAGTGGTGTCATTTTGTTACCTCTCTCCAACAAGCGTATACATTCGATTGATGAGATCTCGTTCTTGTTCAGTCATCTTAACAAATTCCCACTCAATACTGCTAACCTCTATAAATTTAAGAAAAGAAAAAGAAAAAAAAAAGATAAAGCTTTGAATAAAAGAAACAGGACTGGTATGAAAATCAAGAAAAGACAAGCTAACCTTCAGACTCAAAAATGGTAAGTTTGGGTTGTTTCCGGCTGCGTCTGTCCATCGTTTTCTGTTGCAGGAAGAGAGGAAGAAAGAAGATAGAAAGAAACTGAGGGTTAGAGAAAATAGATACTAATAAGATAGGAGAATGCGTTGTGCTGATGACATAAATGCCTTGAAATGAAGCTCAACCAACCTGGAGGTCCTATTTGAGTTGTTGACTTTTAGGCTTATAGACTTGTGGTTGACAAACACATGCATGTTTTAAACACATCAGATCTCGCACTAAATTTCACCTAATACTTCGTGATTGTAGGATCGAGTAATAAAATAGATATTTTATGAAAATTTTTTAAACATAATCGTTTTCTGATTCGAAAGAATAGTCTCACATTTAATGTATAATATCAGATTCGAATTTTCTCCAAAAAAAAAAAAAAAGAAAAAATCTGAAAACATATTAAATGTATAATAATCGGAGATTCGAATTTCTCAGCAAAAAAAAAAAAATAAAGAGAAAAATCTGAAATGGGGCGAAGGTGCGTTGGTTGTTACAAAATCATCTATATCTAAACAGACAAAAGAGCATTTTGGTAGCACAATGACATGATTGAAATCATCACCGTAACATTGCAGATCTATATGAAAAATGAGTCATAACACGGGTTTTCTTTTGTTTTGGATAAAAAGATAAAAAAGTATAAAAAAAAAAAAAAAAAAAAAAAAAAAAAAAAAAAAAAAAAACAACCCCCCTAAAATCAGTAAAAAGCGTGGAATACTAAAAAACAAAAACATGTCAATCCCGTCACTGTCAGTTTTAAATTTCTTTTATTACGCAATGATTTTCGTTGACAAAAATATAAGTACGGAGAACCGTAGTGTAAAGTTACTGAAATTCACGAAAAGAGGGCACGAATAATATGGACCGTTGATTGTTTATTTAATCAAATGGTTAACTGAACCATTAAATTTAATTAAATTCAAAATTTCAATGAAAAATGCTCTATATTTAAAGGGAAGGGCAAAGAAATAAAAAACAAAGAAAGAAAAAAAAAAAAAAAAGGAAAGGGAAAGAGGGCTACCATAAGAGACAAAAAAAAAAAAAAAAAAAAAAGGAAAGAGGGCTACCATAAGAGACAAAATCCATTTGCTAGATTTTAATGGAGAATAAAGAAAAGGAGATTATAATTATTATTAATATAATAACCAGGCTGTCCACTTTCTTGTTTTTGCAAAAAAAGTATTAAATTAAAAACATTGTTTTGTCAATAATAATCTTTCAATTAAACTTTTTTTTTTTTTTTTTTTTTTATAGAATCAAGAATCGTTATTCAGATCCCTGGGAGCATTTCCACGAGCACATCTCCACATGTAATCAGTTAAATTGTCCTATTGCAAAACAAACAACAAAAAACATGCATTTCATAAATATATAAATTGAAACTTGTTAAAAGATTTAAATGTAGAAAAGTATGATTTGGTTCTTAAATTAATTATAATCAAACTAATTATTAAGTCTCCAATTTATATTTTAATAACTTGATTTTTTTATGTAAACATAAAAGTGTTAATAAAATTATAATTTATAAATCTTATAATTAATTTTTAGAAATAAAAAGCGTTCAAACTAAGTATATTTAGAAAAAAAAAAATAACACTTAATGAGTCAATTCAAAAATGGAAATAACTCTCATTTGCTAAATTCAATATACCTAAAAGCAAAATCTTTGAAACCCACAAATGAAAATCCACTCTCTTTGTTATTTAAAGATATCATTTATAATGTCTTTGTTATTATATTTTGTGGACCTCTAAAACTCATGTGATCAGGTCTCCACGTTCACAGAAATAAAAAAAAAATGTTATCATTGTCTTCCAAAACAATATTTTTTACTCAAAATAATTTCCATGCCCGTAAGATATGAAGTGTACGTTTTTCGATCACACAGACTTAAATTATAGAGTTCAAATCTCAAAGCACAAGTCAGTGATCTATTATTTTATAACATTTGAATAAAAAAAATGAAAATAAAATAAAAGAAAAAACCTTTAGGAAACAAATCATTCAATGGGGCATTAAAATCCCATCTTGAATCCTACTTATCTTAATTATATCATATAGAAGCCAATTAATAATATAAAATTAAAATAATAATTTGCTAACTTTTGGAAATGAAATAATAAAAACTAACCAAATTTCGAGAAAATTACAACAAAATAGGAATGAAATATTGATTTAAAATAAAATTTTGAAAATAAAAATACATTTAAGCTTTGAGAATATAATGTACGTGGTGGATTAAAGTTGAGACAATATATTAGATTACATCAAAATATTATTTAAAAATAAATGTTATTTAAATAAAGTTTTGAAAATAATTTAAACTCTTAATTAATACAGGTACTCACTCTTTGAAGTTAAAGATGAAAATAACTTAAACATATTAATAAAAATAAAATAATTTTCATAACAAATCACATAATCTCTCTCAGTATAACTCATTTTCACTTTCGCTTAAAATATGTTTACGTATTCGACTCTTCCAAATGTAACTATAGACAATAGCATGTATTATATTTTGAGGAGTAGAAGTAGAAGTATTATTGAAAATAACTCAAATTATTAGGGTTGTAAAAGTAAAAGGCAATTTATCTCAGTTTGGGCCACGGTCCATCTTCTATTTTTTGCTGGGTTCGGGCTTTAGGCCTTCCTTTTTACAATATATATATAATAATTTTTTTAAGAGATTAGGGTAATAATTTATTATTTAGATTATTAGACTAAATAATTCAATTATCATAGCTACCGGAAGTCGCAAAAAAACCCATTAAAATTGAATAATGACTATTGTTGGATGTTGAAGTTGATCCAATAATTCAATGAGCTCTAATTATTTACATTATCTATCTTTAATTATTTTGCAACCTAATGATTGAGTAGGATTGTGTATATATGTAAGTCAAAAATGAGAGCGCAAATAAAAATAATAATGAAATATATAAAAATATATATATATATATATACCTCCTTTTGAAATTCAGAATCTCTGACAAAATATACCTCCACTTCTCTGCTTAACTATTTAAGCCAAGTCCATAAGGTGGAGGGCTTATGTTCTACGTAGATACAAGGCAGCATGGATAAGGAAGGGTTAGTGACATTTTCTTCAACATATTCTATTGCCTTGCCATTCAAATCAATAATGTATGACCAGATGTGTGGTCTGGTTGATTTTTTAATTTGTATAAGGAGAGAGAGATTTTAAGTTTGAATCCTCTCGATCACATGTGTTTTCAATGATTTGATAAATTCAAGGGAGGGTTATTGCTTATTGTATAATTCGTTGTGTTACTTTGATTTATTAGGTCTCTCCATAAAAAAAATCAATAATATAACATGTGTTCATGATGTGTGATAAAATTCAAGGGAGGGTTATTGCTGTATATGTATCATTCCCTTGTGTTACTTGTTGATTTAATTAGGTCTCTTCCATAAAAAAAAATCAATATATATATATTATATATATATTATATATAATTAAATATATATTTGATACTAATCTTTCATTATATATATTTGATACTGAATCTTCAATCTTGCTCAACAGCAAAAGTGGCTATGGAGTCTAGATTGACTCAAGAGCCACTTTTCATGTGGCCTTCCACATTATATCTGCAGACTGCAGCTGTCGGACACATTTAATTATTTTAACACAATCATACCTAACCCACGATTCAAGAAACACTGTTTTTTGGCCCTAAAATATATAAAATTCAATTCATCGAACTCGTCCATGAATAATGCTTCTGATACATCATGTGTCACCTTCAAAAGCTGTACGTGTTTCTCTCTTTTCTTCTTTTTTTGCTTAAAAATTTCTCATTTCAGTTTCTTGGAACTCAGTCCTTATTGGAATACTCAATTTAGTAGCTTACGCATCACTGATTATATAAATGGTGCTATCAAGTGCATTTCTCACCAATCACTTTGTTGCTTTTAACCTGAAAATCCACTTTCCTTGGGCATTCTTTGTAATCCTACTTGCATATGATATGCAGCAGACTGTTACTATTGTTTCAAACGTGACTAGAATCCTTTCCTCCTCAGATAAAAGCTTGTAAAAAATTTCAATTAAAAAGTATTTATGCAAAAAAAAAAAGGATAAAGATTCTTTTCTGTAATTAACCAATTTGACAGTAAAAGCATAAAATATATATATATATATATATATAAGTGTTGAGATGAATGGTTTGACACTTTTCTTCTTCTTTTTTAAGTGAAGTCGTAGATTTTTTTTTTTTTTTAATTAATGGAGTAAACACTCTCTAAAAGTGCTTTACATCTTAATAAACTGACACCGTGCAAACATAATTTAATTATAATTAAGTGGATTGAGATATGCGTAGATAGTAGCTTAAGGAAAAAAAAAAAAAAAAAAAAAGGAAAAAAAAAAAAAAAAAAAGAGAAGTGATTTTTAATTTTCTGGAGAGGGAAAATTAAATTTTCAGTAATACGCAATCATGGAAATATAGATCAAGGTAATATTAGCCATTAAAAAAAAAAAAAAAAAAAAAAAGAGAAGTGATTTTAATTTCTGGAGAGGAAATTAAAATTTTCAGTAATACGATTCATGAAATATAGATAAGGTAATATTAGCCATTAGGGCATGTCATTTCACTGATGATGACTAATCATTGATTTATGATATTCTCAATGCATGTGAACCATATGGCTATAGATATAATGTAGTGTATATATATATTTATATAATTAGTAAACTTATATACCAACATCTCGTTTTCGCACATGTGCATATATTACCACTTGCCATGTCCAAGCATCCCCATTCATATATATGGCATTTTTAGTGATAATTTATGTGCTTCACATAACCAACAAAATGCATTAGCCACCTTAGGAATATATTCTTAAACATGCTCATCAAACTCTGGATTTTTTTTTTTTTTTTGATAATTGCGATAGGTTGATTTCAATCTAAATATATTGTCAAATTATAATGTATTTACCATCAGGGTGTGTATCAAAGCAGGTTTTTTATACTTATGGACAATGGAACAGAACTAATATGGTTAATACCCTATGCGTCACAAAATTTAGAAAATTAGGAATCCATTTAATGCTTTTAATTGGATTAAGATGGTTAAAAAATTTGAAAAAAATCAATGATTTGCATAATAATTTAATTGGTGTAGGAGATGTGCTTGATACAATTACATCCAAGTATTAGAACCAATCAATCAAAAATTAAGCATCGATCAGAAACCCGATTGGAGAGATATAGAATTTTTAGAAAGAAGTTCAAGCAAGATAAAATAAATATGGAAGACAGGCAAAAAGAAACTTTAGAGTTGGGCATGAGATCACTCATAGCAAATGGTCTCTCTTTAATCAATAAATACATATATTTTAATTAAAATGGATTCCACTTAATTTTATATAAATAGAAGTTTGGAAAGGGGGATGAAAATATCAAATGAAAGAAGAAAAATGCAGGAAAAAATTATGAATGGGTTAATGTAAAATATATATTTTTCACTTAAATTTTTCTTTTTCCTCAATTAATTTTATTTCGAAAAAAAGCCTCAGCCACATAATGTTGTATAAGGAGGTAGTTAATTTGGAATAAGTTTCATTTGATCTTTCAATATATACAAAGCACACAGCCAAAATAACATTCATTAAGAATATAGTTCCATTCGTTCAGTCGTATAAGAACCAAATATTGAAAAACATGCGATAGTTGGAATAAAACCTTCTTTTTTTTTTGCTATATTATTCCAGTTAAGTAGGAGCTGTCTGTTTACGTTTGGAAAAACATATTCATTGTTCTTATAAATGGATTTTTATCTTAACCTAAAGGAACTGATGCGAGCGGAAGCCATTAGAATCTTTCAGCCAATGGTTTATCTACATGGGTTTGGGTGATCTCTCACTTTGAAGAATTAATACTTTTCTTTCTCTTTTTCTTTTTCTTTTTCTTTTTTTTAACTACACATATATGTATTTAGTAAACTTGTATTATATATACACACATAGAAAGAATGGCTGTAATGAGAAGCGAAGCTTTAAATATATATCCTAAGTAGCAGGAACTTTTAAACATTGAAATGATTTATTAAAACCGAGCATGCACATGACCAGTTTGTTTGTATGCGATATCTGTACAAACAGGAAGCAATTAAAATAGTGAAAAAACATTCTTTAAATAAAATAATTCATTACTTCTAAAACCCTATTTAATACCTCTAGAAAAAAAAGTGAATGGCTATCCAAACATCACTTTAATATCGTACGTGTATATCAAGTGGAAAGTGGAATTGTTGTGGCATCCTCCACTTACAACAGCAACCAAATTCCTGCTTTGCTGTTCCTCTCTGATCTTAATATTGTTTAAAAAAGTAACCCTAGTTCTGAATTCAATTTGGCATTAAAGGGACAAGAGAAACAAAAATATAAATAAATTTCCAGTTAGGAATAGGAGAGACCTGTAGCTGTTTTACATCCACAAGTTAATAAAGTAGTCTACAAGTTTTATAAAGTAGCACTTGCCATTCTTCTTTCAATTTTCAATTATTCCATCTTCTTTTTTATTTTTTTGTTTTTTTATTTTTATTACCATGGAGGAGCCCTCCAAGTACTAGTATTTATATCCCCTGAAGCAGCCTAGACTTTCCACACTGGACAATTTTTTATATTTAGTTTCTTTATAATTAGAGACTCTTCATCTCCCTTGTTGGGACCATTATCTCTCCATATCTCAGGTTAAAAAAAACAAACAAACATGGGAGATAGGCTGCGTTTGGGTGTTGGAATAATGGGTAATTTTTATTTTCCATGTCTAGCTCCTTCTTCAGCTATAGTATTGCACTTCTGGGTACATGTATCAACTGGGGCCTTTTTTTTTTTCTTTACTCTGTTTTGCAGGCAATGCAGCTTCTTTGTTGCTTTACACTGCACCCATGTAATGTTCAAGACACTATAAATACAAACATAAATATTTGTTAATTAACTGTTTATTTAAGTTTTAATTATTAAAATATTATATATATGGAATTGAAGTTGATCAAAATAAGATTTGGTTTTAATTATATAGAATTGGAAGTTGATCAAAAAATAAGATTTGGTTTTAATTATATATATATATTATATATATATATATAATATATATATATATATATATAAATATATTATAATATATATATATATATATATATTTGCAGATTAACTTTCATAAAGGGTGATTAGGGAAGAGGAAGCACCGAAGAATTTTCAAATGTATTACCTTACATTGTTACATTTGTTAAACTGTCTCCTTTACACTTGGTATGGAACTGCCTGTTGTGAGCTAAGCAAATGGGAAACTGCCCTCTTGTCACCATCAATGGTCCTTGGCATTCTCCTTGAGCTTTTTTCAATTTGCTTATATTTTATATATATTTTGCAGATTAACTTTCATAAGGGTGATTAGGAAGAGAAGCACCGAAGAATTTTCATGTATTCCTTACATTGTTACATTGTTAAACTGTCTCCTTTACACTTGGTATGGACTGCCTGTTGTGAGCTACAAATGGGAAAACTTCCCTCTTGTCACCATCAATGGTCTTGGCATTCTCCTTGAGCTTTCTTTCATTTGCTTATATTTTCGCTTCACTGACACCAGAGGAAAGGCAAGCAAAACTTTATTATTACTATCTTTTTTATGCATATATCGCACATGCAAATACTTAATTATGATTGAAAATAAAATTAACACCATTGATTTGCAGATAAAAGTTGGTGCTACAATGATACCTGTGTTGGCATTTTTCTCGATTATGGCAGCTATCTCAGCTTTTGTATTCCATGATCACCATCATCGCAAGATATTCCTTGGAAGTGTTGGTCTGGTGGGCTCTGTTGGAATGTATGGTTCTCCACTGGTCGTAATGGCAAGTCATATTCTTACTTTCCGATCTCTTTTTAGTAATTCATGCAGTTTTCTTAATGCACATTCACTGGATAATCTTTTTAAGACATGTAAGTTAATGCTTTTGACGTTTCCTAACAAACTCTGAAATAGCTTATATCAGAAAGGGTGAATAACCTTTTCTACTCGTGCTTCCATTATATAAATAATATAAATAATTAATATTGCATGTCCATTCAACATCCATCGGTCCAAATGCATGTCCCTCGAGTTCTAATTTTGTCAATTTTTAATTTATTATTAATTGCAGAAGCAAGTAATACAAACAAAAAGTGTGGAGTTCATGCCCTTCTACTTATCATTTTTCTCCTTCCTCGCAAGTTCTCTTTGGCTAGCTTATGGACTACTAAGCCATGATCTGTTTATTGCGGTTTGTACAGTTATTCAACTTTGTATTTTTCTTGTTTTCCTATATTTAAATGCAATAATTAATACTGGGTTTTCTCTATTTTCTTCAGTCTCCCAATTTCCTTGGTACCCCATTTGGCATCATCCAACTTGTGTTGTACTTCAAGTACAGAAAGAGTGGTCTCATGGAAGAACCAAAAAAATGGGATGTAGAAAAGAATGAAGACAGGTCCAAGCAATTGCAGCATGTGGTTAATGAAAATACTAATGGAAAGAGTTGAAGTATTATTAGCAGCAGCCACCAGGGCCTAACAATTAATGTTCCTTTCGGTATGTCTATATTCTCTCCATTTATTAAAAAAATTTACAGATCTTGAACACAGCTATAACATGTTTGCTTCTTTGTGACAGGGGAAAGTATAGTTTGCCAATAAATTTCAGAGGGATCTCAGATAGGAGCAGCTGGATTTGTATAATCAAGATGTCAACTTGTAGTGCCTGATTTTAATGATATACGAAGCATGCTACTACTTAGTTATAATTAAGAAATGTCCTGTACTGCATTAAACATCGGGGTAATGAAAATCAATTTGCTTTCAGAACTCCATATTTGTTGGGAATTTCATTTGTTGAACCAATCCCATGGGTGACGGAACTCACTCATATAATGGGATCCGCTCTATATGATCATAAGTAATTGACTTGCCTAGATCTAGTCTATAAACTCATTTATAGATCAAACCAATGAAATTATTTTTTTTAACATGATAGTATTTCCGATTATTTACAGAGAAAAAAAGAATAAAAGTGAAAATTGATGAATCCACGTACCGGATCCAGGGAATCATAAACTCTTTTCAAGCAACAAATTTTGCTATGCATAGACCACTTTTTGACTAGGTAAAGGCCAAACAAAAAGTTTTCCCCAAATCTTGACCAACGGGCCTACTTGTGAAGCTGAGTCAGCGTGTGAATCTCATTTCAAGAAGTGTAACTGGAGAGAGAGGTTTTAGTAGATTTTATCTCTATATATTAAATTTGAACTTAGTCATAACTAACTACCAATTACGAAACAATCATACAAGCAAAGGCCACTAACAGCCTTTGCAGTCGATTGTCAATCATTGGCTTTGTCCATTGATGGATTCATAATAAAGGTAACAACTTCCCGACCAAAATGCTAATTAGAGTTTATGGGTCTATAAAACATGACTTAAAAATCGACAAAACCAATAGTTAATTATCATTAATAGAGGGAGGCACCGCCTATGAAACGACATTAAAAGAAGTTGCTCAAAACCAATAGTTAATTATCAATTCTAAGAAAGCAAAAGCAACAGTAAGCAGCAAATGCTAAGAAAATAATAACCGGACCCAATTTGATTAGAATGAAGCTAGTGTTTTCTTTGACAAAGGATAAGTTCTGAGTATACATGCTGCCTTGACAAGTGCAACACTGCTGTCATTGTCCAAAATCTTAACCAATCACAGCCATGAAATGTATAAAGTAAAAGCATTAAGTTGTATGCAAGAATTTGAAAGAATATAATGCTCTGGTGAACTAGAAACCTCTGATCCAAGAACCTGCGATATGAGCCCACCAATTCACAGAACAAATTGAATATGTTCCAACTTGATTATACTTGAAAAGTCAAACAGAGACATCAAAAAAAGATTCTGAAAAGTGACTACTCGAATGGAACATCTTCTGCACTGAAATCTATAACTAAATTTTGATGCAGATGAAATCTCTAATTTTATAGCAGTAATATATGAAAATGTACAAAGAGATTCACAGACATTGTTTCACTTTGGATAGGTGAAATGAGCTTTAATCAGCAATTCAAAAGTTAAAACTATGGAACAGACCACCAGAATAACCTTGGTCAGCAATCAGAAGTTGCATTCAAATAATTCTCTGTTATTGACAAAGACTCACCATTAAATTGAACAGTAGATTTTATATTTGCATTTAGATGCTCCAAAGCAGCATAAATAACATTACAGTGTGGATGAACTCTATTTTCTACAGAGAACACATGAAGTCTATTATTCAGCTCTACCCAACTACAACCTGGATCCTTTTTTACCTCTAAGCTTCTCAAACTGTTCCTCACATTTATCTTCTTCCCCCATTTCCCCAAAACTGCATAAATGTTAGACAAAATGATATAAGCTGACATTGGCTTCGGATGCAAATGGAACATATGCTTAGCCACCCTTTCCCCCACTTCCATGTCCATCCAAAACCAACAAGCACTGAGCAAAGCTGCCCAAACAACAGCATCTGCTTCAATTGGCATTGCTTTAATAAACTCCTCCGCTTCAAGTAGGCGCCCTGACCGACCAAGAAGATCCACAACACATGCATAATGTTCCAAACTTGGAGTTACTCCAAAGATTTCATCCATTGCGTGGAAAAATCTCATTCCTTCATCCACCAAACCAACACGACCACAAGCAGTCAGAATTCCAACAAAAGTAGCTCCATTAGGAACGACTTTTTGCTCAAACATGTGCTCAAAGAGTAAAATTGCCTCTAAGCCAAGTCCATGATGTGCATATCCATTTATAAGAGCCGTCCATGCTGCCACATTAGGTGAAGAGATACTTGAGAAGGACTTTTGCGCATCAACGATGCTCCCACATTTAGAATACATATCTACAAGTGAAGTTCCAACATAAACATTTGATTCAAATGGTGTTTTAATTAAATTGGCGTGAAGCATTTGGCCTTGTTGAAGTGATCCCATGCATGAACATGCACGGAATAGAACAGAAAATGTTGATCTTGTATAGGTTACTAACAACTGGCGCATTGTTATATACAATTTTAATGCGTCTTCATGCCGCTCATTTTGAATATACGCTGACAACATTGAGTTCCAGGTCACGGGGTTCCTCTCCTCTTTCGTTTTTTCAAACAGCATCAAAGCCTCATCAATTTCACCATTCCTCGAGTACACAGAAATCATAGTGTTTGAAGAAAAGAGTGTTTTCTGAGGCATCTTCTCAAACAACCTCTTTGAGTCCTCAACTCGGCCATTCATTGCATAGCCTTTCACCATCAAATTATATAAATCCGAACTTTTTTGGGTCAAACTGTTAAAAATCAACTCTGCATCTGGAATTCTACCCATTGATATACACCCCTCAATTAAGGAACTTGAAACGCTTGAACATGGATTAATTATACCATCATAAATTCTCCTAGCATCATCAATAGCTTCACAATCACAGTAAAATTGAATTAAGGCGCCACCAATTGACTGGTCAAATTCAAAACCGCATTTTATCAAAATCCCATGAACAACCATTCCATCGTTTAAAGCACCAAGCTTACCACATACCCTCATAACACAATCCAAGGTGAACTCATTAGGTTCCACCTCACCACTTCCTCTCATCCATCGAAACAAGGCTAAAGCTTTTTCACAATAATTATCGCTCTTTGCAAATCCCGAAATTAACTTAGTCCATGAAACAACATCTTTTTTAGGCATCTCAATAAACACGTTATAGGCGTCACTCAGTAGCCCGCACTGCACATAACCTACCAGCATCAAACTCCACAGAAGCTCATTCTTATCATGCAACTCCTCAAAAACCCGCCTTGCATGTTCAATTTTTGAACAATTTGCATAAAAATACAACAAGGCACTTCCTACAAGCTCGAAACTCTGGCAACCGGATTTCAGAACAAGACAATGAATCTGCTCTCCATCCACAGACGACGGCAAACGAGCACAGACGCTTAAGATAGTGGAGAAAGTGGTCTCATTGAGCTTGGTGGTGGAACGATGCATAGAAGAAAGTAGAGCAAGCGACTCGTTGAATTTACCCCATTTGGAGTAACCGGAAATCATTGTGTTCCAAGAAACAGCTGTTCGTTTTGGCATTTTATCGAACAGGTATCGAGCAAAGTCTAGTTGGCCTTTTTCTGCGTTATGGGTAATGGCGACGTTGGTGGAGACAATGCGAGAGTCGCCGCGTCCTGGAGTTTGGCTATGGAATGAGAAGCGTGCCAAGAACTTCCATCGACCGTGCTTCCATTTCCCAGGAAAGGATTCCATCAACATTCAGAGAGAGATGGACGGGAAGGTAGGAGAGGCAAAACCAAAACGTACCGTTTTTCTTAACATCTCAACTGCTATGCAACTTCTCACTGATGATAATCCATGCATAAAAAATAGTCAAAATAATAGTATTTTGATTTTATTAATGATAATCGATGTGTAATATTTAGTAATTTTTCTTTTTCTTTCCACCGTAAGACAACATTTTTGTCTCTCCCATCCCCGCTTCCATCCCTAGGCACAAATCACTTAATAAACAAAAGAAAAATCGTGTGTAAAACGACGAATGCATCTAATCTAAAAAAAGAAAAAAGTTCCAAAACGACAAACAACAAGTTAGACAGAGGGACCTGGCGAATTCGTTTTTGGGTTTTCAAATAGCCACGCGTCATGCAGTCCGCAGTCAAGAGGGAACTCCATGCACGAGGCCACGTTGCCCGCGACCCCTTCTCTTCTCTCATATTCACAATCACATCTCCAGCGAGAAACAATAATAAGAATTAAAGAAAACAAGAAAGAAAGAAAACACAAATTCTGATATTCTGCATCTTAAAATCGTTGAATAAGTACAAGAAATACTTTCCAAATGGTGAAGCTAGCGTCGGCAAGAGAGAGCAGAATGTACGGACCAAGGCTTGGTCGAAACAGAGCAGAGTATATAAACTCAGGGCTTTATGTGTTCGCTACGATTGTGCTTATAAGTGGTTTTGCAGCCGAATTCTCAATGGAGCCTAGATCAGGTTTGGTTCTTTTGTTTATAGCGTGTGCGCTTATAATGGTCGTCAATCTCCACGATCTCATTGCGCATCTCGCTGGAATCGATTACCGGTTACATTTGATGGAGTTTGATATGCAGCTGGCACTTGTAGAATTTGCGGTTCCTTTGGTCCAAGCCTTGGGTGCTGTTCTTTTGTTCTTGGGGTTCTTTTTTCTATTTCTTCAGGTATATATACGTCGCTAGCTAGCTTGATGTTCTGTTTCCAGTTATTTTATTGTGTCTCGTCAAAATTGAGCTTAGAATCTAACCTTTTGCAAAGTATTTGGGGATAAATTTCATAAAACTCATTCTTATTTATGCTAAACATGAAAGATTTAGATTTATAAATGAACTTCGTGCAATTCATTTACACAGAACATTCTCTGAATTAGAACTGTGATCAAGAATTCAAGGTGACTAAATGGTGCAGGAAGAGAAAGGATACGGTTACTTCAAACTTGAAAAGCACGCCCTTAACATGCTTATCGCTGGCCCAGTTCTATGGGTTCTTGGTTCAATCCACAATTCTTGCCAAATTTACGAGAAAGCTGATGGTCATGTTCAAATCTTGCAAGGGAGTGTCCAAATCCCATTTTTGATGGGGAGTTTATTGCTCTTGGTTGGTTCCATACTCAATCTCCAAGAGCAAGCCGGCTCAATCCATCATGGCCTACGACTTTTGGTAACTCTCGTTTCATTGCTTGTTACTTGTTTCCAAGAATGCTTTAATTATTGTACTTATTGTCAAATGCAGGGGAAAACAATGGTGTGGATGGGGATCTTCGGAAGTCTATTGTTGTTTGTTGGGGGATTAACAAATGTAGTAAAAGTGTTCAAAATGCAACAGATTGATGGACTGCGCTTGGAGAAACTGCGAGGAGGGGCTCACGAACGTTTAAGACATCATAGGGAAGGTCATCTTCCGCTTATTGCAGAAGAACAGAGGAGCAGGAAAAGGGTAATTGAAGAAACAAAAGCTGTACCTGTACCTGCTCCTACTCCTTACAAGGATGTGCTTCTTGGTCGGACTTAATTATCAGATTGCTTCTGTTAATTACCTGTTACGAGTATATAATCTCTGGTCGTCTGGTCGCTCTCGCCATTAATTAGCCATCTCCGATGTGTCATATGATTGATATTTGATAGTATTATTGTTGTTTATAGAGGACGCCTTCTTTTTTTTTTTTTTTTTTTTTTTTTTTTTTTCCTTAACAAAGGATGTGCTTCTTGGTCGGACTTAATTATCAGATTGCTTCTGTTAATTAGCCTTGTTACGAGTATATATCTCTGGTCGTCTGGTCGCTTCCGCCATAATTAGCCATCTCCGATGTGTTCATATGATTGATTATTTGATAGTATTATTGTTGTTTATAGAGGACGCCTTCTTTTTTTTTTTTTTTTTTTTTTTTTTTTTTTTTTTTTTTTGGGACAGCAATGGATTTGGAATTTTGTTGGTGGTAAACATTTAACTAACTACTTGGATAAATTAAGCTACCTCAGAAATATCATGGGACAACCAAGAATCAACCTAATATCCAATCACGGGATATCCGAGAAAAGAAATGTATACCAAGACAATTTTAATTTTCTGATCAACCTAATATCTAATCAGATCAAACTACCAAAAATGACATTTATTTACAATAATATTCATCTGAATATTAAAAATAATTAAAGTTTGGTATAGAGGCAATTCTAGAGTGATGCAGCACAATTTTTTAAGGGGCATAATTAAAAATACATATAAGTTATTCAATATTTTAGAAATTTCAACAGGTGACATTTTGAAATAAACAGCCTAGAAAACTCTCTCTAATAGCCTTTTTCTCGGCTCTTTTTATTGAGTTATGATTAACGGTTGTGATCCGTAAGGTAGCTGAGGTAGCTTCAGCCGATGCCATAGTTCTTTCTCAAAATCGCCAATCTACCATGGTTGCATCACTCAATGCATCCCAAAAACATTACGCGCTGTATAATAAATTTTCATTTTACTTATTAAATTAGTGAAAATCTTTGTGATCGAGAGAAATATAATGTGAGACTATCCTTATTTGTTACTCTTTTTTTTTTTTGGCTAAATTTGATAGTTTTTGACTTTTTATAATAATTAATAAAATAATTAAATCACCTTTAAAAAAAAGGATAATTGACTAAATTATCCTTTAATTAATACTCATTTAAATGAGAAAAAATATAGTGCAAATATTCAAACAAGGGCAGAGAGAGCAAAATAATTAATGCTATTTTAATTTTGTAAAATGTCATAGAAATGGAATAAGAAAAAAGTAAAAACTATTAAATTTAACAAAACGGAGGAGTATTGTGCAATTAAAAACTTTCATTAAGTAATTAAAATGTCTTTTTTTTTTTTTTTATCACAGTTTACTTGTCTTATTGGAAAAATTATTACAATAAAATTGGTTTAATATATGGGTGAACACTTGCATGCAGTAGTAGCCAGTGAGACGGACTGGACCTGCATAAACTAATGGTCGAGGACCCTTTTTTTTTTTTTTTTATCACAGTTTACTTGTCTTATTGGAAAAATTATTACAATAAAATTGGTTTAATATATGGGTGAACACTTGCATGCAGTAGTAGCCAGTGAGACGGACTGGACCTGCATAAACTAATGGTCGAGGACCCTAGCATCCGGGCCAGGTTGGCCCAATAATTGAAAAATACAAATTCGGCCCGTGGGATGACCTGCCTCGATCACATTACTTAACGCGGCGACGCCCATCATTGGCTCGTTCTACTTGCAGCAGGTTGCTTATTTCGCCGACCCGCCACCAGGTTTCATTCTTAAACTGCGATTAGAGGAAATCCATAAATATCCTTTCGTGCTATTTTTGCCATCTTCCACTTTGCAACCCTAATCTCAACGACATCACAAATCAAAGCTTCTGCTCTTTGAATCCCTCAGGTATTGCAACTCTTATCTTCAATTCGAACTTCTTATCTGTCCTAACTACTTTTTGTATTTGCTATACGAGATATGTTGATGTTAACATGTATCTAGTTTCGATATTGAGTTTAATAGGATTATACTTATCTTATGCCTGTTTGAATCTGGTATTTGTTGTTTTAGAAATAATTGCATTGCTTATTATTTCTGCTTGACTAGCTGAGTTAATTCTTCATGTTGTGTTCTTGGATTTATATATTGAGGAGAACTTGAACTGGATGGAGTTGATATTATTTTTCTATGGCATATTAATGTTTCATCTGTATTTCTGCTTGAGGTAGTTAACGATTTGTACCGTCCGTATTTAATCATGTGTAACCTGGAGGTATCTTGTCAATTTTGTATACTAGTTTTTTGCTTAAAACCTTTTCCTCTTTTCTTCGTTGTTCCCTTAGCCTGGGTTTTGAAATTTGCAATGTCTGTAACTAATTTCTGATGAGGATGATACTCCTGACTCGTGATGGTAATCTGACTCATATGGTCCTTTGCCAAGTAGCCATATTATCATATGGTCTCAGCAGAGATACGACCTTATTTTGAAATGGGTTTGTCTTGCAGTAGTCTGAGCCACTAAGAAATTGTGCTGTAGGCCGAGATTGTGCCTGAAAAATTATAGAATTTGTGCTGTAACTCGGGGTTGTGCGGAATGGCATCTGTATCCAGTCAGCCTCAGTTCCGCCTCACCCAACCCCCATCTAAGGTGCTCCACTTGAGGAACTTGCCTTGGGAGTGCACGGAGGAGGAATTGATTGAGCTTGGGAAGCCCTTTGGTAAAGTTGTCAACACAAAGTGCAATGTTGGAGCAAATAGAAACCAAGCTTTTATAGAATTTGTGAGCTTATTTTCTTCCCAGATTTATTTTTATTTTAATATATTCTTTTACCTTGATAATATGACTGACTGACTTCTTTTTTTTTTTGCTTTTACATTTTTTAGGCAGATTTGAATCAAGCTATTGCAATGATATCTTACTATGCGTCATCATCAGAGCCAGCTCAAGTACGGGGGAAGACAGTCTACCTGCAGTATTCTAATAGGCAAGAAATAGTCAACAACAAAACAACAGCTGATGTTGCTGGAAATGTACTGTTAGTAACAATTGAAGGTCCAGATGCTCGCCTTGTCAGCATTGATGTTCTGCACCTGGTAAGTAAATGGCAAACTTCCTTAAAATGCTTAGAAGAGGTAACCATATTTCTGAAGAATTATACCAATTCTATATTCAGGCTGTAGTTTGTCTTGCTTTGGAAAGCATCATTTGACATGAATGTAAATGGATCAGCAGGCCCATGTCAAAGGAATATCTTCGATGGCAGCCTAATGCATTGGGAGAAAGAGCGCATGTGTGTTTGTCTCCTTTCTCCTTTCCTTAACGCTGCCTCTTTCATCCCTACTCTTTCCTCATCAAATTCCTATTCCTACCACTGAAATAGTTTGGGATATTTTTCATTTCTTTTATCCTGTGCATCCCTCCTCCTATAATTCTAATTGTTCTGCATATGATAGGGTTTTGTTAAGGATACAGTTTTTTTATTTTGTATTTGTGTTCTAACCTTTGTGACTGTTGTCAAAACTGTTTTTGATAAGTCAGGTCTTTGCATCTAATTTTCTGCAAGCTTTGCTTGATGAAAGACAAGCATGCTTTCATTTCTTTGAACGAAGATCTTAGTTTCATCCACATATTTTTTTCTTTTTCCTTAAATTTTTGTATATTTTATCAGGATAATAGAGGCCAACTTAAGCATTATCAGGATAATAGAGGGTATTTTGAGGTTGAGAGTACAATTCATTCTGCAAAACCTTGGTGCTGGCCAATGACCATCAGCCTTTCTGCTGGTGAACACTTGAGATTTTTCGGATATAACTTTTCGTTATCTAGTAATATACTACTAATTTTTGAGATTCTTTAAAGAAGATTCTTAATTTTACATGAAGGTTTTAGCCACATTGCTGCCTGTCGGATGTCTATATTCTCTCTGCTTCACATCATGTTGATAACTTATATTTTTATTTCTAGGATTTTTATGTTAAGCCGTCTATACATTACAAAATCTGCAGCTTCTTCTTGTTTGTACAATAAGAATTTGATATTTTTTAATTAAAAGACAGATTATGTTGGCTTGTATCACATTTGTGCTGATTTATTGTAAAATAATCATTGATGCAGGTATTTTCTGCTTTTGGGTTTGTGCATAAGATTACTACATTTGAGAAGACGGCTGGGTTTCAGGTCTGTATTCTTAAGCTGATTTTAAATTTTAATCTGGTGCCTTTTGCTTTAATACATAAACTCATGTTGACTTGATGTTTTCAGGCATTAGTGCAATTTTCCGATACAGAAACTGCCTCTTCAGCAAAAACAGCCCTGGATGGAAGAAACATCCCTAGGTGACAGTTGTATTAATGTTTGACATGGTATTTAGTCCAACTACCATGGACATATAGCTTTAGATGTGGGTTCACATGATAAAAATGAACATCTAGTCAGCCGTTTAGGAAAATTACTCCGGCACATAAGTTGGAATATAACTCTTATTAGCAGTCAAACTTTCTGTCCACATTTATTTTAATTCCTATATTTAAAAAATGCCATTTTTTTGCTAATTGAACAATTATTTTCATTCAGTTTGGACCAGTAAATGGTTATCAGAAAGTTAATGTGTCCCACATATTAGAACTTGTTTTTTTTAAACCTTTTTTCATTTTATTTTCCCATTAGTTTCAAATTTACATGTCTCTTTTTTTAATTTCTGTTGGTTGGTGTATCAGGTATCTGCTTTCTGAGCATATTGGACCATGTACCCTCAGGATCACATATTCTGCTCATACAGATTTGAGTGTAAAATTCCAGTCTCACAGGAGCAGGTATTCCTTATGTCTGTCTCTTTCTGCAGCCTAAGGCCCTTTGTGGTTACGTTTGATTGTGTAAAGTGGGGTCACTTTTTTTACAGATTTGTTTTTCTTTCTCTAGTAGGCCTCTCATTGTTTTTAGTTCATTTCAACCCTCATATTGGAATTCTACCTGTTACTTGCCCAGTATTGTTCTCTAGAATCTCCATGATATCTCTGATGGTCATCACTGTTTTCCTAATTTCTGGAATTGCATTTTTGTGATTCAGAGACTACACTAATCCAAACCTTCCTGTTGCACCATCAGCTATAGATGGAAGCGGTCTGGTAAGGCACTGCAAATTATTATTTATGACTTCTGAGATATGGCAGTATGAGAATCCTATTTGATTGCCTCTTACTTGCATTTGGTGCTTTTTCCCGATTAAAATATAAAAAATGAATGTTTTGGCAGATGTTGGCTAAACTGACCAAAAAATAAACTTTCATCCTAATTGGGCTAAATGAAAGATTGTGGATAAATTTGAATATTGGCCTACAGTTCAAGGGGCAATTTGACCTTTATTCCCTTTTTGTTGCTGTCTTGGAGTTCCAGATTAAGATAATTAGTTCTATTCTTACTCCATGTGATGGAACAAGAAATTTTGTCATTTTAAGATGCTTGCATGCAATGCCTTTTCTTATTAATAAATGAAGAAACATAAGTTGGCAATTTGAATACAACTATGTGTAGACTATGTATATGCATTTGGTTGCTTCCTTTATTTCTGTTAGCATATGTGATTACTAATTATTTTGTCAGTTTCATTTCTTCATTTTGCTTAACTGCTACTCATTTATCATTGCAGTTCAGTGTGGGTCTTGATGGGAAAAAACTAGAACCTGAGAGTAACGTTCTTCTTGCATCAATTGAGAACATGCAGTATGCTGTGACCTTGGATGTTTTACACATGGTATTTGTAATCACTAAACAAATTTGTAGATAGCGTGTTATGCTTTTTGTAAAGCTGATGATTGTTCATTCTACGATTTTGTACAAGGTTTTCTCTGCCTTTGGACCTGTGCAGAAGATTGCGATGTTTGATAAGAATGGCGGACTTCAGGCTTTGATTCAATACCCTGGTACAATTTACTTTATATTTCGTAATGAAAGATATCATTTATGTTGTAGTAGTTAAATAGTATTGTTGGAGAGGTAGTTCTTTTGGTTAGCCTGAAGATATCTACACTCTATTTGGGAAGGTTTTATGAGAGAAAAGAACATAAATGAGGAAAATAAAGTAAGGAAAATATTGTTGAAAGAAAGTTTATTTTTCTTTGCTTGTTTGGATAAAATCCTTTAACGGGGGAAATAAAATTGTTTATAAAGAATTAAATAATGTTTTTGCTCCTATATTTTTTATTTAGAAATGTGTTTAAAGGGATAAATTATTAAGTTTTTAAACTTTCCCTGCATTTTCTTTCCAATTTGGAAGAAAAATGCTTGTGGGACCCACATACCTTTTTCGCTCATATTTTATTTCTTCTATTTTTCTTCCCTTTCCAAACAAGGGAAGGGGAAAATGCCTTTTGTTTCTTTCGTCCATTGTATTCCATCCACCCAACAAGTGCGTTGTAGTTGAAAAGCCAATGACATTTGAGGATTGGTTTTTCCTTAATCTGATAGAGGTTTTTCCTTAATCTGATACACATGTTTTAAGGTTTTTGACAAATTAGAGAAGGATAGTTTTTTTCTGAATGCTGGTATTGGGCCCTAAACTCTGCCAATATTTACTTTTTTGTGTTCATGAGGAGGCCAAATTTGGTTGGAGCATTTATTCCCATCACCCAGCCAGAATTCATTTATGGGGAAAAATTAATTCTTTTAGTCTTTTATTTCATTTCCTTTAGTTTTAAACATAGTTTGGTCACATGCCATGAACAAATATTTAGAGTTCTTTTCACTCAGGATGGTGCCACAATGAAGAGAGATTTCGGATTCATTGTATACAAATTCGTAAATTGGATATTGATGGTTCTATTTTTTGTAGATGTTCAGACAGCTGTTGTTGCCAAGGAAGCATTGGAAGGACACTGCATATATGATGGAGGATTTTGCAAACTTCATATCTCATATTCACGTCATAATGATCTCAGTATAAAGGTAACTAAATTGTGCCCTCGAATGTTTGTTACAACTGTGAGTTGCATCAGTTTAACCTAGAGGAAGTTGCACTATTGTGGTTCAATCCCTTGAAACTAAAACAACGGTATCTGACTGATTATAAATGGATTTTGTTGAAATTTAATTTAACATTTAAATCATCAGAGTCTTGATATGCTGATTACAGGTTAATAATGATCGGAGTAGAGATTATACTGCCCCTAGCACTGCCATGTTGAATCCTCAACCTTCCATTCTCGGGCAACAGCCTCCTCCTGTTCATTCAGTTGGACCCCCTCCTCATCCATACACTGGAGGTCAGTTTGCTCCTCATACGGAGCATCCGGCTATGCCACAACCTTCAGCTGGATGGGGAGCAGGTGTTCTGGCAGGACCCCATTCTATGCCTGCACAGATGAATAATCATCCGTACTTGCCACCCGGAACTATGCCACCCCAAATGGGCCCTGGAATGATGCAGATGCCAGGCCATAGCGGCATACCACACTCCGGTTCAATGCCACCATACAGACCTGGCCCAATGCAATAGCATTTAGTCGATATTTAGTAGTTCTAATTATCTGTTCCATGTGCATCGATCTACAAAAATTGACTTGTCCCATTTGAAGAAGGGGAAGATCCGAGTCTACCCAGTCGTTCTATGAAAGCTGAAGTGGTTTAAATATTGATCTCTTTCAGCAATTTTGGGGGTGATATTATGTAAGAAAGGGGGCTTGAGCACTTTTTGCAGACCCAACCCAATTCTGAACCTTGGTTGTACTTGGTGGTATTGTGAAATCTATAATATTTAGATTTTGTTTCCGTGTACTGGCTAATCAGGCAATTGTATTTCAATATTTTCTTGAAGGGTCAGGTCATTTTCATTTTTCTTAAGAGATGCATTTGTTGCATTTGTCGAAGTTATGAACCTTTTTCTTTGTTATTAAGTATGGAACAAAGCTATTTTTCGCCCTTTATTATAATGTTAAGGATACATCAAACTCTCAAATCTATTTTTGTTTTCAAAGAGTAATATTCTTTTTCTTGATTGAAAAGTATGTCTAAAAATTTTCTGTTGCTTGTTCTACCACATAGTGTTCATAAAAAACTTAATGAATAATACTGTAGAAATAATAGAACATAAAGAGATTTTGTCGCATTTTATAATTTTTTTTTTTATAAAAAATTGAGCGATTGGATCTAAGAAGGATCAAATTTGGCCTATTCAATGAGTTAAAGTGAAATAATCAAAAGTATTAGAAAAATAAAAAGATAAAGGTTAAAATATTTAATTAAAACTTTAAATTATATTAAAATTAATACTTAAAATTTTCTAATTTTAAAAAATTACTATGACCGCTCTAGTATATATATATATATATATATTTTTAATACAGAGTTATTCTATTCAAAAAAGCGAGCTATTTCAGTAAAAAAAATTTTCTTGAGAAAAAGCGTAATGACAATTATTTCTGAAGAGTAAAAGAATTTAAATATTAATTTCAACCTATCCCAAAGTCCATTTACTGTTTTATCCAAATAAGAGAGCCCAAACTTGTCACTTGACGCAAAGTCACGTATGCACAAAGCCGGCGCCAATTTCAATCGAGATAAGATTACTGCCTGTTCATTTGCTGATAATCTCCGTTGCTGTCTCTCTCACTCCAATCTTGTGGCTCTCAAAAATCTCTCCCTCTCCTTTCTTCTCCGACTTAAACGCATAAAACCAGAAGAGAGAGGGATTCAGAACACCATTTTTTCTCCATAAACCCTAGCTAACAAAATGACTATTGCTTTACAAGCTTCTCTTCTCTGCAAGCCTTCTCCGTCTCATACTCCTACTTGCTCTTCTCCTTCTAAACAACGTCTTCTCTCTTCTGTTCGCCGCCGTCACTATCACTCTTCTCTTTCTCTCTCTACTATCTCCTTATTTGCTTCTCTAAATTCCAGATTTCGTCTCCTCCCTCTCTCTGTCTCTTGTACATTGCGTCCGGAAAATGCCAATTTAAATCCGGAATTCACTTCTTCCGGATTGACCTCTAATATAGATTCTAGTGAACCTACAATCGACAAGTTTGGCGGTGGAGGAGATGGTTCTGTCGTTTCGGCCATTGAAGGATCGAGAGTTGATGAACTTGGCGGCGAGAGTTTGGCAAGGGAGGTTGGGCAACTACATACAGAGAATGCGGTGCGGAGTGAAGCGAAGGATGGCCATTTCGTGCAAAACCAAGAGGTAAATGGCAAACTACCTTTCATCGTTTTTGTTCTGGGTCTTTGGGCGACGGCGAGGAGAGGATTGGAGAAGTTTCTGGCATCCGATTGGTTGAGTTGGTGGCCTTTTTGGCAACAAGAGAAGAGGTTGGAGCGCCTTATTGCTGAGGCTGATGCCAATCCCAAGGACGCTGACAAGCAGAGTGCTCTTTTGGCCGAGCTCAATAAGCACAGGTTAGGCATTGCGCCACTCTTATTGAGTTTTGCTTTTTCGGTTATGCTGAAAAAAAAATGCAATGATCTGTTTGGTTTTATCTGAGACGTGTTAGAGACAGTATTCGATTTTAATGGCTTTCTATTAACTAATTTTTAACAGCCCCGAGTCTGTAATTAAGAGGTTTGAGCAAAGAGACCACTTAGTGGACAGTAAAGGAGTTGCAGAATATCTTCGAGCGCTTGTGGCCACTAATGCTATTGCGGATTATCTTCCTGATGAACAATCTGGAAAAGCTACCAGTCTTCCTGCCTTGGTAATTTAAGTGTCGTTAAATGGTTTAGATGTATCATTATTATTACTATTATAGTTGTGATTAATTCTGTAATTGTGGGATGCTTCTTATTTTTGTAAATATCTCTTTTATTCTCCATTACTTTGGAATTCTTACTAAGCTTTGTAGCAACGGTAACATCTTTGCCATACTTCTTGACTATCCCATTTTGCTTTTTTTTTTTTTTCTTTTTTTTTTCGTTTGTAATATTCTTATTTATACGTTTACATGTAGTTACAAGAATTGAAGCAGCGTGCATCAGGAAACACTGATGAGCCATTTCTGAGCCCTGGAATATCTGAGAAGCAACCTTTGCATGTTGTGATGGTGAGTGTCAACTGAAAATGGTTGTCCTGGTCGTTCTGTAGTTCGAAAGAAACTGTTTAAAGCTACATACTTTTAGAATTAGAGTGAAAGATGAAAATGCTTTGGTGGATATTAACGTTATGCTCTCTTCTTTCACAGGTTGACCCAAAAGTATCAAACAAATCACGATTTGCTCAAGAGCTTATCTCAACAATCTTGTTCACTGTTGCAGTTGGACTGGTTTGGTATGAGTTCTTAGTCACTGTGGAAGTTTTATCTCATAGCTGATTGCTTTATTTTACCTTTTCTTTCTTTGAATCTCACCAAGTTTTGCACAGAAAAAAATAGTAATATGTGCATCCTTGAATTTACAATATTAACAAATGCAGAAATTGTTTTCAGGTTAATGGGTGCTGCTGCACTTCAAAAGTATATAGGGGGCCTCGGGGGAATAGGAACTTCAGGAGTTGGTTCAGGTTCTTCTTATACACCCAAGGAATTAAATAAAGAAGTTATGCCAGAGAAAGTAAATATCAACTTTTGCAATTGCTTATAATTTAAGAAACATTCATCTGTCACTGGAGAAGAGTCACTTGCCATACTTACTTATAAAACTTCATGGATTTGATTTAGAACTCTCTGTCCCCTTTTTCTGAACACTGGTTTTGTTGCAGAATGTTAAAACATTTAAGGATGTCAAAGGTTGTGATGATGCAAAACAGGAGCTTGAGGAAGTTGTTGAATACCTCAAAAACCCATCAAAATTTACACGCCTGGGGGGAAAGTTGCCAAAGGTTTGTACATTTTGTTTTATGATTTTGTAGTACCTTACATCAAATACTCTTTCCTTTATAGGTTTGCTCAATGTTACATTTTATTCTCAAAGGTTTAGTGCCTAGTCTGTTTTCATGTCATTTGCTAAAATTCACCCCTACGTAAGGATTACTCAGATACTTGCACAGAAATGCTCTGAAGAGGCAGTATATAAGATAGGGTTTGGGTAATCCTAGGTTGACGATGTGGGTTCCTTTGTCTAATTTATCTTAATCATTTAATGCTCGAAAATTCATTTGATAATCACTTCAGTTCATTTATTCACATCTTGAATGATAATACTCTTACTCACGAAGTTGTGTGTATTGTGCTATCTTTGCATCTGGATTGGCAATCACGTCCCTGATACCATTTGGGAGTCACATTTTGTTTGCTATTTTAATTGCAATTTTTTTATGCTAAGTTGTTTTCTTTATCTGAAATAATGGAGTTATATCCTGTTGTCACAGGGAATTCTTTTGACAGGGGCACCTGGTACAGGAAAAACATTGCTTGCCAAGGTAAAGTTTTTCCTTATTTATTCTTGTGAATTGTTTCACATTACTATTATATATATATAATGCAATTTTTTTATAGCTAAGCTTGTTTATCTTTATCTGAAAAATGGATTTATTATCCTGTTTCCACAGGCGAATTCTTTTGACAGGGGGCACCTGTACAGGAAAAACATGGCTTTGCCAAGGTTAAAGTCTTTCCTTATTATGGCGTGTGAAATTGTTCACATTGACTATTATATAGATATATCATATATATATATATATATATATATACTATATTTGGATTATCAGAAAAGGACTGAGCAATTCTCTCATTAGAAAGAAAAAAGCTATGGCTTCTTCCTTTCTTCCCACAACTTCTTCTTGCAGAGAGATATATATTTTGGATTATCAGAAAATGGACTGAGCAATTCTCTCATTAGAAAGAAAAAAGCTATGCTTCTTCCTTTCTCCCACAACTTCTTCTGCAGAGAGATTTTTTAAGCATTTCAACTTTTTAACATTCTCAATTTAGATATTTTGTCTATCTTCTGCATACATATTCTGATAGTTGATCTTGATTTGTGTTGAACCTTAAGGCTATCGCCGGGGAAGCTGGTGTACCTTTTTTCTATAGAGCGGGATCTGAATTTGAGGAAATGTAAGTTCAACTTTAGTATGCATATATTGCATCTATTTGATGATAATATTACAAGGGAACTCATATTTATCTCACTGTCAAGTTCTAATAGGCACCCTTTTCTTGGTCATAAAAGGCACTTCTTATTGGGCATGCTTATTCGAAAGTTACATAGGCACTCAACAGGGATGAAGTGGATAAAATTGATACATTGTCATTCCATAAAGCTTGACTAGCTGCTGATTACTCCTGCATGTGTTATGATAACTTCTTTGAGTCTGTTCTGCCTTCTTAAGATTTTAGATAAAGAGTTCTGTTTGTATACTTGACCACTTGTCAGCAGACTAATGGTTTGCGATGTTGTTTTTCTCACTGTTCATCGTTCTTAACTGCCAAGTCCTAGAATGATATTTGGCTTTTTCCATAACGTCTGCCAATGTCATAATAGGGATGCATCTTTTATTTGGCATTGAGAAAGGAGTATAAGTCTGCATAATTGTTCAGGCTCTGGCAGGCAAATGGATGCCCCTGTATTTGTGTTTCTTTTGGCATTCATCCATCTAGTTGAACAATATAAGATGTTTGTTTGCATTTCCTTTCCGCTTAGGACGGAAATGGTAGAGCATGAATTCAAGACACTATATAAGACAATCATTCTGTTTAGAATGACCAGAGATGTCACGAAAAAATGTGGATGATATGTGACAGAACCATTGATGTGGTTGTGAACGTGATGGCAATGAAGAATATACGTGAAAGAATTTTGCCAGAGCAAGAAATTGGAGTATTCTGGATACTCCAGAAATATAGTCCTTTACGTTACTTACACACCAAAAGCAGCATGAGCATTAACAAGAATGAGCGGGGCAGGAAGTATCAATGTAAGGAAGACATTAAGGTTGCAGATGTTGAGGTTGAAAGAGGTTTAGAGGAAGATGAGAGAGTTGGTCTCCATTCAGGTGAGAAATGAATGAAGGGGAAAGAAACAAGATAAAGAAAGAAGAAAATCCTAAGAAATTTAGGCTATCATAGATTCATATGATAAATCAAAGGGATTTTGGTATGCTTCTCTGTCAGAGTTCATCTTATTCACGTGGAAAAAATGTGTACAAGGAGCGTGTGCAAAATAAAATGCATGCAACTCACTTTTTTTTTTTCCTGGGGATGTTTGAGTTTCATGTTGCTTCTTTTATGGCAGGTTTGTTGGAGTTGGTGCCCGACGTGTGAGATCTTTGTTTCAAGCAGCCAAAAAAAAGGTTTGTCATCTTCAGAGCTTTTTGTCCTCTTCTTTTTAGATAATCCAGCCAGGGAAAGAACTCAAAGCAAAAAATAAAGGAGAGAAATAAAGAAAAAATATTTTAAAAATTTCTTGACAAGCACGATCCATATAGTCTGGTAAATGTTCTTTTAACTATTTTGAGCTCTCTTTCTGTACTAGATATGAGCCCTTTACTGTGTGCCTCAAGGCCCTCAACTAAACAGTTGAGTCTATCAACTAATTTCATGTATGCACAAAAAAAAAAAAAAATTGTTTCAGCTCCTCTTTCTGTTACTAGATATGAGCCCTTACTGCTGTCGCCTCACAGCCCTCAACTAAACAGTTGGAGTCTATCAACTTAATTCTTCATGTCATGCACAAAAAAAACAAAAAAATAGCTTTCAGACTTAAATATGAATGTGCATTTACCAAGTCGAGCAGACTATTTTATTTTTTTTTAAAATTCTAGTTAATGGCTATATTCCAAATGTTTTCAAATAAAAAAAAAAAAAAAATAGTTTCAGACTTAAATATGAATGTGCATTTACCAAGTCGAGCAGATATTTTTTTTTTTAAATTCTAGTTAATGGCTATTATCAAATGTTTTCAAATCTATGCAAAGCCAAAAGCTAGATCACTAGATGCCATGGTAATTGCTTAATATCATGCTTTTCTTTTGTTAACATCAATTCTAATTTCATAGGCTCCATGCATAATTTTTATTGATGAAATTGACGCTGTTGGGTCAACACGGAAACAATGGGAAGGCCACACAAAGAAAACATTGCATCAATTACTTGTTGAAATGGATGGTTTTGAACAGAATGAGGTACGTGAGGACAAACTTAGAATTTCTGACTTTTGCAGCATAAATAAGTTAGCATGTATAGTTCTGAATTTTGTCTAACTCTTATCTTTAGGGGATAATATTGATGGCTGCAACAAACTTGCCTGATATTCTTGATCCTGCTTTGACCAGGCCTGGTAGATTCGATAGGCATGTAAGTCCTTTTGTTGTCTAATATTTCTTTTGAGTTCCGAGTTTGTAAATTACTTGATGGAAGTGGATAGTGGGTGAAAATCTTTTTTTAATGTTCAAACTGGCAGATCTGGTGAATTCTAATTTTTGGACTAATGATATCTTCTTGTGGGGTGTCTTTATAAGTGCTTTCATTCAATAGCTCCTGGTCAATATGTACTTGAGCCACGTTGCATGAGTGACTGGACATATCAAGCATGCCTGCTTTTAATGTAGATTTTTCGATAAACTATAAATTTGTTATTTAAATTAATTTTCTTGGAGATATGACCAAAATCCTATTTTTAGATTGTTGTTCCAAATCCAGACGTACGAGGTCGTCAAGAGATTTTGGAGCTGTATCTTCAAGATAAACCTTTGGCAGATAATGTAGATGTCAAAGCAATTGCCCGTGGTACACCAGGCTTCAATGGGGCGGGTGAGTCTTTCAACTGAGTTGAAGTTTGTCTCAGTTAAATGCCTTGAGTTCTTCTCATATCCCTGACAGGTTTCTTCAAAGTTCACCATTATTGTTTTCATTCTTTTTGGAAGCAGATCTTGCAAACCTAGTCAACATTGCAGCCATTAAAGCTGCTGTTGAAGGTGCTGAGAAGTTGACTGCAGCACAGTTGGAGTTTGCAAAAGACAGGATAATTATGGGCACTGAACGGAAAACTATGTTCATATCAGAAGAATCAAAGAAGGTATGAATATATCAATCATGCAACAACTGGCTTAGGCTGATTATCTCTCTCTTTTCTCTTCCACACACTTTTTCCAATTTTAATTGGAAGGGATTGGGGGAATAGAATTCATTATGATCATGTGGAGATGCAAATGAGGGTTGCTTCTCCAGCATAAACTCAACTCATGTGAATCATATATTTAGTTTCACTAATTATTGATTTGTGACATTGCTGCACTTCTTCTCAGTTAACTGCATATCATGAGAGTGGTCATGCTATTGTAGCCTTAAATACTGAGGGAGCACATCCAATTCACAAAGCAACAATAATGCCACGTGGATCTGCTTTAGGAATGGTCACTCAGCTTCCTTCAAGTGATGAGACATCAATTAGCAAGAAGCAGCTATTAGCTCGTCTCGATGTCTGTATGGGAGGAAGAGCTGCGGAGGAGCTTATTTTTGGTCAAGACCATATCACTACAGGAGCCAGTAGTGATCTTCATACAGCTACTGAACTCGCTCATTATATGGTAAATATTTTCAGCAGGACCCTTTCTAGTATCCAAAGAAGTTATGATTATATGTATTAGTTGTCTCATTATTTGTGATCACGTTTTTTAAATCCATACAATTATCTAACGAGTATAGAAATGAAGAGCTAACAAACATTAATTTCTTGAATCTTATTATCTTTTTAAGGTATCAAGTTGTGGAATGAGTGATGCAATAGGACCAGTTCACATCAAAGAGCGACCAAGTTCAGAAATGCAGTCGCGTATTGATGCTGAGGTATACGTTTTAAATCCACAAGGCCTTGGCTTTAATATAATTATAATTTTTTTTTTCTTTTTTCAGAAAATCTGAAATTTCTTTGATCAATTGTGTAGGTGGTGAAACTCCTAAGGGAAGCATATGATCGTGTAAAAGCCCTATTAAAGAAGGTATGTTATTGAGATTCCAGATTCTTGTTTTTGAGGAGAAATCTGCTATTAGGTACATGTTCGTTATTATTTTGTTTTTCTTAGTGAGATAATGCACCTGGAGCACTAAGCGTAGGCAAAGTCAATATGTTGTCACATTTATTAATGTGAATGCAAATTTAGGAGTCACTGACTTGTTTGTTGGGCTTTATCAGCATGAGAAGGCATTACATGCATTAGCAAATGCTCTATTAGAGTACGAAACACTCAGTGCAGAAGAGATCAAGCGAATTCTTCTTCCTTACCGGGAAGGACAAGTGGCTGAGCAACAAGAAGAACAAGTAGAAGAAGGGGATCTTGTGTTGGCTTAGTGATGTAATATAGTCGACCATAATCCATAAGGGGAGGTTCTGTACAGTGTATTTAAAGCAGTACAGGTGATTATTTATATAATTTCTTCCAAATTACCCCCTTTCATGTGTTCATAAAGTATGCAATAGAAATTCCGTTCATTTCTCTTGCACCCTGAGCATCTCCTAAACAAATCCACTTCCCCATGCTAACAAACTACCCATATTTTACAGAACAACTCAATGTACTATTCCCATTACATGTATTATTTGAACCATTTACCCATTCAGGGTCAAATTTTGGAGTTGTATGTCTTTTTATTATCACGTCAGAAGTTACCAGACTAAATGTTCGAAGGAAAAAAAAAAAATGGCAAATTGGATTTTTTATTACTTGTACTTGTATCCTCTATTTTGAAAATAGTAACTTCTGACGTGATTTCAGAACGACACAAAATGTATATGATTCGCAAGTATCTATTTAATGGAAAGGGGTTTATATCCTCTGGAAAAGAAATTGCACAATACATTGAAGTAAGAATGTACATCTCCAGAGAGAGTAGAAAATTGTTTCAGCTGCACAATAGAGGATAAAAGCAAATGCAGCGAAACAACCATTTGATTAATAAATCGTGCAACGCCGAATTGAAAGAATCCTCAGAACACATACTGACACTACCCACAGAAGGGGGCTCCAGGCAAAGAAGCATATTTAAAACATGACAAATATAAATGCCTCTCTATATTACCTTCAGGCTTCGGCTTCTTCAAACGTATGGTTGTTAAAAGAGAAAAATAAAATAAAATAAAACATTAACTTCAACAAACTTGTTTTACCTAGATCTAAAATTATAAGGGAAAGACCTTACAAAACATATCCTTCCAGCGCACATATATACAACATTGTTTTTCCATCACAAACAAAACGCTCTGGATATCACAAAGAAAAATAACCTAGTTTTTCGTTTTTCTTTTTTTTTTTTCTTTTTTTTTTTTTTTTTTTTTTTTTTTTTTTCTTTTTTTTTTTTTTCTGAAAAAACTCTTTTCATTCACAAGCACGATAAAGCTTTATAAAGGGTGTGGTCCTTGAGATACTAAAGATGGGGAATCCAGCAAATAATTAGAGGAGGAACATGACAATCAAAATGAAAGAGAGTGCAATAGCGTGGAAGAAAGTACTATAGCTAGTCAGTATCCAGAGCCTCTGAGATATAAGTGCCCTGAAAGCTTCATCCTTAACAACCATAGCCTCCACCATATCTTGGAAGTTCAGTCCCACACTCAGATGCCATCAATGGGCTCAGTCCGGTCTTGCACTGCAAGCCGCTCTGACACATCAGCTAGTGATTTGAGATTGCACTTTATCAGAGCTTCCACAAAGTAGCATGTCTCGTCCTTGGTATTCCCATCAGGAACATCTACCACAAATGACTCGATTACCAGAGTCCCTGGTCTCCCGTCAATGATCTCTGGATGGAGGGAAATGATTGAAGAATAGTTCTGAGGAAAAACCATTAAAAATAAAAAAAGTGTGAGGTCAGTGCCATAAAAATTAGAATAACTTCAAAATTAAAAGTCAATGAAGAAAACTCACAACTCTTGGGTTTCAGTGACAACTTTTAAAGGCTCCAGAAATACTTTTCAATTAATACCTATTTTTCAATTATAATTAGACTACTAATAGAAAAGAATAATATTGACAGCAAAAGTTATCAAGAAATTGGCAAGAATATTCTAAACCAATTATGTTTTCAGATTTTAAACACCCCCCAACCCCTTTTTTCTTTTTCCCTCTTTCTTCTCCTTCTCCCAACCCAAGCCACAGTAGAATGATAAAAACTTCAACTAGTGCAAATCCTAAACTATGATGATCTGTGGCCAAACATTGTATGATAAACACATACAACTCATTTAATGTACAACATAATTCGAACATAAGAAAAGAAGAGTGCAGCAAAATTGAACTTGTTAGAGAGGTGATGCTTTAAATGGAATTGGAAATCATATAGAGAAAAGAGCAGAGTTGAAATGAGGAAAAAATAGAAGAGACTCCATACTCTAAGTCTGTGATCCCCACCAATAATCCTGATACTGAGAATATGCTCATCATCATCAAGAAATTCCAATCTTTCAGTACTTGTAGTGGCAGGAAGGCCAGACTTTACATCAATTTCTCTAAGACTTCCTATCTGAATGTTCCCCTGTGCGACGCACCTGCTGATGAAGGGCTTGTACTTCTGTGGTTGATCAAATCTCCTCACCAAAGACCAAACCTATTAATAACAAAGACATCATTCAGAAATGATTAGGCAACCCCACAATTGTAACTATCAATTTCCTGAAAAACTGGAACTCGAGATGATTCTTTAAGGATAATTGTTTCCTCGTCACCATTTATTCATTATTGTATTTGGCACAATAGTACTAGATGATTTGGTTTGTTCATCTACAGAACTGAGAATCTTAAAATTAGAAATTTTGAGTCTTCACTATCACTATTTTCAAAGAGTCTACAAAAGACTCTTTCAGAAAATAATAGCAAATCATAATTTTCCCTCACGGAAACCTCATAGAATTTGAAATGCATTCAAAAAAAACTAAAAGGAGGCAGAACAACTGTAATTGAGAACTTATTCCTACAATCTATGTGCTTCCCTCTAGTTGGTTTGCACCATAGGGGAAGGCAAAATATACTAGTACCTTGCTCGTCTAAATTCAAAAATTTCACACCCAACTTTACATGGTACAGTTGACACATCAGTTCAATGCACAATTATAATTTTCCAGATTCGATGGAAAGAAATTAATCCCCTATGTGTCTATATTTGATAAATTGTTTCTCTGTTTCTCGATTTTCTCTGCATGCAACCATAGAAGCCTCAGAAGGTCTAATCGCCAAATACACCTAATGAATATCAGTCAAGCGCAAGATCATCAAACGAAGAACAGGGGTTACCTTAGATCGAGATCAAAAACTCACTATAAAGAATAGGAAAAACATCAGCAATTAAAAATCACTAGTAAAAAGAAACTGCAGGAACAATTCACAGCAAGTTGCGACCACAATCACGCCATCAATCTATGAATTCAGAAAAATTCAATCCAGAGACAGACTCAAACATATCAAGGCATTAATCAAGATCGATAGAAACCACGAAAAAGAACGTCATCACAATATTACTATATACAGATGGAAAGGGAGAGAAAGATATATACGAGATGAACAGGAGCTTTGACGTGCTTAACGAGAGCAGAACTACACTGATGGTCAGCAGGATCATGTCTATGATGTCTCCTAATGTATTCACTCTCTACACTTCCAAATCCATTTCCAAGCGCAGTACCATTACTCCGAACATTCATTTTCGGTTTGCTTTCTCTTCAAGCCAAACGCCTCCTTGTGTTTCTTCTTACTCTGAAAACAGAAGCATCAGATGGAGAGAGAGAGAGAAAGAGAGAGAGAGAGAGAAAGAGTCCGGTTTCTCTCTCCAAAACTGTCGTCCGCCGAAATAGCAGCAGCGATCGCCGGCCTCCGTTGACTGGCGTTTTTCGAGAGAAGTGAGAGAGAGAGATTTTTGTGCAAGTCTATTTTGTTTGTTTTATTTTTTCAAGAGGAGAAGAGGAAGTGTACGCGACCCACCGCCATTGAAGAACTACCTCAAGCCTCTCTATTATCTAATCACCTGAAATAAAATAATAAAAAGAAAAAAGGAAAATTATTTCTATAGCCAAATTTTTATTAATTTATTTGAGAAAAGTGCCCCTTAGATTTCTATATAATTACGAAAGAGCCAAAAGAATTGTCGTCTTGTGGGAGAGTTGTTGTGTGACGGAAGTGCCCTTGAATATTTTTATAATAAAAGAAAGTAAAGGAGGGGAAAGTGGGGGATGAAGTGGTCCATTTATGTTGAACGATAAAGTCAGATTCATCTATGGTGGTTGGCTAGTTGTGATATTAATTGGCTTCACATTTGGGAGCTTCGAAAACATTTATAGAGTTTCTTGTTATTGGACAACTATCTTTTTCATTCCTTTTATCTCTAACCTAAAAAACACTATTTTTCGTTTTTTTTTTTTAAATTTTTTTATTTATTACTCTAACTTACATTCTTTCCAAATATGCTTTATTCCCAAAGCTAGAACAAAATATAAAAATAGCTTCCATTTTATCAAATATTTTTTATATATATATAGTATAATATATATAATAGTAATCGTATATGATCATATTGGTATTTTTAAAATTGTGAATTATAAAAAGCAAGAGGTCTCTAATTGAAGAATAAATAAATCGATTTTGTTATACGCAATATAATATTTATTTTCAAACAAACATGTCGAATATATATTTTTAAACATTTATACAATTCATTTAATAAATAATCTAAATCATTTAACAATTAATTTTATTTACTTTAATAGATTGTTGATTTAAAATTCATGTAGATGTTTATTTTTCGTTGATCAACACGTGTTAAAAACTAAAATTCGTGTTTGAAATTTTTGAAATGCAGCAAACACGAAGATAAATAGTAAAATGTTGATGGATGAAAATATATGTATGCTATTATTCATAAAATACTATTTGCATTTTTAAATATAATATTAATAACAATAAAATTACATATTTTCATTATTATCTATAACGCGCAGCCACATGATTAATTATATAAAAATCACAACTAATCCCAACCATCTTTGTACGACACTAGCTTATCTTACTTTAAATAGTATCAAGTATGTGACATTTATTGTCTTGGTGCCGTGAAATTAAATTATACACATAATATTTATTTTCATACCATTTTTGTAATTGTACTTTAATCTCAAAAAACTCATTTTGAGTATATAATATTTTATTTCAATACCTGATTTTTTGTAATTGTACTGTTACTCTCAAAAAAACTCATTTTGAGTTATATTATTATATAATATAATTTTTGTTTTTTTTTGGACTGCCATTTAGAATATCCCAGTTCAGTCAAAAAAAAAAAAGCCATTTAAAGATGTTTGTGCCTAAAGCCTCCCCTGAAAAAGTTCGTTGACCTAACTGAGCATGTTACTTAAGATTTTTTTTTTTGGACTGCCATTTAGAATATCCAGTTCAGTCAAAAAAAAAAAATGCCATTTAAAAATGTTTGTCTAGCTCTGAAAAATTCGTTGACCTAACTAGCATGTTACTTACATATTTGTCCGTTTGGCGGATTCTTCATTCATCTGCAACTGCAACCACTTCAATATTAACCATAAACAACATATGGCCTCTTAGCATTTGCTTTGAGAGTAAGATTTTCTGTTATAAATGGTTAAATTGATTTTCTTTTTATTCGTTGAAAAGCTCAATGGATCGAAATAACGCTGCAAACTATATAAAAAATTTAATTTAACCTTGACTTATCAAATTGATGAAAATTATTATTAATTTGAAAAATTGTTAAATTTAATTCCTATTTCAATCAGAGTGTAATGTATTTATAAAAAAATAATAGAAAGAAATATTGAAATTTAGATAAAATTGTCAAGAATGTAGATTTTTATCAATTTTATTTAATACTAAAAAAAAAAAGAGACCATAATACAATGTATTTATACATATATATGTCCAGTCATTAATAACAATATACATCAAGGCACGTAACACTACTAGACCAAACATATTCCAGTTCAGTGGTTATCTATCAACAAAGCTTATAAACAATCTTCTCGAATGTTCATTACTGGACGCACATTATTTTATAGCGTCGTTTTCACATGTCCCGCACGAACACGGTCCAATGTATCAAAGCGATTCAACCTTTTATTAACACTGCAGCAGATATTTCAGCCGGGGAGAAAAATGTATTTTTAAGCGACTTTTGTGTGTAAATTTAAAATTATAAATTCTAGAAACCTAAAGATCTTAAAGCAAAACTTTAAATTAACATTGGTAGATAGATTAATTGGTTAATTAATTGCGATTTGGAGAAAGCTTCTGCAATCTGTATGTATATAATGAGTTCAATTGGCTAGAAATAAGAAATAAATTAAATCTTCTTACTCCCACCAATTCCAAGATTCTAACACTTGTCGGCTTCTAATTGCGAAACTGAGTTATTGTCTTCTTACTCGCCGCCTCAGGACACTGTTAGAAGTATAAAAAAAAGAAAAGAAAACACGTTTTACAATCAAGTTTTTATCTCTTATCACATGTAGATTCTGGAATAATTTCTTACGGTGCCGCTATTTTAGGACGACACGTGCCCTACTCTCTCTCTGTCTCTATATATATATATCTATATACATATATAGGCATTGCGTTGAGAATTTTCTGGGCAACAACCTTAAAATGGAAAATACTTGTCTATCTTAAAAATGGTTCTCTCTCTGTCTGTACATAGATATGCACATTCCCACTCTATTTTTACTTCTTATATTGCCTCCTACAATGGTGGAGCTAGATTCTGTAATTCTGGGAAAGTATCCTTGAAGATTACGGTTCATGGTTAACCAGCAAGTCGATGATGGTGGCCATGAACCCATTCCTTTTAACCCAAATCTACACTTGATTAAAATTTACTAATTTACTTTAAGCTAATGAAGTATAAACTATTATGCATAACTAAAAAGAAAAATTATAATGGACATGATTGGAATCACACTAACATTTTTTTTTTTTGGTCTAAATGATGATTTGCAAGAATAAAATTACTCAGATATTTAGAGAAGACCAAACACTAGTGCTTGAAATTAAATTAATATAGACACGAGTCACCTGTACAGTATATTGACTATATTTAAATAACAGCAGTGGAGAATTATATATGCATTTTAATTATTATAACTGGGAAATCAAAATTAAAATAATGTAGTGAGAGATCTAAAGGGTGCTGTCTCTCTATTGGATGAAACCCAATTGCTTCCAGCAAATCAGCACATGAAAATTGTATTACTTCTTTTCAATTTGTACAAACACGTATGCAATATAGCAATAGTCCATGGTGATTAATTTTAATTTCTGTACTCTCAAAAGATTTTCAAAATCAAATTCCATTGTTGATCTTCATTATTAAATTACAAACATATAATTCAAGCACCCAACACTCACTGATGATTAATTAAAGTGAGGTTTGTTTATATTAATTTCATTTTATTATTTGTTAATCACAAACAAATCTTTAACGGATTGCGTATTGGTGTAAAGAAATGAAATGATTTTAGCATTAATAAAATCAGTTTCATGAACAAATGGTGACAAGCTCTTCAATCCATAAAGGTTGGTAAGATTGTTATGTTAGAAAGTGGCTTTGATGGGTTTATATGTGCTCCGATTCCTAAGTGCATGCGATGTATCAATGGTCGAGGATGCAAAATGAAACCTAAAATTTTATGAAGGGAAGCTTTCTTACAACATCTAAACATAATTAACTATGAACACAGCAGAAAGAAAATTAAAAGTTCATGTTTATTTTCAAAAATAAAAATCCTAGTAAAATTTTTATCAAAGTACTTGTATGGTTTTACAGATACGTACTGGTATTTTCTTTTCAATAAAAGGAAGTGCAAAGGTCGAATGCTTTCGTTGATTTTACCCTTTTTGAGGTTCTTGTATTGGCAAATAACAATAAGACAAAAGTATTTGGAATATTCTGGTAAAAGAATTCTAATTTTACTGTTTGCGTAAGAAGACAAAACTTAAAAATATATATATATTAAAAGGAATAAAACCTTTTACATATGCTTATAATTACTTTAGAAAAGTCCGTAAGATTTGAGAGACTGCAACTAGGTATGTGTTAAAATCCGTAGGATTCGGAAAGCCTGCAAGGGAAATTCAAAATAAATAAATAAATAAATGTGATTATTATAATTTATAGGCAGGAGAAAAATTATGTGATGGGACTTCTGAAAAAAACAAATGGATTCACTGAATTTTAACGATTGAGGTCAGAATGGAAGGCCTTTTACATTATCCTTACTTTCTCTTTTGTCTTTTCTTTTTTTTTTTTTTTCTCTTTGGATTTGTATTGATTTTTATTTTCTCTAATTTTTTTGGCTAAATTAAATTATATAAAATACTCTAAATATTTTGAGTAATAATAATCACACTTCAAAACGAGTTCAACTCCTTAAATACTCTAATTTTACTTCATAACAAACTTCATCTTCAGAGAGTTGAATATTGTTCATTGCTTATTAACCTTTTTCTTGTATGTTTAAATTTAGTTGATAAGGTGTTATTTTATTAGTCTTTTTCGATCTCTACCTAAAAGTGGAGAGTAGGATTGACACACCAATACATAATTGTGATAGAGAATGAGCATAACATTCCTCTTTTGCACCACTGTCGTTTTATTGCCATTTCCTAAAACGATTTCTTAAGTTGAAAGCCCAAAACAATGACAGCGAATAAACCACAGTGTGTTAAAATACAAAAGCAAGTGCAAGACTTTCGATTTCTTCTCTTTTTAAAAACAAAAGTTTTTCTTTCTGATCCCGCTTCCTTAGGCAGGCTTCAGTATGAATGACTAGCCGTTTCAGCCGATGATTATAGACTTTTCTGCTGAAACGACCCAGCTTTGAGCCTTTTTACTGTGGGTCATAAATGTAGTTGGACATTGACAAGAGAAACCATCAGCCCATGATGAAGGCCCATCGAGCCCAAGTCAAGAGGAAAGAAGTTTTTTTATTTTTAAAATTTCCAATAGAGATTCATTTACATTAATTGCTAATTTAGAAGAAGGAAGCATGATTTGCAGAACAACTAAAACTTACATACTCCCTCTCTCTTCCTTAAATATATATACGCAAAATCAAGAGTTGGTTTCAATCAGTTACACCCCAGATTTGAGCAAATGACCTACTTGAGCTAGAAGACTTCCTCCACCGAGCTAGACGTAACAAGAAAGCTAAAACCTCCGATGGATCATGGAGAGAAAATGAAGCTTTAGTATCCTTTGGACTCGAACTTACAATTATAGGGTACCCTTCTCCCCTTCTTTTTATTACCTGCAAAATATTCATTCATTCATTAATTAATTAATTATATATTTCCGTCCAGCCGAGCTAGGCGTAACAGAAACTAAAACCTTGTCCGATGGATCTGGAGAAAGAAAATGAAGCTTTAGTATCTTGTGACTCGAACTACAATTACTATGGGTACCCTTCTCCCCTTCTTTTTATTACTGCAAAATATCATTCATCATTAATTAATTAATTATATTATATAATATATATATATATATATATATATAAGTGAAAATTATCACAAACGTTATATATATATGAAAATTTAATCACACGTTTATATACCATAAAAGCATCTTCGTCAGTTCGATCATCTCCTATGTACACTGGAAGAACATCATTGGAGTTGCTTAGCCCTAGAGTGTCTAGGAAATATTCCACAGCATGGCCTTTGTCCCATTCTATTGAGGGTCGTATTTCCATAACCTTTACATGAATTTGCACAGCTGTTAGAAAATTCTATTTAAAATCTGAACTTTTTTTTTTTTTTTTGATTTTTTAAATTATAACATTTACAAGTTCATTTCTATCCTTGTTCCAAGATTAACCAAACAACTCCTAAAAAGGAGGAAGAAAAAAAATTAAAAGATTTAGCCCCATGCATGTACCTTTTTACCCCAAGTAAAGTGAAATTCCGGGTAATGTTCAAGCACAGATTTCACCTTCTCTTCTAAAATTCCACAATCCTGGATTTAAGATAAAACAATAAGTTGCACTTGTCAATAAAAATTCAAGCTTATTTGGGAAAAAAAAAATTTTTTTTGACATCTAAATAGATAAATTTAAAAAAAATTAAGGGTTGTTTAGATACTTTAGGTAAAATTAAATGGACACGTATGTACCTCTTCTCCAACTTGTCGGAAATGTACAGAGATGCAAAACTTATTGTCCTCGACACTGGCACCTTGTATTTTCATCACTTTCTCTTTCAACGTTGTCAATATCTGTTGCAAACACATATAACTACTTATTCTTATTACATGACAAGCTGCACTCATGCATGGATGCTAACGCAATTAAATAAAACTACGTACTTATATTTATATGACGGATTAATTATGTTCTGTGACCACGTAAAATGGAGCAAAGGGTTGACTTGGTCAAAGTCTATAGTTTAATTACCTTCTGAATTGCAGGTAAAAATTCCTTAGCAGGTTGAAAGAGGACCTCATTTCTCTACAAAAATTCAACAACCAATGGAATAATTAGTTAAAGTAAAATTCTAGTAAAATATATAATAATTAGTCAATTATATCTAGTAAAATATATAATAATTTCTACCTTTTTGTCGAGGGTTATTGTATTGTATTTGCCATCGCAAGACTTGATTACTGGTCTTGGTGGTGCCATAATGTCCATACCATGGCTGCCTGCGTAGTATACATTACTTAACTGTACAAATTCTTTTACCTGTAGGTGTCAATGAGAAAGATTCCTTACAAAGCTTCAAAAAGAAAGAAAGAAAATCAGTAAGGAACAAAAAATTAAGTTGATACTTACCTTGTCTCTGCTCCTACCACTAATTATTGCTGTTGGAAAATATTTGGCAACTTCTCGTACTGCTGCACGCATCTGCAATATAATTTTGTTAACTAGCTGTATCTACATAAACATTAAAGAGATATAATGTTTAATTACCTCATCAGACATGAATGCAAGATCAGGATTATCTACAATGGGCGAAAGAGTACCATCGTAATCTAAAAACACGACAATCTTCTTCCCTTTTGCTGCTTTCATCATCTGATCAAATGAATCCAATGCACAAGGGTGTTCCACCTGATTACAATAAATTAAATATCATCATTAGTTTTTTCTTTTAAGATAATTTTCCAATATACGAACATAGATATCCAATATACGAACATAGATATATAATATATATATATATATATATAATATAATTAAAGACTTACCAGGCCATGAGTTGTAATTTGGGTCTTTGGGTTGGCTTAAAACTCGATTGGCTTTATGTTGCAATTATGGGGAGAAAACCGGCTGCAATTATATATAAAACTTACCAGCCATGAGTTGTAATTTGGGTCTTTGGGTTGGCTTAAACTCGATGCTTTTGTTGCAATTATGGAGATAACCGGCTGCAATTTTTGTTTATTGGTAGATGATCTCTGAAATCCCATAGCTTGATTCAACTTCGCAATATTTCTCTTCCACATTGGTCTCAACTGAACTTTAAGTAATGATTTAATGGTACTGTAAAAGGTCACAAGTAAATCGCAATTACAGTGGGATAACTGTATACATATTCCAGGATCCAGATTAGATTGTTTCAGGTTAAGAGAGGTCGCTTTCAAACTGAGAATTCTTTTAATCCAACACAAGATAGCAAAACAAGAAGAGAACAAAAGCGAGAAAATAATTCAACGAACAAATCGGATTCAATGACTCAACAAATTGAAAGGTCGTTAACAGCCGATTCATCTGATACTGACGCGAGCTACCGTCCAAAGGTTTCAGACAACTTTAGACGTATAATACAATGCATGATCGTTCAGTTCCTTTTTTCTTTTTAAAAAGAAAAAGAAAGGCTGCATTAGGGTTTTAATTTGCAATTAATTACATAAGTCTAGTTTGTTTAATATGTGTAGTTTCGTGGCATTGTCTCCTGTCTAGGTTCTAAGACAAACTTGACACTTCCTAGGAATTAATTAGCATAATTCCTCAAGATTAACGCAGCTTAGGGTGTTTCCTTCCAGTAATATATGCAAGTCTTAATTAGCAAAAATTAAGCAGAAGAAAACATGAGGACAAGAGTGAACTTAACACATGCAATGTCTCCAGAGGACACGTGTAACCTTTGAAAGCCATAACTTATTTTTATTATAGAAAGGAAGAAAAAGAAAACGACCCACCCTAGACTTTTTGGAACCGAAAGTGTGTGAACAGAGAAAAAACAAAGCAATTACTAAGTTTATAATAATTTAATTAAACTCAGACATCAACTAGGAAAGACCAACATCACGTGTCAACAACTGAAATTGTTCATTATCAGGCTTTAGACATCTGGACATGGTTTCATATAAACAATAAACTATATATATATAGAGGACGACATGTCAAAGTCTTCTAGGAAACTACCATGAACTTCTTTTTAATTAAGTATTAATCAAACATTTGGTTAATTAGTTTAATATAAAATCATATATATTTATGTATTAATTAGGTGCGGTTAGTCCCTACATCAGTACAGCCAATGCATGTCTGCTATTCACGACAATTTTCATAGGCTAATGACTTCTTTTTTTTTTTTTTTAATTAGGGCAGTTGTTGTCTTTAATTTTCTTGGACCAATAATCTTCCATGTTTAAAAATCTCATACCATAAAACAATATCAATGAAAAAAATTTCTCTTGGTTCCACACAAACTTGTACATTGTGTTATGTATTTGTTTTTTTTCATTCAAATAGTTTAAATCACATTCTCGAAAATAAAAATAAAAGAAAGAAAGAAAGCTACAATCTAAGGCATGCACGTCTACTACCAGAACAGACATTAAATTTCTCAAACCTAAACTATTTTTATTTCAGGCTTATATATATTGCTATCATATATAAGATTTTCTCAATTTTCAAAAAAAAAAAAAAAAAGAATATAATTATAATCCAAAAAAGTAATACGAATAGTGTTTTTATCTTCATTAAAACACTAAAACAATAGTTTTCAGGTGTTAACAGATTACGTCTTTCTCGAAATACAGACTTTGAGTTTTGAAATCATAACTCACATCATAACATGCCTATAACCGTTTTTCATGTACTAGTCTGCTTTCTTGATGATGGTTGGTGGGGTCCGCACTTCCACCTTCCAAAACCACCGGATCCTTTACTTGGACTGGACCCACTAGTCGGTGGACCCTAAAATATTTACCCCACACGTAGCTTGTCATCAACTGACAGCCACACGTGTCATGTGCTCGGCAGGGTCAATTAAATGGGGTAGTTGACGGCCCCGGATCTGGAAAACTATGTAACTAGTACTATTTTTTAAAAATTTCTTTGTGGGTCCAATGGGCCTCTAGGCCCAGTCCAGTAATGGGACGCCATATGCGACGTGTACGATCTAGATACCATGCTTTTACATCATCTACCGACTTCTAAAAGGCCAAAATAAGAGAGAAAAGGACCTGTAAATAACTGAAAAAAGAAATCTTAAAACTAGTAAAAGTTTGATAATAGTAGCGCGTGAGCGACACATTTGAAAAGTTTAAGTGGAGGTGAAATTTACATTCATGTTAATCGCGTGATAATGTTAAAGTATGTCTGTGCAGGTGAAAAAACTAACTATCAACTGCTTTTTCGTTTTATTCGCAATGTTTCTCGCGGTATGGTAACTTTGTAAGAGCAATTTGCAAAATCCCGGTTTAAATAAATGGAAAATTTTAGCGGTAACAAATAACTTTTAGGATTAAACTAATGCAAGCAGAGTTTTTTTTTTTTTCTAAAAAAATATTGTTTAAAATTTATGATTTTTTTCCAGAAATCATTTTTAAAAATTATTTATCACTGGTTTGACAGCTATAAACCAGGCCGAGGTAAGTCAATGCTAAAAAGATTATTAACAATAAAAGAGTCCTCTTGTTTTATCAGTTGTCGCCGGCAAAAACTTTCCACCGGAGATTAAAGAAAGAGCGACATGCATGAAGTATAAAATCAGAGAAATGAATATATGAAACAACAGACATGAAAAGCAATAATAACAAAAAGAAGAAGAAGAAAGAAAGAAAGAAAGAAAGAAATGGAAGTAAACGCTTACCAAGTTTCTTGTGCGAGCCGAGAAGCTTCAAGAGGAGAAAATGAGAAAGAAAGAGTTGGAACCTGGAAGGATACAAAACGACAGAAGGAAGGGAGTTTAAGACAGAGAAAGAGAGAGAAGTAGTAATGAGGGGAGAAGAGAAGAGATGGTTTGATTATAAATAGGTGAAGGGAGGGGAAGATTTTATTAGGGATTTTGGAAGTATGCGAAGAGGGTAATTTCTTGGTTCCCCATTGCATCATAACTTCCAAACTTTTTATTACTTTTGCAAAATATTTTGTGGGATGTTGACATCTGCATTGACCAAAACGGGGTCTCTCTCTATAGTTCTACTCTCGCTTTTTCTTTATTCAAGTCACCCTCCTCCATGTTTTCAGTCAATTTTAGGGTCACATACCCTACTGCGTATATATTTTCTTATCATTTAGAACTGAATAATTGGTAATTTTTCAACCGTTTATTGATCAATTAGGAAGTGAATTTTAATGGTTCGATTTTATTTAATTTTGGAAAGAAATTTCTGAATATTCTACGAGACAAATGCCGAAATTATATATGGTAATTAATTAATAAAAAGTTGCTTGCTAACTAAGAAAAAGGAAAGGAAATCAAAAAAAGAAGATTAGATGTTGGGCAGCCCTTGTGTCCATGTGGTGAAGTCGTAGAACACCCCTATTAGAATAGGTCTCTGTTAGAGGGAGCACATATGTTCCCAGTGAACACTGCATGGAGACTCTATATGTATATCTCCAGTACTCTGCCACAAAGATTATATATTTATTTTTTAAAAAAAAAAAAAAATGAAAGGTTAAGAATTTCTCCTTATAATTCCATGAATTTGACCCATCAAAACACGAATTCCGCTTATTATAATAAGAAATTGCATGGAACTTTGTTGCCATTAATTTTTCCAATCTTAACAAATATTTATTGCTCTTAAGGTTCTTAGTCCTCTCTGTATTATTTCTTCGAAGGAGACACGAGGTAATTATATAGCATTAAACAATAATTAATTTAATTAATTAAAAATATTACTCCCTAGCTAATTAGATATCTAGGTCGGTCGGAGAAACCAATTACTGCATGTTGCTGGTGGTGGTTGTTGGGTATTACAGTATGGACTTTTGTGTATTTGTTTATTTTTGTTGTAGAGAAAATACATTTATGAGCATGTGATTTTATTCAGATTCCCTTCTTTTCTGGTTTTAATTATTCAGATTCGGATTCATTGCTGTGATGTGTTGGATAGTTTTGTAATTGAAATCATAAATTAATTTAACTATTTTGAAATTTGAATAAATAAATAAATTTAAATATTTCCATCAACAACACCCTTGACGTTTGTTGTAGTGCAGGGTGTCAAATTTCTATTATTTTCCTTTTCTTAATCAGAAAGTAAAATCTTAAATTTCTCTCTTATATTTTTTAAAGTTAAAATTAAATCCCCTTATGCAAGTTTGAAACAACGAGCTCATAGCTTGCTGAGGCCCAGCGGCTCCCAACAAGCGAGCCGGACAACGGAATTCCAAATTGGAACAAATGGTTTGAATTGGTGGAATTTAAACTATTAAACGTATATATTTCATAAATTTATCAGATTTCTTAGCTTGGTCCAAAAAAATTTCATCAGTCTTAATTTTATCGTTCTAGAAGAGAAAAAACAAATGTAGAATCTCTTAAATCACTCTTAATTCCATTAATTTAGGGGCCAAATTTTCTCAGTTCTACCATTTTTTTTATTAATAATATAATTTTTTTAACAATTAATTTTATTTCAAAAACATTTTCCAAATCTATGAATTATATTTTTCAACCAAATAATTAAATGTAAAAAATTCTTTTTATTTCACAATTTATAAATTATGCATTCCATAGAGTATACAAAACTCATATATTTCACACTCTCATCAATCAAATCGACGTCTAACAGTAATATTTACATCTTAAAAAAATAATAAGTAAAAAGAACTCTTTGGTTTTCCTGTTCTTTGTACAGGGCACAGGTGGTGCGACATCGCAGAGCGGCAAGTTCCTCTAATATTGCTTTCTGATCCTGATGATATATTGACTGCTTTCTGTTTCTGGGTGAAACTAGAACACCCCACAGGTTTAAGATAACAGAAAGGAGAAGTCAGCTGCAAATTAGAAATAAAGGCAAACTGAAAACCTTAATGCCATTCCCAACATTAATCAACAAAACAAGCTGTCATGCGTGGCAGCTGAAGAACAGTAGCCAGTTGCTCCCTGTAAGGTTTTTAACAGTAACATTTCACACAACGCTCTTATATCATCGCTAAATAGCCGGAAATGAAAGAAATTGTGACAACTCACAAGCATAAGCAATACAGTTAAATGGGCTGCTGCCAGCAAACTCGATCATGGTCAAGCATGAGTTCATTTATACCCATGATTTGACTGTTCTAAGATTATACAGCCAAAAAAGCAAAAAAAAAAGGAGACTTTGAAGCATTTGCAGATCCAGTATGGTGCAAAAAAGCATCTACAGTTTGGATCAGCTATACAAAGGAAAAGAAAAAAGAAAAACTTACCTATACCGGTGTATCTTCAGCGTTTCCACTAGCTAATTTCTCAGCCTTTTCATCATCATCTACAAACATTGGCTTTCTCAGCCACCTATATACCCAACCTTATTTGACATTCTTTGCTTATTCATCGATTTCTATTCTCTCACCTTCCTTTGCATTTGAGGCTTTCTCCACCATCTCATCAACCTTCGTTTCTGTAAAATTCACTGTTATCTCTTCCACAGTTTCCCTAGTAGTCTCTACTGTTTGTGCCTCTGTAATTACCTGAAGAAGTTCTAAAGGAGTGGCTGCCGGATCTAACTCCCGACAACCCTTGGGAGCATTATGAGCTTCTTCACCTGTAAGCAGATGATCAGGGACCTGATGAGAAAAGCGTAACATCGCCTCTTTTGGAATCCTCCTAATTTCATTGGGATCCATATGTCTATGAAAAACTGTCTTGAAACCAGCAACCTTAACAAGAGGAACCACTGACACACCTTGTTCTTCATTATAGTCATCAAGCACCTCCACCATCTCATATCGGTGGACTTCTTCATCTGGAGTATGCTCATCCCAATCCGGCGACCAGTTTTTATAAAGAGCCCAAACATCTCCGTTTCCAGGAAGAATCCGAATGGCTCCGCGAGTGCCTTTTGTCCATTTAACCTTGTGTGAGAAAGAATTTAATGTTCTGCTGATCTCATGTTTACCAGCTCTGAAATCCCCACAACTCTTAGGGAAGCCATAACCTACCCAGTCTACAGAGCTGAATTCACGGTTGGTTCTCGAGTTAAGCCAACTAATCTTCATCTTGAATGGCTTCAAGGAAATCACCTTGTGAATTCGAGCATAATAACGAGGCATCCCATCATCTTCATCATAGGCAGCCCAAACCTGGTCATCGCCAAAAGAACGTTCAGTTCGATCCAAATCAAAATTGTGAAAATCAGGATCTGGAACATTAATTGACATTGGTGCGGAGGTCTTTTTAGTGGAATCATCCGAAGATAAACTAGGGAAAGACTTCTTGCTTCGATTTCCATAAGTTGTAAAATTAGAGTTTTCGCGATTCTTAGGATTACTTGTATCGTTCCTTACCCGAGTTTTCTGTTTTTTACTCTCTTTTGGTTTCAATTCACTTGACCTCAATTCTTCGAGCTTTTTACAAATATCCAAACGCGCCTTCTGCATCAACATATTTCGGAGCTCAAGAAGTGACAACTCCCTCTTGCTGTTGAGCTTATTGCTAATACTAGAAGAGCCATAAACTCTTTGTGCTTCAAAATAGCCCCTTCTTTGTTCAGATGCACTTCCCAAGCCTGCTCTTCCATTACCCATGTCAGCTCCATAACTATTCATGTAATTTTCATCAGATCTTCTCCTTCTGAAGAGTTGATCAGCCCCCAGAGCAGAGTTACTAGTCCTCAATTCAGCAGCTGCCTTTGCATCATCATGCTCTCTCCTCCCTTGTTGATGAGAAGCAGAAGATGATGCAACCGAACCCCCAGAACCAGCCATTCTGGAAAAATGATTCCACTGGAGATCTGGGTTATTAGATGAATTTACTCCAAAGCCCTCAGCTCCTGAACTTTGAACAACTCCACAATTTCTTCCAATATTAAACAGGTTACTATTCGCAGCACGATGTCTTGAATTTTGATGCTTTTGGCGAGAAGAATAGTTGGATGGTTTTGTAACATTTGGAGGCGGAGCCTTCTCCACAGCAAAAAAGGCCTCGTTACAGTTTGGGCAAAGGAGAGTGTGATTAAGATAAATCCTCAGATACTCATACTGTGTCTTACATCTATTGCAGATAGTCCAAAAGGTTTCAGGTTTTGGATGGGAAGGAGATGGACCTGAGGTTGGCACTGCTCGAGTATTCTTGTTTTGAGTCCTTGCATCTGAATTTACAGTACTGTTACTACTATGAAAGCCATTAACAGTAGTTGGTGCTGATGGAACCTTATTCTGGGTTGAAACTCGCTGTTGAGTTCCTATCACATTCAACTTCTCATTGTATGCTAATCTCTTACCCTTATCAGATAATAAACTCCATGCCTCTGACACCAGCTTAAATGCGCCATCTGCACCCAAAGATTTGTTTTTATCAGGGTGAAGCATGAGGGCTAGCTTCCGATATTGTTTTTTGACTGTCTCATCATCAGCCCACGGATTTACACCAAGCACAGAATACCAATCAACTTCACCGGTAATTGTTTTTTTCTCTGCAGAGGCATACACATCAAACGTCACCAACAATTGAGATAAACCTTCAAGCTGAGGGAACAAGTTTTGGGCCTTCAAAGCAAATTTCTTTGCCCCAGCATAATCTCTTTCTGTAAACTTCCTCTCAGCAATTTCTTTGGCCCTGACTGCTTCATCTTTATTACACTCCATATTCCCTTGTGTCTGGAAATTGATCCTACCTCTCCTTTCTATATAATACCATCAAAATTTAAACTACGAAGAATATGATTCCACAGCCTGTGGTTCCTCCATACTTCAAGACGAAAATTGTAATTTCAATAGAAGACCTGTTCAAATAAAATGAAACAGTCGTAATGAAGAAAATTATTAAATAGGAATACCATTAAATGGATCATAATGTAATTGCAGCATGACCTTTATTTCATATCAGCATTATGTGGATCTCAAATTTATTTTCTTTCCAGAAAATGAAATTCCATAGGTTGAGTGATGCTTTATTTATATTACTCACTCGGAAATAGGAGCAAGTTAGTTTGATTATAGCAATAAAAGCCAATAATATACATCTGGAATGGGAAAAGTAGCAATAAAAGGGAAACATCCATTCTTTCATGTGCTATTATTTCCTATAAAAGTACAGGAACGCGAACTATATCAAAGAAAATAGTCTACAATTGCCTATTGTCGAAAGAAAACCATAAACCCTAATTACAAACTTGTGCATCCTCATGCCTAATAGTGAATATCAGTTTCAAGCCCAAAAAATTTAATATGCATAATATGGATATCCTATAAAGTTGACTAGCATTTCAATAATATACATATTAATGGATTATAATTCAATACCTTTAACAATATATGCCAAGTCAATAAAATCAAGTTAAGTCAAGATTGAAAGAAGATGATATAGGACAATAATGAACTTCAATTACAATTCACAAATTACCTAAAATGTTGGCTTCATGCATTGCACACTACTTACTGCTATCAGTTTCAAATGAGAGAGAGACATTTATTAAGATTTCATATTGAAATTCAGTATATTTGTGATCCCAGAATACTTTTAGTAGTAAAAAATTCCAATGAGAAGTGATAAAAAACTCTAGCAACTTAGAAAAGACAATCATCTTCACATTTACATTTATGTGATATCAAAAAATGGAGTATACATGTCATAGAGGTGTATATGTCATACAGAGATATCCAGTATGCTAATATCATTATTAAAAATGAGGATTTCACAATCAGAATCAACTACAAAGATTTGGATCTGGAATCTGCCCACTTCAATACCAATATGCATGTTTTTAAGTCTGTATCCTATAATAAAGAGCATAAAATTATGAATCTTTCTGCAAAAGGTATATCCATAACTGTCTATGCTGAACCAAATGCTTCAAGAGCCCTTGTTCACAGCTTATAATAATGGATTTTTGCTCAACAATACCTTTATTTCTCTATTAAAAGGGTGAAAATCTTCCCCTTAGCTATTAGCCAGGTTCACCTAATGCATTAGAAAAGTATCCAGTAATCACCTTGCAACTCATCCGGTCTATAGTTGTAGTTTCAAGCAAGCCTATTTAAAGTTTTTGTCATTTTCGCAACTTGTAGCTTTAGGCATCATGAAACCCTACCATGTACGTATCTTATGCCTGATGATGTCGGCAAAGGAGTAAATAGGGTTTCCCATACAACGTTAAGTAAATATAAACAAATAAAATTAGTTGTAAATTTCATCATGGCTTTAACGCTAATATTGACAAACCTATAAACAAATATTATTTGATAATCCCGAGGGACATCCCAAAAGTAAAAACTTGGGATCTCGACCAATAAGTCTCAGGCTCGAATCCCCTAGATGGGATGGTGGAGGTGTTGTGCTTACTTAAACTTAAGTGTTGAAGCAAAAAAGTCGTAGATTAAACTTGACTGAGAATAAGCGGCTTGCCTTTGACTGAGCGTTGTCAGTCCAAAGAGAGACATAAACTCTTAATCTTAATTCAAACGATTTTGATTCTCTAATTCAATGAATTTTTTTTCACTGAAATTGAAAAAAAGTTCAGAATGAGAGTTGGGCGATTTCGCCTGGAATGCGTCTTGAGCAATCGGAGAAGCACTTTGATAAACAGATTTAATCTTGACCGAGGCTTAACAGCGCCTCGCTAAACGAAAGCTAAAGAGATTAAATAGACTGGGGGGCTAGGTATATTATTCTACATTTTCCCAAAAGAACATTCATTAATTTCTTTCTTCCCCATCGACCACGATCTATGGGAAGGGAAGAACTACCCCCATCGTGTAGTTCTTTATTTATTCATCTTGTACCCAAAATGACGTTATATATGAAAGGAAACAAATGATAGGTTAACCTTTCAACTCATTTGTTTATTCATTCATACTTATTTGGGAAAAAGAAACAAAATAATTAGCTCATATCATCTAGATATAAAACAACCATTGGTAAAGATACCATTTTAAGGCAAAGCTAATTGCAGTTTCCCATTGAAATTCAAAAACACACTAGAAACAATATAATTATTATATGTTGCATGAATTTTCAGACAAGCTTACATACATCAGTTGACAAGCTAATCCATGGTGAAAATGCTTTTTGTATCAAATCTCACCAACAAGATAGATGTTTCAATGTGTATTAGTATGAAAAAACTGGAATATAGAAAAAAGATTTACAAATAAATCCAAAAGAAAAGGAAACAATGCTTTTCCTCATATTTTTACAAATAAATAAATAAATGAAATCATAGAAATTTTTTGCACACAAAATTCAGTGGTCTTACAAATAAACAGAGAAACAAGATTTTGCAAAAGATTTACACTTATAAAGTTTTCCTTCTTGTAACATAAAGCAATTTCATTGTCCTCAACTTTGCATGAAATGCAGCATGATCCTTATGAAGTTAAAAAATTTCTTTTTCTATCTTTTGCTCTTTTTCTGCAGATATAGACATCATCACTTAACAAAATTCGCCAAAATTTTCCGGATGCAACTTCTGCCACAAACACATTCACTTCCAGACTAATATACGTATATCATTTGATAAGTCAATCAATTATGTGCGACTTCTTTGCTTATCAAACTCCACAGATTAGAGGAATGACCTATGCGTGTTAAATATGAAAAACTGATTTAGTTAAAGACGTATATAGATCAATAAAGAGTAATAATTCTTTCCTCCTACTATACATTTCATTCACCCATTACAACTTTTTCCGCTTTTCCTTAAAAAAGAAAAAAATAATTCCTCATTTCTACCAGATATGAAATGAGCATGGTTTTATATCCTAGACTTTATTTTTCCTTCTTTCGTCCTCAAGATTGATATGATCCAATCAAGAAAAATTGAAGCCGTTTTTGGGATCAATCACACTGATTCAACTCGTTCGAACCTTCAATTCGACTCCCAGTACAAAGCTTTCAACTTTTTTTTTTTTAAACTCATCTCGGTACTTACGTAAGACAATCAAAATCTCAAATTTAGAAAGAAAACGAATTAGTAAACAATGCTCAATGATTCAAAAACATACAATAAAAAAAAAAAAAAAAAAAAAAAGTTTTTGGGATCAAATCACACGATTCAACTCGTTCGAACCTTCAATTCGACCCCCCAGTACAAAGCTTTCAACTTTTTTTTATTTTTAAACTCATCTCGGTTACTTACGTAAGACAATCAAAAATCTCAATTTAAGAAAGAAAACGAATTCGTAAACAATGCTCAATGATTCAAAAACATCATAAAAAAAAAAAAAAAAAAAAAAAAAAAAAAAAAAAAAAAGCTGAAATGAATACAAATCAAGAAACAATCTTTTCATGGATCTACAGTGAAGGAAGTTTGGAGGCAAACCAGCAACGGTCAATTTTCACCATTTGAATTATCTAATAGAGTTCAAACTGAAAACCCTAGATTCTACAATCTTCAAGCAAAACAGTGCCCAAATTAATGAAGACCAAAAAAAAGCCAAAGAAAAAAAAAAAAGAATGCTCTTTCCAGAGCAAAAATTGGGGGTGGACAAAGAAATACGAACAGTTACCTATTTAAAGAAAGTCTCTTCAGGTGAAGAAATTTGAAATCTGAAAGACCAGTATCAATCAGCATGCACAGTGACTCATTTTGTCAAAAACCCATGAGAACCTGAGAAGAATTCTCAAGGGTGCCCAAAACTTGAATAATAAAGGACTGAATAAAAATTGAGAAAAAGGCAAGTATGGGTTTGGTTCATATTTTACTTTTTTCATTAACCCAAATACAACCTTTTTTTTTTTTTTAATAAGACACTTAACTATGGTTCAACTTTTAACTCTTCAGTTGAGTTTGTTAACTTGGGTTAATTTGTAACTCTAGGGGTTGAGTTTATGTGCCCAATTTGCACAAAATTGTTTTTAACATAATTGAACATTTCTTGAAATGAATGACATTTTTTGTTGATAATTAGTTACTCGTTATTTAATCATGAATTTTCAATTTTCTTTTTTTTTTCCTTATTATTATTATTATTATTTTTTACAAATCTTTCTTTTTTTTTCCTTCATTATTAATTAATTATTATTATTATTATTATACAATAAAAATAGCCTAATTTACTTATTTAAATTTATTATTATTATTATTATTATTATTACAATAAAAATAGCCTAATATACTTTTAAATTAATATTGATTATTATCCATATTACTCCATTGAAATTAAATCTAATATGATAATTAGATTCACTTTCTTTTTTTAATTGTCTCAAATTATAGCCTCATTTCTCTTTTTAAAACAGTATAATCTTTATAATTTCTTATTTTACCTCTATTTAATATGCATATCTACTATTAATCAAATTTTAAAACAAATAAAGTAATTAATATTGTTTCCTATTACCAACTAATTCTACAAATTTAAAATATTGATCATATTGCAATGATATTAGGAAGGAAACTAAGTAAAAATTATGGTTAAATCATATTAATTATATTTTATTAATTAGTGGAAGGCCTATTGTTAGGGATGAGGGATTTTTTTTTTTTTTTACAATCATATGAGGGATTTTTTTTTTTTTTTAGTGCAACAATCATGGTAATCAAAATTATGGATTGACTAATATAAATTATAGCAATAATAATTTTATTTACACCTCCAATCTACCCAAAAAAAAAAAGGAATAATGGCTTGATTTATTTCCTTAATAGATTCAATGTAATGGTAATATATTTATTGAACTTGAGATAAAATAGGTAAGTAAAAAAATTATTTTTTTAAAAGGAAAATATGACTATAATTTGTAATATATGAAAAGGGAAACTAAGTCTATTTTTATATGATTTTACAAATAAATTCCATCAAGATAATAATAATAATAAAGATAAATAGGTTATAGATCAAAACCAAAAGAAACAAAAGTTCATGACAAATGATCGAAGTATGTCCTCCCATAAATAATACTTGCAAAATATTTTCAAAACCCTAGTTTACTTATATGTTTGCACAAATTAAATTATTGAAAGTTTTTGAAGTTGTTGTAATTATGCAAATCTTAGTGATCTTGTTGTATTAAACTTGACTAATTTATTCATCATTCTGTTAATCATGTGCTGGATATTAATTATAATCCATAAGTTTTGCATCGTGACCTTCCACCTAAGCAACTCCTTTTTTTATTTTATTATTATTATAATTATTTTTTAAGGGATTTTGATGAACTCTAAGATGCAGGATGCATTTGTTGTTTGGATGCATGTATTTTTTTAAAGAAGGAAAACAACTATATAAAATATTTAGGAAAAGGCAGAGAGGAGAAAAAATAAAGAAGAAAAAAATATTTCATTTATTTTTCACTCGGATCTATATATCTTCAATCTCTAAAGTTTGAAAATAAAATAAATGGAGGAATACGAGAATTTCATTCATTTTTATTACATGATTTAGATACCTCAAATTAATTAACAAATTTTAACTATTTTCTGAAATACCTAATTATTTAAGTGAGAACATAATAGCCAATTTTTCTTAATAATATTTTATTTCTTTTAAAAATTTGTCATTTCTAAAAAAAGAAAAATAAATTTATTTTATTTTGTTCGTTATATCCAAACATAAAGGTAGAAAATAACTATGAAAAATAACATATGAAACAAATGAAATTACAGGGCTGTTGTGAAGAGTTTATTTCTTACTAAGAGAGAACGATATCAAATATGTCTTCAAATTACATATATATTTTTTAGAAGGTCTTCAAATTACATATTGAAAGTGAAAATTATTGAAAATTTATCTTATCAATTGAATTTTATAAAATATGAAAAGAAATTATCTTATTAATTGAATTTTATAGAATATAATGGTAAATTGGAAATTATAGCAAGAAAAAAAAAAAAAAAAGCAAATTCTTATGCCTTATCAAATTGGAATTTTAATAAAAATAATGAACAAAGCAAATCAATATGTTTTTATTGCTTATTGACTTGTATTTTATCTTAGAATTATAATGGTTAAATTGGAAAATTATAGCAGGAAAAAAAAAAAAAAAAAGGACTTACAGACATATTGAGGAAAATTCGGTTGATTTTTGGGTCTCGCGGAAACAGAAAGTCGATCTATGGGGAAATTTAGGGATGTGTTCCATCTTAGGAACATAGTGACCGCACTGGGGAGACCATATAACGTTGCTCACAACACAACCAATATTCTTCATGCCAAGTTTCCGCAAAATAAAAGCTCATCTAATTTCACGTGATCCTCGGCCTTTACCGAACTCTGTATACCGCAATACTATAAAAGGATTTTATCCTTACTTTAAACTGCGAAAAAAAAAAAACAAAAAAGTAACTTTTTAGTTATTTTATTTTAAAAAGGTGTGTGTGTGCCGATTTAATATAGTCTGAAGCCCATAAACCGAGCCCAAAAGTCCACAATAAAATTAAAACGACACAACTAAATTTGCAGAGCTCCAACTTCTTCACTATCCAGCTTCGTAGATATTATAACCCTAGGAAATAGGAATGATTCAAATTTGTTCTGTTCGCGCTGTTTTAATCTCATTTATTGTTTTACGTTAGACTCGAAAAATTGCAGGGGACAATGATTCACACCGACTGTGATATGCTTTCGTCGGTGAAACTGTTTCATATTTTTGAACCAGAAGAATAGTGAGAGTAACCCCTGGTAAAGATTAATCAAAAATTATTGGAAAGAGAAGATAGTACTTAAATACTAAATTCAATCACAAAAAAGTTTTTACTTTAAAAAAAAAAAAAAAAAAGTAACTTTTTAGTTATTTTTAAAAGGTGGGTGCCGATCCATAGTCTGAAGCCCAATAACCGAGCCCAAAAGTCCACAATAAAATAACCGACACTAATTTGCAGAGCTCAACTTCTTCACTATCCAGCTTCGGTAGTATTTATAACCCTAGGAAATAGGAATGATTAATTTGTTCTGTTCGCGCTGTTTTAGTCTCATTTATTGTTTGGTTGACGAGAAAATGCAGGACAATGAACCGTCGAGACTGTGATATGCTTTCGTCGGTGAACTGTCATTTTTGAACCAGAGAAAGAGAGACCCCTGGTGAGATAATCAAAATTTTTGGAAAGCGAGATAGTACTTAATACTATCACAAAAGTTTATTTTTATTTTTTAAATTCAATTTATTTTCTGTAAGTTTTCTATCTTCTGAACAGAGAGTTTTAGGTGTTAAGCGTATGTAATAACAGTTAGTATTTACTTTTTTTTTTTTTTAATGAAAAAAATATTTTATTGTTTCTACCTTATCTAGTCTTGTTAGTCTACTAAATGGAAATTGAATATGACTATATTGAAAATTATATACTTAGTGAACTTAATTGCTTTATCTAGATTCCAATGGGAAACAGAAAGTTTCCACTCTGTTTAACATAGCATTTGGAGTCTGATTCTAATGTCTATTGTTTTTTTTTTAAACCACATTTCTGGTATGTACAAATTATATTACCGTTTATTTCTGATGCTTCATATGAAACTACTTCATGTATGCAGGCACTGTAGGGTTTCAACTCAAAATTATTTGATTTATTCTGGGTCCTGAAAAGTTGGCAGCATCAATAAAGATCCTATACCCAAGATTGCTTGCTGCACGCATTGAATTGAAATGAAGATGTTAGAGGTTTTTATTTCTTTGGCTTATTATTTCTTTATCTCTTTGTGAAACTCTCGGACAAATTAGCTCAAGTCTTATCACATCATATTGTTACCATGTATGGTAATCAGAAGCTTGTTTCGAGCAATTGTCACATCGGGAAAACCTGTTATTAAGAAATTTTTAAGGCTGGCAAAGAAGTTGTGTTTTTCATAATGCACACTGCACAAACATTGTGGACTTAAAAGTTATGTTGCAAAACTGTTAAATCTGGTGGAGTAATTTCCTAACTAGACCATTGAAAGATGCTAATTAAATTACAACTCCTCAAGATTGAAATGCTCCCTCTGTCATCACCTAGTTGTTCCTTTTTGGTTTCAAACTGACTCGAGACCTTTAAAGGATTCACAGGATTCTCTGGAAGTAAAATTTTCAAAACAAACATCACATGAGTCACCAAGCAACCAACAAAATAACTCACCTGAGGCGGTGAACTCTGATCCAGTGTCTGTTTCAAGCAACAACAGCAGAAAAGTTACACACCGAGATATTGAAATTGTAAGACATTTGATTCGATGTTAATCTACATTAGTATCATTGCGTTATTTTATCAGATGAAAATAAACTGAACCTTAATTCTACTTTTTCCTTTAAATGTTAAATGGTGTTTAGGTGCAGAATCTGATAGAAAGGTGTCTGCAACTGTATATGAATAGAAGCGAGGTGGTAAATACCCTCTTGCATCAAGCAAGAATTGAGCCTGGTTTTACAACCTTAGGTAAGTCAGTGAAACCTTTGTACAAGTTTGCTTTAGTTTTTCCATATGAATGGCATCATGCTGCTTAACATGACCTTTCATGTTTTACCAGTCACTTATAAGTTCTCGACAAATTCTCGATGGTCATATGGAAATTTTTATAACTTTCTGCTACTGCCTGCTAGCCATATCATGTTTATTGAGAGCTTCTGGATATACATGATTATTAAAATAAAATGTTGTTAATAAAGATTTTCTTTTTCCTTATTTTTTCCGATCCCCTTTTCAGTTTGGTCAAAATTATCTTTTTGTCTGGAAGAATTGTGTCAATAGGAGCCATAATTTCTGATCTACATTAAATTGCATTTATCGAAGAGCTTTAACAACCGACTTCTTCTTTGTTCTCCTCCTCCTCTCCTTAGTATGGCAGAAATTGGAAGAAGAAAACCCAGACTTTTTTAAGGCCTACTACATGAGGCTAGTGCTGAAGAAACAAATTATGGTGTTCAATCAATTACTTGAGTATCAGTACTATCAGATGAAGTCCCCTGCACATTCAAAAGTTCCATTAGAAAATGGGATTCATCACTTCCTGGGTAAGCTATTCCTTTAAGATTCTACTATCTTCAATAGCAATGAAGTTCGAAAAAAATAATAATAATAATAATAATACATGATTGTGTCTGATAAATTGGCATGCAATCAACTTACTGAGGTTGCTGCCCCCAAGTTCAATATTTGGTCATCTAGCAATTTTCTATAAGATTTCTACACATCAACAACAACAACAACTAAGCCTTAGTCCCAAACTAGTTGGGGTCGGCAAGAAGGCAAAGAGACAAATTCTGCATCACTTCTTTTTGTTTTCCCTCATAAGGTGGAGGTCAGTTTTTAATTTGTTGGCATTTTGTAACCAGTTGCGATTTAAGGTTTCCCATACCGGCTAGCTTGCATCTATTTGTCTTTTGTCCTTTTTTTGTGGGATTGGGAGGGAGCAGGATCTAGGTAAGGGAGTCTGAATGTTCTGTATTCTAAAACTTTTGAAAATGATATTACTTTTGATGCTTTTTGTTTCTGGTACTTATGGTGCTAATTTTAACTTCCAGAGTCCTGTTTGTTGATAAGGGCTGTTTTACCTTTTTCTGTAGTTCAGTCAACAATCTACCTATGGGATACACCACTGCTCAGCAGCCTCCAATCCCATCAACAGATCACCGCCAGATTGGCCCTATGGGAGTACCTGGCTCTCATGTGGTAAATGAAATGCCTGCATCAGGAGATTTCCATTCAGCGCAATTAAATTCTGGGAAAGAGTGAGTTCCTCATGTTAGTTTTTCTTCATTGAATTTAATGTATTTGGTTCAAATGTTCTAGTTTTTCATCTTTTAGGCTACATTTGGATTGAGCATTTTAAATCAATGGAATGATGTATATGATTTCTCTTGTTCGGTATTCAAACTAAATCCATGAAACTGAAATGTAAAAATTTGGAATAAAGAAGTGTATCCATTGACTAAAATGAGGGATTTAACAAAATCCCAATTCCTAATTTTTTTGGAGGAATATCCTACATGGGTTTTCAAGACCCTATGGGATGAGATATTTTAGTGGGTAGAGGGTTTTCTCAAATATTTTTATTAACCAATGAGGTTTTGTGACAAATCCATGGGTTCTACAAAATCCCTCACCCGAATTTCATTGTCCGAACATAAGCATATATCATATCCGAGAAATCAATTATGAAGTGAAATTTGACAATAAAGGGCATCTGCTTGACCTTTTTCTGTATGATGCTCATGGACACATGATATATTCCCTGTTATTTTTGGATCATAACGCCGCTTCTTACCAGCATTTCCATTAGCTTCTTTGTGATTTTCAATAAGTATTAACTCAACTCATTAAACATTCCTTTGCCTCAGTATTATTCAACTTATCAGATAATTTAGCAGGAATTAAGTGAAAATGCTTAGGTTTATGTTGCTGCAACCTTACTGCTTTGCTGTTTTTTGAAGGATGGTGATGAATGGCAGATCAGCTGACTTACTACCAGGTGTTCCTGGTGTCAAGTTGGAGATGGCTTTAAGTCCTACATCAGTTGCATCCGTTCCTTTCACCCCAACAGAAATATCAGATTTGAGCTTGGACACATCACTTGACTCGGCATATGCATCTCATATGACCAGTCAAGAGGGGTTGCTTCCTGGACCTGATTGTGGTACTGACAATTCTAAGGAATCTCTTCAACCATTTTGTCAGATTCCCTGGAATCTTAGCTTCTCAGATCTAGCTGCAGACTTGACAAATGTTGAAGGTGAGATGCAACTCATCAGTTGTGATTTCTAGAACTGCATGGTAAAAATATAAGCGTTGACATCAGTTATGCTAGAGCTGTATTACCTTGATTTATAACCTTGGAAACTATTTTATTTTATTTTATTTTTTTTGAGTTGTGCAAATTACACCTTTTACATATTCAACAGATCATGGACAGCTTGGAAATTATTCCGGTTCTGATATATTACTTGATTCGCCAGAGCAAAATGATATTGGTACATGTGATTTCTTTTCTTTTCTTTTTGTTTTGCCCTCAAATGAATTCCATTAGAACTTCGGTGTGCAGGTTTTGATAGAATGTCTTTCTTCTTTCAGTCGAGGATTTTTTTCTTGATAATGCTCCAGGCCCGGCCACTCAAACAGAAGAATAATCGGTGAGGTGAGGCCCTTGTAACTACAAGTCCCAGTACTGGACTCGGGTAAGCTTAGATCAAACAAGTCCCATGATCTGTATTTACAGATAGATAACCACGGTCCTTCAGCTGTACAGAAAACATATTGATGTAAATTTGAAACCTCAAAATTAGGCAGGCATATGATGCATGTTCTCTATTTTTCTTACATTTCTGTTTACCTGGAGAAAATTGCAGCTACTGTTTCCTTTTAAAAAAAAAAATTATTACCATGCTTTGACCATTTCTCTTGTTAATAATGTAGAATTAGCTTTCTTAGCGAGCCTATGACTTTGGGGAATAAAAAAAAATCATGTATTGCATTTTTTTTTTTTTAGGAGACACTTGGCAAGAATTACGTCAATCAATTAAATGGCAGCGTCGGGGACTTTGGCCACTAGGGCAAAGCTTCATTGGCTTATATATTATTAATATATCTAGGGCAAAATATGTTCGAATTTCTAAATTATATTTTAATTACCAATTTGTTTCCAATATCCCTATTGTTGATTTAGATTCATTATTTTTTATTTCCAAAAAAAAAAAAAAAAAAATTTTCAGAGCTACTGTTCCTTTTAAAAAAACAATTAATATACCATGCCTATTTTTTGCCTTTCTATCGGCTTCACATTATAATGTTTAGATATACTTATCTATAGCGGCCTATGAGCTGTTGGGGGTAATAAAAAAAATCATGTATTGCATTTATTTTTTTCTCTAGTGGAGCACCTTTTGCGAAGACACTTACCGTCTAATATCACCTCCAAAATGGTCAGTCTGAGGACTTGTTGGCCACTGAGGGCCTAAGCTACATTGGACTTATATATTATTAATAATATCTCAGGGAGCAAAAATATGTTCCAAAATTTCTAATTTATATTTGGGATTACCAATTTGTTTCGCAAGTGGATCCATCTTTTCGGTTGAGTTCCTTATTTTCATTATTTTTTTTTTATTTCCAAATCAATAAAAAAATAATAACCAACAAACAGTAATTGTTCTATTCAAATAATAGCTTATCTCAAACTATTGTTAAAGAATGTTTAAATAATGTCTCTTTTCTATATGAGTTTATTATTATATAGATTTTAATAAAACGTGAGGTGTTTGTAAGTTTCGTTTAATTTCTCACAGACCTATAATTTTCATGAAAAATGTAAGCGATAATTTTATACTCTTATATTTATTAGTTAAGACCATCGATTTTATAGTAATACAAACATTTATAATAACTTCTTAGCTAATCAATATTGAAACCATTTCAATAAAAAAAAAAAAAGCGAGAAAATTAGAAAACAGTTAAAAAAAAAAAAAAATGCACAACCTAACCTAAACGAATATATTAATGAGATTAAGAGGAACAGAAAAACCGCTCAAACCACGCCCATTGCCACGAATGTGCGCTAGGGCTCGTGTATCAATCCAGTATTTTTCTAATATATGGGGCTTGGGGCTCTTCTTGTCTCTAAAAAATATCACCATCACGAACCATGTTCTTTTAAAAGTATGGCGGAGACTTTAAACTGGATAAATCTCTGTGGTCTTTCGTAATCTGACAGGCCCCAAGTAGGTTCAGAATCAAAAGGAATTCTAGTTTTTGATAACGTAATCTGCGTCCATAAAAAGATAAATAATTACAAGTGAGTTATTGTAACAATACTTAATTCCTCCCTCTGCTTTTCAGGTGATTTGTGAAAAAAAAAAAAAAAAAAATCAGTATTGTCGATCAAAAAGCACTCAAATATTGGGTTTAAAGAAAAGTTAAAGATGTTATAATAATTTAATAAAAACGGAGGGTTGAAAGTGTTAATTAAGATATAATTTAGAAATTTAAGCGTAGTTTACTCTTATATTTATAGTTAGACCATCGATTTTATGTAATACAACATTAAATAAACTCTTAGCTAGTTATTTAACATTTCAATAAAAAAAAAAAAAAGCGAGAATTTAGAGTTGAAAAAAAAAAAAAAATGCACAAACCCTAACCTAAAGATATATTAAGAGATTAAGAGAAACAGAAAAAAACCCTTAACAAGGCCATTGACAGATGGGCTAGGCTGTGTATCATCAGTATTTGTCTATTATGGGCCTGGGGCTCTCTTGTGCTCTAAATATCACCATCACGTGTTCTTTTAAAATATGGGCCGAGACTTAGACTGGATAAATCTGGGCCGTAATCTTGCAGGCCCCCAATAGGTTCAGAAATCAAAAGAAATCTGTTTTGAACGTAATTGTCCATAAAAGAAAAATTACAGAGTATGAACATCTAATCCCTCTGCTTCAGGTATGACTGCTAAATCTTGGTGAAGATGCCTCCTTGTCACATTTGCATTAGACACTGCAGAGGCAAATGGATTAGGAGGCATTGTTAACTTGTTTCCTTCTCCTTTCAACATTTGAACTACAGCTTTCATTGAGAGACGATCCACAGGGTGCCATTGTACACACCAAAGTCCTACAATTATCAGTTTCTTTGCAATTTGTTCATCACTTTCTTCTTTAATCTGGATTCTTAGCTCTTCTCCTTGATCCAGACACTTGTATACCCACTCCGGGAAGTAGACATGGTTAGCATCTGCGAACTCTACGTTTTTCTTCCCTTTAACCATGTCTAGTAACACCATTCCAAAACTATAAACATCTGATTTGTATGACACATTTCCGAAGTTTCTAGAGAACACTTCAGGTGCAACGTAACCCATTGTGCCTCGAGCTGTAGACATCGAAATGGCGCTCTGATCTTTAGAGCATAACTTGGCAAGACCAAAATCAGAAATCTTTGGATTGAAATTGTCATCTAATAAGATATTGTGAGGCTTGATATCGAAATGGAGAATTCGCTGATCGCACCCTTGATGGAGATATTCGATTCCTTCAGCTATTCCAAGTGCAATATCTTGAAGCTTCTCCCAGCCAAGAAGATCCTTTCCATGATCGGAAAATATGAACTTCTGTAGTGATTCATTTGGTAGGTATTCATAAACTAAAGCTCTTCTAAATCCATCTGCACAATACCCAACAAAGCGAACCACATTGACATGGCGAATTCTTGCCATTGTCCCAACTTCATTAATGAACTCTTCCCCATTTCCTGTTGAATTGTTGAGGATTTTCACAGCCACAAAAATCTCATTAGAAAGCTTTCCTTTAAACACTGTTCCATATGCTCCTTGGCCTAGTTTGTCCTTAAATTGATTTGTAATCCTTTTTATATCAGAATAGGAATACCTAGTGGGTTTAAGAGTTTTATAATCCTCCAGAAACTTTTGAACCCTTCTTTGATTTTCTTTTTCTGCTTTATCCGATGTGTAAAGCCAGTAGAATACTAACCCCACTGATACAAGAAGAAAAACACCCAAAGCTATACCTGCAGCCATTAACTTCATACCGATATTTCTAGATGGCTTTGGCTTGTCAAAGCATTCAGTTTTAGGTTTAGAATTAGTATTCTGCTTCAATCTACAATACTTGCCTTGTGCTTCACAAGACCCACATGCTGGGTTTGACCAATTCAAACTAAGAACATTGTCTCTGCTAATGAAATCCATAGGAACTGAAGAAACATTATACATCTTTGTACAAGATGTAAGGGCAAGGCTTGCGACAGGATAATCAGTAGCAAAGGCATGGACATCATAACCAGGAACACTCAAACAAGGCATAGACAGGTATAAGTTTCTATCTATTGAAGAACAATTGAAGAATACGTAATCAGATCGGAAGCTTCCTTCGAATTTGAAAGGAGAATCAACCAAATTGAAGTTTAAGAGCTGTTTTGGAAGGCAATTATTAGGGTCTGATGTGTAAATAACCTGAGATACATAATCAATTTTGTCGATGTAGAGTTTGACTGAACTTGGCAGATCTATCAATGTATCTTCTGTTTCTGTGCAAGAAACATCGAACCCAGGAAGGCCACAATGGTCCGGTTGTCTGTTCTTGAGCCGGAAAGGAAATCGAATGGCTGGGCCATTTTTTCCACATCTTGATTCTTGGCATTCATTAATACTCTCTCCATAGCAGACAAGAATTAGCATCAAAAGGTAAAAGAACGAGAGATTCATTTCCAAAGAAATAAAATTTTCTTGGGTTGCAATTTTAAGGATTTGGTTTTGCTGAACTATTAATTCTTGCAGTTAGATTGGATTTCAAATGACAAGTTGGGTTGCTGTAGCTACCATTTCTGGCTTTATGCAAGAAGGCAGGTCAAAGTCAACTGTTTGTCTCCAGCTTCCAGGACTGTGTTAGCGCACCCCCTATCCACTGGAAACTCCATTTAAGGTCCCTGAAGTTTTCGACTTTTGTCTATTTAGCCTTTATTTTTCTATTGTTGCATGCAAACGATTTTCAATGTTAAATTTACAACTTATGTCTAATAATATTGAAGTTAAGAAATTTTATATACTTAAAATTCTCAAATGTTATCTATTAAAGAACATAAATTTTGCAACTTTCTTATCAAGTCGTCATTTCTCTCTACCTATATTGTCAAGCAAGTCCCTTAAAATTGAAGAAGTTTATAAACTTTTTTGAGAGGGAGGGGAGATTCGTGGGTTATGCAAATTTATGTACTTAATAGCACTCAATTTTTGTCATTAGGGCGCGTGAAAGGTTGACTTGGTTGGGTGATAGTATTAGAGAGTTTGGGCTGAAATTTTCAAATTTCTATAGTTTATCTTTGACCGAAAGTCGTAATTATTTTCCTAACAACGCGTATTAATTGTCGGTCTGATTATCTGGTTTAACCTTCAATCTTTCTCTTCTAATGGATAGTGCAAAGCTTCGTTTTGCTGGTCTTTTTGCTCTTGTCATTTACATCCAATTCGAACATTGCATTTCCCAGGTTAACCATATCTGTGCTCCTTCTTCTTGTGGTCATCTGCACAACATAAGCTTCCCTTTCCGATTAAAAGGCGACCCAGAAAACTGCGGTTATCGATCATATGAATTCTCTTGTGAGAACAACCTAACTTCTCTGTACTTGTATTCTGGAAAATACCTTGTACAAGCTATTAACTACAACAACGCCACTCTCAGAGTCGTCGATTTTACGGTTAAGTACGATAATTGCTCTTCTCTCCCTAGATATTCTTTGACTGGAGCCAACTTCAGCTTTTGGGATCCGTATGACTGGAGATGGAATTCGCTGAGGTGGGATCGGAATGGCAGAGAACCAAAGATTATTGTTTTCTTCAAGTGTTCAAAGCCGGTGAATTCTCCTCTTTATGTTGACACTGCTCCTTGCATTAATGGAAATTACTCTTATGTTATGGATAACTTTAGCAGCATAACGGATGTGGAAAACTCCTGCAGAGTAGACTTGATGGTTTTGTCGTTGTTGCCTCCAAGGGTTGGCGAAAACGTTTCATATACGGACATCTACAGTGATCTTGCATATGGGTTTGAACTTTCTTGGCACTTAGTTATCTGTGAAATGTGCAGAGGAAAAGAATATTGCTTTCTTGAAAATGGCCTGGCTAGGCCTACAGGCTGCTCAACAGGTACAAATAAAGTCCTTGTATTTTATTTCAGTTCATCCAGTTTCTTTGTATTGGAATTTCAATTAAGCTTTGGGTTTATTTGGTTACTAACCCTAATTTTTCCCCTTCCCAATGGATGCTGCATTATTTCAACCATAGGCTGACCAATGAATTTACCAGTACTAAACTGCAGGGTTTTTCTAAAAGAATGACTCTTCTTCATATTTTATTTTATATACTTTGGGGGCTGATACTATTCTTCGCAATGATTGCAGTCGCAAAGTATTTCAGGGACTTAACAGTCTGGATCATATGTGAGGATTTCTTCTATACTTTGTCATGTTTTTTTTCCTTAACAGTTCCCTTTTTAAAGATTAATTAGCCATAGCAAATAGCACCTACATGATAGTTTGATAATTAGACAGTTATCATTGTTTATAAAATTTGAAGTTAATGGTCATATAATTTGCATCAATGTGCATACACATGATGGCGAAACGTACAACCAACCTTATCATTAATATGCAAGAAGTCTTCACAAAGACAATAGAAGTCATATGTCTCCTTGCAAAAGCTCTGTCTAGAGGATTTTGGAATGGGGTAGTGAGCTTCATGATTCCTGCTTTTTAGCCATATTACTGACTGCTTTAATTTTCATTTTTTTTCCTTTTTTGGCAGCAAACGTGAACTTGATACTGGCGATCATTGGTAAGCAGTTAGTCCTTGGATTATGAATTCTGCAACATACTTCACTTGTTAAGTGCCAACTATATGACACTTTCTAAAATTTTCTCACATAGGAATCCTCATTCTAGCAAGATCTATTTCCTGCACCCCGTGTGTGATGGCATTCTTGATCTACACATGGTCAAGGAGGCATTCATCGATGTACAAAAATATTGAAGAATTCCTGCAAAATAAGAACAACCTTGGCCCAGTAAGGTACTCTTACTCAGATGTTAGGAAAATGACCAACGGTTTTAAGGATAAGTTGGGTCAAGGTGGCTATGGCTCTGTGTATAAAGGAAAGCTTCGCAGTGGCCGTTTTGCAGCAATAAAAATGCTAGGTAAGGCCAAAGGAAATGGCCAAGAATTTATCAATGAAGTTGCATCCATTGGTCAGGTTCACCATGTTAATGTAGTGCAGTTAATCGGTTTTTGTGCTGATGGATCAAAACGTGCTCTTGTTTATGATTACATGCCAAATGGGTCTCTTGATAAATACGTTCTGTCTCGAGAAGGGAATACTCATTTGAGTTGGAAACAAATGCATGAGATATCCCTCGGAGTGGCTCGTGGAATTGATTATCTACACCGCGGTTGTGAGATGCAAATTCTGCATTTCGACATTAAACCTCATAACATTCTTCTTGATGAGAATTTTGTTCCCAAGGTTTCTGATTTTGGACTTGCTAAACTTCATAAAACAAGTGACAGCACAGTGGCCCTGACTGCAGCAAGAGGAACAATAGGATATATAGCACCAGAATTGTTTTACAGAAACATAGGTGGCGTTACATACAAGGCTGATGTTTATAGTTTTGGAATGTTGTTAATGGAAATGGTTGGAAAGAAGAAGAATTTGAATGCAGTGGCAGAAAATTCCAGCCAAGCCTACTTCCCCAACTGGGTCTACAATGAAGTCATTGATGGAAATGTTGCAATTAGAAATGCTTCAGAGGAAGAAGAAAAAATAGCTAAGAAAATTATAATGGTAGGTTTATGGTGTATACAAATGAAGCCTAATGATCGTCCTTCAATGAATAAAGTTGTGGAGATGCTTGAAGGAGATTTGGAAAGTCTAGAGGTACCTCCCAAACCTACTCTATATACAGAAGAAACACCAGTGAAGACCAGAGAAGATTATACAGATGAGACATGGTCATCTTCTTGGACACCTGATTCTTCTGAATCAATCAGTTTACTTGTAAATTCAAATTTGATTATTTATCCTTGAAATTGTTTGCTCAAGAAGAGGGTTGTTTTGGATTAGGTTTAACGATCATGTTTCTGAAAGAACTTCCATGTAGTCTTCTTCCATATGCCAAAAAGTTTTAAAATTTTTTTTTCTTCCAATGGTTAGGTGTAATGAGTTTGTTTTTTTACACGTTAAAAATGCTTTCGAGATAAAAGTCTCCACATGACAACTTCCAATTAAACATTCACACGTATGTCGGTCAGCTTCTGCTCCTGTCACATAATCAAAACTCGTGATATTTTCAGTTCTTTATTACCATTAAATTAAATCAATAGAATTCTATTACACCTTACTAGTCACTGCAGGGATCCCACGTCAGCAAGAGACCAAAATATCGGAGATGGACACATGGTACGAGGTCCAAGTCGGACACGCGATCCCTTATGTTTTAACACGTGTATTCCTAATCTGTCAAAGTCAAAAATAAATGCTGTAATTTCCTTGTCAGACAGAAACGCTTTCAAAAGCCAAAAAGCATGGAAAGACTTTCGTAGCACGAGACGCCACGTAATAACTTCTAGACTTACACATCCGGGCCCACTGTCCCACCAAACCGAATCACGAACTGACAGATCCATCCTCCACGTTCTCCCAAAATTATCTCTGCCGTCCACGTCTCATTTGAAAAATCCTAGCTAGTGGAGAGTAGAGCCCCATGTGGCACTGACCAAATGGACCAAATTAATCTAACGGCAAATATTCAATGCCTTTTAATCATTTCTATTTATACTGACACCTATGCCTTTCGCTTTCTGCTTCTTCCTTTTGTTCTTTCTCAATTCATGCAAATGATCAAGAAGACTTCGAGATTTTTGTGATTTTCAAGTCTGTTTTGCTCTCTTCGGCTGTCCACGTCACATTCCGGTGACATGAATCAACAACTTACCATCATCAAGACTATCAATTCTCGCCGTAGAAGGTTGAGAATCCGGCGACTGAAATACACTTGTCGAACCAAGACGACGAATGTCACCATCCCTGGGGAAGAGAAGAAAGATTCTATCCACGGTGTTCAAGAAGCAAAAACAAGTGATTGTTCGGCTGAAATATCCTTATCATTAACGTCTCCTTCAGATAACACTTCCTCTAAAAAAGAAGTCTTTTCATCCGGTTTTGAAGAAGACAAATTAGAGAACAGCGACGATTTGCAGGTTACGCGCATATCATATGGATCAGCGTCGGTGATAGGGAGGAGGAGAGAGATGGAGGATGCAGTGAGAGTAGAATTAGGTTTTAAGAGTAAAGGAAGGGAAAAATACGACTTTTTTGGGGTTTACGACGGCCACGGTGGTGCACGGGTGGCGGAGGCATGCAGAGACAGATTTCACAGAGTGCTTGAGGAGGAGATAGTGGAAAGTAAGGAAGGGAGAGGAATAGAATGGGAGAAAGTAATGGAAGGGTGTTTTCAGAGGATGGATGAGGAAGTAGGGAACGATAAAATGGTGGGATCGACGGCGGTGGTGGCGGTGGTGGGCAAAGATGAGGTAGTGGTGGCAAATTGTGGGGATTCCAGGGCGGTTCTTTGCAGGGCTGGTGTTGCTGTACCATTATCCGTTGATCATAAGGTAATACTGTAAGAAAGGTCCATATAGATACTGTTGTACAGCTTATTACTTTTTCCTGATGAGATTGAAATATAAATTGTTTTGTGCAAAGCCTGACAGACCTGATGAATTGGAGAGAGTTGAAGCTGCTGGTGGAAGAATTATAAACTGGAACGGACCGCGTGTTCTTGGAGTTCTTGCCACTTCAAGATCTATAGGTATGCAACTAAAATTCTTTTCCCATATTCCTTTGCAATTTAATTGGTAACAAGCTATGCATAATCACTTGATTCATTAAATAGTCATCTCATAAAGCTATATGCATGCATAAATTGAAATCACAAAATAGATCTCCACTCAAATAAACTTAAACCTTATCAATAAAAAATTTAAACATGAGAAAAATACAAAAATAGTGAAGAATGGTTCAATAAAACAGTCATTAAGATAACTAATATTGAGTTTCTCGAGTTGATAAGATTAATTTTAAAATATCCTTATTTGTAATTTTTTCTTTTTTGTAATAAGTTTAACAACATCGTGAAAATGGTTCCCTTTCTTAAAAAGAAGTCATTTTTCACCATTTGACTTAATTTTAATGAAGAAAGAAAATATTTTTTATTGACTAAATTTTTTTAAGTGTTCTAAATATCAAATAAATAAATAAATGATCATGCTGTCACGAAATACATTCGGAAGTATAATAAGTTCTAACAGGTGAAATATCACTCAAAAAAAAAATCTAGAAAACGTTTTTCAGTATTATATTTTCCAGAAAGAGAGGCAGCCAAAAACACGTGGCACAACTCAGCCCATTGAACATGAAATAATCACTGTTTTACAACGGATTACAAATAAAGACTTTGGACTATCGTCTTTACTGGAAACTTATGAAACGAATAAATACAGTCGGTATAATATTATAATTAATTCTAAAAATGCAGGTGATCAGTATCTCAAGCCGTTTGTCATCTCCAAACCTGAAGTTACTGTGAAAGAGCGGACCGAAAACGATGAGTTCCTGATACTAGCCAGCGATGGTTTATGGGATGCTATTTCAAATGAAGTTGCATGCCAGATTGTGAGGAGATGTTTAAGTGGGCGAATGAGAAGAAAATCTCAAGAAATCTCCAGCAAAGGACGTGCAGCTGAGGCAGCAACATTGTTAGTTGAGCTAGCAATTGGTAGAGGAAGCAAAGATAACGTTAGTGTCATTGTGGTTGTCCTCAAGAAACAGTTTCTGAAAGAAATCAAGAAAGCAGATCGACTGTAATTCTCAGGTGCAGTATCAGAAATCTTCTTCACAAAATCTTGGTTACGGCCTTCAATAAATTATGTACATGTTCTTTTTCTTTGTTCTGTCGCTCTCTTACGAACTTAACTTCACAAAGAAGATCTCTTTTTTTTTTTTTTTCCTGTTCTCTACCTGGGAGACATTTCATCAATTGTTCATTTATTGATTTCTATGTTTATGGAGTAATATGCTTTGTTATTTTACTGCTCTTTCCAATTTTGTGACATTTTTTATTTTTCTGATGAGATGAGCAATTGGGATTTCTATGTTTATGTTCATATGGTCTAAGCAAGTAATTTTCCATTGACAGATGATTTCTGTGATTCGTAATTATGATAAGCATAGACCTTCTCAAAAAGGGATTAATTGATAGTACAAACTATCCTCCTTTAGTTCTTTTTCCCATTCTCTCTTTTTAGCAATAATATCCCCACCTCATACTATTACAGTATTACTACAGCATTACCATTCATCTTGATCAATCATATTTGACCATTAATTGGTTTGTTGAGATATCTTTTCATGCTCTCTTTTTTTTTTTCTTTTGAAGTAATCTTTTTATCCTTTTAAACAAAAATGATTGATCAATAATTGTTAAAAAATAATTGCCTAATATATTTTAGCCTGGATCAATTAAAATAAATCCCACATAATAAATCATTGGCAATATTACAAAAGATGGTGCTTTTTTTTAGATATAATTTGGTATTATAATTCTAAGTCTTTTTGCATAAATTGAGAAAAATAGTTAATATAATTTAAATAATTAATTTTACCTATTTACTCGTTAAAATTAGATGCGCTTTTAATAAATAAAATAATTATTGATAAGACAAGATACTAACGATACAGTAGAGAATTAAGAAATTAATTTACATTTGAAAAGGAAAATGACTCATAACTTGCCCTAATGATTCACACGTGACATTCATTTTTTCTTTTTTGTAATTAATTTTAGAAGTTTAATTTTTTCTTTCTAATAAATAATTTTGTTGGGCCAACAATCCATGGGATTGCAATAGGTACCACATGAAATCGTGACTTGTGTTATACGTGGGGCCCTTGCTAAAATTCAGATATTTTTGGAGGAAGGAATGAAAGGAAGTCGTTCAACTGTAATTTTAATATAATGTCACAAATCTTCAACTGCCGTTTCCAATTTGATTATTTATCCATCCATTTCCACACTTTTCTTGTTTTTTTCTTCCATGTAATGATAGGTTACAAGAATTTCATTCATTGGAAAGAGACCCCTTTTACTTTTTTTCTTTTCATAATTAATTCAGGCAAGTGAATATTTTTTCATCTAATTTTATTTACTTGTTATTTATTTTTCTGATATTTTAAAATATTCGTAAAGTTTTTAAATTTAATAAATTTTATAAATAATTATTTTTCATAATAATTTTTATAATTATTTATTGAATTAATGCTTTTTAGTATTTTAACGAGATACTAAGAGTAAAGAAAGGCAAAATAACTTTTATTAATTAAATATGTAATATATGTGCTTTGCCAAATCATATAAAATGAGACGTAAGAATCAATTTTAATAATTGAGAGAGCTTTCCATAGCTAAGATGAAAATTATTGTCATAATTGAACAACAAAACAATGTTGTGTGCCATTGTTCGTATGTTCTATTACATTTACGGTTTATTTTATCAATTAAGGTTCAATCTTATGTAGAAAAAAAGCTTTTTAAGAATAAATTAAATTATTTTCACATGTACATGGTCAATATTTGCCTACTTAAAATCATTTGAAAAAAAATAAAATTTAGTTTCGATTTGATTAGATCGAGAGAAATTAGTACCAAAATAAATTTTTTATGCACAAAACAAATTATTTTCATTTAAAAACAAAATCTGATTGATAAAACAAAATTCATTTATGTATTAAATGTTAATTGCCCAAAGCACTCATGCTACTATATATATATATATATATATATACATATCAAGGAGGAATAAATTCTGAACATAAAGCTGAAACTGCTGAAGAAACTGCAACTTCAGCGAAAGATAAAGATAAAAAGAAGAATAGGGTTTGCCTTGTACACGTGTAATATTAAATTAATATGTTTTACATTCCCACCCGTGATAAGAATAAATTCGATTTCCCCGTGCCAAACCAAAATGGTTACATATACCACCACGTGCTATACTGTGGTGACTTATTAGAATAGGTACATCAATTTTTTTTTACCGCGTTTTTTATTTTTATTTATTGAAAAGTCTAATAATAGTAAAGATAATTTTTACTGTGTTAAAAAAATTCAAATTTGAAAATTGAAATTTTTCGCTCGTCACATCTCATAAATGAAAAAACTAAACAGATTATAATGAATTGGATTTTGACCACGAATTTAGAGTTCAAAAGATTAAATAAATTAAATACAATATTTAAATAAATTAATTTAAAGCAGTGTGAAAGATATCGGATGACTTCAATCTAAGAGAATTAGAATAAGATGGGCTGTCCTGTTCTCAGCTCTCCAATCTCACTTCATTACAGAACGTGCGGTTTTAATTGTATTATTATATCGAATATAATAAGCTGATTACGTGATTCTAAAATATAATAATTGGATGATTCCATTTCACAATTTTGCGATGGCAAATCAAATTCCATATCCATGCTTTAGTTTATTTTATTGTCCATAGCTACTAAATGGGCCAGTCCAGTCCGATTCCCTTACCCATTTTGAATAACTACTTTTGTCCCTTAAATAATTATTACATGATGAACTTACCTTGAATTTTATAATGGGTATATTATTGTCTCTCTATATTATTAAAGGTAATTTTTAATGTAAAATATTAATTTAACGTATGATTTGTATTAAAATAATAATTTTAAAAATAAAATTATTTTGTATATTAAAATAATTAATAAGTATAAATTTATAAGTTAATAAATAGTTGTTCGGTGAAATAAGTGTAAAAAAGCAGAATAATGAATTTAATGATGATCCAAAACTTGAATGTGACGTAACTGTACCTAAATTATAACATAATAAATGGAACATGTGCGAATTATTATACGCCAAAAGGATGGCACACGTTTTTACTTTATATGAATCACGTGACTCATATGATGCCACGAGCTTTTTTTCTTTTTGGTTGATTTTTTTTTATTTTCTTATTTTTAAATAAAAGTTAATTATTTTGATAATTGCCAATTTATTTTTATTATCATTTTATTGAATGTCAAAAGGATTTATATCCTACTTTCTAAAATATTACTAATATAGACCAAATGCTAATGAATATTATAAAAAATAGAGACAATTCGCCATACTCAAACACTAATAGTTAAAAAACAAAATATTTCCTTAATGCCTAACTTTATTAGAAAAATAATTTTTGTAGTTAAATTTGTTAAATCCTAAAACTTAGAGGGAAGTTAGAATAATATATATTTCACATAACTTAGGGGATCTATTGATTGGAATATAAAAAACTTTTTTTTAGAAAAAAAAAGAACAAAACCTTAGATACATTAAAATTTCATAATTGTTAATTAAATAATTGAATTTGCCCGATAAAAAAAATATTGTAGAGAAAATTTGCTTTTTTTCTTTTGAGTACTAGAAATGAGAGATTCAAACGTAAATCTATTACCGGCCATATATATAATTACTATTAGATTACGTTTCGGTATGCAATTTCATATCTGTCATGATAACTACCAACAAAATTTCTATAATAAATAGCTCTTTTTGTTTAATTATATATTAAAAATATGTTTCATGTTGCCAATAAGATATTGTTTCTCTAAATTTGTAATTGGAGGGTTCACAACTATCAATATCTGTCGCTGGGTCTCTTCGCCGACAATCTAATTTCTGAAAAGTAGTTTTTACAGTTAGAAGAATTTCATCCTATACCTAGGAGCAAAAATAATTGGTTTACATGCATTTTCAAATAATGTCAGGTATTTGTCCACACTCAAATCAAAATCCTAAAACAAAATCCATATCCTGTTTCTAAAAATTTAATGAATAAAAATTCATATACTTGCAAAATAGATAGCTTTAAAGAGAAAAAAAAAAAAAATCCACACACACACACACACACATATATATATAATCTTTTGAATGTATTTATTTATTAATGACAAATAGGATTGTCCCGAACAAGGCTAAACTTAATCCATTGGATTAAACATGTGATATAAATTTTTATAAATAAATATTATTCTAGGTTTCAATTTCAAAATATATTTTTATTATAATGGCTTTGAACATCATAAATAAATAATATGATTAAATTTACTAAATTTTGAAATAACTCAAATTCGAGACATCACCAGAAATATCAATTAAACAATTTTATGGAAGTAAAGTAAAATAAAATAGATAATTATGTATTAATTTAGTTGATCTTTTCATTCATGTCGATAAGTCTTTTTTGACGGTTATTTTTAACAATTCAATAAGTTAACAGGAGTCTATCTTTGTCATGTTATCCACGGTATTATTTTACCAATTGAGCTTTCAATTAATTGAAAAGAAAGTAAAATAAAATAAAATAAAATATCTTTGAGACGATTAAAAAGTGAAAAAAAAAAAAAAAAAAAATTAATTGAAAAAGAAAGTAAAATAAAATAAAATAAAATATCTCTTTGAGACGATTAAAAAGTGAAAAAAAAAGAAAAAGAAAAAGTCCTGTTTACGTGTGCGGTTCTTTAGAATGCAATTGACTCTCCATTTCTCGTCTAGTACATAAGCAAGAGCTGTAGAAGGAGAGAACAGAGGGAAATTGCAGAAGTTACAGAGAGTTCTTGAGTTGTCTTCTTTCCCGCTCTCTCCTGTCCATATTATAGGCAGAAGCTGATATTGTTCTTTGCAATTCGTGAATTATCAAATGATGAATTTCCACTGACATGTAACACCAGGTAATCTCTCTTTCTGTCTACATCTGTCTATCTCATATGCCTCTCAATTATCTTATATATTCCCTCTTGATTTCTTTTCCTTTTCCAGTTTAATGTTGTCAGTTGAATTGGTTGCGTGAACTTGCTGACTGATAATGTAATTGATAGTCTTTTTAATTTCTTATTTTATTTTTGTGCTAATTTAAGGCGTTTTTGCTTTACGGTTTTTTTTTTTTTTCCTTTTGTGTAAAACCCTATTAAAAAGTAAAAAAAAAAAAAAAAAAAAGTCTGTTTACGTGTGCTTCTTTAAATGCACTTGACTCTCCATTCTCGTCTATACAAAGCAAAGGCCTGTAGAAGGAGAGACAGAGGAAATCAGAGGTACAGAGAGTTCTTGAGTTCTTCTTTCCCGCTCTCTCCTCCATATTATACAGAAGCTGATATTGTTCTTTGCAATTCTAATTATCAATATAATATTCCACTGACATTAACACCAGGTAATCTCTCTTTCTGTCTATCTGTCTATCTCATGCTCTCATTATCTTTATATATTCCCTCTTATCTCTTTTCTTTTCCAGTTTAATTTGTCATTATTGTTCTGAACTTCTGACTGATAATGTAATTTATCTTTTATTTCTATTTTATTTTTGTCTAATTTAAGGTTTTTGCAATTTACGTTTTTTTTTTTTTTTCCTTTTGGTAAAACCCTAATCTTTTTGTCTCTTTATCGCGATAAATTTTAGTTTTCTGTTACGCAGTGATCAATGCAAAATAGCATTCAAACATTTTATGGAAATGGAAAAACAAGAATTTTGTTTTCGAGTTACTTGTTCAAATTCGTATAGATGTCTTTTTAGTATTTTTAATTTTTTTACTGTGTTTTTTGGGAACCAATCGGGTGTCCATAAGTAATTTGGTTCCATACCTTCCTTTTCTTTTTCGTTTTTCTTTTCCAGTTCTTTATACAATCAAGTAAGGGCGTGCAGAGATTCTTTTTATTATATTATTTCATTCACTTTTGACTTTTGTTTCTTTTTCTTTTCGCATTATCATTTTGAAAGCCGTGATATTATTGAATATGGAAAGCTTTAATATAGTTTCATTATAAAAAATTTTCAATTTTGACGCTGAATTGATTTTATGTTTTGTTTTCAAGGCGGGAATCGCATTAGTTTTAATTAAGGAAGTTTGATATCTTTTAGTTGGAATTAAATCGAATACCAGCTTGAAAATTATTATTATGATTCGTTTCCTTTGTTAATGGTTCTATTTCCTGGTCTGAACCTCAATTTTATTTATTTCTTCCATCGTTTCCTAGATCATAAATCTATATATATTCCTGTCTTTCGGGTGAAGATTCGTTTCCTAACTTGTACTTTATGAAACTAGAATGGCTTTTCTTCTTTGTGACCAGCCTGTTCCTATAAATTGAAGGCTTTTGCATGTTATTACATACTTGTGTGAGGTTTCTGGTAATTTTCACTGGTATCCCCTCTCTCTTTCTATCTTCTTCTTTTGTGTGTATTTGTATTGTTTGGTCTTTTGTTAGTTTGTAATTTATCATGCTAATAATATCTCCTTTTCTTGATTATTACTCTAATTCTGGTGTTGCAGTTGAATTTGTGAATTGACTGCAAATTATTTGTTTGTGCTATTGATGGCTGGGATTTTGTTATCCTTGATTTCATATTGTCAACCCCTTTATGTATATGTAGAAATTCTTTTTGATTATATGCTAATATGTTTTCCAGAGGCTGGAGCCGGAGAAGAAAAGGATAATCTATGGCGGACGGCGCAGGAAACGGTTTGGAATGCCAGAAGATTATGGATGGGAAGGTGAATAATGGGAATGGCTCAGAGAAGGCTATTCCTTCGTGTTGCTTGAAGGCTAGGGCTTCCGCACCTGAGCATGATGCCAAATGCCATTCTACTGTTGTTTCTGGGTGGTTCTCAGAATCTCATTCATGTTCTGGTCATTATCTGTGAATTTCCATTTTCCCATCCTTTGTTTTGGCCTTTTAATGGTTTAAATTTGATATTTCTGACCCTCTTTCCACTGTTTATTGCAGGTAAAGCTACCAAAACGGTTTACTTCAACAACCCGATGTGGCCTGGTAGGCCTTATTTCATTTTTGTAAATTTTGTCAGACATCATTTTGCTTCTTTATGATGTGTTCTGATTGGTGAAAGAAAATCTTTTTCCCTTCATATTTGTATTTAGATTTCATAATCTTTAATCGCAAGTGGAGTGGTAATTTCATTATCATATTTAACAAGACTCCTGTTGTTCAAGTTGAGTAAAAAACCAACATTTCAGAGGAAAACCACTGGTAAATTTGTAACCTTTTCACCAAGTAGAACAAGGAACTTTGGAGGTCCGGTGTCCTGCCTACTTGTTAATAACCTTACCTTTCTAGTGTTCTCTCCTCCTTTCCTTCCATGACATAAGGATAAATGTTCATACAGTTTTGCCTATTTTGTTTGACAACTATGGCTGACGCTGTTTGAGTGGTCATTTGCAGGAGAGGCGCATTCTTTAGAAGTAAAAAACATTTTGTACCAGAGCAAGTCAGAGTACCAAGAAGTCTTGGTTTTTGAGGTTCAACACTCTTGACTCTGAGTATTTGCCTCTTCTTTTTGTGTTGGCTAATTTTCTGTTCGTTACCTTTCCTTCATATTTTCTCTCTCTACACCCACTAGATGATGCTTATATTAAATGACTTGGCTGGGGTTGAATTGTTTGTCTGCAGTCATCTGCATATGGCAAAGTGCTTGTTCTGGATGGCATTGTCCAGTTGACTGAGAAAGATGAGTGTGCATACCAGGAGATGATAGCTCATCTTCCGCTTTGTTCAATTCCATCACCCAAATCCGTATGCACCACTTTCATTTATTTCTAATTTTTTGTAAATTTTTCCATTTAAATTGCTCTATGTTCTGTTACTACTTGACTTGCCATTGAAGTATAATATACATATTTCACGATGGGACAACCTTCAGAAAAAAAAGGATTATACGTCTTGGTTAGGTAGTTCAGCTGGAGCCTGAACTCTGAAATTCATAAGCTGCGATAGAATATCACCTTGAATGTTTGGAACTATTTTAGAACGATTTGGCCTTGTGGCTGTTCTAGTGTTCTTTTATTCCAATTTTTTTTGTCACTTACTTGAAGTTCTGGTGATGGTTTAGGTCATCTTAGGTCATATCATATCCTCACAGCAGTAAGATTGTGACTCACATTTGTCATTTTAAAGCGTGGTATAGCTAAAAAAGACAATTTGAAAACAAATTATGAGGTATCCTTTTGTTGAATTATGGCATTAAACTAGTCATATTCACATTTAAATTTTAGCATCATTGCATCAAGCAAAAAGAAAAAAGATTGTCCCTTTGTCAATTGATTGTGTACTGGATAAAAATAATAAAGGGTGTCCTGTTGCAGAATATAAAAAAGGATAAAGAAAATGTGTTGTTATCGTTGCATAGTTCTGTGGCATTGACACCTTCCATGTTCACATGTGAATTTTATCATCAAGCATATGATGTTTCTTCTGTTTGGCCAAGCAGAACCTTAGTACATGAACTTTGTCATGCTTCATGTTAATAGTGGAATAAAATTTGCTATATTGTTGTGCTTCAAAGTTTCTGTCCAGTAGAAAAAAAATGTTCTCATCTCACCATGTTATTGATAGAAACCAGTTGTTACAACTGTAATTTTCCCTATTATTCAAGTTATATATTTTGTAGTCCTTTAATAGGATGAGGAAATAACATTTATAGCAAAGATACATCATTGATTATTGCATATCCCTTGTCCTGCCCCATGACCTGTATTGGAATAAAAGTTTAGTTCTCAAGGCCTTTGATGAGAAAAGGAAATTGAAGAAAATTGCATCGGGCCACAACATTATTCAAAGTTTGCCTTGTGTTATCATTGACTACAATTTGGATTCTACATTCATATCCTGTGTAACTCTCTTGTTTGCCACTTTACATTGGTTTTGTGTCTAAAAGTACAAAGATTTCCTTTTATTGGGAACCGCATTTAATTATTTCAGATGATTCTCTGTCTTAACTATGCATGATCATTACTATGCTTATTTCATTAAATACAATGTAGGTTCTGGTTGTTGGCGGAGGTGATGGTGGGGTTCTTAGGGAAATTTCTCGCCATAGTTCTGTGGAGCTCATTGATATTTGTGAGATAGATAAGATGGTTATAGATGTAAGTGATGATTTCAGTGACCTTCATGTCATCTCAAGTTCCTCTCTTCTCCCTCCTTCCTGGCTTCCCTATACACTCAAACTAGCTCTTTTGTGTTACCTTAGGTAAGTAAGGAGTTTTTCCCAGAATTAGCTGTTGGATTTGAGGATCCTCGCGTCCGGCTTCATGTAGGTGATGGTATGGTTCAAACAATTCACTTTTTATGTTTACTTTTATGTTTATATATACTAATATGTTACAAGGACTTGGGCCATTTTACACAATTTCCTTCAAATTAGCTCAAGCAAATGATCCCATTTTCTTAGCTGATATCAATTCTGTGATCTTAACAGCTGTAGAGTTTCTTCGGCTTGCACCTGAAGGGAAGTATGATGCAATTATTGTTGATTCATCAGACCCTGTTGGTATGTTTTGGAATTTAACTGTTGTAATCCCCTTATTTTTCTATGGTGTGCATGTGTGATTTGCTTATCTCATGATGAATCTGTATGTGGTGTTTGAAGTTGAGTAGTTAAAACCAAAAAAATTTGGGGAAAATGTGTCAAATAACTTATATTTCTAGTTATGGTAATTATTAAATGAATGATCTTTGTGCAAGTTATGATTTCATGTTTAAAGCCAACCAAACAGTGACATTCAACTTTGCTTTAAAACCTATAGGAAACTATACATGATCTTAGGCTTAAATATGGGCATGGTTCTCTCGAGTTTGTTGGGTGTCGGCTTTTCGTTGTTATGTGTGAATTATCTGAAACTCGTTTTCAAAGACCATCTATGAAACTTTCTTGTTTTGAAGGTTTTTCTATATGGAAATGTCACTCGTTGGATTTCTCCTTATTGTTTAGGTCCTGCTCAAGAGCTTGTAGAGAAGCCTTTCTTTCAGACGATAGCTAGAGCTTTAAGGCCTGGTGGTGTCCTTTGTAACATGGCAGAAAGTATGTGGCTCCATACACATCTTATTCAGGATATGATTGCTATCTGCCGAGAAACATTCAAGGGCTCTGTCCACTATGCCTGGGCAAGTGTTCCAACATATCCAAGGTAATTATGCAGCTTGTCTTCTTTTATTGTTTTTCTGGGCTTAACAATGACCTATCTCTGATGGTTCTGAGGGCCAAGGCATACATAAATCATGTTTGTCATGTTCTGTTTTTCTGGGCACTACATCATATTGAATTTATGCCATTGCCTACTGCTTTGCTGTGATATGAACTTCGCCTTTATGTAGTTGTTTTTTTTCCTTAAAAAAAGAGTCTTAATGATTGTGAATTTGTTTCTTGGTTCTTTATCAGCTGAAAGTTGTATAACTGGAATCTATTACATTCTGTGGCTGAGTAATCGTGTTCTGTTTCTTTGACAGTGGTGTGATTGGATTTCTGTTATGCTCAACAGAGGGACCACCTGTTGATTTCTTGAATCCTATCAATCCTATTGAGAAGTTAGAAGGAGCAACCAAGTATAAAAGAGAACTTAGGTTCTATAACTCAGAGGTACGAGCTCATCTTTCTACTTTTCATTTTTCTCTCTAGAAACCTTTAGCATATATTTGATGTGCATATTATGTTATGTAGGCATGAAACATCTTGCCTGCTGAAAGTAATCTCTTAAATGGACTGTTTTCACAGTATATATTATGTTTACATGTAAGGTTATAATGTGTTCCAATGGTAGATTTTTACTTGGCTGCATCAAATAGTGCAGTAATAATATTCAATTCAATTTTGAAGTTTGAAGTTTAGCACCCTCTGTCAGAACTTTGTTAATATATTATGCTTGAGACAGTTAATTAATAGGATTGCATGTGCTGAACATTTCTTTCGTCGTTCTATCGACAGATGCACTCAGCTGCTTTTGCATTGCCAACATTTTTGAAGGAGGAGGTCAGCGTGCTACAAAATTCTCCAAACCCTGCGAAAGGAATTCACATTTCCTAATCTAGTTTGGCTCTGCCTATTAGAAATTTAAGTGTGCAACTACTTGTTTATGGGACTGATTTTAGGCAGTTTTACACGTATAGATGTGCCCTGCCCTGCCTTGGACAGGATTTTATAATGTCATATATATTGTGGTGCGGCTTTACTAGCTGATGATTTCTTAGCGATTGTTTTAAGTTATGTCAATGTTGAATCTGAGGCCAACAGTAATAAATATCGGTTACATGTTCTTACTCTATTTACTGCCGTTTATCTGAAAATACTGCTTTCACCATTCTCTTTCTCTTCTGAAAACTGGTGAAACAGCTGCAGTATAGTCTGGATCTTTTTCTTTTTTTGGAACTTCTGGATTAGATTAATCTATTCATGATTAAAAACGCTGCTCCTTAAAAGCAGCGGGGTTGGTTGCTCTGAGTAGAAAAAATTAAAATTCTTTAAATAAGAGGTCGCGAGTTCGCACCGTGGAAATTTCGTTCTTTTCAGCACAGGCCGTTACTAACAACAAAATCCTTCTGCCATATGTTAAATATGTAAAATTCATTGATGTAAATAAATATTGAATGAACTAACTTCCTATTGGTTTGAATTGATGAAATATAAAATATATAAATTAAAATTCCATGACTTGTAGTATAATATTTCATTAAGTGGTGTAAAATTATTTTCAAAAAAAAAAAAAGTGGTGTGAAATTTTGTTATTTGTTCATAAAAAAAAAAAATAATAAAATGGAGAAAATTTTCTTTTTTAAAATGTCGAAGTCAAATTTACCATGGGATTTCTACAATTCGATTTACCTAAAGAACACTGGTTTAAAGAAGGCTGTTTTTTGGAAGTGCTCTCCGCGGTCAAATCACTTCTCAACCATGAAATTGTCTTTCTAAAAAATAAAATAAAATCCATCAAACGACTTCGTATATTCTGCCATTATTGAATCTTAACTGAATCATCGAATCTGGCACGCGCCTTCCACACCCTCATTCTGTTTTGTCATTCAGACTTTCGCTTCCGCTTGTACAGAAAATTCGAAGTTCTTGAAATAAGAAAAGAAAACACATTTTTGTCTTTCTTTCTTTTATCCTCTCCTCTCCTCAGAACGAAAAAAGGTACGCTCTATCTCCTCAAAACTCTTCATCTATTTTTCTCGTGCAATCATTCAGATCCAATTTTTCTCTAATTTTTCCGAATTATTTGGATTCAGTTTTTGTTTTACTGTGTTTTGTTCTGTAATTGAGTATTTTGACGAGAATTGTTTATTGGTGTTCAACTGTTTTGCAGGTCTTATATATGTCCGCTTCACAGTTAGGGGCTTAGATGACGCTTAATGCACTTTCAGCTCCTGCAGTCACAAACCACTGCTCAAAACTTTCTTGCCATGTAATTACTTCTTTTAGGATATGCTTTGTGTTTTGGTATTTGTTTGTTTATGGAATTCCTGCACGTGAAAGGCGTAATCTTTTGGATTATTCTCTCTGGTTAATGCGTCTGTTTGGATAATACGAAGTCCTGTTTCCAAGATGTCTCTGACTCCGTATTTTTTGGGAACTATTTTACGAACTGTTTGTTAAACGGTGAATAAACTTATTCTCTATTTTTCACACGCTTAATGAATCTTGTTTTGTATACTGAGGAAAATACGTAGCACTGTGTTGTCACCACTAATAATATGTAGCCTGATTTCAAGGTTATGTGTAGTGGATATCTATTGGTTTAATATAATTGTGTTTGATTCTTCAGTTATTATGCTTAAAATTGACTGTTCCCCCTTATGGAATTTATTGTCCATTGAAGTTCATATTTTTAGTGTCTTAAGTGTCTGTTTATTGAAAAATATCTGTAGTTCATATATTTGAACTTCTCATAATTTAAATTCAAGTTTGCTGATTCACTAAAGCAATAAGTTGAATTCTTCTGCTCTTCAGGCCATTCAATCAGTTGATTTCTTAGGATTCGTGTTTTCCAATCCGAAGTTAAAGCCTAGAAATGTGCCATGTAGACTTGATGGAAGGTGTCCAAGTCCCATCCTTCAATTATTAGCTGTTCAAAGGTGGATCTCAAAGCCAAGAATCGTAGCCTTTTCCATTTCTAATGAGAATGATCAAGTGGACACAGGCAATTTCTATAGTGATGCTGATCAAATGCATTTTACTTTGGAAGACAATGAGAGTTCCAGCTGTTCAGATGCAGAAGTTGTTTCTTCTGTTTTATTTTCAGAGGCGGACCTTGTTCAGACAGTTGAGATTTTGGGAAAACAAGCAAGCCTTCTTGAAAAAATGAAAGCTATTCAATTGCATGTCTTAGCATCAGAACAATGGAATGCTTCTCAACTCCAATTGTGTCACAGGTATATTTTATTGCTTTTGGATACAGTTTTTCCTTCATGCCGTTGTCTTATGCGTATTGTTAAGAACATGCCAACTAGGGGCGATTGAGTAATTTAGGCTGCAATATCCCACTCTACACAATGAAAATGGCAGTCAAATAATAAAAAATTACTTGTAAATAGTACTGCTACCCTGAAACCATGCCTTTTCTGCTTTCTAGAGGTATATCTTTGCTAGTTATGTATGCAAGTTTTATTTCATTATTGGTTGTTTTCTTAATCTTACGACCTATGAACACCATTTGATCTTTGGGTTTCTATGTTGGCAGAAAGTACTTGATTAGTGCAACCAACTTGATACATTATCTGGCGCTGAGATGCCTTGATGTTGAGCAGCTGAAAGATGATCTCTCTTTGATTGGTCTTATGAATTTGGTGACTATCAAGTCACATGTCTTTGCAAGTCTTACTGCAAGTATTCAAGTATTGGAGAACTTGAAACCTAACTCTCTAAATCCTGAAGAAAACATTAGTAGAGTAATTCTCTCTCATAAAAAATTAGACCAACAAAATTATGTGCCATTATGCATAGAAGAAATGATGAAGACAGCATCCTCAAATAGAGAGTTATTGTTGGGCCCACCACAATTTGGTAGAACTATCCATATCATGGTAACAGTTGGGGAGGAAGCTATTGAGAGTGAAACACTCATTTCTGATTTAATCAAGGCAGGAGCCTCCATAATTCGAATCAATTGTGCACATGGAAGTCCTAGTATTTGGAGTGAGATAATCAGGAGAATAAAGGAAAGCTCTCAAAGGCTAGAAAAACCTTGTCGAATTCTCATGGATTTAGCTGGACCAAAGCTCCGAACAGGAAAGTTGAAACCTGGTCCAGCTGTATTGAAAATCTCTCCCAAAAGAACAGCTGCAGGAAATGTAATCTTTCCTGCTCAAGTTTGGCTGTCTCACAAAGAAGCAGGTCCTCCTCCTCATTTGTCTCCTGATGCAGTTTTGTTCATAGATGCCCAAGACTTCCTTACTAAGCTTGAAGTAGGTGACACTTTAAAATTCCATGATGCTAGAGGGAAAAAAAGGACTCTTAAGATTTCTAGAAAATTTCATGTTTTTTCTGGGACTGGATATGTGGCCGAGTGTAGTAGGACTGCTTATGTTGAGTCAGGAACACAATTGTATAAGAAGGAAAAGAAAAGCAGGTCCGCAGTTGGACATGTGGTTGATATCCCAGCTACTGAACCATTTGTCAGACTGAGAGTTGGAGACTTGCTAACCATATCAAGAGGTAGTTCTTGTGAACAAGATGAAATGTCTGTACCTATGAGCGGTGCTCATAGGATTACTTGTTCCTCTGGTTACCTGTTTGATTCAGTGAAACTGGGTGACCCGATTGCTTTTGATGATGGGAAGATTTGGGGAGTTATCCGAGGAACAGGTATATCAGAGATTGTTGTCTCAATCACTCATGCCGGTCCCAAAGGCACAAAACTTGGGTCTGAGAAATCCATTAATATTCCTGATAGCAATGTTCGGTTTGAAGGACTTACTTCAAAGGATCTTGTGGACCTCGAGTTTGTTGCTACTCATTCTGACATGGTAGGCATTTCTTTTGTCCGAGACACCCATGATATTGTTGTGCTGCGCAAAGAATTGGAAAATCGGAAACTTCAAAACCTTGGTGTTATTTTAAAGATTGAGACAAAGAGTGGGTTTGAGAAATTGCCTTTGGTGTTATTGGAGGCAATGAAGTCCTCAAATCCCTTTGGAGTGATGATTGCTAGAGGAGATCTTGCAGTGGAATGTGGCTGGGAAAGGTTGGCTGATATGCAAGAAGAAATTCTCTCTCTTTGTGATGCTGCTCAAGTACCTGTCATTTTGGCAACTCAGGTCTTAGAGTCCCTTGTGAAGTCTGGTGTGCCCACCCGAGCAGAGATCATTGATGCAGCCAGTGGAAGGAGGTAAAATATTCCGCATGCCCTGATCATGCCATTAATATAAATTCAAATTTCATGCTTTTTCTTTCTTTATTTCCAAAAGTACGAATTGAGGATTCCTTTTCGTCTTAACAGAGCAAGTTGTGTCATGCTGAACAAAGGGAAACACATCACCAAAGCTGTTTCAACTTTGGATAAGATCCTCCATTCAAACTCTGCAGGGGTGAGAACAGACTTGAAGCCCAATTTACTCTGTAGCCACTTCTTGTGAAGTTCCTTTTCTCCGTTTTAGTTGATGAATGTCTCCATTCAACTTGCAGAAAAGATCTTGAATTTGGGAGATCAAAACTGTATCCGCATATCTAGTTCTGTAAATATCTCCGTATCTCTAGTTCTGTATATAGTCAAATGTGATTGATATCTGAGTCATCAGACAAGCTTTTAATAGTATCCTTTTCTTCAAGCCAAACCTTCTATGAAGAGTCCAATTGATACTTCTTGTCTCCACTGGACCAGCCTCTTTGAAATTGCACGGGTAAACTATTTTGTTCTGATGCCTATTGAAATGCTTACCGACAATTGCAAGCTTGCTTTTCTATTTTCAGAAATTGATAGTGTCGCCAGATGATTCCTGATGTTGCTCGCCAATAAATGATGAATTTGAACCAACTCAATATAAAAGCTGAGAAAAATACAGTTGCAGATTAACATGTACATGATAAACGTAACACAACCTTTTGTTAAGATCAACCTAACTATTGATTGGCAAGAGAAAATAGAAGAGACAGAAGGGAAGGAGCAAATTAAAGAAACGGAAACTGAATTGCATTTCTGTAATTGAATTTGCATTACAATTCACAACAACACTCAAAACAACAACCAATAAGGTCAACAAAATGCGACTATGAACAAAGCAACTCTAACTCCCCCCTATTTTCATTTCTTCATTGGCCACAGTAGTTCTAATTTCATTTTTGTACATTTACAATAAAACATAAAAAATATCATAGCAAATAGTCTTCTACATCTATCTTTCTCCAGTTGTAAAATCAGGTTCTGCAGGCTTCTGAAGCAAAATGGGCGGAACCCTCTCCAACAACCTTGTCTTGCGAGTACCAGTACGCCGTAGAGCACGAAGTGCATTAGCAGCAAATCGTGAGGCATATATGGTGGCACCTAAACTCGGTGAGTTCCCAGTTGTCTTGGCCAATGCATCTTGCAACCTATCCTCCTCTTGTTGCAGAGATTCTTCCAGCTTCTTTTTATTATATCGACGCCATGCAGCTTGTATAAAGCAGGCTGCCCATGTCCTCCATTGTTGCGAGTAAAACCTGAAAGTGTGGCGGAGTTGCTTACTGTGAAGCCGCCGGAATTGAGAAGCAACAAATTTCAAGTCATCAGCCATTAGAGCAAATGCTTCAACTTCAGTAATGGTTCGAACGGTTCTGGTTGAGATAGGAAGGTTGGATGAGGAATGGGGATCTAGGGCCCATGTAAGCAATTCCTCTCCACAAAAGTCACCAGCCTTCAGGTATTCAGAGTTGAAGAAGCCAGTTCTTCCGCCATTGGTGGTCATGGTTAAAAGCTTGCCTCGCATAATGAAGAGCATCTCGTCAACTGGATCGCCTTCCCGAACAATGTAACTTTCTTTGGTATAGAGTGTTGGCTTGAGCCGGTCACACATAGCATCTAATAGTTGTTCATCCATCTTTTCAAACATTGGTACCTTCAAAAAATACATCCAGGAAGTGAAGATAAATTAAAAATCTAGAGAGAGGAATTGAAATTCAATTCAGACAGTAATTCGTTATCTTAATTCCTTCTTCCATGAAATGTATTTGGCCAATAAAATGGTTGGTTTAGGGTAATAGGAAAAGAACCTGAAATATTAGAGTGATCTTCAATAACAACATACTACAAAATTCTCACAAATCCCAATTATATTCACAACAATCAGTTCATCAAGTTCACTACCCCAGGTCACCATTAATTCCTAAAATATGGAGCTCAGCCATTAATGATCCATTAGCAAGGATAGCATTTCTTTTCCTTTAAAAAAAAAAAAAAAAAAAAAAAAAAAATGATCCATTAGCAGGATAGCATTTCTTTTCCTTTAAAAAAAAAAAAAAAAAAAAAAAAAAAGGAAAAGAAAGAAGAAAGAAAGAGGAGGAAGAAAGATGGCCAGCAAATAAAAGGGATATTAAATGGATATATATAATCCATAAAAGATAGCTAGAAAAAAAAAAAAAAAAAAAAAAAAAAGGAAGAAGAAGAAGAAAGAAGAGGAGGAAGAAGATGCCAGCAAATAAAGGGGATATAATGGATATATATAATCCATAAAAGATAGCAGATAACACTTGGAAGGAAAAAACTAACTTAACCACACATGCTACATTCCTTGGAAATACAAGGAGAAAACTCACCCTCATAAGCAAGGCCAGGCAGAGATGACGCTTTATGTCCCTTCTAAGGTCCTTGGGAAGATTATGGACCAGGTTCTCTTCATCAACACCTCTGGTTTCTTGCCATTTGTATTGTTCATGTCGCCTGATCCGCTCCCTTAGATTCTCTGGAAGCAAGCGGTGAGACATCCACTGCTCTGCATCTCGCCTCTTAACTCTCATTTCCTCCAATCTCGTGGTTGTGGATTGCAGATATGTCTGTTTCAAAACAACTTTAGTTCATTACCAACTGTGAGTAATCCATGGACAGCCACCCATGGATTTTCGATCCTATTAGTATCACTTGTAAGATGAATAATCCTGACAAAAAGGGTCATTAAATATGCCCTGAGACACCAGTTCTATTCCATTTCTTTAAACATGATTAAATAAACAAGCCACAAAATAAAAATAGTACCAACCTGCATGTTTCCAATAAGAAATGAAAACAATACCAAGCCCGCGATAGAAATGAAAACTGCAAAGAGGATTTCCCATACAAAAGTGCTTGTTGCGAGGTTTTGGCCTAGAGAACTGTAAAAATAAGTGGAGTACAAAAGAAAATAGTCACTAGAGGGGATGGAAAACTCAAAATATAAACGGATCACATAACAAATTATACAGAGACAAAAGATGAAGACAAAAAACCAAAATTCAAAAGCCTAATATCAAAGAGGCATGACATAGACACCAGAGTCCATATCACATTTATTGCAGTATAATTGTTTTACTAACAGAAGCAGAAAAGCTGTTCGGAAAATTTTCCCATCAAAGATGAAAATGGAATACAAGTTACATACCTAAGATTTCGCAAGCCCCACCAAAAACAGTAAAAGAACTTCTTTGGAAAATCATTAGATGCCACAACACCTGACTGAAGGGCATCAAGGAATATGCCAAAGTTGAAAACTGTTTCATTTGGTGTTTGTATGGGACAAAAGGGATCCAGAAATGAGTTATTTGTCACAGAAGGACTGCAATATAAAGAATCACGTTTGCAACCAGTTCTGTCGCACGCTTTTTTCCAGCATGTTGTTTCTCTTTCTATGGAGAACAAATACCAAAAGGCTCCAAGTATCTGTAAAGAATGGCTAATCAATTAGTATCTATAGACAAGAAAGAGCTCAAAAGTTCAATATTTATGCAAGATTTTCCATACTACTTCTCTATCATGCACTAGGACAACATAATGATTAATAGAATTATTTGAGAGCAAACAGGATGACCACTGAAAATTTTGCATGAACATGATATTTGGCTCTTGCTTTATTTTATGATAAAATGAGCACCAATAAAATAATCAAACTTACATGACTGGCAAGCATGTAAAGAAACAGATTAAATGCAGCTCCTGCCCATGCAGTTTCTGTAAGTATGCCAGAAGTTCTTGTTACTTCCTTGTATAATGGATAAACTCGTATAACCCTCGGCAAATACTGGAATAAAACAACAAATTTCAACAAGTCCTTTGTATTCAAAGATTTTGAGCCTCTCATTCTTGGAATGATAATTAAAATTACCACCTGAAAGAGAACAGCAACTTAGAAATCCACAGAAATTATAAAACCCCATATCTTAGAAGAAATACAGACCTATGAATGTTTCAGACCTATGAATGTTTCAAGTATTTTGAAAGTCTAGATTTTCTTCAAATAAATTGCCTTGATATAAATGCTAAATTTTTAGTCCTAAATACTAACCCTATTCAATTGGGATAGTCTAAGCTATCCTTCAGACCACAAGGATGTTATACATAAGAAGCCTGTAAATTTTATTTTATTTTATTTTTTTCTTTTGCAGGTATTGAGGGGGCACTTTAACAACTGAAATAAAATCTTCCAGGAGTTCTCAAAGGGGATATGACAAGAAAAACTTACAATCACCCAAACTCCCTTTTCAAAGGGCATAAGCAAGGCCATAAATTAACTCATCAGTAATCTTATTAGGATAAGTTAATTATCAGTAAGACAAAACAACATTGAGGTCTAACAAAATGTTGTTCTGCTCATAAGTCAGCTGATAAGTATGCTAGAGCAGTTCCCTCACCTGTGGTAGTGGAAGGACTGCAAGGATGTCGACTAAGAAATATGATGACAAATACCTCTTAGCTATTGCCCAACTGTCTTCAACTAAAACACCCCTTCCAAACACTCGAGAAGATGGAGCGATAAAACCAGTGCGAAACTGAAAAATAATATGAATCATATAGAAAATATCTGTGAACCACCTCAAAACACTAGCTGTAATCTCCATCTTATTGTCCAAACCCAGACACTTCTTATTATCATCAATAACCGGTACATAAAAGAACAAAGGATCCAGCGAAACAGCAACTGCACATGATAATACAAATATCTTATTCCACCTTTGAAGGAAAGGTCCCTGAGGGTCAAGGATCCTCTTTCTAGAACTGAAGCCTTTAGCCATAGAACTACCAAATGAATATGATTTTAATGATTTTCTTATCCTTCTGATGTTTTCAAAGCCAGATTCTAATCCACTTTGAAACTTTTCAGAAACTGAGCTTATAGTGATCCTATGTTTTCCTGAATGTGCATTACTTGCAGAATATTGCTCTTCATTACTTTTCTTTGATTTCCAATCTTGAAACCTGAACAAGAAAAGTCACTCTAAACTATCCCATTAATTTAAAAAAAATGCAATGTGAACAACCAAAAATAGATGTGACAGGCCCCAAAGGAATCATGGAGCTACTCAAAATCACACTTAGATACTGACTATAAGATCCTATCAAAGCAACATGAATGATGCTGTAAACAAGGGAGAAAAACAAACTTCAGTAGATGCAGAAAGGCAAAAGGAGAGTGAAAAATACAAAACATAATGTATCGTTATTAGGCAATACATTATGCTTTAGAGGCTCCAGTGGTGGTCTATTCGACAACTTCAAGGTCTCAAGTTGCAGCCGAGATGCCCAAATGGAAAGGTGTGACAAAAATTTCACTTTCAATTTTTCATAAGAAAATTAAAATATTTAGAAAAAGAGTGTGTATAATTAAGCCAAAACACTTCTAAATTTGTCAGAATGGTGTCATAAACTCGACCACAACAAAACTGAACAAATTTCCAATGAGAGTTTGTAGTTTGAATAAGAATTAACCTCACAAACTTCTCCTGCGGATATTTCATAACTGTATCTGTACTGAAAATTGGCCCTTGGAATAGTAAATAAACCCAAGAAACTTCTCATGCACCACTAAGTAATCAAATGTCAACCCTGTAAATTTTTTTCAAAAAATATGTTATAAGAACAATGCTGTTTTCAATCAACGTCAATACAGCCCTTGCAGGTCGTGAATAACAAGGCATACTAAAACTTGCAGATAACATTAAACCAGTGGACGTTAAAAACAACAAATTGGTCAAAACTGACAAGAGAAACATTGAAAGAAACAGATTCGCAAATCTTCTCTTCACAGAAAGCTTAATGGGAACTTCAGTATCCAAGTAAACAGTAGGGTCACTCAAAGATTTAAGATTTAAAATTTAAAACTTAGGATTATTAGATAAGAGAGACAAGTGGTGTGATCTCCCGAAAGATACCAAATTGAAGATATGCCACTTTAAATCCTTACATAAATATCTGCCAAGAAAAAACTTACTGCACTAGCATCTTTCTCCGTATATGCGCAAGGAAAAAATTGAAAAAAGCTTGGTTTTCCTTTTTTCCCCTTTTACAGGAGGATTCAACAATAAAATAAAAAATCCCGATACAAGTGGATTTTTCTTTATCAAACACAAGTAAATTTCCGGAACTTTTTCTTTTTTAAATAATCTTGATCATTTTGCTCCCGTATCAGCAAATTTACTGACTGAAATTAAAATTAGAACTTGAAAAAACTGACTTTGTAGATAAAAAAATGTGATTCACTTATTAAACTGAAACAAGTCAAGCAATCGGAGAAATTGAAGAATTGGACCAGAAAGGAAAGAAAACACAACAAACCGATTAAAATCCCAGTGGTTGATAGAAGAGAAAAGGTAGAGACTTTTTCTTCGCTTGCATGTTGTTCTTGTGAGAGATTAACAGAGGAAGCTTCGAGGAAATTTTCTAGGGCAACAACTTGCTCTCTCTGTCTCCCCGTCGTTTTGAGTAAATTACAGTATATCAGACGAAATTTATTCTCAAGACAGAAAGTCTCACAAACAGTTGCTGTCAGAGATGACCGGGTAAGGGTGACTGGGTGAGTCAAATGGGACCGTTTTTGCTTTTTCTTTCTGCCTATCCGGTTCTTTTCAAATAAAAAAGAGATATAATTGGTTAAATGTAAAAAACTGGGGCAAAGGGAACTGTAGGGAATTCGAATTGCATTAACTGAGACAGAGTTGCCACGAAAGAGCGCCATGCTATGATTGGTACAATTACGACTTTTTATTTTTATTTTACGCAGGTCAACGTGGCTGTCGTTTACAAATATAACCACCGCCGAGGTTGGCCTGAATCAGAATGGCTGAGAATGTCTTCCCTTCAGATTTGTCCATGTAAATTTGTTTTTACATAACAGATGAAATCACACTGTACGATAATTGAAAATTCGAGATTTTTCGCTCTGAAGAACGGAGTTAACATTTTTTTAATAATTTGATATTTAATTATAATATACCAAACAAATTTTTTAGCCGACACAATTAATTACGAAATATCTGAGATGTCATGTTATTTATAAAATAAATCCAATCAATTAATTAATTATTTTCATCAGGCTGTTCTGCAATTGTTGGAAGAAATAACTTTTAACCAGAAAAAATAAAGTTTAGTGGCAATCCCATTTTAAGGACAGTTAACTATGTAATGGAAAGTAATTGGGAAAATAAAATTTTCTGTTTTCTGTTTTATGCAAATTTAATGCAAGTCACGGATGAGTTTGATTAGACTTTTAAATTGGATTAGAAATTGCCACCTCTCATTTTAAGGAACATTGGCTCACCATTATGCTACCTGTTATATTTGTCCGTCAGCCATGGATTTATTCAATTTCAATTTATAATTAAATAATTTTGATTTTAAATTTTGGTTTGCTTCTAAAATATAAATTAATTTTTGTTTAAAGAAACAATTAAACTAATTGATTTGGTTCAATTATATATAATAATTTTCGATTTTAAATTTTGGTTTGGTTCTAAATAATATTAATTTTTGTTAAAGAAACAATTAACTAATTGATTTGGTTCAATTATATATATATATATATATATATTATTATATATATATATATTATATATATATTATATATAGTTGAATTTCAATTCGATTCTTTTAAAAAATTATTTTAAATTTCAATTTAACCGCCTGGAAAATTCGACGGATTAAAAAAATTTCCTCCTACTGTCGCTCCGCTAAAAAATTGGGCTTAATTGGGCTTTCGCCATCTCTAGATTGACATCTCATTTTCTTAATTGGGCTTTCCCATATTAATGGCAGAAGCCTGCTTTTCCTTGAGTAATAATTGAGGTGGAGATAATATATGTATGCTAAATCTCATTTTTGGCTTTTGAGAAGATAGCGCAATAGACGTGGATGGGGCCCAACTCTAATGCGTCGATACGGGGACAATAAATACAAAAATAGTCCCTACTGTATAAGATAATTGCTAAAGCGGATGCATGAAGCGTGCCACGTTGCCACTTCTCTTCGGTGCCAAGCTGCAAAAAGCCAGTTCTCCCTCTCTCACACACTCTGCTCAGTATCTCTCACTTTCCATTATACTGGTCTTGTACGCCCACTACGTTCTCTCTCTTTCATTCCATTACCACTCTCTCTGTCTAGGTTTTCAGATTCTCTGAGAGACAAATTATTGAGCTGATTCAAAAAAAGTGGATTCAGATCCTTCACTTTTCAACCTGATCATAATTCGGATCCGATCCGACCTCAAAACTCGCGGATTTTCAACCAGAGATCCGTAATTTTTTGAATAATTTTCCATTTTTATTTCAAGACAAACTTCTCTCTCTCGCTCTCCCCTTTATTGTGTTTGATTTCTCAGCTTTATGAGTCTAGTAGATTAAAGGTAAGATCCTATTTTTGTTTATGATTATATGAGGATGTGTTTCATTTATTTGGTTTCCTTTTTTTTTTTTTCTGTGCATCCATAGACAAACATCCCGTTTTATAGCTGAGCTAACTGGGAAAATATTCAAAGAAAATGAATATACATTAATACTTGCTTGTATCTTCATCAATTGAATGTTAACATAATGCAGCTTCAGTATGATGATTAGTGTTATTAATTTTTCTTGGGCTAACGTTCATTTTTGTTTTTTAAATGAAATTCACCCCCCCCCCCCCTAACGTTCATTTTTGTTTTTTAAATGACAATTCAAACTCCCTCTCGCCGCCCCCCATAAAAAAAAAGAAAGTGCAATCAATAACTTTCTGGTTACTTTATTGATTTGAACGATTACATCATTTTTTAATATTTCATATTCATTAGAGTGGCACCTCACTATTCGTTGATGTTCTTGGTGAGGAAAATATTGATAGTTTCGAGTCCGCGATATCAACAATGAACATCCCCCCCCCCCCCCAAAAAAAAAAAAAAGTGCAATCAATAAACTTCTGTTACTTTATTTGATTTGAACGATTACATCATTTCTATTTTCATGTTCATTAGATGGCACGTGATGTCTCTTGGTGAGGAAATTGATGGTTCTGGTATCAACATGAACATCTTAAAGTAGGAAATAATTTGGTTTCCTTCTCTCTTACAGATGGGCCACGCTAATTTTGTATTAATTTCATAATAATATGTAACTTTCTGATGTTATTGGGCAGTTAATTCTTCGGTTGGAGATCTGGCTTTTAGGCCGGCTGGGTTTATTTAGATGGTATGCAATACCTGCATACGAGGTGTGATTACTCAAAGCGGAATATTTTCCAAAACAAGGTTGCAATTGACAATTAGGCGGAATTTACATGCGGGTCTCCACCTAAGTTATTTGTTGAATAGTGAATTGGTGATGAATCTAAGTATGATGGTCGATTCTGGCTCAACAGCAAAACGGGGACCCATTGTTGATGTGCTCCCAGAGAAAGACCACGATGATGGTGGATATGTTAGTGGAGGGTGGAAAAGGTGATTATAGAATCTCCATTTTAATGGAAAATATATGCATGGATAGTAAAGTTTTGAACTGTAGATATTAGCTACAAGTATATCCACTTCTGTGCTGTCATGCTTTTAGATGATTTTAAAACATAACTGTTCAGTATCAAATTTGCATAAGGTGTTTGAAGTATTAACTTTCTAGTGACATTTGAATTGAAGCTGCAATGGATGAATGTATCTTCACGTCATTTAGTGTTCTAATGCATTTGTTTGTTTATTTTTTTATTAAATGATCTTTGTGCCACATGTTTGACGAAAAGGTATATTCGGCCTGGATTTTGGTGTTTATGCTGTTAGTTAGCTGCTGGGACACGAAAATGAACAATATCACCATAATTTGTCATTATGAAACTCTCAGAAGCTCCACGAGGAGAATGATTTTTGTTCAGAAAAAAAAAAAAAACTATTGAGGAAGAATTTTATATTTTTTTTATAGTTTTTGGTGTGTGTCTTTAGAAAGAGAGTAACTATTGAGGAATAGCAATCGGAAGAACAAACTTTAAAAAGATTTTTGTCATTGATTTTTGTTTTGTAAAGACGAAAAAGACAAAAAACAGTATGCAGTTTCAGTTACCAGTAAATATTGTTTTTACTCTTTAGCTTCTTCATCTTGTCCCTGTCAGAAGACTTTACCATGTCATTACGAACATCACTTTTTTTTTTCTCCTAGAAATGAATTTACAGTGTAATTGTCTCTTTATTCCGTTCAGATTTTTGCTCTTTGAATTTGACTTCCACTATCTTTTGTTACTAGAAATGAATGGCTAGGGACCAAGTACTCTTTTCTCATCTTAACAAGGTGACTTGCTTTCCTATCTTGTTGACAGTGAAGATGCCAAATTTAGCTGTGGCTATTCAAGTTTCAGGGGAAAGAGAGCAACCATGGAGGACTTCTTTGACATTAAGAATACAAAGATAGATGGCCAAACGGTCTGCATGTTTGGAATTTTTGATGGTTTGATTCCCTCGTCTCCTTGAATGATATTATAGGTGTTATGAATCACTGTCTGTTGTTTACTCGAGTTACAAGTTGCAATACCTGGTAAATATGAACTAAAGACCGTTGCACGTGAATATAAGAGCACTTCTTAACAAATGTAGTATTAAACCAGTCTCCATGAGCAAATTGTCTGGACATTTTAGCTTTGGATGATTTGAACTATAATCTACATGCTAAGGACTCCATGAGTAGAGCATCATTTTCGCTTCCTTTTAATTTGAATAAACTGCGTTTGTTTTTTTGTTTTTACTGGTTACTGGGTCATTATAGGTCATGGTGGTTCCCGAGCTGCTGAGTATTTGAAGGAGCACTTGTTTGATAATCTAATGAAGCATCCACAATTCATTGAAAACACCAAACTGGCAATAAGTATGTTTAGATATTCTGAAGCTCTTTGCTATGCATGAATTAACTGACAACAGGATCATATTATCAAACCATAATTTTTTGCCGTTAGTATTATCATGCGAGCTACAATGCAGCATCAGTATTGAATTAGATGACTGTTAACGGACAGACTGACACCATTATGATGCCAAGTCTGTCATTTCCTATTTATAATGCATGGATTCTGGATGATATACATCTATCAATCTGTTACTGATTTTTATGGATCTATATGGTAACTTCACTAATAATGCAGGTGAAACGTATCAGCGAACTGATGTGGACTTCTTGGACTCTGAAAAGGATTCCTACCGAGATGATGGTTCTACTGCTTCAACAGCAGTTTTAGTTGGTGACCATCTATATGTTGCAAATGTTGGAGATTCACGTACTGTGATATCAAAGGCCGGGAAAGGTATTTTTTCAATTTAGTTCTACAGATGGTAATAAGTTATAGGCGTTATTAAGGTGAAGAATGACTGTCTAGATGTTATGGATCTGTTAATCATGAGTTAGATAACAACTAGCGAAAAGATAAAACATTTAATATGCAATCATGGAACAGCTGGTGTCTGCTGTTAACTTATCAAGACATATAGATTGGGATTGAAAGATAAAAACTGTTGTTAAGGAATTATCACATCTCTGGGCTTTTCAATTATCATCCAAATATATCAGCATTGCTGACTGGTGCTGTCTTGGAGACAGGCTGTACTGTTTGGCGTTGCCTGTACTGTTAGAATCATCTCAGTGGTGGATGATTCTCCTGTGTTTTGAATTCAGGGTATCAAACAGAAAATATTGAATTAATGCTCTAAAACTCTGTTATGAATCCCTGCTTTGAGTTAAGGCTGTGGTGTTATCAGATGTTTTATCTGTCTAAATCTGCAATGCTAGTGATTAGCAAATTGCTGTATTGTTCTTGGATGGTTATTCGGATTATTTACTAATTTGTAATTATTCTTTTTTCTCTATTCAAAGCAATACCACTCTCTGAGGATCATAAACCAAACAGAAGTGATGAACGGAAGAGAATTGAAAATGCTGGGGGTGTAGTAATGTGGGCAGGTAAACATGTTTAAAATTTTGGCATCCCCCTCCCCTCCTCTCTTTATTCTTCTTCGTGCTATGATTTTGGCTTTTTGGGCATCAGAATGTACTTCAACTCAGCTGCTCATGGTGATAATAATTCAGTTTATCTTGCTTTTGACTTAGACATTTTGGACTATTGCTCTGAATACATCTGGAAAGCCCTTTCAGGGCATCAGGGTGTGAGACAATAAAAGTCTGATGTGATCGTAAATTCTTAATAACTGGACTACTGGAGATATGTGAATTTGGGATCTAGATCTCTTAGCCGAAGGCTCAGTTTCAAACCCAATCAATTGCAAATCTGAAGTCAAAAAGCCTGTTATTCATTCTATCCCAGACTATTTCATAGCTGCTTGCCCAATAGAGCTAGCAGACTGTAGCTTGTCCTTGTATATTATAGAGGGCAAACCTGTGTCTTGCCTATTTCGATGACCCTTGACATGTCCTTTTAATGAGAAACAAAATACCTATTTACTCCCACCAGTCATCCTTGTATAGATTTGGGACAGCCTCAGTTCAAAAAAAAATTAACATGTCAGATAATGTTATCTATTTGAAGAGTATTTTTTGTACTCCATTTTTTCCTTTAGCATATATGCTTCAAATCAGGCAAAAATTTTGAGGCAATTGCTCATAAAAGCCAAAATCATGCAATGCTGCTTCAATTGTCTTGTCAGGCACCTGGAGGGTAGGAGGTGTATTAGCTATGTCACGTGCTTTTGGTAATCGCATGTTGAAGCAATTTGTTGTGGCAGAGCCTGAGATACAGGTAACCTTTGATATTATTGTGAACTTCATAACTCTCTGATCATTTCAATTTCTAGAACAGTTTAAATATGCAGTAAAATTTCTTGTCTTGTGTTCTAATAGTAATCATAGTAAATACCTTGCATAATTGTCTATGATGAGTGGAAAGCAGATATTTTTATTGTTTCAGTTCTTCTGCAGCACCAAAACTTCACAATTTAGTCCCCACCTGTGACAAAAGTAAACCGTGACAGTGGCACATGATGGCAGCCACCATTTAAGAATGAATATTTTCCTTGTGTCCTTTCCTAAGATCTAAGATTTGGGATTTAATTCTACTGTCCCTATAGGATTGGCTTAGGGGGTAGGGAAGGGCCACCTATGCTCTACTCAAGCAATGCAACTTCCCAAAAGAAGAGAAACTATAGTTGCCCTAGGCAGTAGCATCGACTTGTAGCCCGTTTCACTGTCAATAACACTGTTGTGTTCTTAGCAGGTTCTTATTGGAATCTTGGACATGGTAGCTTTCTAAGGTCTATTTATGGATGTCGATTCTAAAACAATAAAATGAAATCACTTGCATGGGTCACATTTTTTGCACTCTTGTTATTTGCATTTACCAAACATGAACAGCAAAATTCTGTTCTTTCCACTTCAGGATCAGAAAGTAGATGGAGAATTCGAGTTGCTTGTGCTTGCAAGTGATGGACTATGGGATGTGGTACCCAATGAGGTAATTATACCTCTCTCTATCTCTCTCTCTCTCTCTCTCTCTCTTTCTCTCTCTCTGTGTTTGTGTGTCTGTGTGTTAGATACAAATAGACTTGTGGACTAGCTGACACACAGATGGAAGTAAATACATGTCTAACAATACTTTTGAGAAATGGCAGTAGGGACTCTTCATTGTTTGATTATTAGTGGTAGTCCACTCTCTATATTATTGAGTTGATTTCGTAGAAATGGTTTGTCTTAAGGTTGATGCTTGGCCTTCTGATTCTTGTACGTGTGGATGATTTTTAGACTTGCTTTAAATCTCTATGCTGACAAGTTATGCCTTATGTGTAGGATGCTGTTTCACTAGCACGAACAGAGGAAGAACCTGAGGCAGCAGCCAGAAAATTAACAGAGGCTGCTTTTACACGCGGCAGTGCTGACAACATAACATGCATTGTGGTTAGATTCCATCATGACCAGGGAGATCCAGCGAATCCCCAGCATAATTAGATATTGTTATTTATGTTGCATGTATAGATTTGTTGATGCTTTAGGCGATCTAATTTTGAAATCCGTGCATGCATGATAACTGAATGGGCGTATGGAGAAGTCCATTTGTTTATTCATTTTTTTGTTGCTCAATTTGCTCTTGTATCAAGAATATGGACTCAACTGTCCTGTTTTATTCTAAAGTCGTTTATACATCTGTTTGTCTACTTGTTTTTAATTTTCACTAATAAAAAGGCGTTTAGCGTCCCCCGTCCATGCATCTTGTCTTTGAATGTGTTACATAACCAAAGTTGTAATTAGGTTTAACTTTGGAAATGGAAATCTTAGAAATTTACAACTTTCTGAATCTGCTGGTGATGGAATTCGTGGAAATTGGCCATTGTAAGGGCAAGTTTACTGTCGTCACTGTAGTTCAGATTCTGGAAGGAGCAGGAAACAAGTGAGCTGATGGTACATTCTCAGCCACTAGTTAGAAAGGTATCCTTCGACTGAAATGCCTCGTCCATTTGCGTCTGCTGGTCCTACTCTTGACTGAAATGGAGTCGTTGCATTCAGCTTTCTTGGATATTTCCAGGAGGACTTAATACACAACCGTTGACTGTCCATTGTCAAAATTTATCATTTACCCCACCATTGGTTTATTTTCCAAACATTTATTCCTGGAAAAGTCGCTGAAGATAAAGGAAAAAGAAAAAAGAAAAGGTTAAATTTGCTTACTATCATCTTCCCTGCACACAGAGTGATTCTTGATTCTTGAAATTTCACAAAAATGAAAGTTTCCTTTTTTCTCTTGTTGATGCTATTGTCGGTAGTGCAAGGATTAGATCTTAATCTCTGCCGGCCAGAAAGGTGTGGTCGCGGCCCAATCGTCCGATTCCCATTCCGACTTAGAGAGAAACAGCCAGAGCACTGTGGCTACCCTGGATTTGAATTATCTTGCAAGGAAGACGAACATACAGAGCTACAACTACCAAATTCTGTGAAACTCTATATCCAAACAATTGATTATGTGGCTCAGGAGCTTTCTGCTTCTGATCCATCTGAGTGCTTTGCAAGAAACGCCAAAGCCTTCCATTTATATACTCATAATTTTGAATTCCCAAGAGCGTATTCGATCGATAATTATGCTTTGTTCAATTGTTCACTGGGAAACAGATATTCATCTGACTTAGTGAGTTGCCTCGGTGTTCCAGGCTCTTATGAAGTTTATGCCTTTGCGGCCGACAATCGCATTGATGACTTGCCTCTGACTTCTTGTAGAAAGATGTATAATATTTCATCAGTTCCAAGTGAAATATTCGACAACACAAATTCTATTACTTTGACTTGGTCAAAAAAAATGTCGAAATGTCGATCCTGTGAAATACAGGGGGGATGTTGTGGCTGGAAGGATAAAAACATTGCATGTTTTGACAACTTTCATAACAGAAAATTAGGTAAGCTTTTTAAGCAATTCACCATGTTCAATGAGATTTTCTCATGTTCTGAGATCATTTATATGTTTTGCAGGTACCTTGTCAAAGACAAAGATTGCATGTGAGTTGCTATTTTATGCGAATAATTTACAAAATTTCAACCAAAAATTTGTATATATATCCCATGGAATTTTATGAAATTCATTTACATATGCAGGTGAAGTCCTGGGTCCGTTTTTGCTGGTACTAGCGGCTGCATCGCTCTTCCATGTCTACTGGACTAATAGAAAGGAAAAGGAATACTTGGAGAAATTTTTGGAAGATTACAGAGCTCTCAAGCCCACAAGATACTCATTTGCTGATCTAAAAAGGATTACAAATCAGTTCAAGGATAAATTAGGCCAAGGATCATATGGCACTGTGTTTAAAGGAAAGATTTCAAATGAAATTTATGTAGCTATAAAGATCCTGAACAATTCAATAGGAAATGGAGAGGAGTTCATTAATGAAGTAGGAACGATGGGAAGAATCCACCATGTTAATGTTGTTCGCTTAGTTGGATTCTGTGCAGATGGTTTCAAAAGAGCTTTGGTTTACGAGTTCTTACCAAATGAATCATTAGAGAAATTCATATTTTCAAGTAAGTTTCTGGGTTGGGAGAAGCTTGAAGAGATTGCACTTGGTATAGCCAGAGGGATTGAATATCTTCATCAGGGGTGTGATCAGCGAATCCTCCATTTCGATATAAAACCTCATAATATTCTGCTAGATGATAATTTCAATCCAAAAGTTTCTGATTTTGGACTAGCAAAGCTATGTTCGCTGGGTCAAAGCTCTGTATCGATGACTGCAGCTAGAGGAACTATGGGTTACATTGCACCTGAAGTTTTCTCTAGAAATTTCGGGAATGTGTCTTATAAATCAGATGTTTATAGCTTTGGAATGGTGTTGTTCGAAATGGTTGGAGGAAGGAAAAACATAGATGCTAATGCAGAGAATGATAGTCAAGTGTTCTTTCCTGAATGGATATACAATCAATTGGAAAAAGGTGAGGAACTAAGAATCCGAAACGAAGAACAAGGTGATAGTAAAATTGCAAAAAAACTTACAACTGTTGCATTATGGTGCATTCAGTGGTACCCAGTAGATCGTCCATCGATCAAAAGAGTTGTTCAAATGTTGGAAGGGGAAAGAGAGAATATACCAATGCCTCCAAATCCTTTTGCTTCTGCAGGTTCCGCGAAAATGAATGTAGGTACGCGTGGGAGACGCATACACCAGGAGTTAGAAGTTATCTCTGAAGTAGAGTGATAATTCATTCATCTTCATGTTGGAATGTCTGAGATTTCTCCATAGATATCTTTTCCAGGAATTATGATGATAAAATCTAATGTGTGTATGTTTTTAAGTTCAGGAATGTTATCAATTAAAAAATAAATAGTTTAATTGTTGTTTCGGGCATCTATTATACTGTTCTTATCTATGTAATCTGCTGCCAAATAAAGCAATTTCTGGCCTCTGGTGTGGATAAGTCTGAGGCTCATTATGAACAAAAACACTGTCTTATGCAAGTGAGCATATTTTTTACTGTATTTACAAAGAAAAATGGAAGAAATTTAAATACTTACCCAACTTAAAAGTAACTCCTCCTCCATTAATTGATTCTAAGAGGTTTAAATTTTCTTTTTCTTTTTTTGTTTTTCAAATTGAAGTAGGGTGATCAAATTGCGACAGGCTTCCAGGACCAGAAGGGTAAGATTTGAGCTTTGGGTATATGTAATGCCCGAGGCTAATCTGCTGGAGGCCTGAGCCTAGCTATCTAAATAATCCAAAAATCATGAAGGTTGAGTCGGCAGCAAAGGCTGGGGAGAAATGCGGCAAATCGGGCATGAAGCTTTCAAACGAAGCCATTCATAAATGCAATCAGCATGGAAGCAATGTTGGCATTCAGGAATAATCTTGAGTGTCTCTTCAGGCTTATATTCACACAAGCATATTGAGCAAATGTAGTCATCAGGATTGGGCAAGCGTCGGCTCTCACCGACCACTACTTTTGGATAGGACTCAATAGTGGGAGCATCCAGGCCTGCATTTAATGTTGGTACTGAACTCAATGTGAAAGTGAATTCTGGAAGATCATGGCCGCGGCTCCTCCTTGCAGTGTAAGTGTGGTGCCTGGCTCTGCTACAAACAAAACATAGGAGACCCATCACACACAATGCCACAGGTACTCCACCTGCTATAGTCATTATGTACCTTGCGCTCCTTGGAATTCCTGACCATATTATACATATTATAGGTGGTCTCCTCACTTTCTTTAATTAAAAGCATAGAAAATGGAAATCTCATGTTTAAGTATTTACGTTCATCGCTGTAATGAGAGTTTCCACTGTTACATATCTACAAAACACAGGTGAAAGTGGAAGTGGAAGTGGAGGTGGAGGTGTTAAAGTCACACCAATAGTTTTAAAATGGAGAGGGAGTGGATAGATTTGTGAAGGTCATCCTATTATTATAATCTTGAAAGGGTTGAACGCACTTGGTAAAAACTTTAAATTTACTAGTTAATCAAAGTTTAATTTTTGTCTACAATGATTGATTCAAACAGTTAACAGCTTCAATCTCATAAACAGGAGGAAAAATTAATTAAGGAGGCAAGTTAATTACCTCGTTGTTTAGGATGAGAACAAACAATCTCCGTAGTAGAATTACTCTGAGGACCACAACGTCCACCACGGGACTCGCACTTTCCACACCCGGGTTCACCCCAACTGAGACGGAGATCATTACTCAGGTCCGACGAAAATATCTGCCCATAAAATGGCCACTCAACTGGAACATCCTTGCTCGCAAACGATCTACACGACGATATTCCTGATAAAAGACGAATAGCGCTTAAGGACGACGTCGCATAAACTGTATACGTTGAGCCACTGAGGCAAGCAATTGGATTTAACCGATACTTTGTATAATCGGACAATGAACAATTAAAGAAGGTAAAGTTTTGATAATAAAGAGCATCAAAAGGAGAATCAGAGAAATTGAGAGAGAGAATTTGGTCCGGAAGGCAATTGTTCGGATCGTTAACCCATAATTCTTGAGATGCATAGTCTATTGCTTGGACAGTGAATTTCACTGAATATGGCAACTCCAGTATTGTGCGGTTGGAGATTTTATCACAGGATAAATCAAAACCTGGATATCCACATGACCTGAATTGGCGGTTTTTAATCCGGAAAGGGAATCGGATTACTGGCTCGTTACGAGCACAAACAGCATTTAAGCACAGCTCTTGACTTGCAGCGAGTTGTAAAAAGAGGGAGGAGAAGAGGAAGAGAATTGACATTGGAGGAATCATAATGGTAGTGCAGGGCAAGGCTCCACTGTGATGTGATTTTGGAAGTAGGAACAGGAAGTCTTCATGAACATGATTACAAGAAAGTCAACCAAGGCTACAACAGTAAGAAGTCTATCATCTCCAAATTAAATAATTTGGACAGAGATTAACATTATTCAATTGTAATTTTATGAAAAAAAATTAATGTTGCCTACATCATCAAGCATGCAAGTGTTAGATTGTCACCTCAATTGAGCTCATACAGATAAAAATGGTGGATAATTTATTAATTTAGTCACAGTATCCAGCAAGATAAATGAACAAGAAAGGTTTTGAATAACAGTAGTATATTAATGAAACTGTAGATTGTTATTTATTAGTAATATTTCAGATTATATAAAAAAAAGGAAAGAAAAGAAACACAAATGATGGAAAGAGAGAGAAGTACAAATATCAAAGACTCAAAAATCAGAGCAGCGACCTTTTCGTTCCCAATCGCCATACCGAGTTGGCTCGGGTCCTTTTGGCCCACCGACCTCGCCGGTCTCTTTATTCACATAATCTCCATCCTCCTCGTCCTCTTCTTCTTTTTCACGATTTTCTTCGCTTTTGATGTCAGGATTCTGTTTGATTACGTCGTCTTCGTTCTTTTCGAGGCTTTCTTCAGCAGACGAGCTTATGAATCGACACAGCGAGTTCCAAGCGGAACGAGTCACTGGCTCCAATTCGGCGCAGGAGGTAGCTAAGTTGGAGTTGGAGGGGTTTAACAATGATGAAGAAATCAGACGACCAAGATTGCTTCTCGCCATTGTCTAATTTGGCTCTGGTAGACAAACGAAAAACCTAACACGCCTTTAGATCTACGTGCATACAAAACCAGACAGTAGTCACAGTACTGACCTGTAACGATGTCGTTTTGGCTAGAAAATGCGACGGGTCAAACTTGTCGGTAAGCCAACTTCTTTTATTTGGATGCTCGAATTGGGCCAAAAATTGGGCTAAAGGTCTAACCTATTCCGACATCACCAACCCAGCAAAAATTGCAGGAATTATATTTTAATTCATACAATTTCCTTGGATCTCTGAGGATTTCAATCAAATCACGGGAAAGCAGACACGGATAAAGGTGAAATTGGAACTTGAAGGGAAAGAAATGGGCGGAGGACGGCAGCTCGTGAAGAGAATTCCACGAATTAAATTCCCACAACGACATGCAACATCTACATCAACAGGTGTCGTTTTTCTCTTCTTTTAAATTTCTCATCATTGATCATTGATCATTGATCACTTCCTTTTATTGGTTTTCTTCTTGGGTTTCTTTTTGTATGCTTTTGTAATTATAGATTTTGATTCAATGAGTAAAATTCTCAATCAATTATATGGGTTTTATCTATATGGTGCTTAAAAAAGATTAAAACTTTGGAACACATGTTAGGGTAACGAAGGAACAGAAAACAGTTTGCAGCAAATGGTTCAATTGGAAACATTGTCTGTGATACTAAGAAATTGCATTATCAGTTTGAGGTTTTATAGGAGAAAGGACCGAACCTCCAGGATCATTATCTATAAGGCAACTGAACTTGTACATATGGATTCATGGCAAAGTCAAACATTGAGGAATAACTTTTTCCTTGTTTTTTTTTTTTTTTATTATTATTATTATATAAAGCCTCATTTTACTCCATTGCAGACTTCAAGTAGCATAACTCTTCTGATATGCCTTTTCAAGATTGAGCTTGAATCTATTTATAGTATAGGATACGATTAATAATTTTAAATATATCATATATTATACTATATAGCTTGGGAATATGAAGGCTTTGTAATTCTTTGAGGTCTTTACTATGTGCCCAATCCCTATTTTACTGGTATACACTGTAAGAGAGCATTTTTCTTTGCAAATAAGAAAGAGGCAAGAGAAGTTCTTTAAATGCTTTGTTCATGTAAGTGTGTAACAAAATGATTGAATGTGCTCCTGACCAGCCAAAAGTATTCATTCATATTTTCATCTTATGAGCTGTGTTGTTAAAAAACAATCATAGTTTTCTCATATTTAGTCTCCATTTCCTAAAATGGAGCAGCATCAGCCGATGAAGACATTCGTCAGATATCAATGTCCAAGTCAACAGATGTTCCGGCTCCGCCTTTTAACACTGCTGTGGGAGGCAAAGCTTCTCTTCAGCCCAAGCGCACGCCTGTCTCTGACAGAGAAATAGAGGCTATTCTGGTAGCCTTTTTTTTTTTTTTAATTTTTTTGCCTAGTTCTAACACACACACACACACACACACACACACACACACACACACACACACACACACACATATATATAATTGAAATGTGCTCCTGGACCAGCCAAAAGTATTTCATTTCATATTTTTCATCATTTTGGAGGCTGTGTTTTTTGTTAAAAAACATCATAGTTTTTCTCATATTTAGTCTTCCATTCCTAAAATGAGCAGCATCAGCCGATGAAGACATTCGTCAGATATCAATGTCCAAGTCAACAGATTGTTCCGGCTCCGCCTTTTTAACACTTGCTGTGGGAGGCAAAGCTTCTCTTCAGCCCCAAGCGCACGCCTGTGTCTGACAGAGAAATAAGGTATTCTTGGTAGCCTTTTTTTTTTTTAATTTATTTTCGCCTAGTTCTAGACACACACCACACACACACACAGACACAACACCACACACACACCACACACACACACACACACACACACACACACACACACACACACACACACACATATATATACATATATATGTTACATTTCAAGAAAATTGCTGATTTGCATTCCCTGTTGCTATATTTCAGCTGGGCGGGTGCTTTTGATTTCTGCAACCAACAACCTTTACGATGGGGTGTTGCTAATAAAAGTCAAGTGTGTGTTTTCTGATCCTTTCATTTTCTGTATGAATTGTTAATATTCTCCGTTTTTTGCTTTTGTGCTGTATCTATAAAGATGTAATGGAATGGAAGAACGAGAGAACCTTGGAGATAATATTTACTCTCAACTATGATGCCTAAGAATTCCAAAGCTACTTGTCTACTGCATTTTTTTTTTTTTTTTTTTGTTTGGCTCCTTCTCCAAGGATTGCCTCCAAACCCCACAAAAAATGTTGAGGCGATTAAGATGATTTAGACCGACCTTTTTCCCAAAATGCTGAGCTTGAATCTAACTTACTAAAAATCCGTTCGGCAAACAAAATTAGTTGCAGCTAAGCCACGAAAAATAAAATTTACTATCAATAATGGATAGAGGATCTCCAATTTGTTAACCGTTATATTACATGGATCATGATACTCTAAAAACAGAATTTGTGCTGATACGAATACAAATAGATGGGTACGTCGCTTCCATAACTGCACTCAGTTCATTAATTTTGACACCTACTCATTCTCCAAAAGGGCAAAAAAAAAAAAAAAAAAAAAAAGAAAAGAAGAAAAAAAAAAAAAAAAAAAGAAAGAGAGAGAGAAACAAGAGGGCGGTGGGTACTGATTTCGGACACTGCTCTGCTATTAGTACTAAGTGAAAAGCAAAATAGCAAAAAACTGATTCTCAAAAGATGAACGTGTATGAAAAATCGTTACCCACGTTTCCGAAGACTGATTATTTCACTTTCATGCACAGAATGAAACAGAGGTAAGAAAGAGAAACAAAAGGAATTTAACCAATACATATTCCAAGATAATGAAACAAAACTGTACATTATTCCTCCATTAACACCAACAAAACCTAATTATCAAAAGCAGCTGGGTGAAGCTATCAACAGTATCATAAACAAAAATTACCACAATAATATTCTATATTTCCTATACTAGCAACCCCCCCCCCCCCCTTATCAAATTCCCAATTGTTTAAACTAAAAACGTTTTTTTTTTTTTTTTTTTTTTTTTGGACTCTGGTTCCATTTTCCGCAGTTCACTCCAGAACGCACAACTGCAAATTTGGACATCCCTTCAGGCTCCCCCCCCAAAACAAATGGAAGCCCCTCTTTACCTTGACTCGGTCCTTTCCCAGTCACTCAGCTGCACAACTGCAAATTTGACATCCTTCAGGCTATTAGGCACACTGACTCGCATCGTCCACAAGGCAATTGATTCCAGATTTTTAAATGTATGTAAGAGAATCCAGCTGTGCTCCTTTTGAGCCCTTGTATAAAGAAGGAAACAGGGTCACCTATGTCATGACCGTGTGTTTGCTGTCTTGTTGCCTATTGGTAAGACCTTGATGTCTCTTGACGAGGTCATCCTGAGTGTCAGTACTGACAGAGATGTCATCTTCGCTCATCAGATATTTGTCAACTTGGGAAGCAGCTTGACGTCCTTCTGATATAGCCCAGACAACTAAGGACTGGCCACGCCTGCAATCCCCAGCTGCAAATACACCTTCCACACTGGTAGAGAAGCGGCCATAATCAGCCTTAAAGTTCGATCGATTGTCTCTCTCCACACCCAACTTCTCTGCCACATTCTGAAATTATCAAACAACAAAAGAATTAGTAAGCACTCGTCCAAATCAATCTGTAAGCAACAACTTTGCAAAGGTGATTATGATATGCAGAAATCATTTCATTTAGAGTAACTGTCTCTATAAATTTTTCTAAAACTCATTTAGAAGGAGGATGCAATCCCAGAAATTCATTTTGAGAGCATTTTATCCCAGATATCTGAGAAGCAGAAACTAGATCACTAACCGACTCAGGACCAAGGAATCCCATGGCTAGTAGGACGAGGTCAGCTTCAAGAATTTCCTCACTGCCTTCAACTTCCTTAAACTGAAATCTTCCACTAGCATCCTTCTCCCAGTAGACACGTACCACCTCAAGTCCTTTCACATTTCCATTTTCGTCTCCAATAAAACGTTTAGTCAGGACCTCATAGGACCTCGGGTCTTTGCCAAACTTTGTAGCAGCTTCCTCGTGCCCATAATCTACACGAAATACGCGAGGCCACTGCAAAATAAAGGGGATTGAAAAACATATACAAGAAATCTAAACCAATTGCAAATGCATAGAATCAATAAGTTCTATAAACATGTGATACAGAGCAAGAAAAAGCCAAACCTGTGGCCAGGGGTTCCCAGGAGCTCTAGTTTGTGGTGGCTCTGGTAGAAGCTCTAGATTCACAATGCTACTACAGCCATGTCGAATAGATGTCCCAATACAATCTGTGCCAGTGTCACCTCCACCAATGACAACTACTTTCTTGCCCTTAGCAGATATGTAGTTACCATCCTGTAAATTGCTGTCGAGCAAACTTTTTGTATTTGCATGAAGAAATTCCATGGCAAAATGGACCCCTGATAACTCTCTTCCAGGGACAGGAAGGTCCCTGCACAAACAACAATTTATGAGATGGGACCAGGTCTTGCTTTTTCTTTTCACATTACTTCCTTGGTCTAGGGAAAGCTGTCCTAACAATATGGATCAAACCTTAAAATGAAAAAACTTCTCTAGGAACTTGCACCAACTAACCTTGGCTTTGTGGCCCCTACTGCCAAAACAATGGCATCATTCTCCTCTCGAAGCCGATCAAGAGAGTATATAGGATCAATTCCAACATTAGCATTGACCACAAAATTAATGCCTTCCTCAGCCATGAGGTTAACACGGCGTTGAACTATATCCACTTTGTCAGTCTTCATGTTGGGAACTCCATACATCATAAGGCCTCCGACTCGATCAGCACGCTCATACACAGTCACCAAGTGACCCATCCTATTCAGTTGATCAGCAGCAGCCAAGCCAGAAGGTCCACTTCCAACAATGGCAACCCTTTTCCTGTAAGCAAAATGATACAATATCAGATGGCATTATTTCAAGCCCAAAAATCTGAATTTAAAATATCATCCCTTTACAAGATGGAGATACATTAGAAGGAAAAGTAATGTAACTTATGAACTTATTTTTGAAACAGTAAAGAGTCATATTAAAAGATAGGAAGATACTGCAATAATAAGCCACATTGAAACGTCTAGAGACCTTTGGATACACAGATTAGAAAAGAAAAGACATACCCAGTTCTACTGACTGGTGGCCGTGGCACCATCCACCCTTCCTCAAAGGCCTTGTCAATGATGCTACATTCAATGTTTTTGATAGACACCGGATTCTCAATGATACCAAGAACACAAGAACCTTCACAAGGTGCAGGGCATACTCTGCCAGTGAACTCTGGAAAGTTATTTGTCTCAAGAAGCCGATCTAGTGCTTCACGCCACCTATTTTGGTACACTAACTCATTGAATTCAGGTATTTTGTTTCCCAGTGGGCATCCAGAGTTCTCCTGCATTGGTTTATTGAGGATATTTAGTCAAGGTGACAGTTATATCGAAATACTAGTTTAACATCAGTGCAAGAGTATGAGCACAAGAATAAAATTGAAGTTACTAAAACTAAAAAGTGTCACCTGATGGCAGAAAGGAGTACCACAGTCCATACAACGAGCAGACTGAGTCTTTAAAAGAGGGCCAGGTTTTGATTCCTGCATAACTTCCTTCCAGTCATTCATTCGAACATTAGGATCCCTGTATTGAACACCTTCACGCTCATAAGCGATGAACCCTCGGTGTTTAACAGCATTGTTAACTTGAGTAGGCCTTTTCAATGGTTCAGCATCAGCATTCTGTGAATTAAAAATCTCATATTAAATCATTGTACAAGCCATATTTAAATCATTGTACAAGCCATATTTATCAGCACCTCAAAACAACATTTGCCCAGCTTTAAAGCTTGAATATGTTCTAGGACTACTGTTTGCGGTAACTAAATACAGATCCTAATCAAAGTCTAATCTTTGTTTCATTATGTCAAAATAACAATTGGCATTCAACCTAAGCTTTTGCATTTCAAATTGTAAGCAGAGAAAAAGAAAAGCTCAGCCACAAGCACACTTTCATTATGTCAAAATACCTCACTAGGTTTCTTATTTAAAGATGCAGCTGCCATCTTCTTGAGCTCCTCAAAAGCATCCTTCTCCATTAACTCTGCTTCATCCTGCTCCTCAGCTTCTTTAACAGCAGCTTCCTCAGCCTCTTTCAAGGTAGCTTCTTGTTTCATGTTTGCAAGAACACGTTTGTAATCCCTGGGGAAGACCTTGATAAATTTTGGGAGAAGACTTCCAAAATCAGAAAGTACTTCTCTAGCTAGCTGGCTGTTCGTGTGACGCTGATGCTGTTGTATCATCATTCTAAGAGTCATTATATCCTCTTCTTCCTTGACTTTATCAAGATCTACCAGCTCAGGGTTGCACCGAGAATGAAACGTGCCATCTACATCAAGAACATAAGCAATTCCACCACTCATACCAGCAGCAAAATTCCTGCCAGTTTTGCCAAGCACAACAACTGTACCACCTGTCATGTACTCACATCCATGATCACCCACACCTTCTACAACTGCTCTAGCCCCTGAATTACGCACACAGAATCTTTCTGCTGCCATCCCATTGAAATATGCCTCACCACTTGTCGCCCCATAGAGAGCTACATTGCCAACAACAATGTTTTCTTTCGGATCAAATAGGCTACCTTTTGGAGGATATACTACAATTTTGCCACCTGATAATCCTTTACCAACATAGTCATTGCCATCACCCTCAAGCTCCAGGGTGATGCCAGGGCATACAAAAGCTCCCAGACTCTGTCCTGCACTTCCAGTAAGCTTGACATGTATAGTGTCTGAAGGAAGTCCTGCCAAGTGGTAACGCTTAGTGACTTCATGGCTAAGCATGGTTCCAACAGCACGATTCACATTGCAGATTGGGGTCTCAATATACACAGGAAGACATTTTTCCAAAGCAGCCTTGGACAGTGGAATCAATTTTTTATCCAAAGCCATGTCCAAGCCATGATCCTGCTTCTGAACACAGTACTGGGCAGCTTCAGGCCGAATGTCGGCAGCGGGTCTAAGTAAAAGCGAGAGATCAATATTTTCTAGCTTCTCATTGTTCTTAATTACTTCTTCATCAACTTCAAGCGTGTCTGATCGACCAATCATCTCATTGATCGTACGGAAACCAAGCTGAGACATTATCTCTCTTAGCTCCTCCGCCAGCATAAAGAAGAAATTGATAACATGTTCAGGCTCTCCAGCAAACTTTTCCCTCAAAACTGGATCTTGAGTAGCAATGCCAACAGGGCAAGTGTTTTTGTGACATTTTCGCATCATGATGCAGCCAAGTGTTATCAGGGGTGCAGTGCTAAAGCCAAATTCTTCTGCACCAAGAAGTGCAGCAATGGCCACATCTCTTCCAGTTTTTAGCTGGCCATCTGTCTGAAGAACCGTGCGGCCACGAAGGTCATTTGCAACAAGTGTTTGGTGGGTCTCAGCCAAACCTAGCTCCCACGGAAGTCCAGCATTCTTAATACCAGTCCATCTAGAAGCCCCAGTACCTCCATCATGACCTGATATCAACACATGGTCAGCGTGCCCCTTCACCACCCCACTAGCAATTACACCCACACCAGCTTCTGATACTAATTTAACACTAATCCGAGCTCCTGGATTGGCATTCTGGGGGGATAATAAGAGACATCAACAGAGAAATGAGTCAACTCTAATTAATCTCTAGCTCAATTACGACAAAAGTTAAATAGTTTTTCACGATGTCATAAATGGATCATATGCAATCTACACGAGTAAGTACACCAGGCAGCATACCTTAAGGTCATGAATCAATTGGGCAAGGTCTTCAATTGAGTAGATATCATGATGAGGCGGAGGACTAATAAGTCCCACCCCAGCTGTAGAATTTCTCGTAACTGCAATGTCTCCTATGACCTTGTGACCAGGAAGCTCACCCCCTTCCCCAGGCTTGGCACCCTGTGAAACAAAACATAATGTATTTAGAAGAAAAAATCAATGATGAATTAATAAATGAATTTAGTTTATATTTAACCTCACCAAATGCCAAAGAAGGTATCAGTTAAAGATGCAAATGCACCCATGGGTGCTTTGCAACACAGCATCATCTGCCATGAACATAAATCCATAAACAATAGGAACCTCTGTTCCAACAGGAATACAGGGGCTAAACGGGACAATCATGAATAGCAGAAAACATCAAATGTATATTATTTGAAAGATACCTGAGCCATCTTGATCTGTAGTTCATCAGCATTTGTGAGATAATAACTTGAAACTCCAAATCTCCCACTTGCAACCTGCTTGATTGCACTTCTTTTCGGATTCATTGAACCATCAGGTAGAGGTTCCATGCGAGAAGGCTGCTCACCTCCCTCACCTTTGGCAATTATAGAAGTATATTACAGCCATACAATCACATAATATTAAGCAAAATAAAGTAAGAGAATGAAAATGGAAATCTAAATAACCCTAAAAAACAAGAAATTCAATATGGAAAATAAAATGAGGCAATACGAATGATTCCTAGACCTCCAATTGCCATTTTAACCAGATTCTAAATATATATATATATTAACCATGTGAAAGATCGTGAGCAAGTTACACTATAACATACCTGTATTTGATTTCCCTCCAATTTTGTTCATAGCCATAGCAAGTGTTGTGTGCGCCTCCAATGATATTGATCCATAACTCATAGCCCCAGTACAAAACCGTTTAACAATCTCACCAGCTGGTTCCACTTCATCTAATGGAACTTTTACTTTTGCCTCTTTGAACTTCAAAAGCCCACGTAAATTGCAGGCTTTGTTCAACTCCTGAATGCGCCTAGAATATTCCTTATAGGCAGCCACACTATTAGCTCTGGCAGCTTCTTGAAGCTTTGCTATAGCAAGAGGATCATTCAAGTGGATTTCACCACCCTTTCTCCAATGGTAATCCCCAGGATTAGGGAGTGCTACAGATTCAGCACTTCCAGGAGGATAAACCCTGGTGGGAAATGCCAATTCATGCAAATTAAGTGCATCACGAGCGAGCATCTCAAAGGTTGCTCCCTCCACTCTGCTGGGAGTTCCTGCAAAGCACTTCTCAATAACTTCTGATGAAAGGCCCAAAGCTTCAAATATCTGGGCACCCTTGTATGAGGCCAAAGTTGAAATGCCCATTTTAGCAAGCACTTTCATCATTCCATAGTTGCTTGCTTTGAAATACTTCTTGACCAGTTCATCCTTTGAATGGAAGTCACCATTGGACTTAGGTGGGATCTTCCCATCAACCTGCAGTCTCCAAATGGCCTCTATGGCTAAGTATGGACATATGGCGTCAGCTCCAAATCCAACCAATGTACAGAAATGGTGCACTTCTCGTGGTTCAGCACTTTCAACAATTAAACCTATCCGCGTGCGCTCAAGCTTTTTAACCAGATGATGATGGACAGCACCAACAGCCAAGAGGGAGCTTACAGCAACACGCTTTGATGAGAAAGCTACACAATAAATAACGACCAACAAGAATATCAATTTGCACAATTACTTTTACTTAAAGCTAAGTAAATTTCAAACCAGTTGAATTTCATACCTCTATCAGAAAGAACCAATAAAGTATAACCTTCTTTAATTGCATCACGTGCTTCAGCACAGATCCTATCTAAGGTCTCCTCTAATCCCTTTCGACCACGTTCCTTCGAGTAAGTTATGTCGAGAACTTTGCTTCGCCAACCCCTATAATTCATCTTTTTAATTGCTTCCATTTCCTCAATGGATAATAAAGGCCCCTTTAGTGATAGACGGCGGCACTGCTCCTGAGTTGTCTCTGTTAGATCACCTTCTGGTCCAATCATGCACTCCATGGAAGTGACTATCTTCTCTCTAATAGGATCAATTGGAGGATTTGTTACTTGAGCAAACATTTGCTTGAAATACTCAAAAGATAGTTTCTCTCTATTGGACATAACAGCCAATGGAGCATCATTTCCCATTGAACCAAGAGCCTCAGTCCCATCTTTAGCCATTGGAAGCAACAACATCTCCAGCGCTTCAACAGTATAACTGAACATAATTTAAAAAGTAAAACGTCATATTACATTCAAAGAATAATGGAGTCAAAAGTACTTCGGATAGGTAAAGTTCTACATACCCAAACGCTTTCAATGGTAATAGCAAACCATGAATTCCCATGTTCTCCATGCTGTCATCACTGTTAGATACCTGAAGTTTTAGAAGGTTCAGGATGAGAGACGCAAATATAAAGAAACGAGGGTGTTCCGGGAGGGGTTTAAAATTGATGGTAACATGACGAATGCTTACAGGAACTACTCCAGCTATGGGAGGAATAGCCATATCAGACTCTGGAACTGAGCCAACAACGTCCTTGAGTTCAATCTTTTGCCTTTTCAGCCACTCCCCATAAGGCCTTGCTAGGGAGTATTGCTGCTTCAATGCTTCGTCATCTACAACAATATGCTTCTCAAAATCCACAAGAAGCATCATTCCAGGGTTTAACCTTCCTTTCCTAAGGACATCTTCTGGTGGTATGTCGACAACACCAACTTCGCTAGCCATGATAACTCGTCCACTCCGTGTTACATAAAACCTACCCGGACGCAATCCATTGCGGTCCAATGTAGCTCCAAGGTATCGGCCATCAGTAACTACAAATTATATTCCCATAAGCAAAAAGCTACTAAATATCGAACAAAGAGTATAGAAAGAGCATTGTGTGAACTGATAGACAATTACATGAAATAAGTGCTGGCCCATCCCATGGCTCCATAAGGGCTGAGAAATATTCATACAATGCCTTCCGATGAGGATCCATATTCTTATCATTTTGCCAAGCCTCAGGGATCATCATCATGATAGCTTCAGGGAGACTTCTCCCAGCTCTAACTAAAAGCTCAAGGACGCCATCAAAAGCCCCTAAAAATATATAAAATATTTAGAAACACAGGCCAACCAAAGAAACTACAAAGTTGAATGCATATGGAATGTTCTTGTACTAATTACAAGCCTATGTCACTTTGTATTTGAAAGTTCACCTGAGTCGGAAGAACTAGCATCCACAATAGGTAGAAGCTTCTTCATCTCATTTTTGGATAGACCAAGCTCCTTGCACTTTAGTAGACCCTCACGTGCCTTCATCCTGAGCAGAAACAATCAGGATTTATTTATTTATTTATTTTTTACCACATAAAATGAAGTTCCTCATTAATTCCAAAAATAGAAGGAAAAAAAAAGAAAAAAAGATGAGGTTGGTGACCACAATGATGCAAACGTTGGCAATAAGGGTATAACCATCTCCCAGTTTCGTTGCAACATACCAGTTTACATTGCCTCTGAGAGTATTAATTTCCCCATTATGGCCTAAGACACGCATCGGTTGAGCACGATCCCAGCTTGGAAATGTATTTGTAGAAAATCGTGAGTGTACCTGTACCGAAACAGAAACAAGATTGTCAATTTACAAGTCCAGCCACTTGATTCTCAATATTGGAACTGAAATGAAATCAACACACGTGAACTGTCTTCAAGGCACTTCAACCAACACAATTGTAATGCAAACCCCAAGCAACCTTGACTAAACAAAATTCCCTTTCAACAACCAACTGGAATTTCCACCTCAAACAACTGATCATAGAGAGCACTGCAGTAAGTTTCTGCAAACATGATTTACTTTTGACAATGAGGTTCCTTACCAACTCAACTCACCCAAGGCATCCAATCCAGCATCCAAATTCAAACAGTAATCAAGGGAGTGGAAGAACTTAAGAGATCATTCAAACTTCAATGCCTCAGAAGTCATTCCTCAACCTTGGATATCTTCAGTTACCGGTGGTTGCCATGCTGTTTGTTGAAGTATGAGTTAGTGGAGAAAAAGGAAAGTGAATGGATAATATATTTACCAGGGCCATGTAGCTCGTAAACCTTTCATTGCCAAGATCTGCATAGTAATAATCCTTCAACTGTACAGGCTTCAATTGACCCTTGTAGACAATAGTCCTGTGAATATTCATCAGAAAAATTAATAATTTTGTAAAGAAAAAGTAAATAAACACGGATGAGATATGCAGTAAACAGGTAATGCACGTTGCTGGAGTCTAAACCTTGAAGAAAGGGAACATATATAGAAGTCCTTTACAGCACCATGCTGAAGGTTCAATGCAGCTCGGATTGCCACCATTGACACCCTTCGTAAAATATACATCTGCTCAGCACAAAAAAAAAAAAAAAAAAAAAAAAAAAAAAAAAACTGAGATATCTTCAGGTTTACGCCGGTGGTTGCCATTGGCTGGTTTGTTAGATAGTATTGATGGGTTTAAGTGGTGAGAAAAATAGGGAGAAGGTGACAATGTGGATAATTATATTTACCTCAGGGCCACATGCTTTAGCCTTCGTTAACTAACCTACGATTTTTGCTGCCACTTGCCAAGATTCTTGGACATAGTAATACTCAAATCCTTGCAACCTGGTTACCACGACGGCCTTCCAATCTCGGCCCTCTGTTAAGACCAACCTAGGTCCTGTGATGCCCACCATTCACACCATTTCATTGTACGAAGTACAAAACTTCAATACAATTTTGCGGTATTCTAAGTGATAACAAGTAACATTAAGACAAACACGTGGCCATGGAGAACTCCATTCGGCCTCAGTAAGTAACAGGTAATGGTGCTACGTTTAGTATTGTCTGGAGTCTAAACCTTGGAGAAATGGGAAGAAAACCATATCAATTATGGAAGTTTTCCTTCTTACAGCACCCCATTGCCTGAAACGGTTCCAAAGTGCAGGCTCCCGGGGATTGCCATCCTCATGACACCCTTCCCGTAAAAAGTTACAATTCATGGCTACAGCCATAAACAATACCAGAACGAACAAAATAACAAATAAACGCGGCCAAGCGTCATTGAATGGAATACTATTGGACAGGCTTGAAGCAAAAAGTAATCCAGTAAAAAAAAAAAAAAAAAAAAAAAAAAAAAAAAAAAGGGCCAAGTTAAGGAACTATTGGACCAGGAAGCAAAGTATCATCAGACTACGTGAATTACAAAAACTGCGGCGGTAAAAATTACATTATCGATCAGTAGGCCCGATAATTGGATTTTCTTATTACTATGCAAATATCCCAAAATATCAAATCGTCCAGAACATATTGTTAGTACACACCGAATAAAAGAATTATAAAATCTTTAAATTACCTGTTGTTCAAAATCAGCTTTTGACCTAGGAGTAGGTGTGAGGAACACTTGCTCAATCACTGGTTCAGTCTGTAAAGCAGACTTGCCCAGACCTGAATTGTCTGTTGGGACTCGTCGCCATCCAAGAACTGTATGACCAAGAGACTCCGCAACCTTTTACACCATCACAATCAAAATCATAACGATTACACTAATGTCTCAAAAGATTCAAAAGATTGAAATGAATTGGGCAAATACTCTCTCACATCAAATCAAGAATGGGTGACGAAATTACCTTAGTAAACACATTTTTACTTTCTTCCCTTCGGTTATCTGATGTGGGCAAAAAGAACATCCCAACTGCATATTCGCCTGGTGGCGGTAGCTCAAACCCACCATCCTTGGCAATCTGACAAAGCAAATTCAACCAAAATGAATTTTTTTCTTACAAAAAAAATTCATTTTAAATATATACATATAAATTTTTTATTATAAAAGGAAAAGAAAGCAATTTTTCATTTTTGATGTGCCAGATATTTCTTTCTTTTTTTTTTATTTTTGAAAATATCAGATACATTAAGAATTCCCAAAGAGGATTGAAAAAATAGAGTTAAAATAGAGCATACCTCCCTGCAGAAGTCGTGCGGAAGAGCCACAAGAATCCCAGCTCCATCACCAGTATTCGCTTCACACCCGCAAGCACCTCTATGCGTCATGCGCACCAACATCTCCAACGCATCCGAAACCTACAAGAAGGAAAACATAAACATCACTCAGAACACAAATCCATCTGTCAGGATATCTATGATGGACACAACAGATATATTCTTTTTCTCCCCCTTTCTATGCATGTATATGCAAAATACTCACCGTTTTACGGCTGGTTTCACCAGATAACTCAGCCACAAACCCAACTCCGCAAGAGTCCTTATCAAATGACGGATCATAAAGACCAAGAGGCTTCTCGGGTACTCCAGACAATGAGGAACGAACCACAACCCGGAGCTTTGGGGACTGTCCAGGCCCATCCGATTGCCAGAAATGAAGCCTCTCTGATCCATGAGGCCGTAGTTTGGTTCCAAAAAACTTATTCTCCACAACAGTCGATTTCTTGATAGCTGAGCATCGTGCAGCTCTGGTATTCCGGCGAGATACCGGAACAATAACATTTAACTTAGGTGAAATGGAAGGTTTGTTGAGAGTTGAAAGACCAGATGGGTTAGTTCGAGGTTGAAGGAGAGAGGAGCCAGAAGTCGCCGACATTATTAGCAAACGGGAATCTAATCAGAACTGCTTTGTTTTTTTATGTTTGAAAAATAAATATTGATGGAGATAGAAATAAAATCCCAGAAAGTAGCAAAAGTTTACGGAATTTGGATAAGTATTACTTGTTTTGCGATTTGTATGTATTAGAAATTTGTTTTACAGAGATTTTCCAGATCAGATCAGATACCACACCATGTACAAAAGAGATCTGAAAGAGCTCCAATATGTAAGCTTATTTTAGGAGATTTTTAATAAATTCTGCAAGTTTTCGCAACCAAATCTAGCGATTTTGCGCTCAAAATATAAAATAAAATCGATTTGGAAAACAAGGGATTCGGATAAACGCAAGATGAGAGATTTGAATATAAATATATATAAGAGCCAAATCTCCTGGAAATGACGAAACTCTCCTCAAAGAAAATCTTCTTCTCTTGTAGCATGCAGACGGATTTTACAAGATCCAGCTCTGAAGGACCGGAAGCGAACAAATGATCGATGGACAAATGAGACAGCTATAAAGGAAAAGAGATTTGGTGTGACAGAAAGAGATTGGCGAGGAGAGGCGAGAGGCGGAGCAGCACCGACGCAAAAGCGTGCTCTCTTTTGTTTGGGTTATTAGAGTAGTGATCTATCTCAAATGGAGAGTTTGATTTATAGAGGAAAAAGAGAACATAAAACGAGGGTAGGGACCACCACAAAACAAAATGAAGGGTTTGTGGGGCCTACAATTTTTTATCCCAACCCATGTCTCTCCGCCCCCGCCCTGCGACCTCACCATAGCAAACCGAGTCGACAGCTATAAGATCTCGAGAGATGCCACGTGGAGTAGGCTCTATGCGGCACGAGACAGCCGCTCATGGTGGGTCCGTTCTAATGAGATAGACATACACCATAGTTAGCTGACTCTCTCCCGCCTCCACCTCTTTTATTAGGCTCGGCTCCGAACCTCCGCGTCGTGTCCCCCAACTCCGGTCAATTCTTTTTTTTTTTAACTAAACCAGGTGTTTTACTAACATACCACTAAGGATTGTTTTGTAATTAAACATTTCGATCTCTAAATAGTTTTTTTTTTTACTGACAAATTTTTCCTTTAGTCCGTCGTCATTTTTCAACAATTTCTTATTGGAGATTCATGCGGAGGACAGTATATTAGTAATTTTAATTTCTAGAATGGAAAGCTTTTATCTTTTTTAGTAGTTGGAGGTTTACAGGATTCAGGTTACTTAAATTAATTCCATAATTAGTAATCTGAATGTCTTATTTATCTGTGGATTAAAGAATTTGTAAATTTGTATCCCATAATAATATAAATCTATAAATATATATTACGGTAAGTTCATAAATAAAATATACATCGTATCGTACTTTTATTTTTTTAAACAGTCAGCGAATGTAGTTGCTTATATATTTATTTTATATTTGACATTAAGGAGTAAGGTTATGTCCTTATTTTTGTCATCGTATATATTTGAATTTTGATTTTGGTATACCTATGATGATCTACTCGTATCTATACGGATGAAAATATTTATACCAGTCTCAATTCAATGTATAATTAACCATAAATGTACCTACCGGAGCGATAGATATACCCTAAAATAGTGGTTTGGCTTCCATCCCTAAAGTGTGGATCTAAGTAAAATGTAAAAACATTTAGTCATTAAGCAGGCAGTTGACCATTCAAAGTGACGCCACCAATGACGAAGAATTCTAGAAAGGCCAAAAAAGAAAAGAGAAAAATAATACCCGTACGCGGCCAATGGTATACGTGATTTATATTACGGGCAGGTTTTTATGCGGCCAACGGTTAGGGATTGATCGTTTACGTCAGTTTATAAAGATAAAAACTTTAATTAACTTGACCAAATAATTAATGTTGTCCTAATTGATAATTTGAAGCATTGAAAGATGGAGTAATATTTCTAAAAAGACAGCACATGGAATGACGAAGAAAACTAAATGCACCCATTGTTTGTAGATACAGGATTTGCCCTTTTAAGCTTACCAAACCTTAACCAACTTCAGACGGACCTCCACATATACAAAAATGCAAATTTTGTATATTAATTAATAAACTTTTAACTATTTTTTAAATAATAAGTAAAATCACATTTTATGGTTAAAAATAAATGAGATTGCAATTGTTAATTTTCAATAATAATATTTTTTTTCTTTAAAATTTTATCCTTTCTAAATGATAATATTGTGAGAGAAAAAAAAAAAAAAAACAATTCTTCCATTATTTTCCTTATTTGCTTTGCAGATAAAGGTAGAGTCGACAGCTCATATAGTGACACGTCAGCATGCAATGGGAGGAGCGACTATAAAGGTATTTAATTTAATTCATAGGGTCAAAAAGGAAATAATAGAAAGCAATTAGTCACTTTTAACTCATTTTCTAAAATAGAGAAAGGGAGAAAAAAGGAAAAGGGAAAGGAAAAGCAAAGCAAAAGGGGATTTGCCACACCTTAACACCGTCATAAACAAAGGACAGCTTTATACACAATCCCCAAAAGATCCAAATCAGATTTAGTTACCAAAAAGGAGAAAAAAAAAAAAAGAAAAAAGAAAAAGGAAATAGAGTGTTGAGAACACGAGTCCATGGAATTTTCATGTGAATTGCAAAAGTCACTTCCTTTAATTATTACCAAATCCTTTTTATTAATTAAAAATGAATGTGTGTAAATCATTTCATTCTACTTTGACTATTGTGGTTTAATTGCCATATGGTAGTTGCCAGCAATCTCTTGTAAAATAACTAAATTAATAGTTAATTATTATTAGAAAGAATTATCATATGATATTTATATTAGATAAAATAACTATATTTATAAATTATTTTTTATTTTCAGATAAATAGTAATTTTAATCTTCATGCAAAAATGAATTTATAGTTTGAAATTGTGAAGTATGCAAATTTAATAAAAACGTGAAGTTGTGAATAATAATTTTTATTAATATATAAAAAATAATGTTTGTGCTTATTATAATTAAAAGAGTTGAAACAGGACAAAAAATGTATGGTCAAATGGTTTAATCAAAGGATGAAACCATATGCTCTACCCCATTACCTACTCCAATGTCTCAATCGAAGCATTGACTAGAACCACTCGCTAAATGAATCTCTAAACAACCATGAAATGGGGTATAAAAATGAAATTTAGAAAAGTCGAGGAACTAATTTGTAAAAAGAAGTTATAAGGACTCCTTATTATCAAAGTGTTCTTTTTTTCTGTTTTTAAGAGAGAGAAGTACGGACTACATCCACAGTAAACACACGCGACACACAGTCACAGAACCAAGGCTTCAAGATTCTCGAAGTCCACGTTCTGGCGGACAGCCTAATCTCACACTTACTTTCAAGTGTTGTGGCTTCCTTTGATTGACACGTAGCTTCTCGATTGTTCCTTTTTTTTTATTAATTAAAGCTGGAGGAAAAAATAATAAAAATTAGAAAAACGAGATGGCATATACTATGGCCACCTACCAACTCTGCGTGATGGAAGATTGACGGGAGGGGTTAGGTGAAGCTGTGAAACTGGATCTCTTAGTGTCCCTACATCCCACTAAGAATCTTTAGTACATACATATATAAATTTTTTTTGTACAAGATCATTATTGTCGTCGTTTGTCGTTTCAATTTAATGGATTGTTTATATTGAAAATATTCTTTTTAAGATTAATGCAAAAACGATATGGCATATATTAAGTGTAATCCATGTGACATATTAACCTTATATTTATTTCAAATGGATCAACATTAAATTTTAAATTAAGGTAAAACATAATCCAAAACCTTTTTGAATGTGTTTTGGATAAATGATGGAAATTGTAGAATTGAAAATTTTTTTATAAATTAAAAATATTTAAAATAAACGAAAGTGACTAAATAAAACATCTTCTAAGCAAAAAGTGAAAATGATGTCGCAGCCATGTTGAATTTGTCGTTGTTGATTGACCCTTCTTCTTCCTCTTTTTTTTCTTCTTCGGTGTGTATAATTGAGGTTAATATTCAAAGATGATGACTTGATGGTTGATTAGATAATGTTTTGCATCTTAGTGGAACACATTAGAACGATGAAAAGCAATACGACAAGGATTGAGGACGACATTTCAGATTTGGGAAGTTAGAAAGAGATCAAAACGACCATACTTCAACACAGACCGTTAATGTGATGATGTGGCAAACGACGATTATTATTCCAACATTTCACTTATTTTATTTTCTAATTAAATTTTAAAATACACTATTCATGGTAATATAAAAACAGATAATTACTTCAATTTTCTCATCCAAATTTATAATGTAAACTAGTTTTTTTTTTTTTTTTTTAAATAATAAATCCTATAGCCGCCCCATTTGAAAAAAAGAAAACAAACTTTATAGAAAAAGAAGTAGCATGTCTAAATACATTAATCATAATTATAATACATACATTATTGGATGCAGCTGCCAAACTGTGCAGTTGAAAATGCATGGATGGATTGATAGACTCATCCGACAACAATCCAACTACCAAAAATAATAATTCTATACATGTTCAATATTATTTTTTATTATTATAACATAATAATTTGTCTTGAAGATATTACTAAATAAAAATTTATAAAAAGCAACAACAAAGTAAACTCGACTCACAAAAATCTTCAGCTTAAAAATGTTTAACTTGAATTTATTTAAAATAATAATAAATTACTAAATTCCAAATTCGATTGAAAGGAGATATTCCTTCTACTAAGAATATAATGTTCAAAACTGAAACAAAAATAGAATTGTTCCTATTCCTATTCTTTTAATAATTAAACAATTCAAAACAAATAAGTGAAGGTATTTGCAACTCCAATCACTATTTATTTATAGAACTCGGAACAACATCGTTTCATTATTGAAAAGAAACAGAATAAATAATAATAATAATAAAAGAAGATCAGTCTTTTCCTTTGTTCGTTCATTATTAAAGAATCTAAGGAACAAAGAATATATATATTTACATATTTCTTTTTAAATCTTTCTTTTTATGGGAAAATTTATTATTCTTCATCTCCACTAAAGAACACTTTCCAACGAGGAATCATGAGTGTGTTTTACATTTTTCAACTGTTCTTGTTCATGTTCTCTTAGCTAATTTATTCATTATTATTCCTTTTGGTCTCCAATTGGAACCTCCCCAGGATAAACCTCTGTTGCTATTATTACCATCAAATGAACTACTAGGTGGACACTGAAAATATATAATCTGGGATATTCTCTGACAAATAGGTAATGGCTTGTTGTAAAATATAAAGTTGGAATCTTATATATTATTTATTTTTTCACGGTTGAAATCTATAATTGTCTGATGAAATAATTAAATATAATCATTAACTAAAAAAAGCATACAATTAGCAGGCTAATTTGCTTTTGACAGTAATTAGTAAATTAACTTTGATGGTTAATGCCATGAAATTTCTCATGTCAGTCGGATTCTTTGTAAAACCCCAATCTTAATTCCTAAGTAATAACCTAATTATATTTTATGCTGATTTTTTAAACTTTGAAACTCCTCGTTTATCTACCACGAGAGGAGTTTACTTGCTGCCTCGGTCAATGGATTACGTATTTTGCGTAATGATTTATTCTTAATCTTA